CCTGCGCCACTCGCAGGAATTGAAAGAATATCCCGGGCTAGTGCAGCCAGCACTGGGAACTCTTTTTGATGCTCCCTCCAGAATAAACGGGGCTGTTGTGAAATAAGGCCTAGATAAAATTAGTATCTGAGATAGACAGATACGTAATTAGACTTACCTTTTGCAAGATATCGAGCCAGTTCATCATCCTCCTCCTCTGCTGGTACTTCTGCTGCATAAAATGAAGTCTGTGAGTCACATAGCATCTCAATCTCATTAATATCACTGGAGTTCTGCCGGACATCAGAGGATGATTCTTCAGCTTGATCTGAAAATCGCCGTTTGTATCGCCAGAACTCTTTTTCAAGACACCCACGATATCTTGCACCAAAATCAATATCCCCTTGCCAATCTCTTGAGGTAAAGAATCGAAGTTTCTTTGATGGGGCAAGAATGGTAGCAATACCATAAAGATCCCTATAAAACTCCTTATCAGTTGCTTGATAATACTCAGAAAGCTTTTCCCTTGCCGCCTGTAATGCCCTCAGCATTGATTTCTTCCATGGGAGTCTCTTTTGGCGAAGCTGGTTCTCGGAGTTCTCTAGGTGATTGAAAAGCTTATTGTAAACGCCAAAGATAAGATGGATTGTGGTGTCTTTTGTTTTCGAGAGAGCAGTTGTAAACTTAAAGAATGGCTCAGTGATACACAGTAAGTAGTCGATCTGACGCCATTCTTCTTTGTCAAGCGGAAAATGGAGATAGCCGTTTGCTGTACAGTATTCTTGAAAGCTCTTCTGTAGTCGTTTTGCTCGGCCGAGCATCAGAAATGTAGAATTCCATCGAGTCCGTATATCTTGAAGAGGAAGCAGTCGAGGCTCCTGGGACTGGATTACAAGAAATGCAGCTCGGCGCTGAGGACTTGCATTAATAAAGATAGCAAGATTTCGGATCTACAGATAACTATTATTAGCTGTTATTCTCTCTCTCTTTCTGCTGAATCATCACATACCTTGTTCAAAGTCTGGATAATCTCTCTCTTTGATTGCTGGGAACGCGCCTGGCGCTCACGGTCATCTGACCATCCATCCTCTGCCTCATTATTGGATGGCATTGCTTTTATTTTTCCGAGAAGTTGATTCAGACTCAGTTGGATCACATGGGCCAGGCATGGAACACGGAATATACCATTACCAAGCCCGTCACTTCCAATGCCCTGACTTTTAAGCTCATCCTGAATACTGAGCATCATTGTATTGTTATTGGTAGCATTATCAGTTGTTACTGACAGAACCCGATCGGCAATTTTATACTTTTCGAGAATACCAATAACTACTGAGCTTAGGTTACTCCCAGTATGTGAGCCTTGTAAGGGTTCAAAGCCAAGTAGAGCCTCTCGATACTCCCAATCGTTATCCAGAAAATAACCAGTAATAGCCATAAAGCCCTGCTGGAAAGGTGATGTCCAGCAATCAAGTGATAGAGATAGTCTACTATCATCTGGGAGCATATCTATTATACTCTGTTGTCCTTGTTGGATATTCGAGTGTAGTTGTCGGCTAATCGTCCGGGGCGAGGGTAGTTTGACCCGTGAAGGAGCAACAGCAATTAGATCAGCTAATTCCTGGAATTCTGGACGATCAAGGATACGGAATGGGAGCCGTGCGACGAGGATAAGAGATAGGACTTTCTGGGCAAGCACTTCTTCAGAGAAAGTAGTTAAAGTTGCTCTTGAAGTTTGTGACTACAAATTATAAGTTATTAGCTAAAAGCAGTATCTTAAAGATAGTATATATACTTACCTGCTTCGCAAGTAACTTGCCAATCCCATGCTTTGGATGACAGGTATTCCCTTTCAGATGTGTGTTCATTGGTGATGTTCCTCCACGCCGAATATTTGGATGAGTAAGTGTAGTAAGGCAACGCTTACACATAACTTTAGGCTCTCCTGTCCGTTCATGAGCTACTTGCTCAAAGTGATCCCAGACTGAAGCTCTCTTTTTGTGGTCCCAATGAATGGTGGTCTCGATGTCTTTTCTTGTGCCATACTCTGTTTGAAGCCACCACTCAGTGAAATCCTTCCGAGTTTGGCCTGTTGCGGGGTCCATTTCTACAAGGATCCAAAATCGCTGAAGATGTGGCCCAGTACGTGTAAGGAATAAGGGCGCTCGCGGTAATTGCAGTTGTTGAGAGCAAATGGATGGTGTAATTGACTCGGTGGCAGTACGACAATATGTACTGAGTGATGGTAGGTCATCTGGTAGGAGAAAGTCAGTATCAGAATGCTGATCGGTGAAGACTGATGAGGTATAGGCCATCTTTGGCTATGGTCTTGAGAGCCAATATGTGTAAATGAGAGACAAACAACTTACAAGATTCGACGAGAGGACCACAAACACCAGACGCGACCGAGGACATTGATGTGTTACAAAAGCAATTATAGAGTGGAGTCAAAGATATACTCTAATTGGATATTAGAGCTACTAATACGGTTATCCTGCGGTTAACCGCAAAGACCCCTCACAATAACCGCACTAAGATTACCAAAAACCGCAAAAACCGCAAGATAACCGCAAGATAACCGCAAAATACCCCTGAAAACCGCAAAAACCACAGGAAAACCACAAGGTAACCGCAGCACGACCGCAATATAACCATTTATCACTGCAACTTTGCACTTTTAGGACATATTTTTTAACACTTTTATATTGTAATACTAGATTAAAAATTATTAGAGATATGTAAAAAACTAGCTCTTTTATAACATATGATCAAAATTCAGAATACTTAAAAATTAGTCAAGTTAGGCTTTTCATGTTCTACTGACCTAAAGATGCAGCATAATCTCTCTAAGTCAAATATATATTTCTGCGATAACTATACTCGATTACAAAAACTAATCACAACACACAGTAAATCTCGCCACCAATGTCCAAAATCCAACTTTGAACTTGAATTTTTTGTAGACTAATATTTTATCTTTTAGAATACCGCTCTATTTCAAATCATTTCCAACAAAAAGTAAGAAAAATAAATGATTACAGTAGTAATAACGAAACCATATGTAAGAATGCATTATTTGAGCTTAGTTATCAGGTGTATAAAAACGGTGGGGTGGCTTAGATAGGTAAGATCTTCATCTTTTATGCTAGTGCGGTTAACCGCAAGGTAACCGCATTGCGGTTTTGGTTAACCGTAAAATTTGCGGTTAGGTTTTGGTAAAGATCTTAGAACCGCAAACCGAATCGATTTGGGTTTGGTAAAGATATGAAAACCGCAGACCAAATCGATTTGGGTTTGGTTAGCATTTGAAGACCAAACCCAAAACCGTGCCGCAGTCTACTTACAGTAGATCGGATTGAGGCATTTCCTATATAAATATACCAATTAGCGGAAATAAGACGATCAATTTAGTAAAGGCCGATGTCACTACGATAAGGGAAGCCAGACACCCTAGCATATCCTCTTATAGTGCCCGTTATACACTAGCCTACGGGAAACCATATTGAACAAGATATGGTATAAGACCGACCTAGGGCGCACAACCGATTACAATATAATTGTTTCGGACTCGTAGGCCATCCGCTACGTGGCCGAATTCATGCACCGAATTGGACTCCTTGGTCAATTCCGCGACGTGGAATACGAGGATGTCGACGTCAACGTTGAAACGCTCGAAGGGAGCGGGCACTAGGGGTGAAGACAATACATATAAGGAAGTATACTATCAACTGGCGACTACGAGAGGTCGTACAGGCGGAGGAGCTACTACCCTATAAGGAACAACTGCAGGAGGAACCAGGGCGTAACTGAGGTTATATCGGTAGTGGCGGGGATAGGGAGACTACGGGGTGAGACCACGGAGAGTGGTCATAGGCGCTGCGTGAGCTGGCAGTAGCCGATTACAGTCATTATGAGCGTTTCGGTACCGTCATTGTGGGAGTTATTATTTGTTTTTCTATGGCAATACGCCGTATCTCCTTTGTCTGCTGTTACTACGGGCGTGGCGTTAGGATGGTTCTGGTTCCCGATGGAGGGAACGCCTACATAGCCACGGCGCTCACTAGCTAGGCTGCATTGGGTTAATAGAATCTTGAATTGAATTGAATTGAATTGAATACAATTCAAATGAGTTATCGTATGGACCTGCAGATACAATATTTTTTACATAAATTCTCGTAGTGAGGTATGAGAAATTATAATTGTTTATTGACTAATTCGTTTCACAATTTTAAGAGAGCCGCCATTTCATGCGAGCCGCCAGGCCCCAAATATCATAGTTAAGTCATTCAATTACAACTCTACCTTGGAATATATCAACAGCCATAACTTTGTTCGCATTCTACCTAGGTAAATATCTGTACTGATAAGTTATATTTTGATCCATATGATAGGTGATGACGATAGCTACTACTGGAGATGTGTCGAAGAATGATCGTGTGTGTGATGAAGAACTAAGCGAGAGCCACTACTAATAATAAGGTGACAAACGGCGAGCATGCAGCATCCTAGGGTGCCTGACGCGGCTGCATACCAGCCTCCACAATAGGGTATTTTCAAAGTTCGTTAAAGGGGTGCACTGATCAATTAGTACTATTTCCCAATGATACCAAAAATTACAGTGTAGGCTAGGTACTCGTACTAACTTCTGGTGCTAGCTTCCAAGGTCTGCTCCCGAGCTACCTAGCTATTGAATGGATTTGATAGTAGTCCCCACCTTCGCACCGTCTGAGCAGGTGAGCAACCTTCAAGTTGCATCGATTTAATTGATAAGTAATTATGGTGTTCGAGCCTGGAGCATGGCGACTCGCTTGAGGAAAGGAGCCCCGAGCTCTTGTAATCTCGCAACATACGAGAATACTAATCAAAGGATAAAAAATATCATGAACTTCCGGAAGCAACTTTGAAGTCTTGAATCAGAAAGAAATTTCATGGAAATTGAATACTTCCCCTTATACTATAAAGACAGTTTGACGGCATGGAATGGAAGATAAAGCTATCTGTAGAAATACACACATGGTGCTCTAGTCTCGCCAAGTAACTACCCGGCTGGTCAGATATTCCTCAATGCCTGCCATACCTGTAAATCTACCAAATCCACTATTTTTCAAACCTCCATGGGGCAGCGAAACATCATCATGAATGCTCATGGCATTGATATGGACAGCACCGGTCTCGTACTGCCTCGCGACTCTCAGACCAGTTGCGAGATCCTCCGTGAAGACAGCTCCCGCAAGCCCATATTCAGTGTCGTTGGCGATGGTCAATGCCTCCACTTCTGATTCGAACGTGAAGATCACAACGGTAGGGCCAAAGCTCTCGGTATAATATAGATCTGAGTCTTTCTTCAAGTTTCGCAGAACGATTGGCCGCATTGTGGGAGAAGATGTGTCCTCAGTGGGATTGCCGAATACAACTTCTGCGCCATCATTTAAAGCCCCAGATACAAGAGCTCTGGTCTTTTGAGCCCCAGCCGATGATACGAGCACAGGCGAAAGACCGGAATGAGGAAAAATCTCATCTGTGCATTCCTTGAATGCTTTAATAAAAGACTCAAGCAATGAAGAATGAAGGATGATGCGTTCAGTGGACATGCAAACCTGACCAGCCTATGCGAATGAATTGTTAGCGATTTTCGTATACATAGGGGGGGTGTAATTCATACATGAAGAAAGGCGCCTAGAGCGCATGCATGTGCAGCCTTTGCGATGTCCGCATCCTTGAGAATGATTGCGCTGGCTTTACCACCAAGTTCGGTGATAATTGGCTTGAGATACTTCCCAGCAAGTGATGATATAATGGCACCGACCGCTGTACTGCCAGTAAAATTGATCTTTTTTATGGATGGGTGGGCAATGAGAACATTCGTGATTTCAACCGCATCCTCGGGGCGGTGAATGACAAGGTTGAGACAGCCATCTGGAAGACCAGCCTTTCGGAAAATGTCAACAATTGCCCAGTAGCAGCGTGGCGAGAGCTCAGGCCCTTTGAGGACCACTGTATTCCCAGCGGCGAGTGCATAAGACACTGCCCGGCAGCCCAAAGGCCAAGGCGCGTTCCTATCAGGATGGATTGTCAGAATTTGCAAGTTTTATATCATGCGAAGAGCACATACCATGGGGCAATCCCGAGAATCACTCCATATGGCTCTTTGTAAACGATGGCACTTCTGCCTTCTTCGGAAGTTGCAGGCACTGCGCCTTGGATGGAGGTGACTTTCCCCGCAACGTCCTTGAGTTGCTCGACAGTCAAAGGGAGAATCCAATCAACGAATTTTGGATCCGCTCCGGTTTCGTCTATCTGGTACTGTCGGAGTTCGTCTTCACGATTCTCAAACAAATCTGCTGCGCGTAGTAGAATATCACGACGCACAGCTGGTTTGGTTTTTGACCAGGCAGGGAGTGCGGCTTGTGCACTTTCTACCGCTTTAGCGGCATCGATAGCAGTTGCGGAGCATGATTTCCAGACTTCCTGACCAGTTCTGGGGTTGATAACACTGAAAGTAGCTTCTGTAGTAACGTCTTGACCGTTGATAATCAAGGGAACTGTTTGAGCTGCGCCCGTAATAATCGCGGTCATTTTCACAATTATTTTGCAAAGCGATCAAGGTTTTGGATAATTTTGAGAGGAAGTGATGATATAAAACTTCCAAGATTCTTCAAATTCAAGTTGGTATATGGGCCTTGACAGAAATAAATATACATGATCATTGTGCTCTACTAGTAGTATGTCACTCCGTATATCTGGGGGTTTGGCCATAAACATTAATTCCGACTTATCCCCGGGTCGGGCGGACAAGACACCGAAAGTCCGCTAGATTTCCCCCGGCATCTTGACCGGAAGACTATTTCACTAGTACTAGTAGCACTAGGATTAATACGAAGGTCAAATAAAGCCACCTGGAAACAGAGCGGGACCGGTAGATCATGCCATGATATTATGAAAGTCCAGGCATAGCGTCGGGACTGTTACTTCAGGTATATCTTCTTTTTCAGCACCATATGCGCCTATAGAACCTCTTCGACTGGACATCTCCAGGGCTCATTGGATAGTATCATGGTAACAAATAATAGAGCAGGCTATTTTCTTTGACCCGGAGAAACTACGGGTTTTGTGCACTGAAGATGGGAATGGAACAGATCCATTCCACCTAGGTCAAATTGAAAAGGTAAGCTAATTTTGAGTAAGTCGTATTCCAACTTCGCTTCCCGTTCTCCTCAATAGCCGGGTTGCCTGGAAAGAATCATTGCTCACATATATATCTTCTCGTTCATGTTCGAGTCTTGCATTTAGTACCAGTAATATTGAAAGCTATTCCTACAAGATAAGACCAGGCTGCATTGCCATATAATCCATATTGATCCCCAAAAGCTGGTAAATATTACTTGAAGGTAAAGTAACTTTGGATAAAGATCCAATAATGTACCCAGAGTGACGTGAATGAGAATCGTGATTCCCTTGTTGCGAGCGCCCAGATGGTAGAAACATGGACCGTATAATGCATCGGATTGAAAATCTTTAAAGACGTAGCCATGAGAGGAAGAAAAGAACTCACGATGGTTCTCTCCATCCGGCTCAACCGAAAATCATCTTAAAGGTGGCTAGCCTCAGGCCAAATCAACACAGGCTTGATCGTTCGGCCTGATTTGATGTCCTTGAGGGCAGATTCGAAGTCGGCAAAATCGTATATCTTTACTATCTTCTCTACGGGAAAATTGCCATTGAAATACTGTTCAATCAAGATCGGAATCATCTAATAGGTTTTGAGTCAATGTTCGGGTTCATGTGTTTCGGGTTCTTAGTCCAAGTTTGCATACCTCCTGTGGCACGGAATCACCTTGGTTACATCCAATGTACTGTCTGCCAAGGGTTATATGGCGAAATACGTCAACCTTGACTTTTTGGCCAGGCGAGGGGGCTCCAATGGTGATACCTTTTCCTTTTGGTCCGAGACATTCCATCATTTCTTCTATAACAGTTATGTTTCCAGTTGTATCAATCGCGCACGTTGCTCCAACCCCGCCGCATATTGTTCTTATCTGCAAAATCGAATCCGACCCGTTGAATTCCATGGCATGTGTCGCTCCGAGGGTCCGGGCCGTTGCTAACCGATTTTGGAGAATGTCAATAGCAATGATGATATCAACCCGGCGGATTTTTGCGGCCATTATCGCGGCCATTCCAACAGCCCCTGTGCCAAATACAACCACGGAGCTACCCTTTGAAAGATTCAGGATGTTAAAAATCGCTCCCGCTCCAGTTTGCAAGCCACAACCCAATGGGGCCAGAAGCTGCAAAGGTGTGTTTGGTGGAACCTTCACAATGCTAGACTTGGAAACAATTGCGGTCTTTGAAAACGAGCTTTGACCGAAAAAGTTGCCAGATATAGGAGACCCATCACTTGTCCGCATGGTGTAGGAATCGTCCAATCTTGTCCCTCCAAAATTCAGTTTTAACATATGGTGACAATATGCTGGACAGCCCGATAGGCACGTAGGGCAATCGTAGCAAGCATTGTAACTGAGAATAACTTTATCACCGGGAATGATATTTCTAATTGCACTGCCAATTTGGAGAATTTTGCCTGCGCCTTTGGTTTGGTGAATTAAAGAATCAGACATGTTTTGTTTGCAAGTCTGCTTTTCAGGGATGAATTGCACCAACCTTCGTGACCAAAAACGCATGGAAATTTGACCGGAATCGTGCCATTCAGGCAGGAGATGTCCGCATGGCAGATACCAACGGCATGGATTTCCACAAGAGCTTCGTTCGGACGCAAGTCATCAAGATGTATGTCTTGAATCTTCAACGATCCATTAGCTTTTGGGGCAACTAGTGCTTGCGTAGTAATTGACATCTCAAATACCTGAACGTTGTAGAGGATAGTCTGACATGACTTCTAGGTTTTACTTCGGCAAACAATGTATGAGAGTGGTTCGAGAATGGCGCGGGGGCACGGAGCCTTGAAAGAATGCGCACATTAATCGCGAAAAACATACCAAGATACGTAGACTTCGTTGTTACGTATTTTTCCGGTGGGGCCGATCAAAAAATGATGTTGCTAATGTCTGCTACGTTTAAAACACCGACCTAATTGGGATATATCCGGGTCATTTGCCGAGAGGGGATTAGCGCTCGGCAATTAGACGACCAATCAGCGACTGGTACTAGATCCGACACCCATGCTTCAGCCTCTACTCGGCGAGAAGTGCAATTATTTAGGGATAGATTTGGGGGAACACCCGGTGCTGAGGCTCTCTCTCTCCTGCAACAAATGGCCTAGTATTGATGCCTTCTAGTTATCCGTTTTGCTTTTGATATAATCGGAGGCTCTAAGCTTGACTTGACTTTTATAAAACAAGTAGTATAATTGGATGGACGGCCAGTTCTCAAACTAAAACCACTATATACTACTCTAATACCATTTCACTGGGAATTACTGGCACTTGAATTCGGATTTCCCTGTGTGCGCCTGATTTTTTCCCCGTAGATGATCAAGATAAACACTGGGATAGTTACCGCGGCGCTAATCGCAGCGAAGATACTAAATCCTGCTGTGAATCCCAACTGATCTGCTGTTGGGAGTGCGTAGAAACCGACGTTGAATGCGAAAACTAGATACGAATGAGAATGAATTGGCCAAAGTATCGGAGGCTGGGGCCGGGTCTTAGCAACTTGAACTTACGTGATTTCAAAAGATTGATAACAACACTGACATCACTGGACTGGCTTGGATACGAGTCACAGCAATATGTATAAGTGACAGTTGTCGCGATTTGCGTTCCGAATCCCGAGACCGCCATGCAGACAGCAGCCTGGATCCATGGTTTTCTTTCTTCGATACAGTAACCAAATGTGGCAGTGCCAATTGCAGTAAGAAAAACCAAGGGTAATAGGTATAGGCGGGCCTCGGCCTTTCGATATCCACCGTGATATCTAGCATAAGTGTTGATGATGAGATCACTGACCCATCCCGCCGATAGCTCGCCAAGCACACAACCCACTGTGAGTGGTAGCCCAAGAAAAAGGCCGGTTTGTCCGAGATCGAAGTGGTAAACACTGGCAGAGATGAAAGATCCGGTGACTGCGAAAAGAGGACTGCCGTAAGAAAGATTTACCATGTACATTATACAAGGTAGCGTGACTGCTGCGTATTTCATCAGCCTTAGTGGCAGAAAGAAGTCTCTGAGTTGAATTCGACAATCAACGATTTTGCCAAAATAGAGCATCCTCTGCATCGCAGAACGCTTGGCCTCCCCATCCGGGTCGTCCGAGACGAGGGTTTCGGGAAGAGTGAAAATGGCCAACAGCAGCAAGCCACCTTCAATTATTGCCGAAATCCAATTGCACCATCTCCAGCCGTATGCTTGTGAAATGTAACCTCCAGCCAGTGGCGCAATGTGAGGACCGTTGGTTGTTGCCCAGGCAAATATGCCCATAGGTAATCCTCGCTGTCCTTGCGGGAAGAGATCGCAGATAGTTGCAGCTCCGATCCCCAGCGGAATACTGCATCCAATGGCGCTAATGACACGACCAGCAATGAGTCCTCCCCATGATGGTGAAACTGCAGCCACAATAAAGCCAACAATGGACAAAATGGTGAAAAGAAGATACAGAGGGCGTCGCCCGTAGACATTGGCGAAAGGTGCGATGAACAGAGGAAAAACGCCGGCGAAAAGCATATAAATGGTAATGGAGTACGATGCCTCCTCGACAGTAACATGGAGGTCTGACGCAATCGTGACAAATGATGGGTTGACCAGCGCTGAACCCATCTGGGCCATCAGCGTGAAAGTTGAGACCAGAGCCACAATGTAGTACTTTCGCCAGAGTGCCCAATCCAGAGGGGTATATTGATCAGCGGCGTCTTTTGGGGTGGAAGACAGGGCAGACTCCAGTTGCTCGACCGTAGCATCGGAACCGACACTTTCTATTTTCATTTCGGCGTCTTTCATATCGATAAAACTGTGTGTGATAAGGTTGAAGTTTGGTGAAAACACCGTGAATGACTTCAAGCCTAAGTCAAGTTGAGCTGTAAGAGTTGCGATTCAGTAGTATTTATAACGATATTTATTTTCAAATCAAAGTGGGTTTACAACTTGAGGGGATACCAATCAATGAGACTTGTTGGTAGATTGCGCAATCGAGCTTCCCAGACCCCGAACTCAATTTTCCGGGGTAATGACAATCCGGGGTATCAGTTGTCTGGGGTAAGATACAGCGGGACCTCCGCCCAGTGGGACATCGATCACGTAGGTTATTGTGTGGGACCGCCAAGGTGCTCTATTAAACTTTTTCCAGGCCAAGACTAGTAAGTACTACTAAGTGACACGGACATTCACCCCGAGAGAGTGCGGCCAGAGATTCGGAGAGGCTATTTCGGAAGTGAAGCATTCCTTTGGTCTGATTTCACTCCTGCAAAATCTCATCTATCGAATAGGATTATTTTACCGACAATTACTGTTGAAGAAGACTACATCGTAGAAGTAATCAGCCCCTCATACTCTGAAGGAGGATCGCGGTAAGATAGTTCTCGTTAGAGTTGCCCCCCCCCCAGGGCCTGTGATGATGATATATAATCTTTTATTCAATAACTCGAGCACTTTTCAAGTATTTGCTTCACCAATTGGTCATTAACAGGTATCTTCACCCCAACTTTACGACCCATTCGACTCCAAGAACCATTGATGAAATTGATCTCAGTCTCCCTCCTCGCCCTTAAATCCCATACCATGGAGCACGTGTTGACGGTGACTTCCAGAGTCTCCGCTGAAAATCCTTTTTCCAGACCAACAACATCCTTGAGTTCTGGAAGAGCCAAGACAATTTTTTTAAATTTCCCGGAGTATGGCTTGTCTCATTTCCGGCATCGTGAATAGAAACTCATTTGGTGAATCGTCGAGAGCGCAGAGTGGGTTGCAAAATGCATTGACTGAAAGTTTTTCAAGTTGGATTTGTAAAATATCTGTGTATGAGTATGATCTGGCGTTCAGTGTTGTCGATCTGGGAACGATATCAAGGAGATAATTCGATTGTGTCTCCAATATATTTGTGTCTGGGTCGCGAGGAACTGCACCTATTGAGGTTGCAGAGAATCCAGTATGTGTGATATCAAAAGATTTGTTGAGCGTCACACTGTGGGAAGTGACACCGATAAGATAGTTTGGACGAGATTTTGTATCTGGAAATAACTGATCATTGAGTGTTTCAATGACACCAGACCCATTCTGAAGGAACAGGATATTCGAGTCTCGATGCAAACGATGGGCAAGCGAACGAATGGCTGAGACAGTCTGTATTCCTTTGACACAGACGATGGGATTGTTGATTGGAGTTTGAGTGACTTTCCAATAATTCTTATTTGGAGAGGCTGTTGGTGGAGTGCTATACCAGTGGGAGTCGGAGAGCGTCTCGATCTCATATCCCCGCGAGCTTATTTTCTTCCCACCCCTTGACTCGAATTGTATGTGACTGCCTACCAATCGATACTCTCGCAGAAGCGACTTTCGGTATAGGAGGAGTGTCACGGTCGGGCCAGAGAGAATTTCGGAGATAGAATGTGCTGCAAATGTTCCGATGCTCCCAAGGCCGATTATATGGACGCGTGGCCGTAGGCCGGCGAGTGTGGAAGTAGTAGTGTACATTGGGTGAGATGAGAATGAAAGAAGTTTCTTCCCCAGTGACCTCGGGATGTGATTCCTCGTCACAAGGCGCCGTGCGTAGGTGTATGATGTAGTTATAAATACACCCATAGAAGGGACTATATGACAGCCGATGGGGCCAGGGCGCGAAGGCGCAAAGGCGTAAGGGCGTGTCCGCCAGCACGCCCTGTGGGGGTAGAGACTAACAACCTATCGCCACTCACCCCATCCCATGTCTCGTCAGGACCATCATCACACCGAGCCCCATAATTGTTAACGATGAGTTCGAATGAAAAACGGAAGCCAACTGGCTGGAATTTCTGTAGGAGGTGGTGGTTAATTTTGCTCAAAGGGCGTATATCAAGGATTCATTCCCTACCCCCTTTTTACTAATGACACACGAGGGAGTTTAGGAAGTCTGGTTCTTCACATAAAATCATAAAGCTCAGGGTACTTGTAACTTGACTTCTCCCTACCTTCTGCCCAGGTATATTTGTTTTGTTCTGTTAGGTATTCATATTCTACCCATCAACATCGATCAAAGTGGCTGGGACTTTTGAAGACACCAATGGATTCCTCCCTCTAGCATTTGAACGAATGGTCAATGCCAATGCGCGGTCGATAAGCAACTCTCTCGATGCGTCACGACTCAAATTAAACCTGACTCAAACCCCCAAAGTCGTCCCTGCAGCTGATTCGGAGGAATTTCACGCGCACAAAGTCTGCACGGATCATATGATAGTTGCTCGATGGACATCCCAACAGGGCTGGGCTGACCCAGAGATGGTCCCTTTTGCCCCAATCCCATTTTAACCCACTGCCAGCGTTCTGCATTACTCTAATTCGTGCTTCGAAGCAATGAAGGTGCATTGTGGGGTTGATGGGAAGCTCCGCCTCTTCCGACCTGAATATGACTGTGTACGAATGCTGGCTTCCGCCAGGTACATCTGCCTCCCTGAATTCGATCCCAAGGAATTATTGAATCACATCAGAAAGCTGTGCGAGATTGACTGTCTCTAAATGGCTTCCGATATCCCGTCACGGTGAGTCTTTATACATTCGCCCGACTTTGATCGGACCCGATGTAAGTCTAGGATTCTACGTCCCCAATGAGGCATTGTTGGTTATACTTCTGTTATACTGGTCAGCCCCTACCGGCCGATCGAAGGGCCTCCGTCTACTCTACAGTGGCGAGGACGCAGTCCGCTCATGGCCGGGTGGAACGGGATCTACTAAAGTAAGCAGTAACTACGCCCCTTTATTGCTTGTGCAAGGGGAAGCTAAAAGACGTAGCTATAATCAGGTTCTATGGCTATTTGGGCCGGAGGGATACATTACAGAGGCCGGCTCAGCTAACTTCTTTATCATTTGGCGAACTCCTCAGGGAAAGCTGCAGCTTGTGACTGCCCCTTTGAGTAATCATCTTATTCTTGCTGGTGTGACATCCCAGAGTGTTTTGGATCTTGTAAGGGAAAGACTGGGTGACAAAACATATTCTAGCTCTGGATGCGACGCGTTGGAGGTGGTTGAAAAGAACTTCACGGTTTTTGATCTTATCGAGGCATCCAAAAGTGGAAGTCTAGTTGGCTCGTTTGTCGCCGGTACAGCATACCTCATACAGCCAGTCGTTCATATTCAGCATGGTGACATTGAGATCTCAATTTCTCAGGGGGAAGGCCCTCATCTTTCTATGATACGCAAGGATGAAGGATGTTATGTTTGGTCGCGGGGACAATGTCTGGACAGATGAGGTTGCCGAGGACGCGGAGTAAATACCAGTGGACAACTGAACAGAAGACTGGAGTTTTTCAAGTTGGCGTACTAGTATATATCGAAAGCAAGCCAAAATCCAAGCTGTATTGATCATATCTCGGGATGCGAAATGCCTGTCAGGTCTCCAAAATTTGCAGTTCCAGGACTTTTCGAGCTTTCATACTGAGGGCTATGCTCCTCCCTAAAAGAAACTATCCAGTCCGAATTGTCTGCTATGGTTTGGCTCCATGAATCCTCAGAGTCATAAAGAAGGCGCCTCGCTTGATACTGGAACATTTCATCCGTAGGAACAATACCACGACTCATTTGCTGCCTCGCGTACCGACCGAGGTGCTTAGTCAAAACTTCTGTGAAAGTACCCAAAGCCCTTTCCTCTGTGGCCTGGAGTTGCTGAAATGAAGACGCCAATTGAGTTCCCTCGTCTTGAAAACCACTTGCACGTCCCGAGATTTGGGTGAAATTATCTCTGACGCTAGGACTTGTTGCCGAAAACGGCACCACTGTATTAGATTCCGAAGCAATAATATACGGAGGGAGAGAGTTGGTAACCATTTGGGCTATGGGTGGTGGAAAATCATGTTCCCCTCTCCTTTTATCAATCGTGAGACCATCTCGAAAGTGTGCAGCTAAATGCAGGGCTCTTTCGTTCCAACTACCTAGGCGACAGTCGCAGAAGCCACAGCACGAAGTAGCCACTAACTCGGGTGCTTTCCATGTTTCAATGAGAGGTAATATATCAAGACGAAGGACAAGACGTAGATGCTGCACGAGGTGATCCTTTCGTTGGAATGTGCGAGAACAGTGCGTATAGTTATGCTGCGCAAAAAGCTCGGTAGTTGGATCCAGGCAAGAGCAGAAGGCACAATGCCTCCTTCCAGTTATTGGAGAGACAGGCGCGCCTCCATTAGGAGCACACATCCATCCCCCCAAGTTCAAATGTAAAGTTTTCTCGTGTCGTGACCAGTCATGCTTCGTTTTGAATTTATCGCAGCAAAATGTGCAGGAGAGATAGGAATACATACGCAACTCCCGGAAGAAATCCAAATACAGACTAGTGCATCTTGGCGCAAGGGGCAGTAAAGTTTATCGGAGAATGAAGCTGTTGCACCGGTTTCGCGACGTACTGTACAGGGCGCGCGAGAGATTTGTGGGGCGATCGAATACAGTGTGGTGTCTGTAGCGGATTTCGCTGTTGATCGGGATACTACATTAGTCATTATCACGTGCTCCTGGTGTCGTTCGTCCCAGCCAATAAGATTATGTTCCGGATTATCTCCTTGTTAGGCTACAGTCAAACCATGTAGCAACATTCAGAAATTAGTATCATCATCGAAGAAATTTGAATATAATGAACATAATGCTTATCTCCCAGTTGAGATCCTAGCGAATTTATGTCAGGAGCTTCGTCCTATTATCAGTATCAACGAAATGAATTTCGAAGGCCTGGAATGTAGTACTTGAATTAGAATTTATTTACAATCTACAGTACCTGGGTCACGGTGGTGGTAATGAAACCACTGGCACAAAAACGACGAAAAATTTCCAAGGTTGAGAAAGTAAAAAACTTTCAAGTTCAAGTTTGACTTGTGTGACAGTTTGGATCCATCCTTCTACTAACTCAGAGAACCTTGGAAATTGAACCTTGGAAATTCGAAATTTTCAAATTAAACTTGAAATTCAAAGTCTTCACAGATAATTACTAGTATGCTATAAATGGGGTGTGTTCAATGCCATCAAGCAGATCGATCCAGAAATGAGACCTGCGCAAGGAAGGGTCAGAACCCAGCCACCGAAAATGAAAGCTAGCTGTCTCCAATTGACAGCTCCAAGATCATAATTCATTAAAGCCACACCCATCGCGGCACCAGTGAGGCATTGGGTAGTTGAAACAGGGAGACCGAGTCTTGAAGCCAGTAGTACAGTGATAGCCGCACCGAGTTCAACACTGAAACCACGAGTCGGGGACATCTGGGTGATTTTGTTACCAAGCGCGCGGACAATGTTGTACCCATAGAACCAGAACCCGAGACCCAGAAGTAATCCAGCTACGACGAGAAACCAGACTGGTGTCGGGGCTTCGGTTTCCACAACACCTGCGTGGTAGGTGCTGTATACGGCAGCCCAGGGTCCAACAGCGTTAGCGACATCATTCGAACCGTGTGCAATTGACATCATCATGGCTGACACGACTTGGCAATATGTCCATAGATGCTCTACCCGATCGTCGTATCGATGCGCCCGGGCGTGGATGGCGCGTAGTTCAGGAGAGTCGTGAGTGACAACGTCCCTTGTCACTCCCTGCAGAAGCAGCCACTTGGTATAACCCCAGTACCTTTTGGGATCGGTCCAAGAGAGGTTCTCAATCGGGTCAAGATACCTTTCTTTCGGCTCAAGGTGTTTCTTGCGCGGCTTCTTTGCTGGAGTAGGTGTGGAATCCAACTTCTTCTCTTCGTCGTCATCGGGCCGCTCGGTTTGTTGTTTTGGTGCAATTTCAGGCGAAGGAAGCACAGAATCCGCATTTGTAGTAGTTTGGTTCTTTGCCATGTCTTTCTGTCCTGCTCGCACCTCGCCATAAGCGTCTTCGTAATAGCTGGTAACTGCTGATTCCCTAGTACTGGGGAAATAGAGAGGCGGATCTTCTCTCAAAAGCAGGGGTCCGAGAGGAACATGGTAGAATCTGATTTGGGGATCATTTTTAACGATCCGGCGATGGAAATATGGGACGAAGAAGACATAAGCGACGAGAAGACAGCCAAAGAAGACGCCGAGGATGATTCCAGCCGCCTTGCCGGCTCCGAATTCTTCCAGAGAAGGTGCAGTTGGGGCCTCGACGACAATGAAAAGAGCCAAGATGGCACCAGTCATAGCCAGGTAGAATGGTATGAGACGCATGGCCCATTTGAACGAATCGTGTCGCTCAAGTACCGCATACTTGAGGGTTCCAAAAATAAGCGCGGAGAATGCAGCAGCGATAAGTGGAGCAATGCCCCATGATGCAGCCACTTGAGATACACTTCCTTTTTCCCAAGCCCAGCTGATTGAAGCCTGAGATGCGAAACCGACACCGATGAGGGCACCGACGATGGTCTGGGTCGTTGACACGGGGAAGCCAACAATTGTGGAAAACATCAACCATGAGGCACTGCCAATCTCGGCGCAGCCCATGGCCAGCATGAGACCACCTGGTTTGCCCTCGAATCTATTAACGTCGATGATTCCATTTTTAATTGTATCTGTGACTCTGGCACCCATTGCCACGGCACCAATGAATTCCGTGATGATGGCCAGGACACCTGCTGTGGCCATGTGTAGGGTCCGAGCTGCGATCGAAGTGGCGTAAGCGTTGGCGACATCATTTGCTCCATTTCCGAAGGCACTGAACACAAAGGCGATTGTGGTAAGGGCAAGAATCCAATCGTACTTGGCGGTAGCTGCCGGCACCATGTCTGCGGCTTCCTCGCAAGCGGGAGGAAAAAACGATGAGAATTTGAAATGTTTGTGATAAGTGAACCAGAGGAAAATATATGCAGTCGACAGGACATGTTTTATAGGACTCTGTTAGCCCACATGCATCGCCAAGGCTCAATAAGAGCGAAGGTCCACGGGCACTTGGCTCGAGGTCCGCCGAGTGGAAATTCAGCTCGCCAATATATGAGTTTCGGCCTATGACAATGGCATGACAAGCAAGGTGCAACGCGAAGTTCACAACTACTGGTCCGACTCATTCGCCATCATACGAACATTCACTACCGGTAGGAGGAAGATGTTGTCGCCGAGAAGATGCCAAGGGCGGACTGAGCTCATCACTTGGCGACGAGCAGATATGAAATGGGGCTCCGCAGCCTATAATATTTTACTGAAGAACACGTTTTCTACTGGGCAAATGTGATTGAATGAGAATTCGATAATATTATCTGTTGCTGCTCGGCGCCGAGGTCTTGGGGGTCTTGGTCCGCTGGGCGGACGTCTCGGCGGAAAGTGGATAGATAGCACTGCCCCAAATGTCCGCCGTTCCAGAACCAGATAGAACGACAATGATTCTGGTCCTAACCATTGTTACCAGCATGTAATGGATTATCTTCATATCAGAGAATACTTTGAATTGAAATTCATCTAGAGTGGCAAACTAACCGAATCAACCACGATACTTTAGATGCAAATTCATCGACTCGGGATGGTAAGGCATCAATTCTAAGAAATATCAGTTCATCTCCGATAATAGAGTGCTGATATTCAAATTTGATAGCAGGTCCGTAAATCCCATTCAATCCGTCGAATTGACCAGACTGATCTATTTTTAAGAAACCTCCTCTTAGACATCACATCAAGCTCGATCAACACCTGGGCACCCTTTAATGGATATCCTTCGATAGCATCATTAGCATTCCAAGGTTCCAGTGGCCAGGTGCAAGCTGCATATACTCTCATATCAAGGTTGTCATACCTAGTTTACCCTTTGAATCTATCATAATGATAGTATCAAATTTTGAAATGTTGAGATATTGATGCCTGAGGCGCCAAGATCGACATGCCGTAAAATCAGTCTGTCTCGAGGTAGCTTCGCTCTCTATCCTCTGCTCTCTCTGGTACAATCACCACTTCAAGTTCATACCATATCTGCCTTTCCGTCAAAACTAGAAGGATCAGTTGGATGCCGACTGCGACCGCATTGGCTGAATCATGTCTCCGACTCAGAGTACGGATACCGATAGATGACGTATTATACACATATCGCGCATTTTATTGAGTTCCAAAGCTACGTCAGTCTTAGCCAACCCCGACTACTAATATATTCAGATGATCATTCTGTCAATGTTTTCTAAAGTCCTGGAGCAATTGCTTGCCTGAAAACGTGAAAATGCCAGCTGCAATCGTCACAGGTGCCACCGGTACGAAAATCAAAGACGGTACAACACTGACCGAAGCTCGCGGGCTGATGAATGCCTAGGTATTACCGGAAGTGAGATTGTGAGACATCTCATCAAGGACCCTTCGTACACGAAAATCTACAGTCTTTCCCGAAGCAATGCAGGGCTCGACCACCCAAAGGTTCAACATGTTCATCTCGACCTCCAAGGAAATTCAGACCACATGGCGAAAGACCTCGCGGGAGTTTCTGCCGAACACATCTTCTTTTGCGCATACCTACCAAACGACGATCCCGGCGAGACTGATCGGATCAATGCGGCCATGCTATCCAGCTTCTTGTCGGCCTTGACCAAAATGGGTGAAGACAAGCACATCAAGCGCTTCGTTCTCACTTGCGGATTCAAACAATATGGCGTCCATCTTGGACGTGTCAAGCAGCCATCACTTGAAAGCGACCCGCTTTTATTGGATAGCGCAGGGGGCGTCTCTTGGCCGCCAATCTTCTACTACACGCAACAGCAGATCCTTGCAAAGGCAGCAAAAGCGGGCAACTGGGAATGGGTATGTACACTCCCTGAAGATGTGCTAGGATTTGCAAAAGGAAACTTTATGAATGAAGCCACTGCCATCGGCCTTTACTGTGTGGTTTGCAAAGCTTCGCCAGGTTCCGAGCTACCCTTCCCCGGAAACAAAGATAATTACCTCACATTCAACACTTGGACATCTGCCAATCTTCATGCACAGTTTTGCCTGTGGGCTGCTAAAGCTGCGGGCGCTGGAAATGAAATTTTCAATGTGACGAACGGAGATTCGGAATCGTTCCAAAATTTGTGGCCCAAGCTAGCCGAGCGATTCGGTTGCAAGATCCCCGATCAAATGTTTTCAAACAGTGGCTTCAAAGACTATGAGTCATCAACTATACAATTGAAGAATACACAGCATCCCTTGATTCTTCATGCCAAGAACATGGGCCTCGCAAAGGATCCGATAGCGACGGATGCACCAACTCTACGTTTACAGATTGATCCAGAGAAATGGGCCAAACGTTCCGATGTGAATGAAATCTGGGCAAGATTACGGAAGCAGTATGGCCTTGACCAAATGGCCTGGGAGAAGGCCACATGGGACTTCCTCACTTTTGTGCTTGGGCGAGATTGGAATTGTATCGGCAGCATGAGCAAGGCCAGAAAGTTAGGCTGGACTGGATATGCAGATACTTGGGATGAGCTGGTTGATACATTCGAGCGGCTCGAAGAAGCCGGTATTTTACCTCCACTCCAGCAGCTGAAACACGATTACTAGGGTTTGAAGGCCATCGAATAATTCAGTTAAAAGCAATGTGACTCAGAAACCAACCGAATTCCAGTGGATGAGATTGTTTTTTCTTGTTAGTTACATTTTAAATAAAAGCTTTATTCAAATTATAAGATTCTTACCTTCCAACCCTTGGAAGCAAAACGAGCCTCGTAAGGTTTGAATCTCTCAGCGATAAAACATCTGACTGCAGCTAATTAACCGGCCGTACATTCCCCAAGAGTAGATTCGAAGTCATTTTAAGTAGATTGTGCGATAACGTAGCCTACCACTATCAGGTTTTGACCCTCCTTTTGCCAGGGTCTGACATTCTCTCAAGGTTCTAATATCTCGATTCTCCCACCTTCCTTGACTTGAATCATCTTAGGTTCGGAAAGTAGCACAAAGATGTTACTCCGAACCCCATTAGATAAATAATGTACGTTCTCCGTCGCCGAAATTTCCTACTTCCATCTGCTCATTTTAAAAGTCTCTATTCAAGATCATATCTGAGTGCACCTAGTGCTATCTCAAAATGAAGGATTCTTTCAGTTCGATCAGGAAGACCTCAAGCGAGGCCCGTGAGGCTCCCGAGACGCATACAGGAGCCCCGGGGACTACACCAATCAAGGTTCAGACTATGTCAGCATGGCAGTCAGCAAAGGAAAATCCCAGAGTTGTTCTATTTAGCCTAGGTGCTTGTGTCAACTCGGCTCTTTGGGGCTTTGACATTGGTATGCTAAGCTTGTTCGTGGCCTGAACTTTACAGATTACTTATCCAACTCTCTAGCCATAAATGCAGTCATAATGGCAATGCCAGGTTTTAAAATGGAATTTGGATACGAGTATAATGGCGAGTTTCTCATTCCTGCTACCTGGAACGCTCTATGGTCTGCTATGACTTTTCTCGGGATGAGCTTGGGTATAAATCAGTTCCTGTCCCAGAAAGCAAGATCGGCTACGAATATTGATCATCCCTTTAGGAAGTCTGTTATGTGGCTGGTTTTCTGACAGAGCTGGGCGACGGTCAGGGTTTATTCTTGGCTGCCTCTTATCTATCCTCGGTATAGGTCTACAGTACGCAGCTTCCCAACACGGGATGCTCCTAGCTGGAAAAATGGTAAGCTTTGTTCTTACCCCAGCTAAAAGTCTGTGTTGCATTTTCTTGCCCTTGGAGACTTGATTCTGGGTGATCAAGAAGCAAACTAAAAAACCAGGTTAATGGACTCGCTTTGGGATTTTTCCTAGCACTCGCTTCTACTTATACCTCCGAAATCTCACCCTTGCCTCTACGACCTGTTCTTACCGCCGCGATCAACTTTTTCATGAACAGCGGGCAGTTAGCTGCAATGGCGATTGGGAGTACGAGGATCGGCATCCTCACTCCAGATTCGTACAAAATTGCCTTCGCCGCTCAATGGGCTTTCCCTTGCGCGATACTCCTTTTCGCTCTGATTCTTCCCGAAAGCCCCTGGTATCTAATACGGAAGAACAAATACAAAGCAGCCGAGGCAAATATTCAAAAGCTATACGCTAAGTCCCCGGCCATGACGAAGGGATATATGGAATTTCTCAAAGGAACAATTGAGCAAGAGCGTCAACTACGATCTACTGAGAATGCACCCGGATATTCTAGTTGTTTTAAAAGCACCGACTTTCGAAGAACTCGTATTGCTTGTGGGATGTTTTTGGTTCAACAGTTTGCAGGAATAGCACTCTATTCCCAATCCCTCTATTTCTTGGGAATTTGTGGACTCGATGTTCAGCTCACGTTTAAGCTGGCAGTAGCTAGCTTTGGAGTTGCTCTACTCGGTAATATGCTATCATGGATTCTTATGTCTTACATCGGTATGTCACATTTCCTTCATCGCTTATCTTCCTAAAAGTCCATTGTTAACACGATTTCCATGACAGGGAGACGCCGACTTTTACTCGTTGGGACAGTACTAAATAGCGCTCTTCTGCTGAGCACCGGAGTGGCAGGATGTTTCGAAACACGCGTATCCTTACTTTTCATGGCGTATACTATGAATTTCGCCATAGGTCTACACGCCCCAACAATCGGTGCAGTCTGTTGGAGCATGTGTTCTGAAATAAGCTCCTTAGAGCTTAGATCTCATACCCAAGGATTAGCCATGGTAACAAACGCCGTTGTGAGCTGGTCCTTGAGCTTTTCCACCCCTTACCTCATCAATACTGATCAAGGTGAGCGATTTTATTTTGGCTAGATGCTGCATGACTCGCACTTAGAAGAATGCCTGTTGACAAGCGTATATCATTTACTAGCTAATCTTGGCGGCAAGGCAGCTTTTGTGTGGCTTGGTCTTTGCTTGCTGAGCTTCATTTGGATATGGTTGGAAGTGCCCGAAACAAAGGGGAAATCTGCGGAGGAGCTTGACAGACTATTTTCGGAGAAAAGGCCCGCGTGGAGATTTCAGTAGCGGTTACGTGTCAATTCATGATCCTTTCATATCCAGATGAAATGCCAAATTGCAAGAGCCCTCACACAAAGATAATTGTCATATAACTTCTCGTTGAGGGCATATGCCTCAGGCATCACAGCCGCCCTCAACCGGAAACCATCGGCCATCTCATTTCTTGGCACTTTTGGTTTGGAAGAATCACCGAGAGACATACGCCAGTTTTAGTAGCGTGTGGTGGTTACCAAAATGCAAGTATCATAATGAGAAGGTCTCGATTTCCGTTCACTGTGGCATAGAGTGACTGTGGCATAAAGTGAAGAAGATGATGCACTAATGATGAGTGGCTCTATCCGATTTCCCGATTCGGACTCGGCAGCACCATCATCATACACACTTCTTTTCCGCGACTAATAGTAAAGATCGGAGCCTAAAATGAAGGCGGATGTCAATTTTCGTCGTTCCTGACATATTAGTGCTAATAATACATCTTCACTGCACGCGCCTTCAGATCTTACAAATATCTCATCAAGGAAATAGTAGTTTCTAAGGTTAAACTATACCATATTTGGCCATATCTCTCATCTTCAAGCAACTTCGGGTTCGAGTCCGCTGGTAGTGGTCTCTGAGAAAACTTGAACTGAAACTTCAAGACCACGGAGGTGGGCAAGCTCGCACCGATGTCATCACACGCCCGCCCATCTACACCCCAGCGAGACCCACACTCCAAGGACTGCCCCCGGAAATAGTGGACATAATTTTTGGGTGCCTCTCAGCAGCCGACAGATTACGCTTCAAGGAAACATGCACGCGCTTCTCCGTGAGATACATCTCCCCATTACTCTATCCGAAACAAATCCGACAAGGATCTCCGCCTCGGAGTCTGCGTTCACCAGAACTGCTTCAAAAAAGCCCAGCCGTTGATCATGGTCGAAAAACAAAATCTCCAAAAAAGACTGCCAGCGATGACTCGGAGATCACAGCAGGAGATCAGAGGAACCGTGGCAAAATTCGTTTTCGATTGAATCATCTCTACCAGAACCTGCGTGTTGCTTGCTTGAAGCTTCGCCCTCAGAAACATCGTCGACTACCTGATACTAGTACTATTAGTACTGCTAGCCCGCCAAAGGTACATAGAGCTAGCCCGCCGAAAGTACATAGACGAGAGAGAAAAAAGCGTACGAGAACAGAGAAGCCCAAGGCGCCGAAACTAAAACCGAAGCCGAAACCTGCCCCCAGCGCTGAGCAACCTCGACCGGTTCCAACTTCAAGCTTTACATCAAGGCCAACAACCTGCAGGCATAGATGCTCACCAGATTATGGCGCGACGATATTCGATGACTCAGCGATTATGCTAAACCCGATGGCCACGTTTAACCCGGCGTTTATGTTTTAGGTGACGACTGGGAAGAGATACCAACTGACTTGCTCACAGGCACTCGCTGCCTTCCCACAACCTTAGAGAATCTCCCCGAGTCCAGGCCTCCTGGGTTCGAGTTCCAAGGCTTTCAAGATGGCTCGTGTATCTATTACGTACCTATAGAGACATATAGGGTGGGATGGTGCTTTCAAGTTGTCGCTAGTAGCTTCCAAGAAGATCAAACGAGCAAATGTCGCTCCAAAAAAACTACGATCTTGCAAACCAATTGAAATCTTGAATACAAGGCAGTAGAGTAATAATTTCCTAGACATTAAACGCCTCCTCTCCCTTCCGAGAAACCAGGACAGGCCTATCATGATCGAAAAGACCCAGCCGGGGGCCCAAGTAATACAAGGGCACGAGTTACTAGTAATAGATGAAAATCCGAACACCGCCGTGCGAGAAATGAGAGAGAAAGTAGAAAAAGAGAAAAACGCGTGATAGAAATTGAACTCGATAGAAACCGTAGACCCATGCAACAGTAAAAGAAAGATAACACCTCGCAAATGCTAATAGTAATTGTGGGACAGGGAGAAGGGACCATGAATTATTCCGGGTGTGGGGGAAACAGATCACTGAGTGAGTGAGTGAGGAAGAAGGACTACTCATCTCATTCCCGGAGCCAGCTGGCTAGCCGGAACTTCTCAGCAACTCGACTCGATCCCACCCGGCGCCACCCTATGAAGATAAGAAATAAATCATGCAAGAAGCCACCCGGAGCGACAATCGAGATAAACGTGGGCAATAAAGATGTGGCTCAACGCCGTGAGCGATGATGAGGAGAGGAAGAAAAGTGACAGAGAAGGAGGAAGGGTGTGTAGGTAGAGGATTTTTCTATGCAGGGATTCGTGCATCGTGTAAATTCGTCGAACTGGAGACGCTTTTTGAAAGATCGATGTGTATCTACCTCTGTTCATCCGACTCGGCCACCGCAACGGCGACCGCGACTGCTGCGCCGAGGATGGCGCTCTCGTGCGCGGCCTCGAGACGAATCGGGGAGGAGGTGGATGGGTGGCTTTGTTTGGCGAGTTGGTCGAGGTAGTTCTGGCACGTGTCGCGGAAGCCGGGGTACTTGTTGATGACAGTGCCGTCGCAGGCGATGGTCATTGTCTTGTCTGCATCGTCGCTCTCGACGACAGTGATTTCGGGAGATTCTTTGGCGAGAGGATCAGTCTTGGTGCTGTTGGGATACTCGACCTCGTTGCTGAGACACCACATGCTGTGAATGGCAGTTGCGAGGTATCCGGCTGAGCGGCGCGAGACATTTTGACAGATGCGTCGGACGAAGCGGAGGTCGTCGACAGATGGGTAGCTAGGGAAAGTGTGTTCCTTTTGAAGGAGAGCGGCGGAGGCAGCCATGGAGACGGAGGAGTCTTCCTCGATGAATGCGACAATGCTGGTGTCGAAGGAATAGGGCTCGCGCATGGAGTGGGGGAGCTCGCCGCCGAACAGAGCAGCGGTATTGACGGCCTCGGCGATGATCAGACGCACGATCTCTCCGAGATAGCGACCAGTAATCATGTATTCCAAGGGTTGGTAGTCGGGACGCAGATGAGTGCGATTGAGGACATCGTCCCAACGGGTCATGGGAAGGACGCCACCTCCAAACATGCTCATTTCGGTGTTAATGATAACGTGCTTCGCATAGTCGAACCAACCCTCGGGGCGGGTGCCAAATTTGTCCTTGCCGATCTCGTGGACGGGGAAATGGATCGCCATGTTGGTACCAGTACCCAGGATGAGAGACATGCGAGTCTTGGGGTCAACGTAGGCGCGCGAGAGGAGGGCAGCGGAGCTATCGTTCACAATGGCGGCCATTTCAACATTCAAATCGCGCTTGCGGCAGGATTCTGTCAATAATTGACCGAGATCCATACCCTCCGTTCCATCGGAGCAACGGAATCCCTTGCCCATTTGAATGACCTTTCCACTGCGGACGGACGTCTGATCGATGGGGAAGGACCAGGACAATCCAATGGATAAAGGCGCCTCGCCACGTCCGTAATCAGCACCAACTTCTTTCAGTACAGTGTCGATATTATTGGCCATCCAGTCAAAGAACTTGGTTCCCTCCAGCAATTTTACAGTATTATCAATGTATGAAGAGTTGACCTTGACAATGCGCATTTCCTTATCGGGACCCGACAATTCAATCAACGCAACCCGGAATGTTGATCCTCCAACGTCCAGCGCCAGGTACATTCCCGTTTCCAAACCGGTGGGTAGGGCGTGTGTGTATGAGGGGAGCATGCAGTATGGGCTGTTCTGGAGACAATCACGAAACTGGCTGCGGATCATCTTCGACATGTCAATCATCTTATCGGTGGAGAGCGGTGCTGAGAAGAGGTTCTCGACCTCAATGGCGAAATCGTCGAGGGTACGGCGACGCCAGTGAGCGCCAAGGAAGGGCTTCTTGCGACGAGGCGAAAAGCCGCGGAAGAGGGAGGGGAAGAGGATCATTGTTTCGAGTGCAGACACCACGTTCTGGAAGAGCTCCTGCAGGCGATGCAAGACTTTGACCAGCGGGGCCGCCATGGTGGAAAGTGTAAGGGAGGGGGTCGTAGGTTGGAGGTTGTTGAGGGTGAGCAAGGCTGAGGCTGAGTGAGGCAAGTCGAGAGGCGAAGTGAGCTCGGGACCGAAGGGAGGGTGGTGGGATTAAGATATTCCCAGTGGAGGGATCGTAGTTGGAACTGGTGGTGATTGAGTTCACAGCAGCAAAGGACTGCAAGAATGGAGGTGGGAGGGAATCATGGGCGTCAAGGCAGGTCAAGTCTTGATTTTCAGGATAATCGCGGGATGGAAGTTATAGGGAGCAAGGACAAGGTGACACTCCCACGGAGTAGCGTAGGTGGATCGGAACAGTGGGAGTGTAGAAGAGAGTCGCAGAGAGAGAAAGAGAAAGACGAGATCCCCACCAAAGAAGGGACGAAGCATGGATCAACATTGGCCCATTCTTGGAGTGTCACCGGAGTGCAACTTGAAGTCGGTGGATTACCGTATTGTATGGTACAGATGTGTACCGTAGGGTGCCACTGTAGAGGACGATGGAAGGAGTGGTATCAAGTACCTGGTATTGTGATTACCATGAGTACATTATTAAATGACTTCTCGATCAGTTATCAGATCGATCCTACGGAGTATTCTATTCTTCCCCTCTTTTGATTCTGCCTGAATATGATTATTGCTTTTTCAAATCCCCCATGATCCATACAATACACCATACCTCGCCAGGGACGGTATCCAGTGGTATGCACATACTCGATGACCCCCTTGAGTGCAACGGTGGTAGTCGGCCCCAACTGGTCGGGACGGTTACACTCATGTGGAACCCCCCCCTAACTACAAAACTGTATGGGTCCCCGATTGTACAAAGACTGTACAGTAGTGTAGACTATTGGAGTCAGTAGCTATTAGTTATACCTTGTTTTGCTGTCAAGTAGTATCTCCATCCCATATTTCATACTCTGAAACATCCCTCCGGCCATCGTCCCCTTTTAGGATCTGATGGTCGATGCAGTTGCATGTAACCACACTTCAATCCAATGCCAGACACTATAGTGTCCTTCTTTGCAGCAACATCACCAAGTGATCCCATTCATACCTATACTCCACACTCTGCCGACAATCTCGATGCCTATAGTTGTGGACATAGAGCTGCCAAGGTGTATCCCTTGAAGCCAGGTACTGCCAACCGGTGCATTTGACTTTCTTCAAGAATGCTCCACAACAACATGACATCAACCCCGTCAAAACGGCACATCACATCATCATAATCATAACCATCGCCTTCGGAGTCGTAGCCCGGTCATCGTAGCAGCCAGTCCAAGCCAGAGGCCATGGGACCGAAACTCTTTTGTTCCAATGCCAATGGATTGGCGATCCACATCCATCACAACGGCACCTAGGACAACTCTCGGCGACCACGTCCATCTTCGCCCGAACATCCGATGTTGCTGTGGCACGCGCCATGGCGTGGCAGTGCAGGGCATGGCCAGCTATGCCGCGACCCGCCCTGCCATGCCTTCTGTCCGACTCCGAATTCGCCGCCACGAGGATGAAGCCGATCGCCACGGATAAGCCCGGTGCGAGCGCGACAGGGGTGGAAACCCTCTGCAGGCAAAGTTACATCTTCACATACGGCCCAGTCAATAGGCTGTTCTTCACGACCTGATCTGATCTGATCCGATCCGACCGGCCCCCGTAAATGGTCGGCTGTCACAGGGAAGCACGGACTGGGGGTAAGGGGTAGGGGTAGGGGTAGGGTTGAGTGCGATGTACTGAGTAAACGTGGTGGACTTGACGGGAGACGGCGCATCGCATGGCACTCAGGGTCTTTGAGTAATTGTCAGTCTTGATGTATGTTGCCGTCAATGCGAGCCAGATACGAGAGAATTATTGCTGGGCCGAGAGTGATTCGATTCCGCGTGTCTTACCCCACGGGGTGATCTGCGGGGAGAGCGAGTCCGAGTCAGGTCAAGGCAGCGATAATGATTATCGCTGCCCATGCTCGTCTCCCATAGGTTGAAATCGACTGTAAGATTTAGTAGAGTCGACTAATGAGTGTCTGGAATGGTTTCCCTGTCTTGAGACGCTCTGTTCTCGTGGTCTGTGTTTCCTGGGAAAGATTAGCCAATGTCAGAGCCCAGTAATGGCCTTGGAGGTTGATAGTTCTGGCGATCTTCCTCGTGCCGAAAGTGAGGGGATGTATAGGGTCAACACAGGGCAAGCCAAACTGGTTTTCTTCGATACTCTTGGCCTAGCGATATGGGATATTTGATCGCGAGGGCGTCGCCCGGGTGGTGGGTGATTTGGCTAGTAAGGAGAGGATGGAAGTTGGCGAGATATTAGGCCCTGGCAGGGTACAGCTGGTAGGGGTGGGCACGCGCATAATAGGGAATTATCGATCACGAGTTGTCTTCTTTGGGCTTGTTGATTGCGGGGGCTGTTGGCCAACCCGCAGCTACCCCCAAGAGCCCCTGTCACCACCCGTGGACCTCACTGCGGAATACAACGAGAGCGCAACAACTACCCTAGGGTATATCAGAATCTGCGAGCTTGCTTCAGCAGCCAGTCTCAACGACCATACCATCATCTGTTGGGACAGCCTTGTCCGTCCTTGGAAGAGAGCTGTCCAATGATTTACCCACCATCGAAGTTGCGGCTCACAGCATCACCAAGCGAACTCAACTCCGTCCAAAACAAAACCCTCCAGCTACTAGAAAAATGGACACGATCAAAGAAATGGGAGATGCGCCGTTCTCGTTGACAGAAGAGACACTCCGCTCCCTATCCGACGCCACGCAATGAACTACATCTCGACCCAAACCAACCTGCCCGTGGCGATCCTCACCTGGTCCCTGACAGCTTGAACACCCAATGAGCGCTCAGATTTCGACCATCAGCCTGAGCGTCCTGATTTTGTCGCGATCAGTCCAGACTTCTACGGCAATGTGATTCGTATTCTCGTTTACCCGGTCCTGTCCTCACTTGCATGTACACCAGCACTCTATCAACAGGATCAAAACACCTCATCCATATCCATACGCACCCTACGCGCCAACGACGGCGACTCAGCTGACGTCTCACAACGACCATCTACTCGACCTTCGACGAGATCGTCCAGCTACAGCCCGGCCCCTCTATGTCGGCATTGCGCCGCGACGCGCGTGGCGTCGGCGTCGGCGTCACAGCCGCACATCTTCAGAGCGTTCGTGCGGGTCAGGTCGCTGGCGGGGTCTACGCATGAGGGGTGCTGTATAATCCTTGCGTGGGCGTTGGCCCTGGACGCCATTGCGCACGGCGGGCCCGCGAGCTTGGATCGGATCGATCGCGAGTACGTTGGTGGGCTGGTGGCGGCGGAGCTGGATTTGACGGATCTGCTAGACAGAACTTGGTGGTTGTTGCTGCTGCTGCTGCTGCTGCGCACTTGTTGAATAAGCCCCCGCCACATACGACAGCGGAGCCGCCTATGGGCTACGCGTCGTCTTGAAGTGTTTGTTTTTGGGCGGATGTGGCCGGTGGTACGCGTCCTGGGGCTCTGTTATTTTTCATTTATTTATCTTCTTTTTTTTCTTCGGGTCGCCATCATTTTAGCGAGTACGGAGTACAAAGTATAGAGGCCTGTTGATTTTTGTCGTCTTTATTTTGTGTTGCGTGGGTTCTCCTTTTTCTCCAAGGTGTTCTCCTGAGCCACGGAAGTAGTACTGTTGTGGAGGCCAACCTTAATGGGAACTACCCAGCACTCAACGTGGATACATCGCTTCTTTTCATTCTATTCTTTACTTCTATAATCTTCTATTACCCCAGTCTCCTCATTGAACCCCCGAATCACACCATTTTCTTAGACATATGCTTAACTGTGATAGCCTCATGGCGAAAACTCTTAGCTCCGAGTTGGTAGAAATTGCAATGCCGTGTTGTGCTCCACCGGACTAGTTTTTTACCGTTTAAACATGGCTAATGCCGACGCTAGAAAAGCGGAGAGCCCATTCCACTGAAATTGAATTGTGTACAGAGATCATGTCAGGTGAAGTCTCTGAAGAAGGAATGGGAGACGATCGTCATTTCTGCCGCAGTGGATCTCTCCTGGAAGGATCTTATCATATTTTACTCCGTGCAGATGTATAATGGTGCAAAAGCATTTAATTGATATTATTGCATGGAGTAGTCCATACGTAACCCGCATAAAGTGCCAAGACTTCCCCTGGGTTTGTCAGCCACTCACATCCTTCCGGCCTCGTGTCCCTCCACATTTAATCGGGTCTACCGGCTTAGCCCTGTGAGGCGCGACGAGTCCTTCTGTGTCTTGCGTGTTGCATTAGCGAATTATCGAATGAACACGCATGACTGAGAATGGCGGTGCTAGCACTTTTACGCTCGGGGGGTTTTGCCCCCGTGGCTGGTCCAATGCTAGACTGGGCAATCAAGACCGAATCCAACGCTTCAACCGTGATTAGGATGCTCACTTGTGGAACCCCGACTGGGCTACGGATACGAGTGGAATCGATGTCCGCCTCGCTCCCAAGACCTTCGCTCCAAAGATGCACCTGTGCACCACTCAGCGTCGCTGCTTGACCGCGGCTCCACCGTCCGAAACAATGCCAAGATCCTTCGCCTGGATCGTCAGATTCCACGCCATCCCCTGAGGTCAGTGGGCGGCTGGAAGGCCAGACAAAAAAAAAAGAGGAAAGGCCTGCGTGGAGTCTTCTCCTGCCTTTCCTTGCCTTAGTCCTCTCCACTCGTTTGAAAGTCGGGACGTCCGAATGCTTCGTTCCTGGGCTATCTTGTAGCCGTCCCCTCTCTTCTTCTCCTCTTTTCCCATCCCTGCTTTCGTCTTTCTCCGGTTTTTTTTTTCTTGTTGCCTGCTTCGACTCGGGGAAGATCGCGTGCTTCCCTAGCCACTCTTTCATCATGTTGTTCTCCGCACTATTATTACTATCTTCCCTGCATAATGTTGTCGCACAGCGCAAAGATGCGGACTTGATGTCCTTCGTGACGGTTGGTGGCTCCGCTCTCCCCTTTTTTTACTTGGCCCCGCGGACCCGGTTCTGAACGAAATGCTAATAACGGTCTACAATTACTATAGCTCCCCGAGGTTCGCGCTTTGAAGTGGGAAGTCAACTACCTTGACCGTGAGAGAGTGGCTCCCGGATACTGGTTCGTCGCGCCATACGGCCAGATCTCGCCTGAAGACCCCACCCAAAAGTACCAACAATATCAAGTTGGACCTTATATCTACGATGGCGATGGAAAGCTAGTCTGGGCCGGCTCCGTTCAGTACGATAACCAAAATGTATTCGACTTCCGACCCGTTACCAACATTGACGATGAGGTGGAGCTATCATTTATCTTGAACTGGCAACTCGAGGAGGATGGAGGGGGTAAGGGAAGCGGAGTTGTCTTGGACAAGAACTATAAGCAAATACGCCAGGTCTTCCAGCCGGAGGAATTGCACGACTTCAACATGCACGAATTCAATATCTTGCCCGGGGGCAAGTCCGCTGTTGCCTGCACATACCACTCGCAAGTCGTCAATCTGGCCGAGTTCGGACGTCCGACGGAGGAGAGCTGGGTGGTCACGGGTGGATTCGTCGAATTGGACATGGAAAATAGCAACGTTTTGTCCCAATGGAACAGCAAAGATGCCATTGCGCTCACCGAGTCGAACATGTTTCACTCGTGGGATGCGCCATGGGGTCGGCCTGGCTGGGATTATGTGCATATCAACGCTGTCGACAAGAACGAGGCCGGTGACTTCATTATCTCCCTGCGGTTCACTAACACCATCTACGGTATTTCCGGCGAGACCGGTGAGATCATGTGGCGCTTGACCAGTGGCCCTACGGGTGACTTCGATATGGACTTCACCTTCTCCAAGCAGCACGATGTGAAATTCGTCTCTTCCAACGGCACTCACCATGTCATCTCGATGCTGAACAACGCTTCCGATGAGCGTGGTAACGACGAGAACGTGTCCTCGGTGCTCTTCATCGAGATGGATACCCTGGCCATGACTGCCCGTGTCATCAACCGCATCAACCGCCCCGACAGCAGCCTGACCCGTCTCCGCGGCAGCGCCGAGACCCTCCCCAATGGCAACATCTTCGCTGGTTGGAGTGAGCGGGGCTATCAGAGTGAGCACGCCCCCAACGGCGACACCTTGATGACCGCCCGCTTTGTCTCAACCCGCTACTCGACCTACCGCGCCTACAAGTCCGAATTCATCGGTCGCCCAACCAATCCTCCGGACGTAGTCGCCTCCGTCTACGGCACCAACGACGATGACACGACCACCATTATCCACGTTAGCTGGAACGGTGCCACCGACGTTGCCGGATGGAACTTCTACGCCAAAGCCTACGACCGCGGTGAAAGCGTGCTCATCGGCCACGCCAAGAAGTCTGATTTCGAAACTATGTATATCGTCGATGGATACATGGACTGGATCACCGCCGAGGCCGTCGACGCCGAGGGCAAGTCCATGGGCAAATCTCTTGTCCAGCGCAGCGAGATCCCAAGCAACTGGCAATCTGTCGGTTTCAAGGGCTCCGCTGCTGGACCTTCTCCGGATGACCCTTCAATCATCAACCAGGTCAAGGAGGGCACAAGCGACACCAGTGACAAAGCCAGTGGCGACAAGGAGGTCGTCGCAGATAAAGAGACCACCGATGACCAGGCCGACTCCTCGATGGATATGGACATGGGATCAGACTCGGACTCCGAGCCGCAACAAACCTACGCTGACGCTAAAGAAGTCGCCAAGGCCGTGTACCGTGCCTACGACGTTATTCGTGGCGTTGGTGGCCTACTGATCTTCATCTTGGTCGCCTGCTCCGTCGGCGGTATCATCCTTGGCTCCTGGCGTTATATCCAAATGCGCAGACGCCGCTCATACCAGCATGTCCCCTCAGAGGAGGGACTCCCGGTGGAAGAGATTCATCTGCGATCGCAAACTCATGACTAAATTTCCAAACACAGCCACTCCGCTTTTCACGCGCCCTTTTTAAGGCGTGTTTAATTTTATTGTCCATTCTTATTATTCTCACGCATGATTACAAGCGGTCGCATCTGTCTTCGTCTTCGCATTTACAATTTCCTTCTTGGGATTTCGAATTTCTTCTTTCTGTGCTTTTCTTCCCGGTGAAGTTGGCTGGAAAGAAAAAAGAATCGACAAAAAAAAGGAATTTTTATCAAACCAAACATCCACTAACTGTGGACTTGAACGAAAATATCGGAAACAACACTTTCCCCCGGCCGAGGAGGGAAGAAGAAGCGTATGGGTTCATACATACATACAATCAGGCTATGATCGTTCCACGCATATCATACCCCATCTGGCGTTTTTTTTCTTTTAAGGTGTACATTTTGTCTTCATTACCTTTTGTTTTGTCTTCTCACTCCTCACTTCTGACCTACGTGGGGGTCTTCCAAACATGAAACGAGAAAGAAAGTAAACTGGATCAAGCCAGAGGATCTCAAACTCGACTTCTACCTCGAACCTGGCAGTGGGGCTGGAGACAGCAACTCCTTCCCCGTCTATGTTTCAATTCTTTCAATTTTCTTATTTGTTGGTTCTTCTTTTCTTTTCTTGTGTAAAACTATTCACAACGTCTTATCTCGCACCTGTATTTCTGAACATTCTAATCGACGTATGTACATACATTTCAATATCTTCAAATTTCGTCTCACTGAAAATAGGAGCCAAATCATATTACATCTTTTCCAAACACCGATTCTCTACTAGTAGATTAGTCTACGCAATCCTTCAAATAAACCCCGGGCCCAGAATCATCTTCTCCGAGTTAAGCTGGCACGTCCGGCCCCGCCCCCTGATGTAGATCCATACCGGTTCGAACGCGACACCGTGGCGAGTTGCTTATCCCGCCAAGACAGCCCTAACGGGACCGGGTCTCCGTTTGATCTCCGTCCGATGTATCATCTTCGTAGCACATTGAAACAATCTAATCCATCGGCTCGTTCTATGCATATGATTGATTCAATGCGTGCTCGAGACTACGTCATCATTGACACACCGGAAGGAGCATGGAAGAGCCCTGACATGTTATCCTAGGATCTGGATAGCATAGCACATTTGTTGTACTCCGTATCTATTATGCATTTACTAGCCCACATGCAGGACGCAATCCTTGCCAGGGGCAATAAATACTGCGGAGTACGGAGTAGTAAGTGGGCAAACTTGAACATAAAGGAGTCGCCAAGGAATGAACCCTGTCAATCACAATGGAATTGGGCAGATCACAATCTCATTTCTCTCTTGCTTCGCGGGCGCCTTAGGCTTCCAAGGGTTTATGAACTTCCAAAGTTTGCAGCAAAGGTTGTCAAGGATATACAGTTACTAGCAAAATTCTCACTGTGCCTGGCCCGAGGCTGTCGGATATTGTATTACAGCCTGAGGAACACGCATTGCTGTCACGAAGTGCCTGGTATGTGTGTACATGGATGAATTTCATTTTGACTTGCTTTCTACTCGTAAGAATTTTCATACATGTCCGAATTTTTACAATATACTGGCTTTCAGTTATTTGAGATTTCATTCATTCGCCATTCCTAAATTCTACTCGTACCCACTCGACTGAAAAGTGGCAGTCAAATGATGTCTTCAAATTTCGTCGACCAACTGGGCACCACACCCAAGGTTTTTCAAGGACATATTTCCTTGAGGCCTACCAATGGAGTTTGAAGATGTCGAATAGCTTGGCTTACATCCAGGTAAAAACAAAGCAGGGGCGCTGGTATATGCCGATCTGGAGAACTTGGGTGTCCCCAGGTGAGGCATCATCTCAACATTTCTTGGGATCTGTAGTTGAGCAATTATCGCCATAGATATGCTGAGGCTCGGTAGCATTCATCACGGGGATACCTCCAAGTCGCATTGGTGGCCCAGAGAAATCAGTTCTTCCCTCTGCGTAGTACCAGGCTACACTGATCGCTGCGAACCCACAGAACACAACGCTTGCGTAGTTCATATTCGCCAATGTAACCGGTAGGCTAACAGGCATGCAGTATAGAATGATACTGAAGCCCACCCAAATAACAGAAACAATATTAATGGTCCACCCGAATCTTCCGAGGGAGTAAAGGGGAGCCCTTGAGGTCTTTGCGGCCTTGAATAACTGAGATAACGACAGGAGACACAAAGGCGGCAGAAAGGCATATCGCAGTAGCGCCAGTAAAAGCATTGAAAGCGGCAGACGAGCCAAGATAGATGAGTCCCAGAAGACTGATGACTATGACGGTGAGAATCAGTGCTAGAAGGGGAATCTCGAATCGATCGTCCACCTTCTTCCAATATCTGTGTCCCGGGATCGCTTTATCACGCGCAAGGGCATAGGCGCATCGGGATGCCGTCGCCATAGCACCAATGCAAGCGAAGAACATGATTCCAACGACAAGCAGGAGCAAAATGACACCTGCAATGGGGGAATTCGTTGCATCGCGGAATAGCATACCGATTGGCTGACCTGTATTTGCGATTTGTATGAGGGGCGCAACTTCTGGCAAGACGAAGAGAATGGCGAGCAGGTAGATGATGCCCGTGAAACCAGATGCCACGACTGATAGAACCATTGCTCTTGGAACTTCTCGTTCGGCGTTCTGGACTTCCTCGCACATCACTGCTATCATCCCGTAGCCAGTGAGTGTGAATGCTCCTTGAAGTAGACTTATACAGAATGACCATACATCGGACCTGGGAAATGTTAGTATCTAGTATTGCACCGAGGCGACAGCTTAAATCGCTTACCAGCCACTTTCCGAGGCATCAAAATGTGTAAAAACAAACCCTGCACTTCTTTTTTCTTTGCACATTGCCAGGAGGACGACCAAAACCGCAATAACGGTTACGCCGGTCCACCAGATACAGAGTTTGTTGATACTGTCGAGCAACTTAACCCCAAATATGTTGATCAGCATACAAAGCAACAGAATGGCCCAGAATGTAAGGACTGTGTGCACCGCGGTTGGCGAATATTCATCCGAGAATAGAGTCGGTGCTGAAAGAATCAATTGAGATCCACCAAACGCGATGGAACATGTTGACATCCAATTACCGACCAGGTAAAGCCAACCTGTAGTCCAAGAGGCAATAGGTCCCCATTTTTCGTTAGATAAAAGCGCTGCCCAATAATAAACTCCACCAGCAGTGGGATAGACGGCACATATTTCGGCCAGAGACGCTGCGATGCAGGTGGATAGGATGGACATGAGAATCCACCCATAAAATATAGATACCGATTGTCCGTTGATGAGTCCAATGTACAATGTTGTACTTAGCCCGAATGGAACGGCAATGATAGCAAATGACCTGGAGCTGAAGGTTAACATAGGCAGGCCTTTCGTGACATGATGTGGCTCTCACAGGCCGAAAATACTCATCATGCTGAGATGGCGAGGTAGCTCCTCCACGTAAGATGGCTGTACTATGTCCATACATTCATCGCCATTCTTAATCGATTTCGTCATCATGTAGAACTTGAATTGTTTGTGTTTTATACACCTTGAAAATCCGAATGAACTGTAGAGTTGCTCGCAGCTCGGTATTATTCTTCTGGGTTTACCGTTGATTGAAGATTTGACGAATCCTGCTTCATATAACAAGGCATCATCTTCTGAAATTAATGGAAGGTCTGAGATAGCAGACTTTCTGATGGATTCAGGCTAAACAATCACACGCTGATTTGTTCTTATCTTGTATTCTGGTGCCCTAGGGTATTTGGAAGACTCCCGAGGCCATTGCTAAACCTTCGATAGCAAAATTAATTCTCCGCAGTTAAACCCTATCCATATTGGCTGGGATTTAGTCCAGAGCTCTCATAGAAAATATGGTATTGTACATGTCTACCAGTAGAGTTTGGTTTGGCTTTAGCCTGAAATTATTCCGGCGTTTTCATTTCCATATTGGGTATGAGTGACTCCCCACCAGGCGAATATTATACTAAAAGTCCGTTGCGTTTCGGCCTTGCACAAAATTACTGGGCCCCGAAAGTCGTCTCTGAACATACAAATACCTATATTTGTGACAAGATGGCGAATTTGTTTTCACTTTTCTGTTTTACTCAGGGCTGTATGAATCAAACGCCCTATAAACGCCAATGATAACTTGTTGCCAATGTGCGCTACTAGTAGATTTTTCCGGCTAGACACCTGGGCATATACCTCCGCCAGTGTAGATACCATGATATCGTCGCCCCAAGAGTATCCGCCTCGGAACCATTGATTGATCAATGTAAATTTTGTTTGTCCTTGTTCCGCCGAACGATCAACGGTGCTAGCCGGAGTAATCCGAAATACCGAATTATGGAACCTCTCTCCCCGCGTCAATTTCAGGATAATATTTGTATGGTACCCATAATTTCAACTTCCAAGGCTTTTAACCAAAAGATATAGGAACGATTTTACAGAGAGCTTTTTGAACTGTGTTAGGTATCATTGTCTGAATATGGATCTTGAAAAAGAATCATCTAGGCTATAGCCCTGGAGTGAGAGGAGGTAAGTTGAAACCATATCACATGACGATGATTTGTTCAAAATAACGTTCAGTGGCGGATGACCCAGACCCGGGGACTCAAAAGCCATTAGTCCTGAATCTGGTATCATATCTATCCCACAGCACAGACCAACATGGGATCCGATGCGGGGTACTTGCTGTGGGAAAGTAGAAGAGGGATGGGGACATCGCGTTAAAAAAGTCCCAATGGAGCGAAGAGAATAGAGTATACAGATTCCATCAAACAGAGGCTCCGTGACACAGCAAAGAGGGGGTTGTCCTAATCAACGTCGGATACAGCCTGGCTGATCCGTAAAGAGAATGATCATTCCTAGCCTCGTCTAATCCAAATCTGGTGCAAAATACGCGCGCTGTCCGTCTTAGATAAAGCGAGCCCCGGAACGGGATTCTTTCTTATCAATTTCCAAGGTTGTCCTGGGAATAGTGGCGAATGTGCAATCGACAGATAAAGTCTTTTTGACCATTTACCCCTCACTATTTCTAGATATTATCGGGATCAGTGGATTGTACGGATTATAAATTTCTCAATTCTTAAAAACAATTTTGGCGCCTTTTCGAACTGCTCGAGTGTGTATCTTACTCGATGAGGTGATAATTTACTCGGTTATCAAGCCCCGTCGTGACGCTGGGCATTTATCAAATATTTCCAAAGAGCCCAAAGGGCTCCTAAAAAGACAAGCACCGAAGGCTAATCAGCTTGTGACATTTTAGTCACCGTCATACAGACTGGCCAGTGTATAATGAACATTTTTAGACACATTCACCTTCTAGGATGTCAATGCGGGCGAAATTCAGATGCATGCTCAGGTGGGTGGCCCAGGAAGATATATGAATATGGCGTCTAAAAGGACACAATCTCACGGCATAGGTCATTACTGGAAGTAAAAAAAGCGAATGTACTAGAGTCGCGATTTTTTATCTACTACATTGCCATATTGTATAGATCTTGATTTTAGGTAATAGGTGTGGTGAAATCAGAATCGGGTGTCATAAAGCAACCTATTTTACCAACCACCTGGGCACCTGCGTAAAATATCCCTTATAACGCAACCTTGAATAGTTTTCACGGCAAGAGGTAGCCTCCGTCGACCACAATATCACTACCAGTGGTAAAGCTGCTTGCATCACTTGCTAAGTACAAATAGGCCGCTTTGATTTCTTTGACATGACCTTGTCTACCCAAGACAGCCATACGATACACCTCATTTTCATCCTCCGCGCCTGCGCCCATCTTAGTGTTGAAAAAGCCTGGACTGACAGTGTTCACTCTGGCAAATTCCCTCCATTCTCTAGCCAAACTCTTGCCGAGATGTCTCACATACGCTTTGGTAGCGTTATAAACTGGCTGATCCACTGGTACATTCACAATGTGACCCGAAATACTGCTTGTGATGATCAGATTTCCCGAGCCTTGAGATTTGAAGACTTCGCCGGCGTATTTGGCGCAGAAAAATACACCATCGACGTTCACAGCCATTTGGCGTCGATACTCGTCTAGGCTGGTATCGAGAACAGGCTTCGAGATGCACATGCCAGCGTTGGCGACGAATATATCAAGCCTGCCAAAGGACTTGACGACTTTTTGCACTGCAGCTTGAACTTCCTCGGGCTTTGAGACCTCAACCTGGTACGCGTTCACTTTGATATTGTGCTTTTTGGCCAGTTCGGCTCCCTTAGTCTTGGCGGCTGGGTTGTTGTTGTACCATAGTGCGAGGTTGGCTCCAGCTTCAGCCATAGCCTCGGCGACTGCGAAACCGATACCATCGCTGGCACCTGTCACACAAACTGTGCGTCCTTTGAGACTGAACTGTGCAAATACATTTTCAGGCGTGTCGGGAAATGGGCGCGGGTTGCGCTTTTGAGCGGCGACTTCTTCGATAGTGCAGGACATACTAGTACGTAGGAAGTGTTTAACTTTCTTCGGTTTAATGACAAGGACAATATTGTTTCAACATTCCAATGTTCTTGAAATATATACTTGACTGGAACCTGGACATGCCAGTGCTTACCAATTGAATTTTGCGTGTTACCTTCCCAATATGGAAAATACGACGCGACTTTGCCCTTCTGGGAGACCAACCCTCGAGAAAACGCACAACGGAGTATTGACGTTTCTGACAAGCCGCAAGATAAAGGTTAGAGTAGATATCTGGTAATTACGGAGTACGGGCCCTGGAGTTAACTGTATACCGTAAACCCTGGTGGGTCCTTGACCCTGCCAATAACTATAGCCATCCCAACCTCCTGGCTGTGCAATATGCGAAGGACATCTAAAGTTGAGTTTGACATCTATTGATTCCCAGTTTTCCCTATCTCTGTTGCTCTGTGAGTCACTCTTGCACGCCACTTCGTTGCCGAAAAAAATCATCAGTGGACTTAGAAGTGACTGGCGTGGATTTTCCCCTTTTTGGAGATAGAATCAATAGATATGGATCGACGAGGGACGCGGCAAAGTGTGGCTGAATGAGGTTATAGAATTTCGAAGTAAATTAAATCGAGCGGGGCGGCGCGGCTAAGTCGAACGGAGATCGGTTTAGTCTCAATCAATTTGTGCACAGACAATGTTCGGCAGTTTAATCTGTACCTCCTTTCGAAAATAAAACCCCCCACGCGGCGGAAAACTTGCCTTTTCCGTGACCTTACTTTGCACATATTGCCCTGTATCCTAATTGAAAGCGGCTAGCAGGTGCATAATTCCATTCTCCTATCTTGGAAAGCGGAGATTTACCCTGCGACACATCACCCACGGTATGTCATTCACGTAGTGGATTATGGATGTGTTAACCACCCATGTGTAATTTGAAAGCCACAGAAAGTACCGATCCATTTAGCCGGAAATACCGCGTAAAAAACTAAGCAAAGCGTTGGCACAGGCCAAGGTCAGTGAAAGCATTCAATTTCCAATGCCAGTGGCTATATATTCGTTGCAAGAGGTCTCTAGGAAAAATCAAATATTTCTCATAAACTGCTCAGGTGCCCAGGTGCGATCACAATCATCCTAGTACTACTACTGTTAGTAGTAGCACCGCTGGTATTTACTCTACTACAGGGCTCTTGATTGATTCCAAGGTTCGGATTTTCCCTCGACTTTCTCTCAGTTGAAAAAGAAGCAAATACTTTTGCAATGGCTACAACTAAGGATGCGTACATGTGGACACCTGAGGACGGACTTCGCCATGGTGGCTTCGCTTGTGAAGGCGCCATCTCCCCGCCTCAAAAGATTAAGTCGCCCCCAAGCACCATCTATGATGTGTTGATTGTCGGCGGTGGCTATGCTGGCCTTGCCGCTGCTCGCGATCTCACAAACGCAGGTAAATATGAGAAATATCCCATCTGGCAATCTGGTAGTAACGGGTCATTCAGGGCGATCTGTACTTCTTATCGAAGGGCGTGATCGCGTCGGTGGACGGTCTTACACCATCGAGCATAATGGTAATGATTCCCACTCTGTTGAGAGACCTATCTAACAATATCGACTAGGCTACAAATGGGAGATGGGTGGCACCTGGATCTTTCATACTCAGCCATATACACACCGTGAGGTGATGCGTTACAAGATGGACCTTATTTGCTCGCGCGACCCTAGCCATAAAAATGACTTTTACTCCATCAACGTTCCTGGTGAGACTTCTGCGGTGCTTCTACATAACTCAGATGTACTAATCCAGTCAAAAAGGGTCTAAGCGAAATCTGTCGCACGAGGAGGCTAGCAAGATTTCCGGGAAGGTTTGGAAACTATTTGTCAACATCGATGGTGCGGAAGGCAAGAAGATCTGTCCTTTGCCGTACCAACAAACTGGTAACGCTTGGGTCGACCGAGAGGCTGTCAAGAAGGTAGACGCCTACTCCTGCTACGACCGCTTTCAAGAGATCAAGCACCTGCTCAATGAGGAAGAGCAGGGCGTCTTGACTGCCATGGTCGTTAATCTTGCTGGAGGTAGACCAGATATGAAGAATGCTGGTTACTGGGATATGATACGCAGTCATTCTATCAACGGCCATCAATATGATCTCATGGACGAGATCTGGATCAACTACAAAATGAAGGATGGCTCATCTCACCTCAACCGCCAAATCTTCAATGATGCTGTTGATTGCGGGCTGGAGTACACTTTCAAGACACACGTTTCGTCCATTGAGCAGAAGGCAAATGGTACCCAGATCTATACTCGGGATGGCCGTGTTTTCAAGGGGCGCAAGGTGCTTTGCACAGCTCCACTTAACACCCTCAAGTCCATTAAGTTTGAACCTCCCTTTGGTAAGCTACGCGAAGAGGCCGTGGCCGCTGGTCATATCAACTTCATGACCAAGTGTCATGCCGTCGTCAAGGGCCCAGATTTTGCATCATGGGCAGGTGCAAGTCACCCTAGCCCTCTGAACATGGCGTTCGGCGATGGTCTCACTCCCGATGGTGATGCCCACCTGACCGCATTTGGTGGTGATTGGCGCGATAACTTTGTCTTGGAAGAGGCCCCTGAGAAACTCGTCGAGGCTTGGAACAAGTTTCATTCTATGGACGTCAAAGCTATTGTGAGTCATGTTAGACTTGAGAGTAAATAATTGCTAATCATATGTAGGCCTTCCACAACTGGAACACTGATGAATACACCCAAGGAGGACCCTGTTTCATGCCTCCCAGATTTATGTCAACCTACATTGAGGAGCTGCGCAAACCCCATGGCAATATCTTCTTCGCAAATGCTGACTGGGCTCAAGCCTGGCGCAACTTCATCGACGGTGCTCTCGAGCAGGGTACATTGAATGGAATTGAGATTCTCAACCAGCTCAGAGATGAGGACAAGACTGGAATTCGCAAGACTGACTACCACTTGTAGGGGAGATAGTTTGATATTGATTCAAGGTCTCAATGTGAAGTTGTCATCCAAATCTACTTAGAGTCCAGCGAATTTCCTAATTCCATTCGAGCACTCACACCAGGGTCCCAATGTCCTTAACACAGCCAGCAAGTTTATCCTGCCATGGAAATGTTGGATTAGGAAAACCATATTATGTTTACCTAGGTATTCAGTTTACAACTATGATTTGACTCAGAATCATTTAGTTTACGTAAAATGCCTAGATTATCAGGTGGCTAGATTTACTTGCCCCCCCACTCCCGTGATATGAGTAGTCGGTAGTGATGTTTCGATCATTTTTAGCGAAGACATTAGACTAATTACGAATCAGAGACAGATGGAGTAAAAATTGGATTGAACCCCTCCATTCTTAGCTGCATACAACTACCCTGGCGGCCTTTAGTCCTATCGTTTCCATGGACCGGATTGAATTGGGAGCCGGGTTTGGCCGCGCGGCTATTTTGAACTGTAAACAGCATAATATCCCAACCCTCTCCGCAAAGGTCCAACAAGCCCCCCTCGAGAAGAGGGATGCGGATTCCAAGATTGATTCAAGTTATATATGCAATCTTCAAAGTACCCATTCATTTCACAAGAAAATAAAAGAAAAGAAAACTTTACATGCAAACATATCATCCTCGTGGACCTATCACTAGGCAACATACTACTCGCAAGGCTTGATTACATGAAATGGATTTTGTCTACTCGTTTTCGAGTGACTTAGGTTGTTCCACCCGATCGCCAATCTCTCGACACACCGGCTGCTTGACATGCAAAAGGCGTCGGAAGAAATGCGACGAGCAGAAACCGCGGTAAATGGCAGAACCAAACTAGTATAATTATACCTAGGTAGTGCGAGCGCTGATGGTTATACAGATGTGAGAATTGTAGGCGTCTCAATCTGGAATGTGAAACTCCAGATTTATTTCGTGCTTCAAGACTTTCTCGATCGTACACTCGGAGACACTTGAAAGCTACGCCGGGACTACCCAATTCAGATTATCAGGTACCTACCTCGTCTCCTAAGGCAGGCACTAGGTCATCATCGGTCGGAGCCAACGAGGATACGGTGCTAGAACCCACCGGTACTGGCTGCAAGCCCTCTCATTTCTTTATGAACATTCCCGGATGTATCATCCCCTCGCCATCAACTCAACTTCCTCCAATTGAGGATTATCTCATGAAGCATTATGTTGAGAAGCTTTCCACGATACTTATCAATATCGATGGGCCAATAAACAGCCTAAGAAGTATTAGCTTTCCTCGCATCGTCGCATCGTCAATGGTTACCAATGCTCTATATGCGACCTCGGCGTGCCATCTGTCTATTTGCGAGCGGAAAGCCGAGTATCAAATGGTGTCAATAAAATACTATAACAGGGCCTCTAGCGCGCTTCGACATTTAATCAGCGACCTCGGGCCCAGTCTCTCAGTGGAACAGCGTGAGCTTATGTTACTGACATCGATATTCCTCTGCAAATATGAGATCATCTCAGGTGAGCCAAAAAACTGGCGACCTCATTTAAGAGGATTGCAGAAAATGTTTAATATCTCTCGCCATATTAAAAACAATATTTCGGAAGAGATGGTGTCCTATATACAGAGTTTGTAAGCGATGTTGCCCAAATCAACTTGAAAGGAGCTCCATATACCTAAGTATCAACTGACATCTGCGTTCAAGTGTTGCCTACCATTGGTACATTTCAGGAGTTACTCGAACCGAGGTATTTTCTTTCTCCTCTGAGGATACCGATTCCGATGAAGAAATCGAGGGTCAACTTATATTAAACAATCACATTGATCCCTATATGGGACTTTCTGGGAGGTTTATTTCGGTCTTGAATTCTCTGGCACAAATCATCATGTCTGATTTCACCGATGATATTGACATGGACACCATACTGCGTGCAGCCATGAAAACGTACGAAGATGCCCCCTTCCAAACAGTCCCATTCGAAGTACTAATCCAAAAGCACAGAGTGCAGATGATACAGTCTGATCCACGAGACCTGAAATTCCTGAAGCTGCCTTGTGGGATGGCCCCAGAAATGTCGGCTCACCTGGGTCATATTGCAAGTGGTTACAGGCATACCTTGGTAGTTTATCTACACATCATCCTAGAAAGGCTCATGCAAACCCACGGCAGTGATGCAAGGGATCTTCAGATCTTGATGATACGCAGTTTACTCCCCTGTTCCAAGCAAGAAGCAATTTCAGCTTGCTTGGAAGACGTTTTGCGTGTACCAGAGAATAGTCTAGCCTTTATCGGATCGAGCCCGCTTGTATTTATTGTTGCGAGTGAGACGAAAGATAGTTCGGAGTTCGAGATTTCTCTCCAACTGTTGCTACGGTTGTGGACACGGACCTGTCTTGGAAATATTGGTGTTGCGCTGGATTTTCTTAGATATATCCAGCATGCCAACTTTCCAGATTGGCGTCAAGCGCTGAAATCACGGAAGTGGGATCTTATCGTCAGTTGAGAAGCCAAGTCCGGGATTCTTGAGAGTATGACGAGGTGCCAGTGTATCCCAGATCAGGAGTAGAAATGACACATTTGAACCTCATATTTAGGCCGTGGTAGCCAAGATGCTTGGGGGGGAAAATGACTTGGGAGATGCGAAAAACGTACTAGTACTAGGTCATCTCGTAACAACTCGAGATTTTAGGCTCGTTTGGTCCCCAAAGGGGTTTAGCTGCGGGGCAACATATCTCCGCTATCCAATTGAAACCAGATAAATTTATACTTCAATACACATTACATTATCATACAGCGCTAATCCATTTGGAGCTGGGAATTGCCGCGAGCGGGGCCGGCCAATGGAGATTTAGGCTGTTCACTTATCTTGACAATCCTGGGGTAGCACATCGAATTCCCGCGTATCGCTTCCTTCCCGAAAAAGAAAAAGTCCCGCACGCTCTGCAATTAGTGTGGAGAGGGGACGATTGCCTCGAAGCCTTCGTTTGATAAACACATCCAGATGTCGAGACAAGCCTGTCATCTGTCAGCCCTATCGTTGACACACACCTAGTTTCGCCACACTTCTTCCAATCCCCTGCTCCTCGCTGCTATTTTCTCCAATCGGACACTTGAATACTACCGTTTGACCTGTCGTTCGAGTTTCTCTAATCCGCACACTCACAATTCCACTCTGCCACCATGACTATCAGCACAGGTCGGAATGCTAAACGCACAAGCACTGGTTGTCTAACCTGTCGTCGACGCAAGAAAAAGTGTGACGAGCAACATCCAATTTGTCTTGCTTGCAGCAAGAACAATATCCAATGTACCTGGGGTCAGCAGCGGCGAAAACAACGCTTGCACCGACCACAGGCTTACAATAGAGACTTTGAAATTCCCCAGGAACTGAGCCACTGTATCAATGTTTTTGCAGCTCCAAGTATGAACCTGCAAGAGCGTCTGATTTCACACTTCGTGAAGTATTGCCCAGTTTGGATCGCATCTATTCGTGTTTTAGAAGGGTCGAACTTCTTAGTTCATTTCATCCCTATAGCGATGCGAAACGCCTTGGTGATGGAATGTGTTCTGGCAGTCGCCGCTGGTGACCTTGGCAAGATCGGTCGAGAATCAATTGAGCTCCAAAGCATATCAAATTATCACTACGCACGGGCTAGTGTGGGGTTATCAGCCGCTATTACGAAGGAGATGGGCCCCGGTTGTGACCAAGAAATCCTTGCTTCGGGTGAGTTATACGCACAACCAACCTTCCTTATGTTGTGTCCACAGGTGGCTAAGCTGAAGTCAGATGAGACTCTCTGTGCAGTTCTTCTTCTTTGTGTCCATGAAGTATGAGCTACTTTTGAATCCGTTAATTGTTTGTGTCGACTAACGATGCAAAGGCCGTGAATTTCACTAGTCTCGACAGGCTGTTGATCCACATAAATGGTGCAATCACTCTTATCTCCAATCGCATCAACTACGCGCCTGAGAACCCCGACCTTCGTGGCTTTTTACTCGAACTATTCTGCTACTTCTTCACGCTGGCTGCTTCTACACATGGCAGCCGCATCAATTCCAATGACGAATTCGCCTATCGCGTTTTTCATTCACCATTTCTTCAAAGTCATCAAAGCCGAGGGATGCTCTTGGGGTCAGAATCCGAGATCTTTCACATCATTCTCCGCCTCTCCGTGACGGTCAATCGCCATTCCATCCGACCGTCCAATCAAACTTCTCTTGAAATGGAGCTATCTGCGATTCAATCCGATCTCTGGCGGGTCTCAATTCATACCAACCCGGACCAAATCTTGGGAACTGAGAACGTCGATTGCTCAGCCGAGCTCCATATAACATCAAACCTCTACTACTTGGCATGTCAACTACTGCTCTGGCAAGTTATGCACTCTGGAACGTCAATCTATGATGAATTAGCCAGAGAAACCTTAGCAAGATTCTTCGAGACTCTCGAGCGTCTTCCCGATACTTCTTCGGCTAACGGTGTCCTCTGTTGGCCTTTATTCATCGCGGGGCTCTCATTAAATACAGGAAAATATCGCTCGGCAACTCTATCCCGACTGAAATTGATTGAGACTGGATGGCGATCTGCCATTGCCCTCCAGGCTTCTAAACACCTGATTAAGAGGTGGAAAGAATGTCGGGAAGGCGTTGATATCATAATGTCCTCTGATTCTTGTTCAAGTGTGGGTATACTGCCTATGATTCTTGTTTGAATTTTTAGTGTGTTTTAAAAAACAAGAAAATAATTTCTAAGTGGTGTAAAGGTAATTTTTGAGACTACAAGTACGGGGGGACACGCATTTTCCAAGGTTTTAGCACCCCTATACATAGAGGTGGGCCTATGACCCACTGCCTAACAGTTTATAAGACATCTCCTAGCAGTGGTGATGTAATATTACCATATTCAAACCAAAATTACTAGCAATATTAAGTACTGGGGTGTCAAAACATGCGTATCCACCCTGTATTTCCTAAATGAAATCCTGTTTTCCCTCCGGTGTTCATAACCAATCGGCTCTAATTACTAGGCATGAGCTCTTCATTTTCTCATCTTTCCCCGCAGGAAGGTCGAAAGGAGATGCAGAACCGCTTGGAACTTTTGCCACGGCTTCACATCAGATACCCACAAAAAAGGCATCAAAAGACACTTCAATACTTGTGTTTAGGCTCAAACTCTACCTAGGTATGTTCCTAGGTAAGACGTTCAGTTTATTTATATTTGGTGCGGGGTAATTCAATTCTCATACTCGAAGTAGCCCCGGAATGCCCTGCCCTTGGTTGAATCTACACGCTATGTCGTTTTCGGTTTACTATAGCCGCGCTTTAGTTTGAAATACGCCCGGGAGGGCGTGCCTATCCCATGCCTTACCAAGTATCTTAATCCAAGTCCTTCAGAGATACGATAAACCATGATCATATTGAAAGTTTCATATTTCTAGCCATACTGTTAATATGATATCATTTTTGATAGCTGACATTATCAAATTGATATTCAGAACATTACTAGTACAAGCATGGTGCGTAAAAGATTTGAATACTAAGACAAAATGACAAGCACCGTGCGGTCTTATAGACAGGTCACTTCACCCATAGGCGACACTAGCGCCCTTAGCGAAAATACCGCCATAGCCTTACAACTTGAAGTACGACAATTTGAGGGATCGCGAGTATTAAATAATCCCACAAAAGCGAATTTCCAAACCTATCGCCTTGAAAATGAATTTCGACGCAAGAGTCTTCCTTTTCGCAATTCTACAAGCCCGCAAGGCATTCGAAGATTACGCCGACGAAAGACCCTCCCGTGGTGCTGAAGCAACCAGAGGTGTACACACACCCAGCTCGAATCATCAACTCTCGCGACTGATACTTCGTGTTCAAACTCTTCATTTCCAAGCAAAGAATGAAACAACCATATTGTCTACAACCATCTCTCGAGGGGTGAAATTGTGGCAGGATATCGAGAACTGGGAAGGATTCGACGCTGGAACCTTAGCCGGCGATGAAGAAATGAAGTGGTTATACCAATCTTCACTTTTCATTTGGCTTCATTTGATCGTTTATCCCGAAAGTATCGAAACTGAAAAGCTTCAACAACTGGCGACTCCAGGAATTGAGCATTTCAAAAACCTCTCTTCGTCCCAGGCACCAGCACTCTTACTTTTTCCAATATTCTTTCACGGCCTAATCTGTAGAAAGGACCTAGATCGTCAAATTACTATGGAGGCATTCTCAAAGCTAATACCTGGAGGTGATGAAAGTCACTTTAGGATATTTGAGGCTACGATCACATGGTGCTGGAGAAATTATGATCATGGGGCTGTTCGAAGCTGGGACTGGACTGATCGGGTTTCACCCTCGTTCATTTCCTCACATCCGGCATTTGATTGATTAAATCGAACGAAAGAATATTTTATACTAGATATCAAGTAAATAAAAATTTCTCGATATCATAATATCAGTTTATAAAGCCTCGACTTCCTTTCCTGATCATAGGCGACCACTAGTATATTCTGGGGATGGCCTGAAATTTCATGGACAGCTCTAAGTTTCACTTCATCGTTCACATCTAAGTCTATAGTCTGTAAAAGAAGGCGAGATAGTTGAAAATCAGAGGCAAAACACTAAAATCGACATTGAAATATTCACATGCCGTGCCCGGGCTATTCCAGTTCAATCTCTATTCAACGGCAGCACCCCTAATTCGCCGACTTCCTAAGGTTTTTTTCACTCGATAATGGCCTCAGCGCGAAGCTCCACAATCATTCCCTCCATTCCCAGTTGCCGAACACCAAAGGCCATGAAGACGGGTTTGTGTCCAGGATACCGTTCCCTCCAGGTGCTCATCAGCACATCTTCATACTTTGTATCGATAAGCAGAGCAGTGAATTTATGAGCTCCCCTAATACCCTTCTCAACGCCAGCATTCTTGAGAACAAGGTCGATAGTATCATAGGCCGCGTTGACTTGTGCCTCGGGGGAAGAGGTGACCAACTCTCCTGTCTTCAAATCCAAACCAGGCTCGCCAGAGGTGATCACGATCTTGGCGGTTGCGGGAACAATGGCCGCGTGCGAAATTCCCATTTTAGTGAAAAGCTCACCCACGGGGCGGGGGTGAATAGAATGTCTGAGCCGAGGTCATATTGTTATTTGACTTTGGTTCGACGCCAAGCGAGAAGATCGATGCCAGCTTGAAAGTGATGTATGACGTTTCTAGACAATAGAAGTGATTCCAAAAAAATTTGAATATAGGGCGAAGCTGAATGAAATCCATTCAATTGGGACAGCTTAATTATTTAACACCAAACGCTTCCGATATTAGTTACCAGAGGATATCTCTCGGGTCAGAACTACGATCGGACCCCCTCCCCGGAAATACCACACGAAAGTGAAAGGCCTGCTCTCAGACAGGCAAAAAACCCGCCCGTGGAGAAGGTGGCCGACTATCGCATCTTGGAATGTTTTTTTTTGAAGTGGATTTGACTTTTGCCAACGAGAATGTGGATCAAAAATACTAATCAGGGCATCTTCGCGCGACAAATGCAATAGTCTTGCGAGTGGCCAACTCAACAAGCGCGGCCAGAACATAATCGTACTAGTCGAATTTGGTACATGCTACGAGCCTTATTGTTGTTGAAGTTTCATATTGTGAAACATTTCCCAGCGTATCTTATTCTTAATACAGCTTGGTTTTGCCGCTCTCATGTGCGATTGCCGATTTATTCGGATGCGTCACCGGTTACTGAATATACGGCCCCATTTCCAGATCGAGGCCAATATACGCGCCATCCCCGCATCGGATAAGCCAATAGAAACATGATCATCGCGAGCAAACTCTACATGCTTCCCCAATCCCCCTCGATCTTATCCAAGTTGATAGAGCCCAGTTCAAACTTTGAGTAATCCATATCAATAGCCCTTTTGCCATTTTACACGACTCTGTGAAGATCGGCGAACATATCGAGTCCCTTGCCGGCTGTTACTAAGTGACAGCCTGGGCATATTCCTTTTTTGAAATAGATCGGCACAACAGTGCAAAGGTGCTTGCTGGAAGTAAAAACACCTGGGCAGTGAGGACCCCAGAAAGGAATTTTCATCAAAAACTTATAAATCAGCATCAGCGTGCAAAGCTAGTCACTAGTACTACTAGTAGTAGCCAGAAATACAAAAAGAGGGTCCGTAATCCTCACTGAAAACTAGATCCATGGTTACGTACCAGTCATGCCATTATTCCCAATCAGGTAATTTTTCGGACCTCAGATAGTGGTGATATTTGATAAGGATACCGATAGTTCCAAGGTTGGCGGATAATCCCTAGCAGGCAAATATCGCGCTCGGAAGATATGTGCTCCACATTGAGAGAATGATAGCGAATAAAAGTCAGTGGTGGCGTCAACTTGAACTTGAACCGGAACCTTAGGCCATTGACCTGGGCGTCCACGGGTGTAATAGTATTGTTCGGTGCTAAAATTATCCCTGTGGAGTCCAAAATAAACCTTGGAAGCAGCTTGAAAGTGGGAATGGGATCAGAGGAACAAGCTCTAGACTTCAAGTTCCTATTCATACTAGGAGATATTTCAAGGTGCATAGTATATAAAGGACCCCATCGGATGCTGTCCAGGATCGCCCGGTATCACCACGCCGTGGCATTCAGAGTTGAATTTCCGAGTCCTCGGCAGTTTTCAAGTGCAGGTATCTTCAAAACGTGAAAAGAAATGACATCCAACACAATGGCAATCCATCCTCTTCTTGATCTTACTCCCGCTGAAGTGAAGCATGCGGCTGCTCTCGTGCGTCAGCTCCACAGAGGTCAGCAGTTGACATTCAAAGCCATTACTCTGGAGGAGCCTCCCAAAGAACTCGTCATTCAATATTTCAAAGCCCAGGAAAATGGCACGGCCCTTCCATACATTCCCAGGGTGGCTTTTGCGGCATATTACTTCAAGGGAACGGTATGAGGACCACCGTTCAATCCATAATTATCCCGCCTGTTCAAGCTGAAATCATAATTAGGAACATTTCATCACGACTTTTGCCAATCTGACTGAAAGTATCATTGAGAAGACTGAGCGCATGAGTCCAAAGTACCACGGAAATGTTGACTTCGAAGAAGTCGGGAAAATCGAAGAAATGGTGATGAAAAACCCGGATGTGCTTGCCGAAGTCGCCAGGCTGCAACTCCCCGATCACCTCACAGCCATTGCTGAGGCGTGGGGGTTTGGATCAGATGGCGTTGATGACTACCGACGCCAGTATCAGATCTATATGTTCGTTGGCGAGAAGAAGAATCCTGACAGTAACCATTATGCTCGACCATTAGCTTTCTCCCCCGTCGTGGATGCTACTCGCATGGAGGTCACACACATCGACTACATCCCCACTGGATCGGGCGTCAAGGCCAGCGAAACTCAACCTTGGCGATATGTCGAGCCTAATGAGTATGTACCTGAAGAAGTGCAACTCCGGAAAGACCTCAAGCCGCTTCGTGTTCTTCAACCGGAGGGGACCTCTTATTCCATCAACTCTGAGAAAGTCCTGCAGTGGCAGAAATGGCAGTTCAGAATTTGCTTCAACTACCGGGAGGGTCTTCTGCTGCGTGATGTGAGATATGATGGCCGTCCAGTCTTCTACCGTATCAGCTTGAGCGAAATGACTGTGCCCTACGCCGATCCCCGCAGCCCCTACCATCGCAAGCAAGCCTTTGACCTGGGGGATGTGGGTGCAGGTCTCGTTGCAAACAATCTTTCACTGGGTTGTGACTGCCTGGGCTCAATTACTTATCTTGATGGCCTTGTCGCTGATCCTGCCGGTGAGCCACTCATGAAGAAGAATGCTATCTGTATCCATGAGCAAGACAACGGTATCGGGTGGAAGCACTCCAACTATCGTACTGAACGTAAGCAAACACTCAGCCCCAAACCTTTGAAGCATTCGAGGTGAAGAAATACTAACCCATTCAAGGCGCTTGTGTCGTTCGCAATAGACAGCTCGTCGTCCAGCAGATCTTGACGGTATCCAACTATGAATATATCCTGGCATTCGTCTTCAACCAGGCAGGAGAGCTCCATTATGAAGTCCGGGCGACCGGAATTCTGTCAACTGCTGCCATTGACCCTGATGTCTCCGTTCCATGGGGCACAGTTGTGCATAACGGTGTTCTCGCACAGCACCACCAGCATCTGCTCTCTCTGCGTATCGATCCAGCCATCGGAGACTACGAAACTGGGAACCAACTTGCCTACTCCGAGTGCTATCCAATGCCCATGGATGATTTCAACCCCCATGGAAATGGCTATATCTCCAAAACAACTGTCGTGGAGAAACCCGGTGGCCTGGACTTGGACCCCTCGAAAAGCCGCGTCTTCATGATGCAGAACAACCAGATTCGCAATCCCGTCAACCACAAGCCTATCTCTTACAAGATCCAGGTTCCGCCCATGCAGAAAATCATGGCTCATCCCGACAGCTATCACTTCAAGCGTGCGGAGTTTGGTGACCACAGCATTTACCTAACCAAGTACAAGCATGATGAACTGTTCTGCGGCGGAAAATATACCAATCAGAGTGAGCTTCAATCCCATTTGCGTGACTGGGCGCTGTATTAATTAATGCTAGGCCGCGGTGGTGATGGTATCAAGAGCTGGGCAGCTCGAGATGACAAGGTTGTCGATGACGATATCGTCGTCTGGGTCCAGTTTGGCATGAACCACGTCCCCAGAATTGAAGATTTTCCCGTCATGTCAGTGTCTCATCTCCGCTAATTTCACTCGAATATATGCTGACATTGAAATTCAAAGGCCTGTCGAAATCCTCAACGTTGCGCTCAAGCCTGTCAACTTCTTCACGCAGAATCCTTCGATCGATGTACCTCCTTCGCGACAGGAGACCAACCAATCCCAGCTGGTTTCTCTTGAGGCAACAGCTAGGTGCTGCAATGAGTCAAGCTCAAAGCTTTAAAATTTCAGCACACTCATTGTTCCTGTCCATTGTTTCCGTTTTTATTTCAGTTTTGGCTACTTGAATCAGTTGCAAATCTCTCGTATAAGTGCATTCCAACGTCACAACAAATGGAATTTTGAACAATCACTGCGGTAAGATAACTATGTAGTACCGCGTTAGATAGCTGCTTGTCCATCGTGGTAACTTTCTTGTCGACTCGGATTGAATAGACCTCTCTAACTACTCCAATTGTTGCTTCCGATTGCCTGGTCTGTCTTCAGGTCCAAGTTATCCAAGAGCTGTAACACAGGCTTCTGGCTATTTTTGTCTTTTCTATCTGACATTGACAGCTCATTAGTCAATTGGATTAATTCATGAAATTGAGATATCGCGCATTTGGACCACTAGTAGAACGGGTTTGGAGATTTGACCCTCGGTCCTTTTTGTATGACCTTTCCCACCAGTGTTCCAGTTTAGCCGTAAGATTTGAAGACCATGTCTTTACGATAAATTACATCCTGGGACCGGGCATTTACATCCAATCCTGATGTATCTGTATTGTTGTCTTGAAACTTGATCTTATTCTTGTTCTGAATATCATGATCCATGTGAGCCTCGAACCCTTGTATATACCTCCCTTCCCAAACTGGCCCCTGGATCGTTTGCTGGACCTTGTTCTGACTCGGCGAGGGTTCGAATAAGCCCTAGTTCCACGCTGAGAAATCTCGCGATGACGCTCGCTGCTTCGCTGCTCGTCCCCGACCACGAACAGGTCTGTTTCCGGGCTAGGGAGTATACTTGCGACGCTCAACCTCACTGCACGTAGCATGGGTATTGATTTCGGGAAGAATCGATAAATCGTCGGTCGTGGTGTCGGCCAAGACACCAAGTATGGATGTCAAAGTAGCTGGCATCACGGTCGCAAGTGTACGGGATCAACCTTGTTGGGGAGAGAAATGGATGGAATAAAAGAAGATGTAAGAAGTGAGGTGAAAGGAGAGAGTGAAGAGAGTGAAATGGTTATCCTCGTGCCTGGTATAGAAGAGTGGGGGCACGTGCTGGTATTCAGATGACAGTATTTCTACTTGGGCAGAGCGTAGATCCAACAAAAGACCCACCAGGAACAGGTCAAATTGTTTGCCATCCAGCCAATCTTGCAATCAGGCTCCCATGCCATCCACTGGACGGTGTCTGCACCTCCATTGTCATGCAATGCATGACTAATCGCATAGCTTCCCCGCAAGTCAGGGAGCAGGTAGGTTTGATCAGCCGACACTCTCTTTCTTCCTTTTCTTCACCCCTTTCTCTTCCCACTTCCAGTTTCAACTTCTCAATATTTCTCCAATCCACACTCCCAATCATGACGAAAGGCTTTGCAACCATCTCGCCCGAGTGCGAGACTGTCTTTGACGAGGTCAAAGAGACCGACAACCTCGATTACGTCATTTATGAAGCTAGCGCACACGACAAGAAGATAACCGTCAACGCATCCGGCAAATATAAGGAATACTCAGAGCTCCTCGCCCATTTCAAGGACGACACTCCCCGATATGCCGTCGTCGACTTCAGGTACGATTCTCCCTCTGGCGATGGTCAACGACACAAGCTTGTCTTCATCACGTGGTATGTTACATTGGTCTCCCCCGCATTTGAGGCGGCGATCCTGCAGATCCCCTGAAATGGAGCATGCTAACCACCCCATTTTGTTCAGGGTGCCAGAGCGCGCGAGCATTCATGACAAGTCATACTACACCACCAACAAGGACCACCTCTTCAGGGCACTCTTGGACATTAGTATTCATGTTCAGGCACACACCCAGGCGGAGCTGGCTCACGCATCAAGTACGTATCTACCTGTTGGGGAATCGCCGTTGGTTCTTATCACAGCACACAAGTATCTAATGCGCGTTTTTTTTCCCAGTCATGGGTCAGTTCAAGGTCCTTTGAGGAATTTCCAATGTCTTATGCATCCGGGGGCTCTTGAAGCCGGGAAACCGAGTACCTCCACTCTATTCGAGAATCTATGACAGAAGGGTTTAGAGCCTACCAATGACTTTTCCTCTCCTACATACAATTGTCGTAGATGATATCTTGGCGAAAATCTGGACCTTGACAGCCAATGTCCGCAATTCACATCAGCGACACCGTGGGTGTAACTTCGGTGCTTCCCGCTGAAAGTTCTTCCCGTCACAACCTCGGGGAGTAACAACGTAACGGCAATCTATGTAGTAAGATGAAAATTCTACCAACCTTGCTTGGAAACCATAATAATTCACTGCACTGCAAGCGCCCTGGTATTGTCGGCTTACAATGTAGAATAAGCTTCCCTCTTCTAGCAGCGATGCGGCATCCCTGGTCTGCAACAATCTACCATTGACACTGAAAATATCCCGAGCAGACACATAACTCCGGTGGCAATGGGTGTGAGCCTATGTTCGATATTTAGAGAAAATTCAAAAAAATTCAATGGCAATAGATAATCCACCTGAGCTTCCGCCATTTGTGGGTGGTCAAACCGCTCAAGAGGGTGCGTGCATTAGAATTTGTCAAAGGTCAAACACCTACAAAATGTCCAAATCTCGTATCATGGACACTTTTTTCGTGTAACTAGCAATATGCTTGGGATCTAATCATATAGCTAAATTGTTCTGTTCAGCTAGTCTCCAATCTAGCCGTTTTTGAGAATGTATTTGGAACCATATAATTTTTGGTTTCTCTGGATCGTTAGATGTTTGCTCCAAGCAAACGAAAGATAATCTTAGTGGGGAAATTATTGTAGGTAATGGTACTTTAGGCAAATATAGCCATAGAGAAAGACGCGTCAATGTTTTCACTAGACTGGCACAACAAATTGCCAAGTAATTCTGGGCAAACCCAAGGAATGTGAGCTCTGCATACTTAAAACCCGCGCATACCACCTTGCCTTCACCCGGTAATGTCAGCAAGAGCCATTTTTTCCCATTTCCCATCTCAAGTGCCTGATATCAAATCATGATTTGGCTCTCGTGCAAAAGGCTACTAATTTTTGGCCTCGGACTGTTCATTTCTTCCGGAGGTTGTGCTAGCAAACCACTTACTAGGGATGTTGTCATTATCGGCGGCGGCTCTTCAGGCACCTACGCCGCGATTAGACTTCGTGATCAAGGAAAATCAGTTGTCGTTATCGAAAGAGAAAACATCTTGGGTGGCCACACCGAAACATACGTTGATCCATCGACCAAAAAGGTAGTGGATTATGGAGTCATTCTATTCCACGACCTGCCTGTTGTTCGCCAATATTTCGCACGACTAAATATATCCTGCGCTCTGCAAAATCTTTCACAGATATTCCCACCCATAACTGCATACTTGGACCCTCAAACTGCCCAGCCGGTCAATTTCACTCCTCCCGATCCATCGGCAGCGCTGGCAGCCTACGCCCAACAACTCGCCCAATACCCGGGCCTAGAGACAGGATACAACCTCCCCAGCCCTGTGCCAGAAGATCTACTGCTTCCATTCGGCCAGTTTGTTGCCAAATACCCTGCAATCGCAAATGCGACATTCATGATAGCCCAGTTCAACCAGGGTCTTGGCAACATCCTCAATCAGCCAACACTATATGTGTTCAAGATATTCGGGTTCGATGTCCTCAACACAATGGTAAATGGCGCCTTGCTTCCGACCAGCGGTAACAATCATCAAATCTACGACCAAGCGTCCAGAATTCTTGGATCCAATGTCCTTTACGGAAGCACCGTAGCATCGGCCACGCAAAGAGATACAAACGGAGTTCAAATAGATGTCAACACACCGAACGGAATCCAAACAATAAAAGCAAAGAAAATACTCATCACAATCCCCCAAACCCTCGTCAATCTGCTCCCATTCAAGCCCGATCACACCGAAGCACAGGTTTTCAACGAATTCAGAAGCGTGGGGTACTATACCTCCCTCTTGCGCGGTACAGGCCTTCCATCGAACTTCAGCTCCAGCTCCGTATCAGCCAATACCTCCTTCAACATCCCCCATATGCCAGCAGTATACTCTATATCCGCTACAGCCGTCAACGGACTTTTCGACGTGAAATATGGCAGTCAGAAAATTCTGCCGGACTCCTACGTGAAGGGTGAAATACTCTCTTATATCCAGAACCTGCAGAGAAACGGGTTCACGGGGAATTTTTCCGGAGCGGCCAATTTCTTGCGCTTTAAGAGCCATGTTCCTTTTGAATTAACTGTATCTCCGGGTAGCATTGCTGATGGGTTTTATAATGATCTCTATGCTTTGCAGGGGTATCGAAGTACGTGGTATACGGGTGCTGCCTTTCATGATCAGGATTCGTCGAAGCTTTGGAACTTTACTGAGACGGTTGTGTTGCCGGCATTGCTGAATAGTTTCTGATTGGAGAGATACTACTATCTCCATTGGATAAAACTGTTGTTGATAGTACTTAGGTTTGGCCAGCGAGCACAATCCCACATCGGTTTATCTAGGTTGATATCTACAAAGCCAATGAGCTTTCGTAGCAAGATATTGAAACACTGAAATATGCCCGCTATCACATGCTAGGTTCTAAAATAAGAATACGGATAAGTACATATCAGGTATTGGCTCCGTAAGGCTAGACGTCAGGTCACAGGTGATTCACCCGACCCGGCCGGGACCATGATCGAGATAGAAAGCCGGGATCTAGAGCTTTACTGAATCTCTTCGAGATGACCAACCATCTTTTGAGGATAGCGCACCTGGAGATTCATGATTTGATCAATGTTTTGGAAAAGCGATATTTACATGTTAACATTTGTCTAAATGAACCTCGTTATCTATTCGTGACTGCTCCCGATCCCGGTTCTGCGACACGGTCCGTTGCAGGAGGGAGTGATTGATCTATTCAGAATGCGCTGAGACCGTTCATGAAAATTCGCTCCGTGGGCAGGAAGATTATAGAGGGCCTGGAACTCAGGTATGGGGAATGCGCTGCTCTGAATGGTTGCTTGAGGGAGCCGAGGGCCCAAAAATTTTCAATTCTGTTCATCTACATGGAACAGCCGCAAAGGACAGGTCTGATTATTCAGAGCTACAATTGAGTTTACTGGAAATAGCGTTACTGGTTTGTTTCTTGATCGTTTCTGTTCCTGCAGGGGCGCCAGCGATCTTCCCAAAGGCACGCTTTGACAGGGCAGAGTGCTCGTTCCACAATTCTCAAAGCCCTACCAGTACCCGACCGGTGCCACAGTCAGGACATACGGGTACAGAAGATCCGGCATGAAGCGATCGTTTTTAAGGTTTAACAGGACGAGCGTTGTAGCCGAGGTAGATCAACCGTTGTGAATGGGTCCATGTTTTGGGATATGCAAGAGGGAGCCCTGGTTAGAGAAGCGGTTTGCGGGGAGGAGGGCGTTTCCTTGAAGGAGGGTTCTCGGAAAGTCTGCCGTGGATCAGTCTTGCATACTTCCAAAGACTCATTTTTGAGGCGGGGTGGCTATCTTGAACGGTTGTGTCGCATTTGTTTCAGATGCCGAGGAGCGGAGCCTTGGGTGAGAACGAAGCCAGTTCCTGATTATATGAAATAACTGAAATTTAAGAACAAAAAAGATAAATTTCACCGAGTCTGAGAATGGTAGTATTTGAATTTGAGGCGCTTGAGAATTGAGGTTTCGAAGAAGAGTCTAGGTTTCGGCAGTTGAGGCTCTTCCCAGTGCTAAGCTTGGAAGTCAATCCTCATTAGGCTATGCATTCCGGGGTTTCACCCACGGCTACAGGATGGTCTCAAATTCAAGGCTGGGGTAACAACCGGGCTACTGTAGCTGTCAAACCCCGGGTCTATTAATCTGATTAACGGGGTTGAGACCAATTTTCAGCATTGCGCCCGACCAAATTTTTTGATAATCTGATATTCAATCTAAACTTGAGTCCCTCCATACCTTGTGGCAGCTCTAACAATCAATAGCGCCCGAAACCCGACCGAACCCTAAGAAGATCCTCTCTTTCGAAAATGAATTTTAGTCACTAGTTTCGTGCTTAGCTTTCCCTCGAAGGTATCTACCTTACGATACAAGGAAGGTGAAAAAAAAATAATGAATGAAGATCCAATATTACGAGTCTGCTCCCCACTTGATTTTCGATCGCAGAGGCAATCGGGAATAAAAATTAGGGGAGAGGAGTCCGCACGGAGTACTCCCTACCTATGGTAACTATCGATTGGATAAACTGACGGGGCGATGCTAGACACCCCGAGAAATGCCGAGAAACTCCCCTATTGATTGCCGCCAATCTTAATAGAAGAAAGAGAAAATTGGCGCTCAGGGCAAGCGCGTCGCGAGTCAAAGCCGACGGGAATTGGGGGCTCCCTTGCCGGGCGAAAAAATTAGTGTTGCCCCTAGGACGAATATGAGCCTATCATTGTGCTCCACTCCTCTGCACTAAGCAGTTCAACTAAACTTTGCGCTCAGGGTCTGAGCTCCACTTGGGGCGAGCTAAGTCAAACCCTATGCTATTCGCGCTGTGACTGGTGCAGATGATCGGGAACGGTGGCAACGTGGCCAGGATCATCCTCATAGGGTTTTTTCTCAATTGCGTCAGATTGCCAACTGGATCGAGCGATGAGATATCCACATTCCGCATCGGCAAGTGTGTCAAATCTTGAATAGGGAGGAGCGTGGAGCAAAAGGAGAAGAAAACGAATAGTAATATGATAAATGATAGATTCAAAATTTGAAATCATTGATGTGGGAAAAATAAAATTGATTAAATGTGAGGTGTAGAAAGATCAAATATGATCGAGCAAGATGAGAAAAAAAGAGGAAATTAATTATTGAGAACGCGTCTCATTCAGTCGGCGCTGAATGAAGTGTATGACATCCATATTATATTTAAAAATATACAAGAAATGCGCGAGATTGTCACCGGACTGTCCATTGACAAGACAGCACTCCACATCGCCCGTGTCGCAGTAGCTTCGCAGCGATCCCTTGAAAGGATCGCACCACTCGGGGTGAATGCGTGGATACAACTAATGACTTCAGCATCGGGACTCTATTCGGGATATCTGCCAGTGTAATATCCCCGACGGCAAACAATAACCGTAGAGGTAACTCGGACTCAAACGAAAATGGATCGCTTACCCCCGTCCCATCGGTGCAGCTCCCGATATTCCAGGGCTGTTGCGGCAGGAATGTCTCCTCGCCGTAGCAGACAGCGGCAATTACTAGCGTTCCAGACATATTTAGGGTTCTCCCGCCAAACCGGAAAATTCTGGCTGGGATGGATTTGATACGATGGAGCTTACCACTCTTGTTATACTTTGGCTCTAGTGCCGTCACAGGGAATAGCCAGGACGAACTGGTTCCACATAGACCATCCATCAGGACAATTCCTCCCTGTGGAGAGTTTATGTTTCAGCTGGATTTCATATCGCCACCGAAGACAGCAATCCTGCCGGGATTACGGTGGTTGCATGGCCGTTTTTCGGGGATTTGATTGCTAGCGTACGGGGGGGGGATGGATAGTAGTCGCATAAACCTTCCAACCAGCAGGAAAACACGGGTTCGATGACTCGGAGGAGAAATGGAAAAACCGATCTGAAACGGGATGTGTCCGACCATGGAGGGAGAACTTACCAATGAGTATCCATGTAGGAAGATCTTCGAGTTTGGACAGTCGGCGATGTATTCTCGGATATACTGCTGCATCAGATACGCCCCATTGCCAGCAGCGACACGGTGATCGTCTGCGCCGTGTTTATAGGGCAAAGCTATGCTAGTCGAACCTGGAATAAGTTGCAAGACTAGATTCTGGATGGTCACCATTACATTCAAGTGATCGCCCGGTCCCTGGCCTCGGATAAGAATGGCGTGCACTCCAGTGGCGCATTGTTCTGGTGGCGTGGGCTGGGTGTGGACCAGGACACCGAAAGCCAACACGAGGTTCTGGAATCGCATGACGAGCACAGTTGATTGGGTGGTGGGTGCGGACGAGTGGAGGATATGGGATGGTTATCGGGGATTTGCCGTGTCTGACTTTGGTTTGGGCTAGATTTACCTTCTGGTGGTTCCTTTGAATCTGGCTCCGACTCTGGTTCGGGTTGAGGCTGTTTCCTTTCTGATCGCTAGTAAAGTTGTGCCATTTCACCTTAATATGACCATAGGTCAAAACGTCCGTGCACAGACTAGACACATATGGTGGTATTCTCTAGGGATATGCTGGATACTATCGAGAAATGGCTGCTGATGATATTAGCCGTGGTGTGCGACAGGCCGAGCTAGATCTGGAGATTGGGATCGTCAGGATCCACCAGGCTGAAGATGAGTGGCTCCCACTAGGAAACAGGGTTTGGTGCCAATACTTGTGGGGCAGTCCTCAGCTTATCGAGCCTTCTGGTCGATCAAGATCATCCACCACATGTGAAGTGTGGGAAAACGGGAAAAGGGAAAATAGGGGAGGATGAAACATTTCAAACCCTAAGTGTGTTGCAGAGTGTTTTGAAGGTACAGATAGTATCGAAGATGCCAAAAAAAATCAAAGCAAAACTTACTGAGAATGAGGATGTCGCACAAAACCGCTGAAGCTAGAGGCAACGTACGCCATTCGCCTACTTTATGGCAGCATCTTGCGATTGAACCATCATATTCCAAGTTTCTGTGCTAGTACGGGGTAGAAAGAAGCAAAATTCGAAATAAATGTGATCAATAATACTGCAAATGAATGATAATGAAAACTATGTAATTCTCCTGTAACGCCAATGTACACCCCTGGTGATCACAGATCACATAAACCAATCACAACCTTGGAAATGATACAGAACTTGTATAATAGCACAGCGCAAGGGGATTCGCCGATCGACGTAATCACAGCCCAGAATGAGGAATCTCATTTTCATTCCTCTTCGTGAGACTTCTCAACAATATCACGAACCGCATTGGCCAATTCGTTAATCACTAATCCTGAGCGGGGAATGGTGTGGCCCTTCCCCGTATCGAAGAAGATGGCTGTATCCGGGTCGCAAACATTGTAGAGCGCATATGCACCATGACGGAAAGGATCTACCTAGCCATTAGTATTGCCGAGCCAAAAAAAAAAGAAGGGGACCGGGAGCCAATAGTTGGGAGTACATACCGTTCGCACCAACAACATGAAGGGTGGGGACGTCAATCATATCTTCAACCTCGTCCGCCAGGAGAACCCCCCCTTTCCGGCGACATGGGTGGCCAACCAGTAATGAACATGGCACATTTGAGGCGGCGCTCACGGCCTTCCTCCTCGAATCGCCGTTGTTCATCCAGGATGAAGGTAGCGGCCATAGAGGCACCTTCACTGTAGCCGATAATACCTCCAATGTCTGGGTTCTCCTCCAGGGTTTGGTATAGATACTCCATGACGCCCTTGTAGTTGAGCCAGGGAACTTGGCGATCGCCCACCAGGTCGCGCATCACATCTTCAGGATTTTGTCCCACGGGGATTTGTCGAACGCGGCTGATCATAGAATCTTCGGCAGCACCGCCATCGTCTGCCCAGCGATAGTGAGGACCGACACCAAAGTATTCCTCGAATCCTGTATCTTGGTGAGCATGGTCCGAGACAGAAGAGTACAAAAGCTTCATACCTGCTGGTGGTGTGATCTTGACGGGCGCATTGATGTAATGGAAGGACGCAGACTGGTCTTGTCCTAGGTCTTTCTGAAGGGGAGCTGTATAATATTGATGGTCAGTAAGAAGGAGGTTCTCTGGGTATCGTAGATTGGGGTCTCTCTTGCTGCATACCAAGCTGGATACTGATGTTCTTTGGAGATAGTTAGCATATTTCCTCTATGATCACTTCAATTCCAAGTTGAATACTTACATCGACATTGCCAATGGCACCGTGCAAGCAGAGAAACTTCATGGCTGTCTAGTCTAGACCGAATGAGAGAATGAATGGAATGTTGCACAGCTGATAGGGGAAGAAAGAGAATAAAGATAGCGCTCCCTGGCTGCTCATAAATCAGCCAATTCCCTCCGAAACACATGTGATCGGCGATCCCAAGTAGCTCCGTGCCTCAAGCTCGCGTGGATTGTGGGTTGCATGGCCGATGGGGTGCCGTGGGTCGAAACGTACCTGAATTTGTGTCTAACCCCAAGGGGCTTGTACTGCAGTCCGAAGTTACGCACCCAATACGTTTATCGCCTCGGCGCAAAAAAGAGGATGCTGATCGTTTCCATTGATTTTTTATTGATTTTTTCGGAGAAGCTCTGGATCGCTCCTGTCAGTGCCCATCTGGATAAAAAGTCTTTGGTTTATTCTATTCTATTTAATCATGAGTCCCGTCAATTCTGGCGAATCCACTTCCCCCAATTCTATACTTTCGTTCTTTTAAACCCCTCTTCCACCCCCCTCCTCTCCTTCTCCTTCTCTATCTCCTTCTCTTTTACACAAAAAAAGGAGAATCTTATATACCATGAATAGTGCCGAGAACGGGTCACAGCCCGACGGTGTGAATGGAGTCAATGAGACTCACGAACCCATCGCGATTATCGGTTACGCCTGTCGTCTCTCCGGTCAGGTCTCCTCCCCCGGCGACTTATGGGAGTTATGCACACGCGGTCGCAGTGGATGGTCTCCCATTCCCAAAGACCGTTTCGACTCCGGTGCCTACCATCATCCTAATCCATCCAAGTCGGGCACCACAAACCCCATCGGGGGTTACTTTCTCGACGAGGATGTCTCCCGATTCGACGCCCCCTTCTTCAATGTCACCGTTCAGGAGGCCATTTCCATGGACCCCCAGCAGCGATTGCTTTTAGAAACCTCATACGAAGCTTTGGAGAGTGCTGGCATTCCCAAAGAATCCCTTGCCGGTCGTAATGTCGGTGTCTTCATCGGTGGCAACTTCGCCGATTACGAGCTGCGCAACTTGCGCGATATTGAAACTGCTCCAATATACCAGGCCACTGGCAATGCGCCGTCCCTCCAATCAAACAGAATTTCATATTTCTTCGATTTGTCGGGTCCGAGTTTGACCGTCGACACAGCCTGCTCCTCCTCGCTCGTGGCTCTTCACTATGCTGTACAGAGCTTGCGCAGTGGTGAATCAAAAGAGGCGCTTGTCGGAGGTTGCAGATTGAACCTTCTCCCTGATTATTTTGTTTCCATGTCCATGTCACAGTCAGTACTCCTGCTCTAGCTTTTTTCCCCGGGCTTTCGATCTTTCGGCGCACTTACTAACTTTTTACCTCTTCTAATTTTAGACTGTTCAACGACGAAGGAAAAACATACGCATTCGAAGAGAGGGCGAAATCCGGCTTCGCGCGAGGCGAGGGTGCTGGTGTTGTTCTTCTCAAACCCCTCTCGGCTGCGCTCCGCGATAAGGATCCGATTCGGGCTATAATTGCCAATTCGGGTGTCAACCAAGATGGAAGGACAAAGGGTATCACGTTGCCGAACGAGAAGGCGCAAGAGAACTTGATCCGCCGCGTTTATGCTGAGGCCAATTTGAACCCCGACGAGTGTGGTTTTGCTGAAATGCACGGTACTGGTACGAAGGCCGGAGATCCTATTGAAGCCGGTGCGGTTCACGCAGCCTTGGGCCAAAACCGGACAGCCAGAAACCCCCTCTATATTGGATCCGTCAAGTCCAATATCGGCCATTTGGAAGGTGCAAGCGGTATTGCATCAATCATTAAAGCAGCTATGATCCTGGATAACGGATTGTTGCTTCCAAATGCCGACTTCAAGAAACCGAACCCTAATATCCCTCTCAATGAATGGCACATGAAGGTCGTCAACTCCACGCGACCCTGGCCTCGAGGCAAGAAATATATCAGTGTCTCGAACTATGGCTTTGGAGGTGCCAATGCCCACGTCGTGATGCAGAAGCCTCCTGCGCCATCTCAAGCCGCGGACGACGCCGAGGCTGACGGAGACCCCAAGCGTCGCCTGTTCCTCATTTCAGCAAACGATAAAGACTCGCTCAAGACTAGAATTCATGATTTCGGCGTTTATTTCGAACAAAGACCGGAGGTGTTTGAGAACTCTCTTTTCGGAAACTTTGCCTACACTCTCGGAAGCAAATTGTCGCAGCTTTCATACCGCGTTGCCGTCTCGGCGACATCACTTGATGAGCTTGGTATCCGCTTGGCTCAGTTGAAGGTCAACCCAGTTCGAGTACTGGGTGCGCCTACCGTTGCATTTGTCTTCACTGGACAAGGAGCCCAATGGGCCCAGATGGGTATCCCGCTTATGGCCGACTACCCAGTGTTCAAGTCTGCTATTTTGCGAGCCGACGAATGCCTGCGCAAACTTGGTGCGGAATTTTCTCTTCTTGAGGAGCTTGAGAAGGATGCTTCAGAATCTCAGATCAACTCTCCTCATCTGAGCCAGCCGGCTTGCACAGCACTCCAGGTTGCACTGACTGATCTGCTGCGGTCTTGGGGCATTCTACCCTCCTCGGTTGTCGGACACAGCTCTGGAGAGATCGGTGCTGCGTATGCTGCTGGTATCTATGACCTTGAGGGTGCGATGGCCCTTTCATACCGCCGTGGTCAAATGACGCAGCTCCTTAAGAAGACATTCCCGCTGCTAAAGGGCACGATGATTGCCATCGGTGCTGGACCCGAGGCCGTCAAGCCGATGCTGAAGACTCTGGGAAGCTACGCTACCATCGCCTGTGTGAACAGCCCTTCTAGTGTGACTGTTTCTGGAGATGTTTCTGCCATTGACGAGCTGGAGCCTATCCTGCAAGAGAAGGCATTGTTCAACCGACGCCTCAAGATCGATGTGGCCTACCATTCAGACCATATGAAGAATGTCGCCGAGGCCTATCTGGCTGCCATCGAGTCTATCCAGCCGGCAACTACTTCTACCGCGACCTTCTTCTCTTCCGTGACTGGTGAGATCGCCCAGCCATCTGAATTGGGCCCAGCCTACTGGATTCAGAACCTGACATCCTCCGTCTTGTTCTCTGATGCCCTGAGCAAGATGTGCGATGATGAAGAGACCCGTCCCCACCTTCTCATTGAAGTTGGTCCCCACTCTGCTCTGAAGGGACCTATCCTTGATATCCAGAAGAGCCTGGGCTCGGCGGCGTCTAAGATTGGCTATGCCCCGACTGTGGTCCGTAATGCCGACCCCAGCGAGTCCGTCATGGATGCTGCTGGTGCAGCTTACGTACGAGGTGCATCACTAAAGATCACTGATCTCAACTTCCCTTCCAGCTATGCTAAGAACAGGTCCTTCCTGAGAGACCTTCCTCGATACCCGTGGCAGCACTCTACCCGTTACTGGCACGAGTCCCGTATCGCAGACAAGCATGTTAAGCGAGATGGTGTCCGAAACGATGTCCTTGGTGCACAGGCGATGTACTCGAACGACCTGGAGCCGACATGGCGCAACATCGTTCGCCTCGATGATATTCCATGGCTGCGCGACCACAAGATGCAAGGCATGATTGTGTACCCAATGGCTGGTTATGTAAGTTTTATTCTCATCCAAACCTTGAGGGAAAGTACTAATAGATTGAAAGCTTGCTATGGCCATTGAAGCTGCACGCCGACGCGCTGTACAGAAGGAGATTCCTTTCTCCCAATTCGAGTTCCGAGAGGTTTCCGTTGGATCAGCGCTTGTTCTGACGGATGAGTCTTACGCTGAGACTTCCATCACTCTTCAGCCATTTGCTGAAGGTACTCGTGGCCACTCGGATATCTGGGATCAGTTCCGCATTTTTTCGTGGTCTGAAAAGCGCGGCTGGACCGAGCACTGCTCTGGTCTAGTCCGCGTCCGCGCCAGCAAGAAACAGCAGACCTCTGTCTCCAACGTCGCCGAATCCGAAGAGAATTTCTTCGTCTCTCAGATTGACAAGGTCAAGGAGTCAGCCACGTACAAGATTGACATTCAGAACTTGTACCAAGTTCTCGCGGACGTCGGTGCTGGCTATGGCGCTCCATTCCAAGGGCTGGAGAACTGCTTCTCCGATCCTCGCCACTCATGCGCAGACTTGTACGTCAGAGACACCAAGAGCGGAATGCCTAAGAACTATGAGGTTCCTCTGACAATTCACCCGACTTTCCTGGATGCCTTGCTACACCTTGTCTGGCCCATTCTCGGAAAGGGCCGCATGGAGCTTGACACTCTCTACATGCCTACTCTGATTAAGAGCTTGATCGTCAGTAGTGAGATCCCCTCCACTCCTGGAGAATATACCAAGGCTTGGTGTATTGGAGGTCCCAGTCAGCCATCGCCTGAGCCCACCAAGTTTGATCTGTGGGTAACTCCCATCCACTCCAACGAGGTCTTGATCAACATGGAGGGCTTGGTCATGACTCCCCTCAAGGACGGTGGCTCGCTGGGCAATAGCCAAACTCGCGATCTGTGCTACAAATTCGAATGGCAGTCCCTAGCCAGCTTGGAGAGCCCAATCAATGTCGAGGCTAACGGCCACGCCGTGACCGCTAATGGAGCAGTGAATGGCCATCTCGTACCGAACGGTGTCTCAAATGGCCTACTCACCCCTCTTAGCCCTGACGACGCAGTCACCATGAATGGAAACGGCATCCTGCATCAAACCGATCTTTTGATCACCCAATTCGGAAAGTCAGATGGCAATGTCGACAAACTGAAGGATGCCATTTCCAAGGAAAAGGCCAAGTGGCACCCGACAGTCACCTCCTTGGAAGATATCGATGCTACCGAGAAACATGTCGTCGTTCTTCAGACTGGAAACAAGACTCTGCGGGACTTGACCGCTGACGTTTTCGAGATCATTCAGAAGACACTGTTGAATGCTTCCCACCTTCTTTGGGTCTACCGTCTGGATAACCCAGATGCCCAGATGATTGTCGGTTTGATCCGCAGTATTCGTTCCGAAACTCTTGCCAAGGTTGCTACCCTCGGTCTCGAGATCGAGGATCTGGAGAAGCCCACAGCTCCTATCCTGGCTGCCATTGATGCTCTCTGGCCCACAAACGGAGCCAAACCCGTCGATGACTTCGAGTTCAAGGCTAATGGTTCTGACCTCCTGGTGCCCCGCGCCATGGACGACACTGCCACCAACGCCTTCGTTCACAACGAGACTCACGAGATGACCATCGCTTCTCAGCCATTCCAACAGCCCGGTCGACGATTCAAGCTCCAGATTGGTAACCTCGGTGCCCTGGATACTCTGTATTTCACTGAGGATATCGTCCCCGAGCTTCCTGACGATGACATCGAGATCGAGGTCAAGGCCACCGGTCTCAACTTCAAGGATATCGTCGTCACCATGGGTCAACTGGCTCAACCTTACATCGGTATCGAGTGCAGTGGTATCGTGACATCTATCGGCAAGAACGTGACAAGCCTCCAGGTTGGCCAGCGAGTCATGGCTCTGCCACTGGGTGCTTACTCGACCTACGCCCGTTGCCCAGCCACGAGCGCAGCTCCCATCCCAGACAACATGACCTTCGAAGTCGCCGCCACTGTCCCAGTCGTCTTCGCCACTGCGTACTACGCACTCTTCGATCTGGGCAGACTGCAAGAAGATGAGCGGGTTCTCATCCACGCCGGTGCCGGTGGTGTCGGACAGTCAGCCATCATGCTGGCACAGATGATCGGAGCCGAGATCTTCGTTACTGTCGGCAGCGTGGAAAAGAAGCAGTTCCTCATGACACAATACGGTATTCCAGAGGACCACATCCTCTACAGTCGCGACACTTCCTTCGCGCGTGGCATCAAGAGAGCCACAAACGGCGAAGGTGTCGATGTGGTGGTCAACTCGCTGGCGGGTGATCTTCTCCGTGAGACCTGGGAGTGCCTGGCACCGTTTGGTCGCTTTGTTGAGATCGGTAAGGCCGATATCACGAAGAACACTCGTCTGGATATGCTGCCATTCGAATACAATGTCTCGTTTGCCTCGGTTGATCTTACCAAGGTTGCGGCCCGCAAGCCTAAGCTGATGAGACGTCTTCTTGACAATGTCACTCAGCTTATGGGTAAGGGTGCCGTGAAGCCTATTTCGCCTGTGACTGCGTACCGCATCTCGGAACTTGAGACTGCCTTCCGCACATTGCAGACTGGTAAGGCTATGGGTAAGATTGTTGTTGTTCCTCACCCCGAGGATCAGGTCAAGGTAAGTAAATTCAACAACGAGCCGATACGTTCGCGATGACTGACTCCTTTTTCCAGGCTGTCACATTGAAGACTGGTCATGTTCTCAAGGCCGATGCTTCCTATATCCTCATTGGTGGTACTGGCGGTCTTGGCCGAAGTATGGCCAAGTGGATGTCTTCGAAGGGCGCCAGAAACATCGTCCTTGTGTCGCGAAGCGCATCTGTCAATGATCAGGTGCAGCAGCTGATTGATGAGCTGGCCGTTGATGGCACCCACATTACCGTCAAGGCGTGCGATGTGAGCAGCCGGGCCTCCGTCGAGAAGCTTGTCAAGGAAGATATGAAAGACCTTCCTCCGGTGCGCGGTGTTGTCCACGGTGCTATGGTTCTTCGGGTAAGAAGCCTTCGCGAATCCCTGACTCTCTATAAAATATGCCAATTACTAACAACCTCATCCAGGATATCCTCTTTGAAAAGATGACCTTGGAAGACTTCAACGCAGTCGCCGAGAGCAAGGTCGAAGGAGCCTGGAACCTCCACGACGTCCTCTCCGACTCACCACTAGACTTCTTCGTCGCCCTATCCTCCGTCGCTGGCACAATCGGTAACAGAGGCCAAGCCGCGTACGCCGCAGCAAACGTCTTCCTAGACGCATTCATGGAATACCGCCGCTCGCAAGGCCTGCCTGGTACATCCATCGACCTCACCGCCGTCCGAGACGTCGGCTACCTGGCCGAGGTCGACAGCAAGCGCCAGCAGGAGGTTCTCAAGAACATCGGCACAGACGGCATGGACGAAGCCGAAGTCCTAGCCCTATTCGCAGCCGCGATCACGGGAGATCTGACGCGATCCTGTGGCGGGCACTGCATCACAGGTCTCGAGCTCGGCAGCACGCTGGACCACTTCTGGGCGCAGGACGCCAAGTTCAGCATTCTGTACGAGGAGGCCAAGGCGCGACATGGCAGTGGCGCTGGTGCTGGAAATGGACCATCCGTTCCGCTGAACGCTCAGCTTGCCAATGCGCCGTCCAAGGAGGAGGCGTTGCAGATTTGTTATGAGGCTCTGGCTGCGAAGCTGGCGCAAGTCCTTGTTATTTCGCTGGAGGACATGGATCCTTCTATTACTGTTGCCTCGTTGGGTCTGGACTCGCTTGTTGCAATTGAGATTCGCAATTGGATTGCCCGTGAGGCGAATGCCAATGTTCAGGTGTTAGAGCTCTTGTCTAGTGGGTCTTTGATTGCGCTGGCAGAGATTATTCTTAATAAGTCGCAGGCCTAGACGGTGCGATTTGATTGGATTGGATTGGATTGAGCTTGCCACATCGCAAGCAGGGTTATTTTCTTTGTACTATTTTTTTCATGTGTTGATGTTTTCTGACGTCTGTTTTACTTTTGCATTTCTTGCATCTCTATATGAATACCTTGGAATAGAAATCTTTTGATATGGATACTGTTACTGTGTACCAGCAAACCTTTAGAATGTCTGCTCTTCTACTATCCTTCAAGTTTGAATAGAGCTTTCTTCTATGAAGATTTAATGATTAATGGAAGATCAACTGACCTAGTAGACCGGAGTATTCTTCTCATGTACACAATGTCGCTCCGCTGGGTGTTCCTGACAAATTCGGTGGCCATTTCCAAGATTGGACTGAACTTTTAGAGAGTGACCATGACAAGCTTAAGTTCAAGCGATAAGATCATCGCCTGCTCTATCAAAGCGAGGCTGTATATTCATGCCAGCAATTACCTGCGCAGTGTCGACGCCACATCTCTCTACCATTGGTGAGCCCGCGCTCATCATGGCTCAGTTGGTATCGACTTACACCCATTTGCCCTCAATTTTGAAATCTGAATTCCGGGGTTGACGGTCAATCCAGTCGCTGGTTGGCTGACTCTTACCAGCATATTTCTAGCTGCCTTCTATGGCTCAGCCGTGGAAGCTTCGATGCATGAGCGGTGTTTCCAAACTTTTATGCCGGGATTGACGGCCGCCCCCGACGCTGGTTGGTCGACTTTTACCCATACAGTAGCTTGAAGTGGAGGTCTGTATAGGACAGGAAGTCACTTGTTCTACTCAAAAGTAGAAGATGACACTAATAGTACTAATCCGTACCTACTGGTATAATATGATCTAGAATCCATCTTCTGGCCCAATGCGGCACATCAAATGCCATCGAGATAAGTAACTAACCCGTTCCGGTATCCTCCTTTTTCTTCAACACCAACACCAACACCGAGTTCAACTTTTCAGATCGCCACCCTTTCTCAATGTCTCTCTTCTCTTCCACCTCAGCCCTTGGACGATTCACCACTCGATCCCTCCTCTCCAGACCACTCCCCAGCGGCCTCGCCCAGCGCCGCCTCAACTCCAGCACCAGCTCCAACAACAAGCCAGGATCAACACCTCGCCCATCCTCACACGCCCCCCAACAAAGCCGCTCAAACTTCCCCGTCATCCCCATCATCGCAATTTTTCTCATGGGCTCCGGCTCCTACATCCTCCTCGTCAAGTCCCGCACCGGAACCAACCAATCGCGCCCGTCAAACTAGGCTAAGCCTCCTGCGTTGATCCCGCACCCACGCCGCTCCCCCTCCAATCCACACCGCACCACCTCACCTTTCCTCCCCTCCATCTCCCACCAACAACCCTCCACCTCCCCAATCCCAATCCCCCCTCCAATTCCACCATGGCACCCACCGACCTCACCCCCCGCTTCTCCACCAACGACGTAACAGTCGTCTTCTTCCTGGGCGGCCCCGGCAGCGGAAAAGGCACCCAATCCGCCAACCTAGTCAAAGACTACTCCTTCGTCCACCTCTCAGCCGGCGACCTCCTCCGCGCCGAACAAGTCCGCGAAGGCTCCTCCCGCGGCAAAATGATCAAAGAATACATCACGGAAGGCAAAATCGTCCCCATGGAAGTAACCGTGAACCTGCTCTCCGACGCCATGGCCGAGTCACTAGCGACCAACCCGCCTCCCGCAGGCACAAAAGCCCGCTTCCTGATCGACGGCTTCCCGCGCAAACTCGACCAGGCGGAATTCTTTGAAGCGAGCGTTTGTCCCTCGGAGCTGGTGCTCTTCCTCGATTGTCCCGAGGACGTTATGGAGAGTCGGTTGTTGAAGCGCGGGGAGACGAGTGGGCGTGATGATGATAATGCTGCTTCCATTCGGAAGCGGTTCCGCACTTTCGTTGAGACGAGTATGCCTGTTGTTGAGGCTTTCCGGGCGCAGGATAAGGTTGTTACTGTTACGGCTACGGGGTCTGTTGAGGAGGTTTATGAGAGTGTTAAGGCGGGGATTGAGGAGCGGGGTTTGCACGCTCGCTCTTAAATGAGTTCAGGGGTGTTTTTTTGTGTATAAGGGGTCTGTGTGCCTTCAATTAGATCAATAGAGATGTGTCTTTTGCTGTAATTTTATGGGATGTTTTGCAAATTTGTCTAGATTAGCCCCTGAGATTGGGTTCCATGGCGGGGCATTCTTGTGGCTGTGAATGTGGCTATAGCTATAGCTATGAATACTGGTACTAGTATGACTACGCGGAATTAAGAAAGTCTAGAAATATTGTTATTGTTATTCTTGATCATCAGAGGTCAGGAAATAAAACAAAGTTATCCCTCCGGGAAAACATAAAACACTCAAGTAAAAACAGACATGACATGACTCGTGGGGATCCCAATATCAACGGGCGGCCAGTAGATGGCATTCACTCCAATCCAACTGGCCTCGAAAAAAGAGACAAAATAAAAAAAGAAAATAATAAATGCATGAGGAGAAGAAAGAAGACAGAGGAGGGGGGGGGTTCTCTTTCTCTGCCCTCTATTATCAACTGGAAGAATCTTTTCGCAAAATGTTCTTTTTTGGTCCACTTCACTTCTCAACACTCCAGCCTCATAGAACACCTAATCCAAATGCAGGATTCTCCGCAAAAATATAGCAACCCAGAAGAAGTTTTTATTCCTTGTCTTTTTTTTCATTCTTTACTCAGCAGTGCCCTCAACCTCACGAGGTTGAGAAGCCTGCTGGGGGTTGCGCCGCCGGTCAACGAGGCCTCGGCCCTTGTCACCGTTCTTACCAGCAGCAGCGGCAGCTTCCTGGTCAGCGGCAGCCTGGATACCCTCACGGACGAAACGCTCACGCTCGGAGCGGATCACAGTGAGGACACCCTCGAGAGAGCGGCGCCAGACCATCAAGCGACCCTGTACCTCAGCCCACTGCTTCTCACCGAAGACACGGTAAGTAGCGCGGTGCACGAGGAACTCGGATCGCAGCTGCGAGAGCTTACCCTCGACCAGACCGGCACGAATGGTGTCGATAACCCACATCTCGACGTCGGAAGCGGGGACACGGAGAGCGGAGGCGATGGTGGCATAGGGGAGCGAACGCGAAGGGGTGGAGGAGGCCAGAGAAGTCAGGGTGAGCAGACGCATCTTGGTCTGCAGGGCATCGGAGGCATCGGCGAGGACGCCGCCGGAGATCGAGGCGAGAGGGTTGGCACCGACGAACTCCTCGTAGGCGTCGAGGGTGTCGGAGGTGAAGATCTCCAGGAGGTCGAAGAGAGTGCTGTCGCTGGAGCGGAGGGCCTGGACGGCGTCGGAGGCAGTCAGAGGGGTGAAGTCGAAGACGGCGGGGCGACGCAGGGCAGAGGCGAGAGCGCGCACACCCAGGTCGCGGGCAGCGGGCTTGGTGGACTCGGCAGCGGGGATGGTCTGCAGAGCCTGGACAACGTGCGACTGGGCGAGATCTTCGTCACCAGCGGCGGTGGCAGCGTCGGCAACGGCCAGGTGCAACTTCTGTGCCTCCTCGGCGTCCAGCTCCCAGGCGGACAACCATGTGGGCAGCTGGTTGACCAGCTGGGGCTTCAGGGCCTCGAAGGCGTATCCGGATCCAGATTGGCGGATGACGGCAACGATGGCCAGGAGGACGTGGTAGCGGCTGGAGTCGTTTGCGGAGAGGGTGTTGAAGATGGTGGTGAGGATGTTGATGGCCAGAGTAGGGCCGAATTGGGGAGAGGTGGTGATGGGCTTAGCGAGATAGGTGCAGATGCGAGGGAGGAACATGTCAGGGTCGGAAGACTGGTGCACGAGGTGAACGAGCAAGTTGTAGGAGGGAGTGATCTCTGCGTAATTCCAGGCATGTCAGCATTTCTTTTTCCTCCATTTCTTTATGTTCCCAGAATTTTGCAACGGCGCGGCCTGATGATATTCGATGGATGGTCTTTTTTCCTGGTCTGGCCACCACAATTCCTCGGGGATTCCCACTCACCCTTCTCGGGGGCACCGTTCAGAGCGGTCGCAGCGCCGACAATCTTCTTGAGGACCTCATCGTACTGCTTCTGGTCGGGCTCGCCTTCGGACTGTTCCTGCTCGCGGATCGGCTGGAGGAGCGGGGCGATCTCGGACTGGAGGCTGCCCTCTTTGCGGAGGGAATCGATGTAGTTGGCGAACTCCTCAGCGAGCTCGGAGAACGAACCCTCAATGAGGAGGGTAGTAGTCGGAGCGGGCATGATGTGTATGTGGTGAGAGGAGGAGGGGGGGAGGGAGAGGGAGAGAGTGTTCTTTGATGGTGGAGTCTAATCGATAAGTTGAGAAATTTCAGTGTGTGCCAAAAAAGTCTTGGCGAAGGGAACACCGTCTGCCGCAGAACACCATCAAGTACACTTACACTGGTCACAGGGTAAGCCAACACTAACGAAGGATACATTTACATTCATTCTAGAGATTAAATTCATTTCATTGAAACTTGAGAGATATTCTCGCGACGATTTGCCATATTTGTATGGGTACCGCTACCGGGGTAGGCCCAAAGGAAATAGGCAATCTGTACCTACCAGGCTGATACACACTCTCACTGGTATGAAAGGTAAAAAACACCTAGATATACAACACCTCAAGGCACAGTTGAAATTATTACTAGGCACCGAGGTCCATTATGCTAACGCTAAGCTAAGACAAGCATGGACGGGCATAAAAAGCGGATAGGAGGGCATTCGCAAAAGCCGAGAAGAACGGGGAATCAGACACTCAATAAAGAAAAAAGAGGAAACCAAAACAATGCCGAAGTCGTGATCGCGCTGAAATGAGAGAATAGGACAATTGAACGCGGATGACTTCCAAAATACGGTCTCGGACCAGAACCGAAAGACACCTGGATAGATGGATGCTTTTCCCTCACAGGAACATGCGGATAGCCAGGAACATGGCACCGGCCAAGACACCGGTCGAGTAAGAGCCCTCACCCATGGCAATGGCCACATTGCTGGTGGCGGCAGCCGTGGCCTCAGCCACGGAGGACGAGGTCTCGCTGGAGTCCGAGTCGGAAGTGGTCATGGCGAGAGTGGTGGTAGCCGAAGATGAAGCGGTGGTGGTGGTGCTGATTGCACTGGCGTTCTTGCTACCGCAGTGAGCAGCCTCCTTGCAGGCCTTCTGGCCATCAGCATCGTTGGGGTGGGCGTCAATGCACTGCGCGAAATTCGCCTGGCAGACGTAGAAGGGGACGGTTTGGATGTATGGAGTGACATCGGGAGTTGACCCGTCGGAGCAAACACAGTTGAAAATGAGGGTTGTCTAAAATAATAAGTCAGTCATAATTGATCAATGATCAATGCTCGGATAGGGATATCGCATACCGGGTCGCAGGTGTTTTGCTTGGTTCCGCTCTCGCAAAGCTCGGGGCAGACATTACGCTGACCGGTACACCACGAGCCTAGGGGAGTAATTGTTAGCGCAGCTTAAGCAGATTGGGAACGCAATTGACTCACTTAGCTCATCGGGCTTGACCAGGCCAATGTTGAACCCTGCGGGGAAGGTGTAAGAAGTGGAGTTGGAGCCAAGAGCCGCGGCCGCGAAGGCAGAGACGAGGACAATGGAGGAGCGCATGATTGATTAATGTGTATGGGATGTCGGAGAAATGAATACAGGAAGTGAAACTGTGGAGGATAGAAAGGTGAGGAGGAGAGAAGAAAAAGGAAAGAAAAACAAGGAAACAAAGCGCCCAAATACCACCCTAAGGAAAGTGCCAGTGCCAAGGTGAGTTACCTGTAGGGTGACTACGGTAACGGAGGAAGGCATACCACATGACCTGAGTATCTATCTCCCTTCTTCCCCGGATTTACTGTTTACTGTTTACTCTTCTCCCCTACAGCTTCTTATTTTGATCGACAATTCAACATGCTCTCCCTCGCAGCGTCCAATACTGACCATGTCGTGACTCCCGTATTTGCTGGACCCTGCCGAGTATTCCGTACTCCGTACAGCTTACATAGCACCCCCGGGGCCATAGTTACAGCTAAGGTACCCTAGAGCACCCTCACCCTAGCAGGTCCACTTCAACGTACTTTTGTTGTTATTCCTCTGCAGCTCCCGATAGTGCCGATAAACCACTCCCCAACACTCTTCCCTTGTTTATCTCTACGGGGTACATACATTCCAATCCCGAATTCCCATCACCCCGGCACTGCTCGCCCCCTTGCAGCTGTCATCCCAATCGCATACCCGGGTAAAACAATCTCTGAGATCTGTAATACATACTGACTAGAAACCCCAGAATTTGAGACACATGGGAATGCTAAAAATTGAATCCTTCTTCCAACCGAACCCTCTCCACCTTTTTCGGCACTAGCGTGACTAGCTCCGTCGTCCGCCAGGTTTTATCCAGTCCCATCCCACCGCGCTAGTATACTTCCAGCATAACTCGGTGACCCTGCGTGAAACACAACAAGAACATGCCGGATATCTAGGCACCTTATCGTGGTCCAAGAACTCCGTACTGATCCGTAGCCCTGGGCTATCTCATGGAGAACTTGAAAACATACTATGGCAGTACTCAGCTTTCCAACAGTATCGGCGGCTGCCAGCTTCAAGTTGAATTTATATTCCAGCGGCAAAAAAACTCTTCGGTCTAGTAGGAAGCGAGTTATGTCGCATAAATATGTATTCAGTGCTATCCATGGATGGGAAAATAAGATGGAGGTGAAAGAGAAAGCTAAGGATATTGCTGCCAGTGCCTAACTTGAACAATCTTGGATATTAACGGTTTAATGCCAGGCAGGGATTACCCCGAGAACCTGTTCCAACGCCGTGGTGGCAGAGCATATTTGAAACTCGGAGTTTTCCAGCTTTCACAGCGGAAAGAAGACAACTTGTCAGACGGCCCTGCCACTGTGGCAGCTCGATCATTGGCTCCTTGGAAGCCCAGTCCACACTCAGCATGAGTTCCATCATGCTCTTGCTGCCTCCTTGTGCTGCACCCTGCATCAAGAAGACGACAGGCTACTGATAATTCCCTTTCATAATCGAGTCCAAGTCCAGAGTATACAGCAGGAAGGCGAAATTTTTAGGATGACGGCCGATTGCGCTGCTGAGCTCAAAATAATAGTCATCCTGGTAAGCATCCTGGCCGAAAGGCCAGTTTTCGCCCGAGTACGGCACTTTGAAGTTGAAGCAGAGGTCGTAGAGTATGAACCTGGGTCCATTATCATATAGAAACTTGACCAACTCGATTTTGTCGAATTTGAGGGCTCTCACGATACACCAATCCTACGAATGTCCAGGAAATGTGAGCTTGAAGCCCTTCACCATGAATACCTGGAGAATTTCGATATTCATGCTTGCCGCAATCATCCACGCGGGAGTCGTATGGTTGTTCTGAACGTCAGTGTCCGGAGGGCAGGGATTGCAGCCATAATCTAGAAGGAGTTTGACAATCGATACATGGCTGTGTCGTGTGGCTAGAGACAAGGGATCCTCTCCGGAAGCCTGGTGTTTTATAGACAAACTGGCTCCATTGTCAATGAGGACTTTGACAACAGCTTCACGTCGGCATCGGATAGCCTCTGACAAAGGACTAGTAAATATCCCGTGGAAGAAGCCCCGATATTGATGATCATCTTTGATATGAAATCGTGTGGATTTCAACCTAGCTCCATGATCAATCAAGAGTCTAACAACTGACTCGTGCCCTCTTCTTATGGCACCTCGGAATATTAGTATCTCCTCCTCATCCCACACCTTTTTACTTGACTGGCTGAACTTAACACCGTAGTAGCCGATGGAAGCTTTCACGATGATGACATTTCAATCTCTGGCTGCAACGTGAATTAGTGACCATGGAGTGCCATCATGATGTTCACTAAGGTCCTGTATGCGAGTCCCTGCTTTGAGTACTCTGTTAACAGAATCTTCTTTCCCATTTACTGCAGACCATTCCAAGATAGTGTTCTCTAGACCCTGAGAAAACGTATGGCATAGATGGCGATCAAGCTCCTTGGTGACAATTGCGTATAAGTGGTGATTGTTCTGAGAAAGTGCACAGAGATCAACGCAACGACAGTGATCGTCTAGTAGGTTTGCTATTATCATATACAGAATTTCTGTAGGGAGACTGGTGAGACACGTCGTGATTGATCAAGAGTGGAAGAGTAGTAAAGAAAGATAAAGGCCACAAGCAGGCGATAAAAGCTCTTCTCATAGTGCTATCAGAAGTACTCAAAATTAAATGTAGACCGCTCTGTACTCCGATCCGATTCTCGGAGTGGAAACCGCCGTGAATGAACCGTTGTTTCTCAAAAAAAAAACAAAGCATCATCGGCCCCTTAAAAATGAAAAAGTACTATTCGGATACCCGTGTCTCATTCTGAATAAGCAAACTTTATCTGTATATCAAGAAGGTCAGCCCTGAAACTGCCCAGATGTGAATGCTGGCGTTTATATGTATATGGATATCTCACGTGATATGATCATCACTCAAATTTCCCAAAGAAGCCGAACCGAGGCTAATCTAATCGGTTCTCCAAGACCCGCGGCCAAAGTGTCGGGGTATCCTATGGCCTTCGGAAAAATGGATGAGCTTAACAGCCATTAAATCCACCCAAAATCATCTACTCCGAGCATCTCCTCCTCAAAATCCATCCTCACAAACCACACCGACAGCACGCAGACCAAACCTTGTAACAATGGCCGAAACAGAACCCGCCATCGCGCATTTCCGCTCAAACCCATGGGCAAACTCACTCATCTCCTCGGCGGACTACAAGCCCATCCGAACCGACTCACGCCAAATGAAGCCCACCGGCGAAGACGGCTACTTCGCAACCACACTTGGCACATCCACAACAATCCCGCACGTCCTAACGCTTCAACGGCTCAACATTTCCCCACCCCCGTCCAAAACACCCACCTGGCTCCCCGCAACAAAACAAGAGGCCGAGGCCGCAAAGGCAAACCCCACGCCGAGCGCTATGCCCGCGGATATAATTATGCTTCTTGATCTCTCGAGCCCGGGGCTCTCGGGACACCCGGATACCGTGCACGGGGGTATAGTCGCGACGCTGATCGACGAGGCGATGTCGCTGGCCGTTGGGGCGCATACGAGTGGGGCGGGATCTGATGCTGGTGATAATGCGCGTGGGAGTATCTTCACGGCGCAGTTGGATGTTCGGTATAAGAAGCGGGTAACGAATCCTGCGTTGCTGGTTGTTAAGACGAAGGTTGTTGGGCGTGTGGGGAAGAAGTTTTGGGTCAGGGCGCAGGCTTTGCAGGAGGATGAGGAGAGTTCTGGGGGTCATCTTGAGTGGGCGAAGAGGAAGGTCGTTAAGGCTGAGGCTATGGCTTTTTGGATTGTTACGCCGGATGAGAAGCTATGAATGATGTGGAGCGTATGGGTTGTATATAGATGTTTTGAGGTTTCTTGTAGATTAGACCATTACCGTGGGGGTCGATTTTACATCTAAGCTATAACTTGGAGAAAGATGGACCTTGAGCGATCAGAATTGTACATACTGAAAAGATACCATGAACTATACAGATTATCACGAGACGGACTATTTCTTTCCACCTACGGCCTTAGAATATAACCGGAACTTGAAGTAGCCTTGGAGGAATGTGTACTTTATATGTACATCTATGAAACTTGACTATGTACATCTATCCACGAAAAACATGACGCTCCAGCTTGGCCAACTCTACAACTTCTCCATCTTCCTCGTCCCAATATTCCGACTAGCACTAACAACAAGCCCAACCTGCGTACTCAACGCAATAACCTCCCCATTCTGATCAAGCACTGTAACATCCAAATCCGTCCTCCCATCCCTAACAACCTTCGTCACAATCCTCGAATAAAGCCACTCCACCCCCTCAGCCGGCAAATGCTTCTTCATATCAACATTCAGCGTAACAGTCGGATACCAAAACTTAGCCCTAGGCCCCGACCCCTTACCCCCCTGCGCCTTAGCCTCCGCCTCCGCAGAAACAGTATCAAACCCATCCAGCGCCATGGGAAACATATCAATCAAATAAGGAATAGTCGCATCCGTCCACCGACCCTTCACATCACCGCCAGGCTGAAACCGCGCCCACTGATCGATCGCCATACTCCCCGATCTAGCCTTCTGCGTTGCGCCCTTACCCGGCCCATACAGCTCCAATTGCGCCGCCGCGCGTCGGAACTCAGGATAAGGCGGCTCAAGCTTAACCCACTCGCCATCCTTGCCGTTAGCCAACGCGTCGAAATCGATCTGCCCGCCGGGTCTGGAGCCCGACGGCGCGGCGGGTTGGGGTGTCCAGCCTGTTGGAGCGCTGATGCCGACCTCTGCGGTCGGCGGGCTGACGGTGATATAGCCCGCCACTTTTATTTCTAGGAGGTCTCTTTTCTTTTCGGAGGGTTGGAGGAGTTTGATGTGAATTGTGCTTGTTCGGGCGCCGATCTTCACGTCTTCGACTTCCATTGTTGCGGGGCCGGCGGCTGTGCGGCGGAGGAAGGATAGTTGGAGGGAAATCGGGGAGGCTGGCGTGTCATATTGGTTTGGGTGGGCGTGGGCGAAGTGGACTAGGGCTAGTCGGTATATAACGGAGGTTGTGTAGCCGCCGTGAGGAACTTGTGTCTTTCGTTAGTTGGGGGTGCTGCTGCGGGATTCATGGGGATGACATACCGGCTCCGATGCACCACTCCGAGCGCAGGTTGGCGCTGTATTTGTTGGCGCCTTCTGGGGTGACGCGGATCGCGTCTTCGAAGGAGGCATTGACGGGAGACATGGTGTAGTGGTTATAGGGATAAAGAATGGGAAAGTAAAGAGAGAGATTCTCCGTCGGGGTACTCTCGATGTATACTTGTACTCCGCAGGTACTCGGTGAACCTCGGCCCAAGGCCCTTTCCCCATAAGACCCACCGACCGACCTCCACCTATCGGCATTAGGGTAGAAGCTCACTTGAAAGGATTCGGCACGATTATGAGATTATGCGATCGAGGGGTTGGCCAGAAGCTGTGAATTAGTAGGTTGAGCAGTATGTTATTGTGGTCATGTGAAGATATTTGGTGCTGTCTTTGAGTGACAGAATTTGAAATTACTTTTGAATTACATTACAGAATAATGTTAAAGAGTAGAGAATGTGTCGTGGGTATTGTGGCGTGCATAAAGACGCCAGAGATGATGCTGTACTATCCAACAGTGTCTGATGCAGTAGATATATGGTAGTATGGTAGTATGTATCCAGATGGGATGATCATGTAATAGTAGAACCCCTTAGTATCCACTAGAATCAAGAAAGAAAAATCCGAAAATAAAAAACGCCAATCCTTTTAACCCTCATGGACTCATGGTTGCGTTGTCGAAAGCGATTATCCATGCTGGTTGAACAGATTACAACGTCTCTATCATTAGTTACTGCTGGGTCGATTTGTTCTCTGCGGGCGCAGCCAGCTGCTGCAAGCAAGAGAGGACACCTAAAAGAATCAGCGGGGTCAATTCAGTTCGTTAACTTGATAAAAGGGCAAAAAAAAAACGAACCTGTCACGCCTTGCGTCAATGTCGCCCTAGCTTCCGTGCTTCTCGACCCCAATGTCACGGTCATTGCATAGTCCACAGCTTTGGCATCTTCCAGCTTGTTCGCCCACCGGAATACAGGCTCATCTTCGCGGTTGTCGCCAATAATCAGTAAGAAGTCCGGTTTGGAGACCTCTTCGTTCTGCTTCGAAGCTTCCAATGACCACTTCCAGACCTTCGCAGCTGCAGTTGCCTTGTTCGTGCTGGATGTTTCTACAATCAAAGCGCCCTCGACTGGAATCGCATGCACACCATGACCAGCACAGGCATCATTAATATGGTCCGCGCATTCAGCAGCCAATCGCCCAGCGCTGAGGCGATCCTCGGCCGACCCGTGGTGAAACACAAGGGAACAATGTCGCTCTTCCACCCAGCTCCCTTCGCTGCGCACCTTGAAATAAGCCAAGATTGGTGAGACGGCAGTCTTCCACTTTTGAATGCTATGCTTGTCGGCAAGATTCGACCACTCATCGGAATCGGGCTTGCGAACGAAACATCCGTTCTCGGCGATCAGGCCCAAGTGGTTGACTTGGCGGAATAGTCGTTCCATCTCCTCTGGCATGCGAGAGCTCATCACGTAGACGATATTGGCAGGATCATCGGTTAGTTCGGTCAATGTTGTGATCGCACGCTGAGGTGTGGTGAGAATGATACTCCGTGGAGATCCCCATGAGGCGAGTGTGCCTTCATAGTCGACAATCATAAGCCGGCGCTTTGACTGGCGGTATCTTTCGATTAGTCGCGGTGTAGATAGTCGTGGCACGGCCATGATCTCTCGTGAAGACTGCTCGTTCCAGACCCGAGTCAAAGTCTCATTGAAGGACTTGACCCAGTTGGCAGTCGAGTTCTGCAATACTGCGCGGTGCAGCGCTTCCCATACCTCCTTCTTCTTGTTCTCGTCCCGGGTGAGCGCGGTGTAAATGGCCTCCGAGCACTGTCGGTAATCCCAGGGATTGACCAAAAGTGCGTGGTTTCCAAATACCGATGCACTGCCTGTGAATTCGCTGAGGATGAGTGATCCATGTTTCTTATCGCCGTAGCTGCCATCCTGGCAGTATACAAACTCATGACTGGTGAGGTTCATTCCCTCGCGGAGACTGGTGATCATTAAAGCGTCCGCTACCGTGATGAGTGCAAGATATTGTGGGAATGCTAAGTCTTGTTTCAGGAAAACCAAGGGCTGATGTGCCAAAGTCGAATGGTTGGAGTTGATGCGCATAGCAATATCAGAGATGGTTGCTTCCAACTCCGGCTGTTCTGTGGTGCTGGTTGCCACTTGGATGAGAACAACCTTGTCCGCCCACTCTGGATATGTGTTGAGAAACAGCTCATAGCTGAGCAGCTTCTGCCGGATACCCCGAACAGAGTCAATCTTATCGCGCGAGACTATCAACCGCTTGCCTTGGTAACGATCGGAAATGGTATCGACCCATCTCTCGACATCGGCTGCCTTACGACGCTTGTCCCATGACGTTGGATCAATACCAATTGGGAAAGTTCCAACATTGATAAAACGATCTTCCATCTGGATACCCTCATTGGTGGCTTCCACGCAGAGAATCCGACTGCAGGTCTGCAAAAAGTGGCGACAATACTCGGTAGTCTGGAAACCGATCAAATTGGCGCCGAGAATACCCTCAAGTAGTTCTTTTCGCGGGGCCAAGCATTTGAAGACCTCTGACGATGGGAACGCAATGTGTAGGAAGAAACCAATTTCCGCATCAGGCAGCATCTTGCGCAACATCGCAGGCACAAGCAGCAGATGATAATCCTGGACCCAGATCGAATCGCCGCGCTTCCAGTTCTTGGCGATACTTTCCGCAAATTCCTGGTTCAGCTTTACATAGTAGATCCACGAATGATCTTCATAGGCCTTGCTCTTCGGGTTGTCTGGAATCTGGTAATGGAAAACGGGCCAGAGAATCGTCTTGCAGAAGTGAGTGTAGTGTCCATCAAAGTCACCATCGCTAACGAATACCGTCAACGAATCGTACTCGTCTTCCAATCTCTCGGCAATCTCATTGCGCGTGTAATTGATCAGCGCATCGGTGGGCATTCCCAATGTCCCGACCCACATCAGCTCACCCAGGTATCCAGACTCCTTCGCAGAACGAACCGCATTCCGCAAACCACCGTTGCCTTGCTCAGCTGTTTCAATGGTCCAATCTGCCCGGGAAAATGACTGTTTGCGGGCATATAGCTCCGGCTTGACGACTCCGAGGTATGGACTGGTCGGCTTGGCGTCCGGGGTCTTGGGCGCAGGTTCCTTATTGAGCATGACATGATCTTGGTGCTTCAAGATGGACGGCGATGGCGACAGGAGTGACTGAGGCTTCGGTTGATTCAGCGATCTCGTAGCACCCCATGCAGGAGAGTGGCCTTCACTCTCAGTGAGCAGTTGGCTTTCTGCGTGTTCAGGGATCGTGGGTAGTGCGAAGTATCCTCCATCCTCTTCGTCGGGTTGCGCGGGGTTGCTTGTGAATATTCGCTCATGATCGGTTGTTGCACCGGGGGTCAACCCTTTCTGAGGCGTAGGGTTGTTGTTCTCGAATAAACTGGCGCCCGCATTGGGGTGCGGAGGAGCCGAGTCAGCCCCCGCATTATTAACGGCGGTCGGAGGAGGTGGGACGGCGCGATAGCGAGAGTTTTCAACGTGAAAGTTGACGGTGTATGGTAAAAAACTGACAGAAGCTTAAGGTTAGAATCTGGCTTTGAATTGGGTGGAGACAGGATGATTTTATGGTCGCTTACAGTGACGCGATGAAGACCGTCATGGTGGAACACCAACCTCAACAGAGGACAGGAATGGCGGACACGGCGCGACAGGGACCTCGCGTAAAGCGATTGAAGAAGAGAAGTAGCAGACAGGAAGCGAGTGAAGAGCAAGAACCCTTATGTCGGGCATAAAGCTGTCATCGACCAGCAGGAAGCAAGAAAAGTTGATCAAGTTAAGATCTATTTTCTCATGGCTACGTCATGTGAAAGTAGATCAGGTGGTCCCGGTACTCCGGTGAGTAGTCGTAGATACCTTGGAATGCTTTGGGTACTCAGGGTTGGGGGTATGGTGCGTTTAAAATGTAGCAGTCCGGGGGGGGGTCCTGCTTTTTCTCTTCTTTTTCTCGGCGTAGAATGAGACCACGGGGCGAGACCCAAAGCTTTCAAGGCACCGTTGAATGGCGGCTGTATTGAATCGAACGGGGCTATACAGATTTCCGGCTGTTCCACCCTGACGTTGATGTTTTATTACGGTATTACATATACCAGACTATGAGGCCTTTGATGTCATTGGCGGGATCTTTGTGACAAAAGTGCCTGATCGGCAGTGAAGGTGTCATTTGCTCTTCCAAGGTTGATATTCAATCAAGCAGCTAACTCAATCTATTTACGGGTCTAATGTTTGCTATCAGGGCTCTCAATGTGGGTGGTTTGACACATTCCGGAGTTATTGGTTGGCGGGGTTTGATCGGCCTGTCCTTGTTGAAGTACGTATTGACGCTTGTCAATTGCAAGAATGCGGCATTTTAATTCAAAGGAAAATAACGCTCATACCATTCTCCCAGAGGATCTACCCTAAGGTATCTATCTATAAATGACAATCGTGATAGCTTTCCAAAGGGTTACTTTCGGAACGCAGTCACCTGACATTGATTAGGTAATCTTCAATGTAGGCGTTTGGCAGCAACGAGGCTCCTTCATCATTCCATCCTGAACATCGGAACAATTCCTCCCAGGCATGCCCTTGCGTCTCACCTCAGCTCCAGTCTCCGGTGTCAAGAAACGCAAGCCAGCTGCCCGCAAACCCCAGGCCTCCCCATTTGCCACCCATGCGCGACGCAAACCAATCTCCGCCGCAGCGAGTGGCGTGAAGCGGGCAGCCGAGGAGGGTCTGCTTGACGATGATGACCCTCTTCCAGATCTAGGCGTATCGCATTATATATCACATACTGCATCTGTTGAGAATGTCGTCCAAGCAATCGAGTATATTCGGACAAAAATGTTTGACGAGCTGCCCGCTCGAGCCGGGATGAATAGCACGCGCATAGCGGAGGTTCTGAACTTGCGACGGTCACTGCCTCCGCTAGCATCGGTGGCACATGTGCATATGTTGATCGATGCTCCCACGCAGGTGGAAAGGGAGATTGTAGAGTTGGTTCAGGCGGGCCGAGTCCGGCGTCTGGTCGTTCCAGGCCGGGGCAATGATGCAGCTGGGCTAGGTGATTGCCTGGTTCTTGCGGACGATTGGGAGAAATTGGTGCGTGAAAGCTCAGCTCTCGATGCTGATGTCAAGGGTATGTGTTCAAGTTTCGGCCCGGGATCTATCGTCAGGGACATGCAGCTGACATTTCTCCATTTCCAGAGAAATTCCTCGACATACTTGGCCGCATCGGAACCAGCTCTGCGATCTCGCAGAGCGTATTTGAACCAGAAGAATATAGGTCGTTGATGCGTGCGGGATTCCTCGTATCATCCTCTTCTTTTACGCAAGGGTCACTGAGTCTTGCGTCTCTTCCTAAATTGCCCAGCGCGGCGGTCTCGTCGGCCAGTCGGAATGAACCGGTTCGATCTTCTGATTCCAACCGATCTGTGCAGACCGATGCCCAATCTCGCGCTGCGACGCTATTTTTGTCACTGCCAAATACCGGGACATATCTTCGTTTGCTGGGCGCTGGTCGTGCTCACATGATGGCTCTTCTCCGGCGGTCCAGCTGCAGTGAGGCCCCCATGGGCTTATTGAGAGACCGTTGGGATGGAGCGGTGGAAACTGAAAAGAGTTTCCATCTGGCCAAAAGGGCCCGAGGGGAATTTGCGGGTATTTTGCCGGGTAAAACGAAGAAATGGAAGGATTTATATGGCATGCAGTTCCGCTGGGTGCTGGAAGAAACCGTGGGGGCCGGCCTTGTGGAAATGTTTGAGACAGGTAGTGTAGGACCTGGAGTCCGCTGCATCTAGCGTATGACTGTATAAAATGATACCCCTTCGAATACAAATACAAATACAAATATCGATTTCTATCTCTGTCTCTACCTATCTATATATGCGAACAGATCGCCCCACCAACAACGTCACTGCGCGAACCACAAACCAAACAAGCTCCGCCGATCCCTCGGTCCCTCAAGCTTTGGTTCATTCTTTCCCCCAGATTGTTCCCCATTCCACTCCATTGCCCAGTTAGCACCTAGGTACTGGTATCATCCATCCCTTGACTACTAGTAAGATGCCCCTAATCCAGCTCCAGCCCCATCCGTTCACAGTCCTACCCGCCCACCCATCTCTTCCATCTCGGCCCACGCGCCCAGGAGCAAGACAGGTTGCGAGCACCGCTCTCCAAGAAGCTCTCGAGCTCCTCAATTCAGACCTCCCGACCTGGGAAAAAGACCCCAAAGCGCGCCGCTCATCCCCAGCATATGCAGAAATCCGTCTCTCTCGAAAATGGCGCAAATACGAGCAGACTTCGGAATCTCCATCCAAACGCAAGCCTGAATTCTGGGTCTGCCGCCAAAGCGAACACCCCGACGCAGCTGTCGCCGGTAGCGCGTCGTGGACCGAATTCGAAGATGGGTTGCGATCAGAGCATGCCGAGCACGAAATGGAATATACTCCTAGTGTCACCGGCGTTGAGCGATTACTTCAATGGACAGAGCAGGAGATCGGGGAGCTTGATATGAATGGAGTCACGTTTAAAGATGTGGATGTTGAGGGTGAGTGCGCCTTTGTACTAACCAATTCTCTTTTTTTGCAGCGTAAGGATCCAAGACTAACACAAACTCAACGCAGTCAATCTCATCACTCACACATTTCACCCAACAGCTATAATTTCCCCACGCTCCTTCATCTCATTCACCATCTCCGCCACATATGATGCACACAGCAACGAACCTTCTCACCCATCTAAAGGATTCATGACTGTTCAAATACCCCTCTATGCAGACCGATTCACTACACCCACGGCTATTTATGAAAAGATCAAATCGACCGTATCAAAGCGCACAATCTTCGCCAACTACGCCAGTGTCGAGCGCGTTGCGAAGAAGAATCGTCCCCCAGAGCCTTCTTCGCAATCTGGGGAACGCCATGTGTACCCACCACTTATTCAATGGACTATGGCGACTACCTCTGATGCTGGCGGGTCGATTCCACAATGGGTGCAGAGGAATTGGACGCTTGGTGGCGTGCCTCGCGCGATTGTAGCGGATGTGGGCTTGTTCATTGATTGGACTACGAAACGGCGGGCTTTGGCATAGTTTGGGGATAAGGCGTGGGGAGTTATACATTTGGCACATGATGATTGCAAGTTTGGACCTTGGCACTGCGTTGAAGTTACAGTAAATATATTAATACTTGTGAATCGAATTCTATCTTGGCCAACATGCATCCACTCGGCTTTTCTGTTCTACAGCTCAAATCCCACATGGTCGAAACAAAATGATCCTCACCACTACAATAAATACCCCTTTGCCATTTTCTATAAAGAGTTTCACCATAGACTAACTATATTTATGAGTGATCCAAAATCCAGATCCAAAATCGAGAATGCCCACCAATTAATCACAGACATGAGTGGGGCGGGCAATCGACCAAAACGGCAAACCCAAAGGCGCATCGCATCGAATCGTACCAGATAGAATCTCCCTATGACTCCAAGTAATCGGGAGAAGCCAAGTGACCGACCTGCATCTATAAAACCTTTCCCAAAGACCAACTAAACCCGTGATCAAATTTAGAACAGTCAATTCAACTTCTATCCCCCCCACCCAATCCACGGCGAATTCTCGACATCATGACGGATACCCCGGAGCGAATTCAGACGTCCGAGGGAAAGAGTCGTCTCATTAAACACTTTGAGAAAAGGTATCGTATATCGTTATCGTCTACCTCCACCATCGACTTCCTCTTTCTTTCTTATTATTTTCTTATTACTTTCTTATTATTTTGAAAATACGGAAACCTAACTGGCAGACTATAGTTCAATCAACAACCACAACGAAGCATGGACAAACCTATGGGAAACCAACAATGACGACATGTGGGATAGAGGCAAACCCTCACCAGCCCTAATCAATCTCATCGAGCAAAGACCCGATATTCTAAGCCCGATCACAGCTGACGGTCGGCGAAAGAAAGTCCTCATACCTGTACGCAGTCCACTCTCTCCGCAAGCCAACAACCCAAGTTCAAAACCGACCTCAACTAACCCTTAAACCCAGGGATGCGGAAAAGGCTACGACGTAGTCATGCTCGCCCTCCACGGCTTCAACGCAACCGGCCTCGAAATCTCAGCCAAAGGCGTCGCCACCGCAGAGCGCTACGCCCGTGAAGAATTCCCCTCCCCGCAGAGCTACAACTTCGGCTCCAGCACTAGCAGGCCCGAGAAAGGCTCAGTATCATTTATCCAAGGTGATTTCTTCGCGGACTCCGGTGAAAAATTCGACGTGATTTATGACTACACTGTTAGTTTATCCCGGTGCCAATCTCATCTTGTCCGAGTCTGATTCGTGTCGTCTCGGAAAGGCTAACTATTCTATTCTATGAACGTAGTTTCTCTGCGCGCTGCACCCAAGTATGCGCGCGCGGTGGGCGGGCCGTATGGCCGATCTACTTGTTTCGGGCGGTATGCTCGTCTGCTTGGAATTTCCTCTCTTTAAAGATCCCAGGTTGACGGGGCCGCCGTGGCCTTTGCAGGGTGTTTATTGGGATTTGCTTGCGGAGGGTGGTGATGGGATTGTTTATCCTCCGAAAGCAGGAGTTGAAGATCAGCGGGATCCAAGGACGGGGCAATTTGACAGAATGTTGTATGTTAAGCCTGAGATTTCGTATGAGAGTGGGAAGGGGTCGGATATGTTGAGTGTTTATGTTAGGAAATAGGATTGTGATGGATGGTTTTGACTCAATCATTGGCAATTCAAACTATTTACATTTCCCATTCGATTACATTACTACTAGTAGTAACCACTGGCACCTAGGCAAACCACGCTCAAAGCACCTCCTTCAACACGCCAAAGGCCTGCAACGAAGCCGCCAACCCACAAGCAATAACGTTAGGAAAGATCCCATTCTTAACATACCAGGCCGAGCTGGACCACAGCAGGACATTAATGATGCCAGCCATGGCCTTGTTCAGCGGGTCCTGCAGGGCAGACGGGTCGCGGGACCACTGGTAGTGCAGGATTGCGGAGAGGAAGAAGAATGCGCTCCCCTGTAAGCTTTGTTAGATTGGCCCGTGGTAGAGTAGAGTATGGGTGGAGTGTTATGTTAAGGAGGGAAATGTCTAGTCTTTCTTACCTGATACCAGCCAACCTTTCCACAGGCCCAGGCTCGGCTGCCCTTGATATTTTTGAAGACTTTGTCGGATGTCCATTCTTTGCCGCCGATCTGGGGATGTCAGCTCGGTATTGATCCTATTCGGCAAATGCGAGTGCGAATTCAATGCGAATGCGCTGCGTGGGGGGGGGCCTAGGGTATCAAGTTCAAGTTGTAGTTTGACTATGTAGTACGTACAGTGTGGCCAATGGAAAGTAGGACAAAAGACACAGCCGATGCTGTGAGGGCTCCTGATGGTGCAGACATTTTTCTTATGGAACTGGGTTATATCGTAAGTTCAAGGTTGTGGTGTAAGGTTTAGATGCGATGTGATGGAGAAACCGGAGCTCCGGGGGTATTTCAGCTAGACAGGGGGGGGGGGTTGAAGCGAGCCTCGGTCCAACAGTTGGGCCGAGTGGGGAGGAGGTCTCGGATCGACTCCACATGGTTATGCATGGGATGGGGATGGGGCCGGATGGATTGAAGCTTAAACATTAATTGTAATCTATGTAATTGATTGTGTTCTAATCCTAATTGTGATTGTATGAGGATTGTAATTAGTGGTCCATACTGAATAACCGTTCTAAAGCCGGAGGTTCATGCTTATTACTAGACACTGTAACATTGGGTATATTATCACTACCTAGAGTCAAATAGCTGGACAGAGAAGTGAAAGGGGGCGGTGAGAGTGGGAGGCGGGTCAAAGTATAAAAAAAAATAGAGAAAAGGGATAAGACTGAAAAACTCCAAGCCAGGGTCGTTCCATGCATCCTAAGAAGTGCAAGTACGCCGAACTCCCCCAGTTGACCATTGAAGAGAACACCTCGCAAGAAGAGAATCTGTAGACAAAAAGGAAATCAAGATATGAGGAAAAGGAGGGGAATTTCAAAAGAGAAGATAAAGCCTGTAGGACAGAAGGTCCTTTTTTTTTGGAAAAGGGCCAATATCGATTAGTGCGAAAAAGGGTAGAGGTTCAAGAAAAATGAAAGCCACCAACGCCGGCAACTGTCGGATCATGAGACATTGAAAAAGTTCCATACTGCAGGTTGGAACAAAAGCATATCGACAAAAGAATATCGACAAAAATGGGAGAGGGTGCAGGAAAGGACGGGTTTCCTTTCAAAGGATGAGCTGGGCGAGATAAGACCGTATCATACATGACCATCATATGACCATCATCGCGGACCAGAATTAGGTTGATTTAATTCCACCGGTTGAGGCGCCGAGTTCGATGCGATATGCGCACGCAGCGACGCAACTTCTTCTCGTAATCCGACCATCTCATCATGCATGGAGCGAACATATTGCCAGAGCTTATCGATTTGGCCGGCGTCATTGTTTGGCTCCGGGCCGTCAAGCCCCACCTTTGGTGGTCCGTGATGGGAACCAGAATGACTGTGTTGTGATGTGTGTTTTGCTGGTGCCTGCAAGCCGTATCTGGCATCAGGAGAACTAATAACGGGCGGGGGAAGATGGGGCGCTCCGGTTGGTAATGGCAGGCCCAAGCCCGGTGGGGGGTGGGGCGTGGTTTGGCTGCGCTGTGCGAGCGAAAGATGACTGAGGGTGAGGCAAAGACTGGCCCATGCCGGGGGAGTGTGCGCGGTGAGGTTGTGTGTTTCCGTCGTGGTGCGAGAGGGAGTTCGGGGAGAGTGGCTTGGGGCTGTCACCGACATTTGTTGGGGTGAAAATGGACGAGCCGGATGTATGACCTGCGGGCGGGAACGTCATATTTGAAGGTTGTGATGTTGCCGCTGTCGATGTTCCTGATCCACCGTGCGAGCCTGGAGGTGGGTAGAGAGCACGGCCAGCAGCGATCGGTGGATAAGTACTGGGCAGGCGGGGCTGGAGAGAGTCGGATCTGGAGAGAGAATCAACATCGGACTTGCGCATGCCCGGCATGTTGAGTCGTCGCTCATCCTCCTCGTCCATTCGCTCTGGCTCGGCGTAGACCAATCCATTCATTGCGTCATCTGCCGGGTTGCCGTCACCGTAGTCGTCGTCTGCTGCAAAGCTACCCATGCTTGATCGACGACCAGCACAACCCCCTTGACCCTTATTGTGGCGCGCAAGCGCGTCGCCTCGAGCAAATCGACGCCCGCATTTTGGACAGATATGAGGGCGCTCGCCTGTATGGAGTTTGGTGTGTCGTTTCAAGTCGTGTAATCGGCGGAAGCGAGATTGACAGGTTTGGCAGACAAATGGTTTCTCTTGGCTATGGGTGAGCAGATGGCTCTTGAGGTTGTGTTGTCGTGTGAACTCTGTGGCGCAGTAGGGACAACGGTGCTTCTTTGCGGACGGCGAGCGCGGGCTCCCTCTGTTGTAGCCCGCATCTGGCAAGCTAAGTCCACGGCGCGGATCGCTAAGACTTGGACGACGAGCATTCACAGGTGGGTTGTTTGCCGCCAGCATTCCTGGACCGCCACTGGGCATAGGATACGAAAAAGCTTTGTTGCTCTCTTGCTCCAGATCCGAGACCGCCCGAGGACGCGGTCGATCGCCATCCTGGGAGGCTGAGTCTTCAATGGGGCCTGGGCTCGCGACGGTTGATGTATGCATGAGAGAGTTCGAATTATGATCGATTGATTTGTAAGGGTCTGACGCCGGGTCATTTGGGTGTGAGTCGACCTGCATCTGTTCCGGCGATGCGTGAATCGAAGGCTCGTGGATGGAGGGGGCCGGTGACCTCTCGCTGGCCCCCAATGCTTCGCGGGCAACCTGTGTGTTGTTTCTTTCGGGTTCCCGGTCTTGTTCTGCCGGCCGGTCGGCCGGCATCGTCGTTGGACTTGTCATCTGAGGGGGTTGAGATCGCGAGACGTGTAGACCGGCGCTGGCGATGGAGCTTAAATTGGTATCGGGTTTTGAGTGGCCTTTGAGAAAGGCGATGGGTTCCGGGCTAGAGAGAGAGGTAGAGGAAGCAGAAATGGAGTTTGAGATGGCGACAGTCTCGTTGTTAGAGTGCATCAATACCGCCATGGAGGCAGAAGGTTTCGCGCCAGCCTCGATGGGTGGACGAACCAAGGCGATGGCTACTTCCGAAGTCATGTTAGAGAATGTATGCGGTGGAAAAGAGCATGAGGGTGAAACTGAAGAAAGGGGAAAGGACAAAACCAACCACAAGAGCTTTTGGAACAACCGGGCGAACGAGAGACGGGGGTGAGAGGAGGATGAAGGCGAAGTCCAGGGCGTGTGGGGCGTTCACACTCACTTCACTTCACCTTCAGGCAAGTGTGGCGCAAGCTGACGAGGTTCGGTTTCAGCTTTTCAGAGTCGTTGGACCCAAAAGAAGATCCACTTGGAATGCCTAGGGGGGGGCTTGGGCCTTGCGTTGAAATAGTAACTGGGGGGAGAATCAAGGAGATTGGTGATTTGAATGGAGCCAGGCCATCAGGCGTGGAAGTGTGGAAGTTTGGAACCGTGGCGGGTGCGGGTTGCGCAGGAACGAAGTTGACTGAGAGAGCTGAGTTAAGTTGGGGCGGTGGAGAAAGAGGGGAGGAATGTTGATGTTTCTTGGTTATCTCTTGGGATGGTTCTCATACACCATGACCCAAACCATAAAACAAGACGGCAGAAGAGAAGAGAAGCAGAGAACAAGAGTAGGAACAAGAACAAGAGTCAAGCCAAGGCAGAGCAAGAACAGGAACAACAGCAACAGGCAGAAACAGGATAGAGCAACGGTACGTGTATCGTATATTTCTGGGGGGGGGCTGGCGTGGCGTAGTAATAAATTGGAGCAATTGGCGTATGGTATGGTTAAGTAATTTACATTACTCTATGTATATACGGAGTAGTACCAGTTGGTATCAGTCACAGTCCTGGTCGGTCACGGTCGAGGCTCTTGGAAATGAACCCTGCAGGTATGTACTGATACTTGTGACCACATGTATCATTATATGTGTTGCTAAGTACCTCTACTTCAATAAGATTGAGGCTGTGTAGCCGCTAAGGTGTTTGTGGCGGACTGTGGGTCTAACAGCATCAACACGAGGCTTTCCCTTCCCGTCCCTCAAATGTGTGCACTTGCATTCCCATCTTCAGCGGCTGAGGGTCACATCTGTTTGACTCTGCCTCTCTTCCTCCTTATGCACCGTATCCTCCGGATAATACAGCCATGTACGACCGACGTACCACCAGCCCTTGCCACACTTCACCCGTGATGTCACCCCGTGGACATCCTCATGTCGCTCGCCGGGGCGGGCGGCAGATCTACTCGAACCCACCTTGGTTCGGGGCCTGACCGTGGATGTGTGGAAACTAATCCCAATCCCATCGCACCAATGCACCAATGCACATCCCTGACCGAGGATGCCGCAGCTTTAGGCCCAGTCTGCTGCGGTTTCATTTTACCGCCCACCCGAGCTGAGGCTCAATCTGTTTGTTCTTCAGTCCAGGATCGACAAGCATAAGCATAGCGTCGTGAATCGATCCGGGATTCCGCTCGCGTGCACTCGCGTGGGCAGTGAAGCGAGGCTGGCACTGTGCATATACATGGTGGGTAAGGGGTAGCGGTGTCAGTGTCAGGTCAGGCCAGCTGTAGTATTCTAAATGGGTCACAGTCGCACCAAGCCAATCTTCATGTGGACGGGAGTGGGACTGGGGAGAGAAGGCATCCAAAGGTAGATCAAGATCAGATCAGTCAGATCAGGCTTCTCGATGCATCTCCCCCGGCGCCGGGGCAAATATGCTAGGTATAAGGCGGTCATACCTGCATAGCCCGGTGAGGCTCTTGCAGGCCTTGCATAGCCCGAGTGGTTACTAGTAGTCTCACGGTTCGGATTGGGGGCCGTGAGCTTCCATTGGCACTTGAGGGATTCTTTATTATTCCGAGTCTGTACCTGGGGTCTTTCCTCGTAATCGCACTTCAATGTCAAGTCCAAGGGCAGGGACGTGGCGCAAGGGATAGCTTGGAATGAGGTGGCAAGCGGTGATGAAAGTGATGGGCCACTAGAGAAATGTGGCGTTCGCAGATATTGCCTGGGGCTTTTGGACTTGAATTAATGAACAATTGGCCTAGAATTGAAGCAAACGAGCTTGAATACGTTGAAGGATTATTGTCACGGTATGTCCAGGTGTGTTCAAGGTCAAACAGAAACCGTGGTCTGGGAAGAATTTGGAAAAGACACTACATAGCAACCTCTAGAGCTTAGAAGGATATTGATATTTCCATTCCCATGACACGAAGACCATGCTGTAGTTCTATAATTACTTGGTCAACAGCCACCTGGATTCCCGATTCGGCAGCCATCCCCATATTTCAAGTTGTTGTATCGGAAAATGTTTCCCTGTGTATCCACACTTATTGTAATTGTATCGATCACAGGTCTAATCAATTGGAATTGTGGCTTGGGACTGCGTCAGACAGAAAAGAGTGGATATGATTGAAAGGACAGCTTGGCCAGTATGAAATTGTTGCTGTGTACGGGTTTCAGTTCATCATCGCTCAAAGGTTCCAACACCATGGTCAAGTCCGCCATCGCGTTTCAGGATCCCTGGTGCCTTGTCCAATTACATCAGAGATGTGGCTGGTGAGAAGCATCAACAGTAAGCTGACACCTGGGCATTTGTTACTTAATAGTCTCTAGCCTCTCAGGATTATTCTAGGGGTGGATCGGATTTAAATTCTCCGATTTTTTGGAGGTTGGCTGCGAGATTAATTTAGAAGCTAGGATGGCCTAAAGAATCAACCAGATCTAGGCACATATAAAGGACTCATTGGCACTTGTGTGCTAGAAGAAAATTTCTCTCCCTAGAAAATAAGTATCATTCTTACTGGAAGTGAATTAATGCTGCTTTCTGGAGTATGGTGAGCGATACCTAGGTACTGCCGGTCTATCCGGCCTGTCGAGAACTCACAGCCATGTATTTTAACCAGTTGGGGAATAATAAAATCCCCGCCGGTTTTGAACATAATACCAGCCTATCTTGAGACATATACTGTAGATCATACTATAATACATGTAGGTTCTCTTTAGTATAAGGCAACCCATCACTCAAGCTATATAGCTAAGCTTTCTGCTTCAGAGGGCCGCGCAAAAGCAGCAGTACATAAATAAGTGCTGTCCGCTGTCCACCACGAGATACGACTAGTAGTTAGTAAATGGATAGGTCAGTTTATTGATTCCAGACCAGCGGCCTAGTATGCTTTCTGTCTTACCGCGGAAATCGTAGTGAATCTTAAATTATAGAGAGTCTGAAAATAGAATATACTGGAAGCATGAAGGCCCTGACATTGGGTCTGACAAGTTAGGCAGTGCAAGTGGCCGGGGTCTGCCGAGTATATGAAGGGTAAACTTTCTAGCTTGAAGATTATGGATCGTAGTGTATGGAATTGGACTATATCATGAATTGATACTGGGGGAGTACATTGCTGTACTACTAACTACATAGTTATTGACTAGTGGTTCGTACTAAGAGTAGCCTCTCGGTGTCCTTTGTAGATGTGGAGATCGTGAAATCGGCAGGCCATTGCGTGCATGACTACTATCACAAGCATTATTTTAGCTAAGCCATGTACTAGTGTCACTCTATACAAGCATTCACGGTCATGTCTTCTTACGCTAGTAGTGAGGTGCTAACTTGGGCAACCTCCCACACCACACCACACCACACCACACCACATCACTTCTCCTACCCCTCCCCGAGATCTCAAATTCCCCCGCGCACTGACCTCGGATACATTCGACTCGAAACCTGGCGAAGCGCCAGGGGAAGGACCTGGTGTTTATTGACCCTGTGTGACAGGCTTGCATCCATTCTAGGATGCGGGTTGGCGGGTATTTTGGTCCCGGCTTGGGCTTCATGCCCCGTGCTCCTATCCTTCCATCCCACATCCCACCCCATTTTCGAGCGGTTCGGGAGGAGGTGTGGTTGGCTAGGCGATCAGCGGATTAGCGCCGGTTGAGGTGATGGGCGTGCATCGTGAGGAGGTGCCCAGGGCCGTTGAATGCCTCTCACTGGCTGGAGACCCCACTGTGACAAGCTCGACCGATCACCTCAACCATCCAGTCACAGTGCTGAGTCTGCACGACCGACAGTGTGAAGATGCAGGCTCCCCGTCCAGAGGGACCGTTCCCCAATCATGATCTCCGTCGCACCAACACTATTCCCTCCGGCGCTTACTCTGACCCTGGCACGAAGTGATGAGCGACCATCGGCTTGCAGTTCTTGCCCCCGCCCCTCAAGTCGACACACCAGCGGTGATTGATATTCAAGAAAGCCATGGCCAGCTCCTGCGTCTTCTCACGTCTTTCTCTTTCTCCTCCCTGTCACCATCCGCCGCCTTGACTGGTTTTGTGTTTGTTTAATCCGTGGACAGCAGGTCTCGCTCACGGTTATCCAAGGTGATCCTGCGAAAACGTTTATCTTGCTCAGCAGTTGTTACACACGCACACACGGCTGGGATCGCAGCACACAATTGACTCGGTATTCCCTTTGAGCCGATCCTCTTATAATTCTACGAGGAATACCTTTTGGACTCCTGTCAAGAGCTGGCTCTCTTGATCGATCTTTGTTGATCTCAGATTGTATCGCTCTTCCTTGAGATGTCGATTTCTGGCGATAGCAACAACGGTTCACCCCAGAACTACGCACCCGTCGTTCCAGTGGATCTTACTCGCAGTTCCTATCACAGCGCAATGGGTCCCCCGCCACAGCAGCACACAACCAACGAGACTCGCAGCTCCTCCGAGAGCAGCGGTGCTTCTCTAAAAAGCCCCCGCACAGCTCGGTTTGCCGAGGCCACAACAATTCATTCGCCAATCGAACCATCAGCTAGATCTCCTTTTGCCGACCCCCAGAACAAGACCACTGGTGGTGGTGTTGCGGACGTTGGGTTTGGTTATGTATCAGCGAATGACCCAGCGAAGCATGTGGACGACTCCCTCCCCCCAGCCTCGCCATGGAGGGCCGACTTGAAGGTGCCCAACACTGCTCGCTCATTGAACCCGCTCAGCCCCACGTTCCGCGAGGAGTACTTGCTTGAGAAGCAAGAAAAAGTTGCGGATAAAGAAAATGCCCGAGACATGGTAAGGAAACTACAACTTCTCACCCTTATTAAGCGCACAATTTTCTAATATTTTCCAGAGAATCAAACTCCGCGTTCGCATCGCCAAGATTTTCCTTCGTTTCGTCAACTTTGGTTGCAGTTTGATCATTCTGGCTCTCCTGGCAGTGACTTTGACCGTCTTCAGGGCGACAAAATCCATCCCGACGCGCAGCTCTCTTCCTCCTTGGGCCGAGGGCACAAACCCATGGGCTCAATATATGCTTCTGGGAATGGCTTGTGTTTCTCTCTTTGCTTGCTTAATTGTCTTCTGGGCTTACTGGAAAGGTGGCCACAAACGTGCCGAAAAGACGGCCATCTACTATACCGTCTTCTCCATATTCTTCTTCGTTTTCAGTTTGATTATGTGGATTGTCGGTGCAGCTGTCTACCAACACTCCAAATCAAGTGGGAATAATAAAGATATGTGGGGATGGTCCTGCGCCCAGAATACTCGTGAAGAGATCTACAGCAACACAATCGACTACGCTTTGCTATGTCGTCTCCAGGTAAATCCACTGCTCCCTCCCCGAGTACACAAACCTTGGAAAGCTAACAAACAACGCAGGACTGGGGTCTTGTCTGCGCCATCATCGAAGTCGTCATCGAGGTTCTTGCCATCCTGATCTATGCCGTAGTCCTCTACCGCATCTGGACCAAGCGCCGACTGATGAAGAGCATGAACGGCCGCGACCAAGCACGAGACGATCTCTACCTCGCCCAGCTCCGTCTCCAATCAGCCCCCAACACACCTGGCTTCGCAGGCTTCTCATCATACCCGCCTAAATCGCCTTTCGCCGCCGCAACCCCGGTTGACGCATACTCAGCCGCAGAGAAAGGCCAGGCCCCGACATCGCCCACGAAAACGCAATATGCCTCGCCGCGCTCCCCAACCCGCCCCGTCCCTTCATTCCAACTCCAAGCCCCACCCATCCGTGTCCAACAACCTACCCCAAAAACAGCTCAAGATGAATTCGAATTCGCTGCTCCCTCACACTCCCCGTCCCCGCCTCCCCCGCAACACGTTGCTGCTGCACCGGGCGAGACGGAATACGCCGCTGTGCCTATCCCAGGCGGATATACCAGCCCCATGGGTCCGGCTTTCCCTCCCGCCGTGCACAAGTACTAGAACTTCCAAGTTTGGATGCTTAGTTTTACGTGACGTTCTTCCAGGCGTGTGGGAGTGAGAGAGTTCAGCTTGATTTCGTCCAAAAAAAATTATTAAAAAACTCTATTGAAAAAAATGTATACGATCGTTTTGCGGTCGAAATCTTGCACATATCTATCTCCTGTTACTTCTTTGTTCTTGCTTTTACCTATTTTATCATGATATTCCCTAATTTGCTCTTCTACGGGAGGCATGGACTCGGACAAACTTGAATGATCTACACTGGCGTTGGAGTTTGGGATACAGATACCTACTACTAGTTGGAGAGCTTGGTTGTTTTACTACTGCTCTTGTTTTGAAAAACCTTTTGCTTAAATATTGCCCCCTCGGCTTTCGATAAGACTCGTTTCATATCCTGATACTATTAGTATACGCTTAGTTCAACCTCCCTCCTAGTTCCTGGCGGGTTCAGCTTGCGATTGCCTTTGGCGCACAAGTTTCAAGTCCAAGGTCCAAGGTTGAACCTTGTAGCTCTATATCCGAGTCTGAGGCTCAAACCCGATGATCTCTCAGAGCTTCCAAGGCCTCGATTAGCTGATCAGACGTCGGCAAAGCATGATGACCCCCCTTCAACCAACTAACATCAACACGACACCCTTTCTCCTCCATCCCCGTCGAAAAAGGTCAACCTGGCCCTTAGGCACGAACTCATCCTCGTCCGCCGGAAAAAGAAAGACCAATTTACGGGCTACACCCGTAAAATCCGACGCAAATCCACTACTAACAATCCTCGGCTCAGTGGTCGACCGAAACCCGCGTGGAAACGCCGCATGCGCAATCGAATCTGGATAACCAAGAAGAGAGACCAAACCGCTCAGAGGCCGCGGAAGCACCGCCACCAAACCATCAACTAGAGAGTCCAGGCTCGTGACCGGCACAATGCCAATAGCCCCAATGACTCTGGGCCGAGCCAAGTGCCCAGCCAAGCCGAGCGTACCCATCGAGCGGCCGCAGATCACGATGCGGGATTTCGAATACTTCTCGAGCGTCCAGTTGATGACCGCTTCGTCGTTTGCCAGTGCGGCAATTTCCAGTGCCCCGTCGACATTCGGTACGAATGAGCTTCCGTCGTAGCCGACGAAGTCACGGCCGATGATCGTGATGCCATTCTCGACGAGCGGCTGGAAGATATCTTTGAGATATCGTGTAGGTCGGAGGTTTCCGTGGAAGAATAGGACCACGATATCAAGATTGATGTTCTCGCCTTGGGCTGCGTATTCGTGGACACCCACTTTGCTTCCAACTGCTGATGTCAGTGTATAATGCTTGCCTTCTAGTTCGTCGCCGTTTCTTCCGAGGTATTCGTACTTCAAGGCCCCTGCGTTGCCGACGAAGAGTTGGTTTTCGAGCGTCTTTGCGAGACGGCGGGAGAGCCAGTCTGGTGTTTTTTGGGGGGTGTTGGACTCGCGAGTGGTGTCAACTGGTGTTGTTTCTTGGTTCTGAGGTGGTTCAATCATTTTGAAAGGAGTAGGGGAGTCTATTGCTGGATAAGGATGAATGGTCAAAGTAGGTTGGTTGTCTTTGCTACTAGTAGATCGGGAGTAATCCAGACAAGCTTGTTTTGATGAACTGAAGTACCTAGGTACGGAGTGGGGAATCCTCAGTATTTATGCGGGAGTCCCCGAGGCCGCACGATCCATTTAATGAATAATCTCAGTCTGGAGGCTTTGATTGAGGCTTGGCGGTGGAGCTCTTTGTTGAGTGTATCACTTAAGACATAACAAGGGAATAACTTGAAACCTTGAAAAATAGAAATACAGGTTCAAAATAGATGTCTGGATTCATTCCATTAATCCTATCAAAGGATCTACAAGAAATTGAATGTGTATGCAAAGTTCACCGATCTCGCATTGGGAATCAATGGAACAGCAAATAAAAAAAATCCCCAGCGCCACTCTGCAAGAGCCCAAATTCCTAAACAACTCCGCGGATCAAGTAGATCCAACCCAATCTGTCCATGAAATTCATGACTAACACGTGTTCCGATCTTAAGGTAACGGACCTGTACATACATACTAGCACGTCAAAGATGGAAAATTACATCCCACCGCCCTCTTCTAGGACAGCGTGGACATCCCGACTGACGAAGATCTCTTCCAGGGTAGCGGCACCACTGGCGATCTTGCTGATATCACTCTCAAGGACCAGACCCTGCTCGTTAGCCAAATGCAACAAGCAGATGAATCCAAAGGAGGTGCTGATATCCCGCAGTGTTTCAGTGGGATATACTGCCTTCAGGTTGTTCATGATCTTCGTGAATCGAAGTCGGCCGTCATCCCCAAGGTCGATGGCTTTTTCTGGGCTGCTTTGCTGGGGTGTGGGCGTGGGCGGGGTAGGATCGGCTTCACTCTCAGGTTCAGCTGGTGGTTCGCTTGACACGGCACCTGGTTGTGAAGCGGAGGCAAAATCTGTAGCAGCGATGAGTCGCTCACCCATGCCTCTCCACATTTCGTTCTTGAGGCGTCGAACATCCACCTTCTTCGCCACGCGAGCATAGTTCACGTAGTCTGGTCGAGCGCGACGTGCGCCTTGAGTGACTAATTGTGAACCGTATCCACCCTTGCTTGGTGTCGCACCAACCATGTTTAATAATGCGGAGAGTCCGGTCTGCCCTCCGGCATCGCCAGCTGCCGTGCCTTGGGTACCATCGGTAGGTGGTGAGAGCATTTCCCGTGCGTCTGCGAATGGCAGGTTGTCATCGTCGTCGTCGATATCCATGCCATTAGGGAAAGCAAGGCCATCATCATCAGCGAAGAAGTTGGCATCATAGGCACCAGGAATGCCCTCTTCATCCACATCTTCAGTCTTGTGATTCGCCCAGAATGCCTCGTCCATATCACCATTGCCGGATGTCTGGTCTGGCCGGTTGTGGTTGATCCGTCGTGACATAAGTTTCCTTGAGCCCATTTGAGCTTTCGGCTTCAGGAACAGCCGGAGTAGTTGACGGGAGTTGAAGTGCTTATCGTCAGGCAATAGATTGCGACCCTTGGTCTTCCATTGCGTCTTGGGTAGGGAAATAGCGGAATTGGAGCTGGCAGGAGTGTAAATCAACTCTGCGAGAGATGGTTCAAGAGAGGCCCCAAAGTCAATTTCGAAAGGCTCTTTCTCTTTGCGTTGCTTTGGTGCAGCAGTAGTGCTAGCGGCGGTATGGTCCTTGATTCTCCGAATTTTCCAATGCTCAGGACCAGCCCAATTCTTGGAGGCCGCATTGTCGAAGTAGCTCAGAATATTCTCATGGTCTTGCTTACTAGGCTGATGCGACATAGAGATGGCGTAGGCGTCTTCATTATCGAGGTCTCCATCTCCGTCGGCATTTTCACCATCTTCCATTAGGTGAACCTTAAGCATGGGTTCTAAAGCAGCCTCTCTTGCCCATGCCTCTCCTCCATCACCGAAGCCGGTGTCACCGCTAAGGTCGAAACCAGCCAGTGTTCCATCGTCATCATCGAAGCCAACCGCGTTGTCGTCATCAAGCATGATCCCTGAGGGATCTTCGACTCCGTCGTCATTCTTATCCTGTCGCCATTCCTCGGGTGCTTTCAGGAGTGGGATGTCCAGTGATCCGTTAGGGTCACCCAGGTTGAAATTCTTCAGGGAGGGACAGATATCCTGCTCGTCCAAATAATCCAGATCGGGGAAGAATTGGTTTGCAAGAGTGGCGAGATCGAGATTCGGGTCATCTTCGAAGTTTTCGCTGGCTTGTTGGGCATTCTTCGCCTTGTCCTCGTTTTGTAGCTGCTCTTCGGCTTGTGTATCAGGATCCTCGGACTCTTGTCGGTCGCCCTCGGCTGTCTTAGAGCTGTCATCCACAGCGTCGTCACTGCTATCAAAAACAATTTTTCCCTGGCCATCGATAGCAAGGTGGTTCAGCAACAGTCCCTTGGCACCGCCTTCGTCGAAATCAGCAGATGCCTTCTTGAAGAGTGGATCCACCGCAAACTCCAACTCAAACTTCTTCAATTGTAATGATGCAAATGACGGGGCAAGTGTAGCCTCATGTGAGCGATTCTGTAGAAACTGGTCAGCGGGTGCGCATTTCCACAACTTGATAGCAGTACAGTGGGACAAACCTTCTTACGCGACTTGCGAGTGCCTCCATCTTCACCGTCTTCATCTTCATCCCCATCTTCTCCCTCGGCATCGGCTTCACGACCCCGCTTGTCGCGGCTATCAGCCAAGCCACTCAGAAGCTTGCCGGTTTCTGTTGCGACACTATCCACACGGCTGGTGTAGATCTTCACACATCCATCGAGGGTGCAACTGGCTTTTTGGAAGTTGACACCATCTCCTTCTTTCAATAGTGACATGTCGTGGAAGTAGTCAATCAGAGCGAAGTTCCAGGAGTTGTTTGCGTTGATTTTATTATCCGTTGCCATCTTCATCCACTCTTCGAAGTTGGCCAGAATAGGCACACGCTTCATCGGAGTTACACCCCGACCACTAACATCGCTGTCGCGGCCACGGTGACCGGTCGATCCTCGAGGTGTTGTGGGACTGTCAGCCCCTTCGTTGTTGTAAGATGTGTATCGACGGGGGGGCATGGGTGTCTTGACGGCGGCCTTAATCTGGTTCATCTGGCGGTCATGAAGAGCTTGTCTGGCTTCCTTCCGAGCCGCTTTCTCTCCCATATCATCGTTAAGAGGAACCCTGATAGACTGTTAGAACCCCGGGTGCTCCAGGTACAACGAACTGCGAATGGATGCGACATACTTGATAGGCGAGTTCTTCTGAGGTGTCGAGGCGCCGTTGGAACGGCGATGATGCGCCTTGTTGACTACACGAGGCATGATTGCGGTTTCCCCCAGCTGGGAAGATCGAGATGCGCTGGATGTTGGTTGCTGGTTGCGATAGCCGGTCGTGGTTGCAGCTGATGGAGAGGGGCGGGCACAAACAATGTCAACAAACAAACATACCACGTGACTTTCCTATCGCACGGCAGCGACTGCCAGTCGCGCCTGCCACAACGGGTGATCACGTGGTACATTGTAGTATCACGTCTGGTGTGTATACTTTATCACGTGTTAATGCCTTCTCTCTCGGGTGTCTATGACCATCGCTCCCAGCATCCCATTGGACTCTTGTGTCGTTGGGGCCTACATGCAAAACTTCCTTGGATATCTCACAATTTCCTTGATTTCTCCCAGATCGATCCACATCGTCACGTTTCTCAACTTCGTGTGGTGGCTTTGCATAAACCCAAAATGCAGTAGGCAGTGCATTGGCCCACTCTTCGCTGTGCAGGCTGACATCACCGAGCTCACCGCATTGGCAGCTCCTCACGTTCATGCCAGGTCAATGGAGGGCACACGCGACTCGTTTAAACAGTTGCTTCCCTTTCGCAGCATAAACTGCAGGTCAAGGACTACTTCAGAGCTTCATCGGCTCACAATGCAGTAGTGTCCGAGGCCATAATGCTCCAGTCATCACCCTTTCTGCGGCCGGCCCGCAAATCGCCTCGGTACTCCGTACGGCCTTTTTACACTTCCATAGCCGTTTTTACAACCCTTGCGACACTGAGCTTTCTTATCGCATGGGTTGGAAAGGGTCAAGCGGATCGTACCACAGCGACCACACTTCTTGTCAAGCGCAATAAAGAGCCAGAGGTATGACAATAATCCCGTATAAGCAGCCTCTCCCTAGACCACTTGAAAGCTAATTCTTTCGCTGTGTGACATGCATAGTGTCGTCTCGTACGTGAAGTTAAAGACCAATGTGCATATGTCCGCGACAATTGCCCAGATCACCAAGATGGCCTATTCTCTTATCTACAGCTATACTATTGCGCCCTCCCGGATGCAAAACCGCTTGCATTTCTCATCTTGATCCTCTGGTTGTCGCTCCTCTTCAGTACCATCGGCATCGCCGCCAGTGATTTCCTATGTATCGACTTGAGTACACTGGCGAGCATTCTGGGCTTGAGCGAGAGTCTCACGGGCGTTACTTTTCTCGCATTCGGCAATGGAAGTCCCGATGTCTTCTCAACATTCGCCGCCATGCGCTCGAATAGTGGCAGCCTAGCCATTGGCGAATTGATTGGAGCTGCAAGTTTCATCACGTCTGTCGTGGCCGGCTCCATGGCTCTAGTCCGGCCGTTCAAGGTCGCGCGAAGAAGCTTTGTCCGGGATGTTGGTTATTTCGTGGTCGCCATCAGCTTCAGCATGTTTCTCCTAGCCGATGGACGGCTCCATGTCTGGGAATCGGCTGCAATGGTTGCTCTATATGCATTCTACGTTTTCATGGTTGTGGCGTGGCACTGGTATCTGGTTCGACGTCGGAAACGTCACGAAAGGGACATGGCAGCACGGACACATTTCCATATCCCTGACAACCAGGAGCTGGAATACGAACAGCCTTTGGATGACGATGACCCAGGTGTTGCATCGGAATCACGCGACTCTCGGAACCTTCTCCGCGGTGCATCCACCGATGACTTTGACCTACTGGAACGCGCCGAAAGAGCCCCTAGTTGGAAAGAGGAGGATGACGAGGACGACGAAACCCGCAACCGGTATTTAGCCGAGATTCGAGACAACATGCACGTTTATCGACCTCCGAATCGATCGAGACGAAACACTATGAATCCGATTCGACCAAGTCTTGTTGGTGCGCTGGAATTCCGATCCGTGCTACACTCGCTTGAGAAAGAGAGGAATATCAGACACAGGCCGTCAAACAGCCTAGGCAGCTATTCGGACGATGGCGATGCATCTTCTCAGACTTGGGACACTAGATCCGTGGCATCCCATCCTCGTGCTACCAGGCCCTCTGGGTCTAACGACCGCCTGTCGCCGCATAGCGCCGAAGGCTCTAGGGCTCGAGCAGTGTCAGCCAATGATGCCGATAGATTGGAACTGGACCCCAGTGTGCTAGGTCGTCATCAAGAAGAGGTACCGCAGCTTACTGTTAGACGACCTTCTGAGGAGGTGCCCAGTCGACAATCTGTGCAGCCACCTCGAATCGATACTAATGTGGCAATAACACTCTCTCCCTCGGCATCTACACAGCCATCACCAAACGGAAGTCCCACTGCCGCGAATGCTCCCCAAACACCTGATCTACTAGCTCCACCTGGTGCTTTCAGTTCCCCCAACTATCAATCAAGTACGACTCATGACCGATCGCCACAGGCAGTCTCGCCACGAGGCACGAGCGGCAGCTATCAATCTATGGCTGGTCTAGAAAGCCCTTCGGCCCCGTTCCCGATATACGTCGATGACACTTCAGCCCCATCATCACGGGCACCCAGTATCCGTTTACCCAATCCGGTGGCCAGTCCATCAGAACAGCTCCTCGTCCATGACCCCTTTGATGATAGGCTTACGGATAGCTCTTCATGTCGATTGAGAAAATGGTGGCCTGATTCTGTCTTACCTCCCCCCCCAGCAACTTGCATGTACACTTTTCCCAACACTGGCTGGCTGGAAAGGCAGAAGTATCATGGGACGTTTTCTAGGGATAGTTGCCGCACCCAGTGTCTTTCTTCTCACAATCACTGTCCCGGTCATCGAACCTCAAGCTCCGGAATACGAAGAACCAGACCCCATACCGGCGGTGATCATCGAACAATTCGATACTGATGGACCTGCTCCAAGAGTACGACTACCAGCCGACAGTCCCACCATTCATCCCATTGGACATGGCCGTCGTGATTCCATCCCCGAGATATCAACAACACATTCCCATCCCCACAAACCTTCTCATGACGACTCTTACAGCCGACCTCGTTGGGACTCGGAGCTACCAGCAGCACCCCCGCCTCCAGCAATTGACACAGTAACGTCTGCCAAGGACTGGAATCGCTGGCTAGTCTCAATCCAACTCTTCACGGGTCCATTCTTCTTTACCCTGATTGCCTGGACTACCGTAGACACATCCCTCAATCCACGCAACTTCATCCTCCCGGCTCTGATATCTCTGCTCTTCTCTTTCATCTGCCTCACCCTCCTCATTATCACGACACGCAGTCGCCCATATAACCGACTTTCCTCAACAAACCACTCATCCGGAGAGCACGAGGCTACCGCCCCAGATCTAGAACCACAATCGCAACCCCTCCCATCATCATGGCGCCCCGTCCTCTCCATGCTCGGCTTCCTGGTCGCAATATCCTGGATTGCAACAATAGCAACAGAAGTCGTCTCCCTCCTCAAAACACTCGGCGTCATTCTCGACATCTCAGACTCCCTCCTCGGTCTCACCGTCTTCGCCGTCGGGAATTCCCTCGGCGACCTCGTCGCCGACATCACAGTCGCAAGGCTCGGATACCCCGTCATGGCACTGAGCGCTTGCTTCGGCGGACCCATGCTCAACATCCTCCTCGGTATCGGGTTGGGCGGGCTATACATGACTCTCAATCGATCAGGCACTCCATCCCGCCGTGACGAAATCTTTTCTGGCGGGAGTGGAGGTATGACTGCTGCGGAAACCTCTTACGAGATTGAAATCTCCAAGGTTCTGGTTATCAGCGGTGCTACCTTGCTTGTTGTCCTGGTTGGTCTTTTGATTGTCGTTCCGCTAAACGGGTGGCGCATGGATAAGAGAATTGGCTGGGGTCTTATTGTTGTTTGGTGTATTAGTACCATTGGCAATGTGATTGCGGAGTTAACATAAGACTCTCGCTCATACTCACTCCGTGTTTCCGTTCCGCATGCGTGCAGGTCTAGGGTTGGGATTGGGTTTTGTCCTCAGGCTCATCTGGCGTTTTTTTTTCTTTTTGATGAGATCATGCATTATCCATTTCTTTTCCTTCGGCATTCTCCTCGTCCTTTCCCATTGGTGGGAAAGGATGTGGAGTCTTTGGCATTTCTTGTGTCGAATCCAAGTTGGCTTGGCTACTGACTTTGTTGCATGAACTTGTATTTTGCATGGTCACATTTTTAAAGCATTTCTTCAATACTATCATCCATGTCATTAATCAAAGCTTTGATCGGAGCGCATTATATTAGGAGATTTTCAACACTTAGTACTACAGAGTACAAGAAGACTGATTTTCTTACCTAGTAGACAATGGGTCACATCACCAAATTTACAGGTTGATTCTGTGACTCATATCATCTTAGGTATCCGAGTCATTCTGGATATCTCTATCTCTACCAGTAGTCCTAGTACTATCGGTAAGAAGCAAGAGGAGACGAGGAGAGGAAGGAGCGAGCCTATCAACATAAAGGTGGTGTATTGTAAGTTATGTACCGTACTATAATTTCATAAGCATTTCCCCAAAATTACATTCTGCCATCAAAGGTCCGGTGAATTTTCGAGATCCCTTGAGTTTTTTGTTTTTTTGCCATACTTAAGAGCGGCTCTCACCGCCTGTAATATTACAATGTATTATTACCCGTTCGGGACACGTTTTATCTTCAGCCATCGTTGATTTGGTGGAATTGTTTGGATACAAGTACTCGCATGTCCGAGGTTACAGTTTCTATTTGCATTGTACTCTCTTGGATTAAGGTTGCAGTTCATCTGGAAGTTTGTTGACAAACCGTACTTAGGTAGGCAAATGAATTGAATTGTCATCATCTTTCTCAATGCATGTAGAGCCGTTTTGGAAATAGAATCATCATAGCAGTCAATAGTCAAGAAAGCCTCAGAGTTATCGACCGGGGTTTGTCGAGCATTAAGATTACGAAATACTACGAACACGGAATAAGTAGAAACAGTGAGGGCAAAAAAGCACCAATAAGTATTGTGAAGAATTACATAAAGAGTCAACGACCACCAACGCACGCATACCATGGATATAACTACCCAGCACCAAGCCTGAACCTGAACTAAATTGACTGATCCGATCCGATCCGATCAATCCCTCAATCTCACGAAGCATATGACAGGTTCAAACTAGCCTTCTCTCTCTGTACAACTATGTTCCAAAGGTTGATTATGACTGTCTCTCGCGCAGCTGACACTTACAACACGCGGCCAGCAGAATTGCTGGTGCTGCGGTCATTCGTCTTCGTCTTCCTCAACCCCGTCCCGGCCTGGATAGAGGCTAGCAGAGCTGAGCGGTTGTCACCTCCAGCTCCAGCTGCGGCAGGTGGAGGTGGTGGTGGAGCACCGGGAGCCCCAGAGACGGGTGGTGGTGGGGGCGGTGCTGCGGGTGCAGAGCCCATACCTGGGGGAGGAGGAGGCGGTGGTGGAGGGGGGAGGGGGAGGGAGACCAGCTGGTGCGGCAGGAGATGATACATCATCACTGGCGGGCCCGGGGATAGCTGCGGGTGCAGGGGGAGGGGGAGGGGGCGCAATAGGGCTCTCTTGGACCGGGGTGGTGTATTCGGAAGAGGCCTTGTCTTCGTCCATGGCACTTAGGGGACGGGGAGGAGCCATAGTGCCGAACAGGATGCTGGCAAGTTGTTTGGCGCTACCGCCTCCTGCGCGCTCGTCCTCGTCATCGGACGAGTCGGCGTCGGAGCCGGCGGCGGACCAGTCATCGTCTTCTTCGGGGCGAGCACGGCTCTTGCGCTCCAGGGGACCGGCGCCGGTAAATGCGGGCTTGATGGCTTCTTGTTGCTGGAGGCGGTGGAAGGGGTTCGTAGACTGCGCGGCAGGAGGGGAGGTCGCTGGGGTCGAGTCTGCGGGTTGCTGGCCCTGGCCCAAGGACTTGTAGTAGGGGTTCTTGGACTCAGCATCCGGGGTAGCTGCAGGCTGGGAGCGAGAGCTCTCAGGAGAGGTAGGCTGCTGCTCGGGGCTGAAGGCCGTCTCGATTTCTTGCGCGGGAGGCTCGGGGATGGAGATTGTGGGAACGGGTGGCGGCGCACTCAGAACTTGGCTCTGGGTAGGAGTGCTATGTTGAGGAGTGATATCGTCGGGGCCCTCGTCATCTGAAGAGCTCTCATCATCGATGCCTTCAAGTTCAAGCTGCAATTGGCGCTCACGTTCCTTTGCAGCTTCGAGTTCGGCACGTTGGGCTGCGAGACGAGCTTCGTTGTCCTTGGCTTCGCGCGCGGCTTCAGCCTTACGGCGCTTCTCCTCCTGCTTCTTCACCTTGCCTTGTCGGACTTGCTCCTCAAGAGCACGGAGCCGGGCAGCTTGGGCCTGCTTCTCTTTCTCGAACTCATCCTCGTGCGACTGGGCCTCGACCCTAGTATCGGATTAGTACAAAATTACCAGTATAGAAGGTCTAATTGAAGAGACTTACTCGAGACGCTTTGTCTCTGCCTCCTGGGCCTCCTGTTCTTCCTTAATGGCCTGTTCACGGACAGCATGTTCCTTGGCAGCCTCATCCGCCTTCTTCGAGTCAGCTTGACCGGCACTATCGGTCCGGGCTCTGCGAGTGGGAGGAGCAGGTGGAGGCTTCTTGCCGGCCGCCTTGGGAGCAGCTGCTGCGGGTGCAGAATCACCCTTCTCCTCGGCCAAACGGCGAGATCTCTCTTGCTCGCGCTTAGCATCTTCCTCCTCGGCACGTCGCACGCGCTCTTCACGCTCTTTCCTTTCCCGCTCCTGGCGTTGCACGAGGGTCTCTTCAGAGCTGGCAGGCTTCAGACCAGCAGCAGCCATACGCTCGGCAATCCGCTTCTGCGCACGCTCCCTAGCAGCGGCAACGCGGTCCTCGTGTGTATTCCCGGGGGTAGATCCCGAGGAGCCAGTAGATGGCGGCATGTAAGGACGGACTGGTGCCTCCTCGGCAGCAGGGGTGCGGCGCTGCTCCTGGGTTGAGCGCTCACGACTGGAGGTCATATTAATATAGTCATGGTAAAGAAGTGGCAGGGATCAACTTACTCGTCCTTGCGCACATGCGCAGTCTTGCTGTTGCGGCTCAAATCATAGATGAAATCACGAGTGATATCCTCAACGCCAAGAGCATCCTCCCAACGGCGCTTCTCGTGTTCGCGAGTGGAATTCTCGCCTTCGTCGCGGAGACTGTCCTCAAGACTGCGGGTAAACTCTCGAACGCTTTCTTCAACGTCACGGGTCATAACGTCGTTACGCTCTCGCTCCGCCTTCACGTCTGCGCTCTCGCTCTCCAAGCGGCGAGCGGCCTCGCCATCGTCACCCTCCGCAGCGGGAGCAGGACGTCCTGCCAGCTCAGCAGCACGAGCCTGCATACGCGCGCGCGCGCGCGCCTTGATCCGATCTGCCTCGGTAATCGCACCACCGGGTCCAGTACCAACGATGTTACCCGCGCTGGTGGGGTGCGCCTTAGCATCCTTCAAGCGGAAAAGTTCAAGCTTGGCCTCGGCGATCTCACGCTCAATGCGTCGAACATCCGAGGCAGCCTGCGGAACCTGGTCTTCATAGCCTTGAAGCTGGCGACGGAGAGATCTGCGCTCGGCCCCACTATCAAGCTGACGGAAGCTAGCATTGGGATGAGTATCGATATCGTCCTGGACGCGTCGGATACGTTCCATGAGGCTCTCTGCTTCACGGCGGTCCCGACGATCATGGACGTCATCATCCTCAGCACGGTTTTCATCTTGGAAGTCAACGGCATCAAGCATAACCTTGGCTTCGCGAATCTTCTTTCGCAGCTGGTCGGGAGTGAGGTCATCGCCCTCGGAATTTTGAGAAGAAGGAGCTGGGGATGGTGTGCGAGTATCGTTACCAACACGGCGACGGGCGCTTGAACGGTAGCCGCCTGCAGAATCATTGTTCTTGAACATCGTCGCATCCTTGCGAGTAGCCCCAGGCTGGTTATTAGCACCACCGCGGAAGGAGTGGTCCTTCAAGTAGCTGACTCCAGTCTTCTGAGGCTGCAAGAATGCCCCGGTGGTCTTCCGGGTCTCAGCATCCTGCGACAGAAGCGACTTGACCGTGCCGATGGAATCATTCAGATGTCTAGTAGAGGGGGAATGAGCTCAGGGGGCAGACGAGCAGGAACGGGATATCCGTTGAGAGCTCTGTAGATCAAATGCATTCCCACGGCGAACTCGTCCATATTGAGACGGCCACGGTTATTAGGATCGGCCAAAGTCCAAATCCGCTCGAGGTCGTTTCGGTTCAAACCACTCTGACCCATGATCTCAATAGCAGTCTCGCCACTGATAAAACCCTTTCGGAAACCATCCCAGGCACGGAATAGATCGTCGTAGATCTTCTTTTCTTCCTTGGTAATAGCCCAGGCAACTTTAGCGTTTCCGGAAAGATTGGCGGTAGTAAACCCTCCTTCGCGGCCAGGTTGCGGCATGAGTTGCTGCTTCATGGCCTCGATATTAGGGAGACCCTGCGAGGGCGTGTTAATGAAGCCCCACTGTCCAGGAATACCCGTAGGCTGTGCCTGTAGACCGCCAGTCTGGGCAGGGCTCAGGTTGGAGGCGAAACCAGTAGGCATAGGCGGCATTGGAGGTCGGGGACCACTGTATCCTGTGGCTTGCGGGTTGGCCATGAATCCAGTCTGCTGAGCCTGAAGGAATTGCGACTGATTTTGGCCTGGGAAACCGGTTTGCTGAGGCTGCATGCCGGTCTGCTGGTTGAAGAATCCAGTGGGTTGCGCAGTAAGTTGGTTCAAGAGCTGTGTGTTGCTTGGTTGTTGAGGCTGAGGCTGCTGGACTATTGGGGGTGTGGAGTTGTTCTGGAGCACAGAGCCATCGAAATTAGGAACATTAGTACGCTGGGCCGGCTCGGGCTGCGTGTCGGGGACATCGAACGAGATGATGTCAACCATGCTCGAGACCTCATTCTTGATGGTATCGGGCAATGCGGAGGGGAGCTCACGGCCAGTCAGGCGCAGATTACATAGATACATTGCCAATGCGAATTCCGGGAAGAAGAGCTGGCCGGACTTGGTAGAGTCAGACAGAACCCAAATTTTAGAAAGATCAGTGCCCGTAAGCTTCGAGCGCATCAGGAGATCCCTCGCTTTGTCGCCATCCATTGTTTTGCTATCGGTGACTGCAGACTTGAACAGCTGCTCGAACTTGGCTTGGTCCTGAGCGGTAATGAACGACAATCGGATACTTGGGATGCGAGCGCCATTCTTTGGGGGCACTTGAGGAGGGGGGGCCAGAGGCGCCGGTTTGTTGGAAGGAGCTCGCGATCTCGCTCGAGGTCTTGGGCCGATTAGGGAGGCCTGTCGCTTGGGCAAGATGCTGTTGCGGGATAGCTGGCACGGGCGGCACGGGTGGCTGTGACTGAGTCTGGTTCTGGTTTTGGAATCCGGTATATTGAGGCTGGAAGCCGGTCGGCTGGGGCTGTTGGGGCTGTCCGGGGTACCCAGTGAACTGTGGCTGGAGCTGTTGTCCCGCGGGGAAACCAGTGGCCTGAGGTTGGAGCTGCGCATTGCCAAACGGTGAAGGCTGGCCGGCGAAACCGGTCGGCTGGGGCACGAATCCCGTTGCTTGAGGCTGCATTGGTTGCTGCTGTTGTCCCTGAGGGAATTGCGAGTATTGGGGTTGCTGCTGTTGCTGTTGCATGAATGGTGCCTGGCCGGGTCGGCCACCAGCACCACCGCCGACGAAGGAATTCGACGAGGAGTACATCATAGACACGGCGCTCGCATGGACAAAACAGAAGCAGAAGAACCGATGAGAGATTGATGTGAAGAAAGAATGAATGTAGAGGGGGTGGGTGTCAGGAGCAACGTAAATGACGCCGTCGCTGAGACGCGGAGGCCCGCCCGGTTGATTAGTCAGGGGTTCACGGTCCACCAAAAATAGCACAGCATAGTACGAAGTATACAACACTGATATAAGATAGATGATTACTTGCATTTACAAGGTTGGGTGGGTTGAAATATTTGCAATTTGTAGAATATTCGGCAAGTGCTAGTGTTATAGATATTTCCAATGCCAGTATTGACCAGATACCCATCTCACAATCAGGTCTATCAAAGCTCATTTCCATATATAATCAAAGCAGCATCCATGGATGAATAAACTCACAGGAGACCTAAATATCAGTATTCTTATAGGTAAAGCTATTACTATTAGCGTTAGCACTAATAGCCGCCCCATGAAGCATACAACCCAAGCACACAAAGAACAAGACCAAAGCAAGCGATTTCTATATTTAAACCGATAAGAGCAATCTTCTTCGGCGACACAGTCCACTGGCCATAGTTCAGATGCAACCAATAAACACCAGAGAGACCATAACTGAACCAGCTAGCGAAGACAGCGCTAATCAAGCCATTCAAATCACTAAAGACGGGGATAGCTTCGGCAATAATCCATGCAACAGTCCAACAAGACACACGGAGACCGACCCAAATACCGACAGAGCGCTTATTGCACTGGTGCAGGCGGACTTCAAATTCGTGCAAATGCGGGAGTAGATATATCCAAGGTCAGTGTGGCCATTGACGACACCGGCGCCGATAATAGTTGGGATGGCGATTCCAAAGGCTATCTTGCTCATTAGAGGGCCAGCGGAGTTGAAGGCCGGGGATGTCACTTCGCTTCCGATATAGAAGTAGACGACGATGGCGACGGTGAGATAAAGGCAGATCTCGAAGCCTTGAAGCATGAAGAGAGATTTCTTAAAGTCCTGCGGTGTCTCCAATTCGGCGATCAGACCGAAGAAGGCAACGTGGGCGCAGTAGGCGAATACGACATTCGAGACCACCTGGAAGGCTGTGTAAATGGTTGTTTCGGTGGTGGCTTTAATAATAGTACCGGGGGAGGGGCTTTCGATTCCAACGGAAATCATGGTGATCATTACTGCAGTCAAAATACTGAGGAACGAGACGAAGGACATCCATATCATGCCTTTCGTCATACGTGGGAGGGAGAGGATGATAGAAATGACCATGCCGATGATACCAAAGAGAATAGAGCAGGTGGCGTGGTTGGTGACGGTGTTCATCATGATACGGAAGGTGAGAATATGGCTTCTCATAATGAAAAGACAGAAGAGAAATAGCCCTGTACCGAAGAGCTCGCGGCCGAACTTGCCAAGTAAGATCTCTCTGGCATCACCTAGGTTTTGAATGTGTGGGTATCGTTCGCGAAATAAGCCGATGTTGTAGCCGGTGTAGGTTGCAAGAAGACCGAGGCCAATGATCAAGATGACACCTAGAACGAGGCCTAGTATCGCCATAGCGGAGGGTAGTGAGAGTACACCCAGCGACACTGATTCACAGATCATGAGACGACCACATTGCCTGAGAGATATCGCGTTAGAACCTCTTTTTCAATAGGTTTAAGAGCATGTTTTATTGCATACATACCACCACTTTAATGTTTTGTACTTGATCTCGGCGTTCTCCTCGTTACCAAAGGCATCGTGGACTTCACCAGTCTTGAGATGACCTTCCTCCTCAAAGACAGAATCTTCCTTTCTCTCCGTAATCTTGTCATTCTGGTAAACGGGTGGTACAGCATTGACCTCCACTTTGGCCAAATTGTAAACAAGGGATATTAGATAATAGGTATCGAGAATAGACTTGATCAAAAGCTGCGCAAAGCCATGAAAAGAGACAGAGAGGTATAAGAGAATCCGGGGAGACCGAGCCATCTTTATAGGTTTCGATGATCCCCTCCTCGCATGGAATTCCCATCTCCCCAATTTTCGCTTAGGCAAATTCCTCCACTGCTATAGGGGGGGTTATCACCAATCAAATACCTACCAGGCCCAGGAATCTAATTCCAAAGAATAAGATTTAGGTTAAAAAGCCGATAGCTTAGCGGTCTTTCCCTGCAAGTGATAATTTTGGCGTCGGTGAATTTGAACCTTGATAAGGGTGTCCAGTTGAATTTCCCGACAAGATTCCCGACAATCCTTCAAACATACAATAGTGACATGACTGATCTTAGGCGAAAGTTTTGTTCGCCCAGCGGTTGGGTCCTATCAGTAGATTGGTTATTATTTCAGGTCCATTTAATTAGTGTTATGTCAAGCCGACCCTTCCAGACCTGGGAGTCGCTATGCATGTTCTTGTTTCCACAAGGTGGCTTTTATTGCAGAGGCATCCATTCTAAAACACGGCATTGAGGAATGCAATTCATAACTACCATGAGTCCTCGCCAGGACTGCGGACTTTAGTAAAGCGTCGAACCACTGGGTGTCGGTCAAGTCAGGTCAGGACTCGCCAGCGTGTGGGGTAAAAAAGCAAAGAAAAGGACAATCCCAAATCTTCGAAAAAGCAAAGCATATGAAATCTTAGCGCCGCTCCATGCGCCAGATGAAGAATCAAATCCACGATTGTACCGAGCTTGTAAATCAGAGAGATAGCGAAGTGAGAGTGCCGACTCGCCACCTACTCAACAGTAGCCTGTTGCTGATTAGCCGCATTGGCCATCTTGCGCAACTCGTATTCCTTGGTAAATTCTCGGGACAGAATTCCCAGATCCTTGATCAGAGCTTGGCAGGCATTGATTACTGCGTCGCGAGGGGTGATCTCGCCATCCGTCTGTACGCGCAGCTGGAAGTTGGGGGTCAGGGGGTGAGGGACCTGGTCAATAAACATTAGTCCGGTATACATTGACAAGAGAAAGTAATTCCTTACGCGGTAGGCGGAGAAGATAACGTGCGAAGTCTTCAGCAGACGAGTGCGGAGCATGTTGGCGAGGGTGTGGTCCTCCTTGTGGAAAGTGAAGATAGCAGCGGAGGGGAGACCTGATAGTCATGGTCAGTTTTTTTTGGTTACGAAAAGATGCCTTTTGGCTGGAGTCATGGGCCTGAGAGAACTTACGGGTATCAACGTCGACATCAATCTTGTTCTCACCGGGGGCGAGCAGAATAGCCTCGTAACTAGAAAGGAATGTTAGTTGGTGCGCATTACGCAAAACCAGACGTGCGAGAAACATGTTTGCAAGGGTTCAACGGGCAAAGGACAAGGACATGATTCAGGAAAGAGTCTGGGCAATAGATTCTCTTCCTTAAACTGACACATCAACGCCATTGGTCTGGAGACCAGGAGGAGCCCAGCGCCCGACTGGACGCGCAGGACGTCCTGCGAGTTCCCGCGCAAAGGTGACGCTGCTGGCTTCGAACGGAAATTCCGAATTGAGATTTGCCATGGGGTTATGTGGAAGAGGTACTCCCGGAGGGGTTGGGGGTCTTGGGGGAAGAGAATCCATCATGTTGACAGTCCCGATCCTAAACAAGGATATGGGAAACAACGGATAGAAGAATGAGGGAAGGTGCGAAGAGGGCTGTTGCCGTGAAGAAAGTGAGGCAAGTGAGGCCAGGCAGCCCTCCATCGCACCTTCCTGTGAATAGCGGTCACAGTTTACCGGTCCGCTTCGAGGCAGCAAAAGCCATCAAGAGTCCAGGAGAGGTAGATCAATCCACCGCATTCAATGAGAAGAGACAAGGTAATGACAAGACCGGCATATTTGTGAAGCAGATATGAAAGCAAAATTGCACACGCATTCAAATCAAATATTACTCACCGATCCGGCGCGTTCATGATGCTGATATCTCAATTGACTTCAAGACAGAAACTGATGAGGCGAAAAGTGATCTTCCTGGCGTGAGGTCGATTTGGATGTATGGATTTTATAACCAAGTTCAATAGGCAATTAGTCCGATTCCAAGTGTCGAGATATAGGACTTCTAGCAAGGCCGTTCCAATGAAGCGCTTGCCAGCGATTAAAAAGGACCCGCTGCGGTGATGCGGTTGATAATCCCAAAAGTGCCAAGGCTTCAGGCGTGCTTGGAGTTTGATGTAAGCTATTAGAAACGCAGCCCGTCCAGTCGAAGTGATCGTATTGCTATATTTGATGGAGCTGGTGGAAAACCCTGTGGCGATGGATTCGAAGTTGATCTACAGGTTGAAAAGTGTCGGGCCCGCGATCAAAGGCAAATGCGCGATATCAAACACGTGATTTGGTGACTACCCCGTGACTCTCACGTGATGCGCTAAACCCAAAATGGTTGTGAGAGTTCAACGTCTTGAACATACGATTGAAGGGGTAGATCAATTTTATTAAGTATATACCAAGGTAAGCTGAGGAAATTTTATCCTATGTACTAGAGAATACCTAGTACCAGGTACTTTTGCTAACGCTCAACTTGGGGGTTGTGGATCTGTGAAGGTTAATTTGGGCGGCAGTCCACAGGTGCTGATCCTCCACAGCATAGCAAGAATTCTACACCTGGGCATGAAACAATCATGAAAATAAGTCTAAATTTCAAATATTCGTATTTCAATGCGTATACTAGTAGCCCTTATTCTCGTGGGGTCAAATTGCAGATAACTAGGTACCTAGTATACTACGAATGATTTCGTGATCCCGCGCTCTGGAAATTTCAAATATATATCTGCTCCGGTGGATACATGAACTACTCCCCAGTACCTAAATATGTACTACTAGCTACTTCCAAGGTTAGGTACTTAGGACAACCTTCAAGCTGGAAGACCCTACCTACTGCCCACGACCCTAGGTAATACCAAGTGAACCAACACAAACTCAATCAAAAAATTAAGATAGTATAACCGACCAACGGCCGAAATGTATTATGTGAGAGAAGATAACATAAATGCCCGGAGAGAACAAGGACGGAACGAGATGCGACGATGATCCAAAACATTCGAAAAACAACAAATAATGACTCGGACCAGAGGGGGGAAAACAAATAAGATTAACGCCATGCCGTTCCTGCGCCAATGCCAGAAAAGAAAATACAAAGAAAACCATGGAAAATAGGGGGACATATGTTCTCGTACTCAGTTGATATGATAAACTTTGTTGCGCTTCATCTGATGCCTTGATGAAGGATGGTAACTCATAGTTAGAAGAAGGACCGCTCGTCCCGCCCCGCCGCCGGACGATATGAGACGAGACGAGATTGTTGCTTGACGGCAGGATAATTCCGCATGGAATGCCTAGATCGTATGCAGTGGGTGTAATAATAAATGGATGGGTTGTTGTCATATCATGTCATGTCAGTGAGGCGGGCGAGACGAGCGAAAACATCAAGGATGGGTGTCATTTTTATACAACGCGGTGGGCGTGATTCTGATAGTGATTGCAATTGGTGGTGATTTTGACTTCAATCCAATCGGGCTGGATAGATAGCCTTCTTTGTTGGGGCGGGTTGTTCTGGTCTTGGGCGAGGGATTGGGCGGAGTTAGTGCAATGCACTCAGTGCACGGCACCCAACAAATCGCCAAAGGAAGAAGTAGCCCGCTTCATCTTCCAGCTACTCTTCTTCTTATCACGTTTCTTCATCATATCCGCCCAACCCTCGTCTTCATCTTCGTCCCCAGAGCCAGATTGAGCCTGGCGGCCTGCTGGAGACTGACCGGCCTGTGAAACAGGTCGCACGGTCACGGTCGCCATGGTTGTGGACTTAGCGAGGCCGGAGTGGGGGCGTGACGCGGACATGGGTGAGAGATGATTTTCGTCATTCCAGGGCTTCAGATTCGGTGATGTCCCGGGGCGTTCGTTCTCATTATTAATCATCGAGACTGGGCGGTAGCGGGATGCGAGGCCTGCGTTGCTGCGCTCCGATGGTGCGATGGATGCGGCGTAGCCGGGATTATTGTTGGGGAATGGGTATCCCGACATGGTGGGCATGGGAGAGCCGCGGCGATTGGCGATGTTGTTGGGGTCGAGCAGGCCGAGAGTTCGCTGGTCGAAGTTCGGCTGGGCGGCGGCTGCATTTGGCATGGAGACGGGTCGACCTCCGCTGATGGACGGAGGTCCGGTTGGCATGCCTGGCATTGGCATAGGCATACCTGGCATGCCCATACCAGGAGGCATTTGCATGCCCGGCATCATTGGTGGTGGGGTGCCTTGGCCGCCTTGCATGGCCATCATATTCCGCATGAAGTCCATCTGCATCTGCACCATCTGCGACATCTGGTTTGAGAGGTTCAATTGAGCCTGCTCCGATGGGGTGATCTGGCCCTGCTGCTGAGGCATCATCGAGTAAGGTCGAGGGATACCACCTCCAATCGCCCCCATTCCTCCCATTCCTCCCATCGGATCGAACATTGCCTGGGTGTTCGGGCTGCCTCTCCTCGCGGCCCGAGCCCGCTCCTCATTGGCTATCACGTTAATTAGGCCACCAGGAGGAGGTGCTGGAGATGATGCACCTCCATAAACCGAGCCGGAGCCGCCGCCGAAAGCGAGTGATTCGCGATTAGACTCTCGGACTGAGACCAGCGCCGACATAGGGCTCTGGCGGCAGGTTGCGTGCGAACGCAGGCAAGTTGCTTCTATTATAAGGCTCGGCACCGTGGATGGAGTGAGCAGACGACGCATAAGACGGCTGCAACGACGCGCGAAGGTTCGGGTTAGAGCTGGCATTGTTCAGACGAGTAGGTGGTCTGTTGCGATTAGGGAACCCGTGGGCCGCCAGGATACCGAGTGGAACTTCGTCGTCGTCTTCCTCGGCGCTTTTGCCACTGGAGGATTTGTCACCCAGATGGGAAAGGCGGTTTGAATTGAGATTGGGGGTGCTGCTGCTTGCACCGCTCATCTCGGGGCGAAGTGACGGTGAAGGGCTTTTCTGACCTGTCACCTTCATCATCTGTTGGCGGTATACAGAGAGATGGGCCTCCTGCTTCCTGCGTTGTCGCTCCGTCTCGCGTTGCTTCTCGGCCTCATCTTCCTCGTCATCGAATTCATCATTGACAGATTCATCATCACTCTTCGTTGCATTGCTATTAGAACGACGCAGTTCTTGCTGTTGGCGGTAATGTTCGAATTGGGATGGGGTCATGACCTTATTTCCCGGGGAACTCCTCTTGGGCACGCTTTCAGCGAACTGCACAGCCAAACGGCCATGGTCCGCAATGGCCGGATCGGGGGACTCGCGACCTGAGAACATCGATTCTGGCTCTGGCTCTGCGTAGATAGGACTCGCTGCCTTGCCCTTGTCAAAATAAGGCGTTGCGTTGGGTGAAGGACCACCGTCGGTCCAAAGCAGAGATTTTCTGACAAGGTTGGCGTCCTCGTCTTCAATCGGGCTAGCGTCCCCTCCGTACGAGTATACTCCACTCCGGCGCAAATTCGAGAAATTGGATTGTCTTCTGTTGGGGCGTTCGAGGGCACGATGGGAAGTGGTAGCACCGAGGGTTTGGTTGGGACCGGGTGACGGCCTGCGAAATCCAGTGACGGTATCGGCGGAGGATTGAGCTGGTGAACCGGTATCCCTTCCTCTACCGGCATCATGATCATTAAGAAGGCCTTCCTGGGAATAATGCCTTGTATGACGACTGTCCCATGAGTAAGGGGAGGGTTCGACGGGAACTGAGCGGTCTGTACTAATAGGCGGGGGTCGTGCATTTCTGCTGGCTTGAAACTCTGGAAGGGCTTGTGTAGGTGGAGAAGAGGAGTACTATATCATCAATTAGTATAGACCCCTTGCATGATAAGATTAAGAGCCTCCGCGTACCTGATTAGACCGTTGAGGTTGAGGGGAAGGGTCGCGCAACATGGCGCTATCCCTTTTTCCTAAATGGTCGAACATCTTTCCAAAATCGTCCGACCCTGCCCCTAGATCCCAGTGCGAATCTGGAAGTTTTGGCGGAGTCGCTGTGTCATTGGTACTTCCTGACACTGTTCGCTGCCTCGTCTCCTCCGGCGGCGTTGCATGCCGGGGAGGAGCGGGGGGCCCTGAATTCGAGTTCTTACTAAATCGACCACCAAAGGAGAATGTTCTACCAGCAGCGGCGCGGAGGGCCCCAGAAAGTGGAGGTGGGACGGGGATATCGTGGATCCGTGAATGCGGGGATGCGGTGTCTTCGGATGGGATTTCTGTGGAGGAAGGGAGGGTGGACGAAGAGCTCAGACGAGTTGACGTCGAACTCTCGTACGTTGCACCACTGTGCCGTTTTCGGGTCAGACGCATTCTCAGGGAGTCCAAAGGTCGAGCGTGAGGGTGTTCATCATACCGATTCTTGTCCAGGGGTTGCTCGGTACCCGCGAAGATATTGTCATCTTCCAACATGGACGGGACTACATTACCCTCGCTCATGCGTTTAGTGAGCGGAGCACCGTCCGTCATCGATCTGTGAGGCCCCGGACGTTCGAAAACCTTGAAAGAGGACTGCGGGCGTGTCTCCACGTCCTCCAGAATGTTTCCGGAAGACTTGCGTCGTTGAAAGCTCTTGGGCAGCTTCATTGGCATTGTGAGCGGCTTATTGGCCTAACGAAGGGAAGCGTTCTAGAATAAACCAAATGTATCACTAAGTCCTCTGGATGTCGTTGTGGTGTGCGCCCATAAGGTTTTGCTTGGCCGATCCTGGGATGGAGAGTGGAGGAATTATCGCTCGGGGGACTCGGGGGGGATTTTGGATGTGTCAAATGCAGGTTGACAGCCAGCAGAAAACGGACGTGTCTAGTTAACGGGATAGACGATCGGCCGGCGGTCGCAAGGGGAGAGCAGAAGATAAACAACAATCGGTGGGGGAGAGGTTGTTAATCAGGGGATGGGCTAGCAAAGAATTGCAACGAGTCAGTCACAAAGGAAGCTTCTGGCACGGAGTTAAGTTCCCGAAACACCACAACACAACACAGTTTCCTTAGCGGCTGATCAAGGCCCATTCAGAATCCACAGCGATCGGGTGATGCAACGAGCGACACACACCTTGGCAGTTCTCCTGGAGTGATTGGATTGGAATGGAGTGGATTAAATTGGATTGGGGATTGTCCCTCGGGGTAGGTGGAAGAGGAGGAGGATGATCACCGGAAAAGAGAGAGGTGAAAGCCAGAGAAAATTAGGCGGGCAAACGGCCAAAGAAAGAAGTGTGAGACCTCAGGAGCAGAATGGATGGTTTCACTTGGGCTCCGCTCGAGATTGACTCCCGAGGAGGACGAGCGAGTCAGATCGGAATGGGGAAGCAGCAGGTGGGGAGGTGGATCAACAGGGACTTTCAGCTCGGGTAGAGTAGACAGCTGTGCCTCAAGGTGGGTGACAACTGTGGGAATAGCAGAGCAACCAGACAAGAATGAGGGCAAAGACAAAAAGGAAAGAATGTTGAGGCAAGAATGAGAAAGGAAAAGTTTAGAGGGGTGCCAACCGTTTGGGGGAAGGCCGAGAGTCTAGTCCCTGCATTATTGCCTCTTGTGGCTGTCGACCAGCAGTATACATACTAGTGTACTAGTATACTAGTATCAGTATACTCAGTATTGAGCACACTGGTATGTACTAGTGTACTAGTATTGTACACTAGATGTATACCAGTGTGCTAAATACTAAGGATCGTCCTCTGATCAGGCCAGACCCGACCATGTGAAACCAATCTTCTATGTATAGCGAGAGGTAGTGCCCTGATGGCCTAAAAATAAACATTACTAAGCGAGGGAAGCCAATCATATTTGGCATACCCACAGTAGTACAGTGGCGTTCCAAAGGTTTGAAACACCCTGAGCGACCGCCTTCCCCTACCGCCCACTATATTAGTACACCGCCCCCTATTCTACTACGCGACGTGCGTTGTATATAGCATATTATACACATTCCACGCGTTATATTGAGCTATTTGGGCCTTTAGAATGCCACCAATTCGTCATACTGCTCTGCAATTGGTGCAAAACCAATATGATACACCGTCACAGCATCCAAATGTAACACAACGCTCACGCCGGTGTCAATTAGCACCACATGAACGTGTTCGACTTGTTGAATTGAAAGCTATTGGATGGTCATATACTGAGATCCATGAACGCTATCCTTATATTCCAATTGGAACAATCAAAACTACAGTTGCTCGGGCGGAAAAACGAGGCCCAACTCAGGCTGCATTACCTCGTTCTGGTACACCAAAAAAGTTGGATGAAACAGATCGATTGAGGATACTTGAAGCAATATCAGAGAACCCACGAATTAAGTATGATGCTCTACTAGCTTTAGTCAACTTCAAATGCGGTCGAGCGACTATTTGGCGACTTCTCCAAGGTGAAAATAAACGGAAATGGCTTCAACTTCAACGACCTGAGTTAACCGACCAACAGGCTCGCCAGAGACTGGCTTGGGCACATCGAGTCCAAGATTATGACTCTGAAAAATGGAAAAAGATCTTCTGGTCAGATGAAACAACTATCGAAAGAGGAAAAGGAGGACGGCGAGAGTGGACTTTTACACCACGAAACCGCCAAATTGCGGAACGAGATGTTCAACAGGTCCCATGTCACAAAAGTGTTAAGCAAATGTTTTGGGCTGCCTTTTCAGGGACCGGTCGTCGATCCGGACTTATTCCACTCTTTGGAGATCCAGATTCTCCTAATGGAGGGGTGAACCGATTTGTTATCTTGGAATTATATCAGCGTGTGCTTCCAACTTTGCTAAGCGGAGTTGAAGGTGCTGTGTTTCAACAAGACAATGCTTCAGTTCATACTGCACATATTGTTCGTGATTGGATTGCTGATCAGGACTATGAGATTATGAAATGGCCTCCATATTCGCCTGATCTAAGTCCAATTGAGAATTTATGGTCGTTACTCAAGGCAAAGATATATGAATTGCACCCTGAGATTAGGGGCATGCCAAATAACGACGATACTCTACAGTTTATTATTGGGGTAGCACAGATAGCGTGGTCTATGATTGATATAGCGATACTAGAAAATTTGGCTATTACTATGCCACACCGTGTACAGCAAGTTATTGAAAATGATGGCTGGTATACTAGTTATTAGCAATTGTCAATACATGAGGTTTTTATTTTGTGCCGGTCGCGAGGTTTTAGTGCGGCAGAAAAAGCGGCAGAAAAATAGGGGGTGTTTCAAACTTTTGGAACGCCACTGTATACTGCATACTACTCAGTATACACACTGTATACAAGTATACAGTACTCATACCATCACATTCTCATGTTCTGGCCTCTTCTTTCAAGAATGTAATCACAAGCTATCTCACTTGACCTCGCATAGTGGTACCCAGATCTACTCCCTACTCATATTCCCATTCTGTCTAGGGATATTCAATTTGATACCAGTCTTGACCAGTCACCCGCTTACCTCACGGCCGATTTCAACAGCCGTACCACCTGCCCCGTCACACTCGGGTCATCCACCAATGCTTGGTGCAACCACCAACCCTAAAGACCTCGGGAACCTTGGAATAGCAGACAGAATACATAAAAGCACATAATTGGAAGATAACTTGAGATCGCTACAAAACATGGAATGGCAGTGCGTGAAGCATCCCTCCACAAGGATCCACAAAATGAAGTCGATCAACACCTCCGTCGCCAACCTCCCGATCCAGTCCCATCTATCCCGTTTTCAACTTGACAAAAATATATCGTACAGATTGCTTAGCTTAGCTTAGCTTAGCTTCGATTTTAATGCAATCTTCCTTCTTCCTCGCAGATCTCCCGACAAACACAAATCTCCATCTCCCCTCCCCTCCCCTCCCCTCCTCTCAACTATGGGATTTATCTATTTGGCAAAGTGAAGGTCGTAGTTCAACCACTTGCGCGCAACAACACCATCCACATCCAAACCCGGGGTACCATAAGTCAAAGGCGCATAGAAGATAAAGCCCCAGATCGTAACGCCAAGAATGACCGTCGTCGCCGCCCACGCCGCAATGACAGACTTGCACCCCATGCGCTCCTTCGCCGTGACGAATCGGCGCACACTCCGGCTCACCCGTCCCTTGGCCTTGCCAGAGGGATCGTCGGCAGGTGGGGCGGCCGTGTCAGGATCCAGTGGCTGCAGGTTGAAGATAAATTCAATCAGCGCGCCAGTCACCATCGTCGACGCCAGGTGCGAGGGCAGGTAGTGGTGCAGGAAACGTTGGCGGCCCATGAGCCAGAAGGGGAAGTAGTGTGCGGCCCAGCACAGGAACAGGAAGCCCGTGCTGTTGTACAGGCGCGACCGGGTGCCGGGGCCCCAGACTGGAGAAAAAAAAAGACGTTAGTGAATTGTTCACGGGTCGTGCGTGGGGGAATGTTAGATAACTTACTTTCTTCGAGGGCGTCCACGCCACGGCGGAGCGAAAGCTGGTCGGCTCCAACGATGCCGGCGAAAACGGCGAGCAGACTGCTGGCAATCCACCATCCGATGGGGTTACCGAGGAAGTAGATCTGCTCGCGGGTGTCGTTCTTGGTCCAGAAGCTCACGCCGCGGAGCAGGAAGGGCCACTGGAATGGCTCGGTGGCGTAGGGGTGGCTGCTGGTCAGGGCGTTGTTGTGGTGGAACATGGCTCCCTGCAGCTCGAAGTATTTGCGCAGGAAGGAGATTTGCTTGGGCTTGCGCTCCTGGCGCACCAGGCGAGGGCTATCAGCTTCCAGACCGTCAATGGTCTCGGCGAACCATACGTTGCTGGATTGCAGGATGTTCTTGTTGCCGTTGATCTCGGCCTGCTTGAAGCCCCATTCGGGAAGGGGGTGGTGTGTGTCCACATGGCAACTCGAGTCGGCACATGAATCAGCTTGAACAAGCTTGCATATGTGCGGAACTCTTGCTCCGGCTTGCCGTTCTGGATCTGGATCTCGAACATGGTGTCGTTGTGGCGATCGCCGGCAGCCAGCTCTTGAGAGACAGTGGTGAACTCCTGGTTGGTTGGGAAGAAAGGAGAAGCCACATCGTGGGTCAGGAGGAAGGTGTCAGTGCCCACATGGCGGAGCTGAATGAAATCACCGTTTTGCACGCTCTTGGGCTGGCCATCATCTGCGAGGGGCTTGGTGGGAAGAATTTGCCACAGGTTGTTCGTGTCGTTGTGGGGGTATCCAGTAACCTGCTGTCCCTGGCTGGAGATACGGCCATCGTCATATCGCAGGGGGTAGTTCTCGTAGTGGCTGTGGAGGAGAACCTTGGTGTCCTTGTGACGCATGGTAATGCTGTCGAAGTACTGGACGCCGACTGACTGAGCAGTCATAGCGTTGTCACTGAGAGTCTCCTGGAATTCCGGGGACATGAACTCATCGCCGGGTCCGGAGCGGGTGAGAATGGCGAAGTGAACCTGGAACCAGAACAGATAGAAGAAGAACGGGATCACAACAAGGCCAACACCACGGGCAATAAAGTGCTTGGTGAAAGTGACCATATCAAGGGCACCCTGGCGGCGATTGATGTCCAAGAGGTTCCACAGATCGACTAGGACAGCCGCACCAATGGTGACGAAGGTGAATACACCGACATACTTGGTGGAGATTACGCAGCTCAGGCAGAATCCAGTCAAAAGCAGCCACTTCCACCACTTGCGCCCGAACGCCTCATGACGCAGCTTGTAGAACTTGACGTAGCATAGAACACTCAGAGCCATGCTCAGAACCAGGGTTGCGTCCAGAAGAATGAGACGATCCTCGGCAATGTGGGCATTGTCAAACACCATCAGACCGGCGGCCAGAACACAGGCAGGCAGAGAGTACCCGGATTCCCACATGGTCAAAAACACAACGGGGATAGTAAGGGCACCGAGGGTGGCAGGCATAGCGCGGAGTGCCACGTAGGGGACATTGTTCTCGATGTACGAGTCACCGATGTTCTCGAAGAAGAAGTGGCCATCAAATCCGATCAACCAGCCCATGAGTGCAAAGAGCAGCTTTCCAAACGGCGGGTGGACATCGAAGAAGTACATGCGTTGCAGATAGTAAGAGGCGAACTAGATTTAGCAATTGTGTTAGCTCGACCAGGCCCCCTTTTCGTCGAATATGATGGTGTCGCGGAGCTTCAGGGAGCGTACCTTTCCAAAGTGAACCTCATCGAAGACCACCTCATTGGGGTAGTCAATGCGCCAGAAGCGAGTCGCAAAGGCCAAGACGGTCAGAATGGTTATGGCCAGCCAGTAATCCCATTCCGAGTTTCGCTTGCCGGAGGCGACCACTGGAGCTGAGCCATCATTGGAGCTGACGGCGGGAGTATCCTTCTTGCCACCTCTCTTGCGCAGAGAAGGCGAGGACGACATGATGGGCGAAATAAAAGGAAAGAAAGAAAATATTAAAGGAAGAGAGCGACCGTGAAACTACCTAAAGTAAATAGACTTCCGAAAACGCGCAACGTCAGCACCGAATCATCGAATCGCGAGGGAGGGAGAGGGGTCACGGAGTAGAGGTAAAGATAGACTTACCAGAACCACCAAATAGCATGGCACTCAATCAAACGAGTGCCAAAAGAAACAGGGTGTTGAATAAGGAGTTGTCGGAGGGGGCGTGTGAGGCTGCGTGTCCTTCTTGTTTCTGGGGAGGGCGGTGGCCCGGGCGGCGCACATCACCGCAGCCCTACCAATCAGAGTCGGGATTGCACAGTCATGAGGCGGTGGATATACATAGCATCTAAGTGCGTTTGAAGTTGATCGTAATATTTCCTTAGATAAAACCAAAGCTAAGAGTAATAAAGAACCAACAAGGAAATCAATAAGAATGAATGAGGAAAAGAAAAGATGAGATAAGAAGATATGCAGTTTCAGACATTCAACAATGCTCCCAAACCCCAGAATGCATCTAGTTTGATGATTTCGTTCCAAATATACACCGACATGCCAAAAACAGGTCTCGTAGCTCATGGGTATCAGTCAAGATAAAAGCAAATAATAAAGCAAATAATAAAAAATCAAACACCAAATCCTCATTCGTCATCTGTCAAATTCAAAAGCTGCACCTCGGTCTGCACCAAGCACTGGAAGTCACTTCGTGACATTCCTGTCGCCTTAGCCAGACGGAACAGACTCTTGATACTGGTACCAATATGTTGCTTCACGCCTACTTCGTAGGTGGATTGGCTCTCCGCTTCCTGCTCCAGCTTCGCGACGGCATCGGAACTGCCTGAAGAAGCAGATGCGGGGCGGGGGTGGCTAAGAGCATGCGCAGACGCATCGATGGGGATATTATCATGAGAGTAACCATTTTTGCGAGGGCCATTTGCCGGGTCATCAGATCCACTCATTTGCGAGCGTAGTAGAGTGGCAAGAATATCTCCGTTCAAAGATGACGGACCAACTTCTGGCTGTTCCTCGGTGGGGTCATGGCTATCCATCGCCGGCTGCACATCACCGTACTGGGAAAAGTACGATGCTTCAGAGAGGCCAGATGGACCCTTTGAGGACGCCGGTGCGGGGGTCTTAACGTTAGGTGTTTCCCCGCCGCCGGGGGTGGCATCATACTGAGCCCAGTAATCGTCGTCATCGTCTTCTTCCTCGTCCTGGACTTGTTCACTGTTTGACTTTTCGTCCTTCTCATCCAGGATTTCTGCCAGAAGTCTGTCTTTTGCCTGTGTAGTTGCTTCGCTAATGGAAGAGGCCCAGGTGTTTTCGTCGTCTGCAGGGCTCTCCCGCGGAAGCAGTTCCGCCACCCGCCAGCCGCGGCCATGCTCGTCGGTGGGGCACCACAGGTAGATCACTGCTAGACTGTACTCTGGTAGCAAGACCAGTGACTGGAGAGTCTCGTCGTCAATCCGTTTGTAGGTTGCCGGCAGGTCGTCTGCGAGCTCAATCTCGCCGGAGACGGGGTGTGGCTCAAAAGTGGTGCTGCCGACGATGCTCTGGAGACGGTCCGCTTTGGCGGTGTCCCAACAGAGAAGCTTCAACCATGAGTCATCAGTAGAAGTAGATACTGAGGTAAGGATTTGGAGTCGTTGGCGGAGGATTGGGGAGAGTAGTGGGAGGAGGGCTGGTGGCGGGCGTGGGGAGACAAAGGCTATAGGAAGACAGGCGAGGAGAGGAGGGAGCAAAGCTCGAGAGTCGGGGGAATTGATGAGCTCGACCATAGTCACAAAAGGTATACTGAGTGACTTGGAATCCGGGGTGTGGAGAGAAGGAGAAAAGAAAAGAAAAGAGGGGAGACAAGAGGACCTGGGGAAGAGGTGAAGTGAAAGCTCCTCAGTTTCCTGGCCGATCCATTCGCCCGAAGCGTGGGGCAGCGGCGGGCCGGAAGCTTACTGGCTGAAGTAGTTAGACTACCGTGTATATCTTCACTTCATGAAGCTCTTCCATATGAATTATATTTATAACATCAAAGCAGCTGCTTTTCGAGATATGTTGACCTTTTACTCCACTCAGTAACTGGTTTGACGTTGCAATGGAGCCATAGCCATGGCAATGACCATGTTTTTAGTGGTACCTTCGGCTCGATGTGACCCTGCAGATGCATTGGGAATATAATCAACATAGAAGACACTTCTAAATTATGGGCATCGGAGGTGTCGGACACTTGAGTGCTCAACTTTGGGCCGATTTCTAACTCCTTGCGTTGGCCGTCCAGGCTTTCTTCCTTCCCCGATGGTCCTTCTGTGGGGGCAGCTTATCGGTCCAATGAAACACCCCACGAGATAGGATGCTTGTTAAGCCCCTGGCTTATTTTCTTTGCTCCTGGTACCTGCGCTATAACCATATGATAAGTTGATCCTCCTTTCTTCCGACAGGCGCGGAGGGATCTTCAGAATCGGGCTCGATTTCGCCAAAGGGATAGCTGTCATCAACGAAACTTGGAAAGGCCAGGGCAGAAGATTAGGGCTGTGGGATTCAATTTTGTGTCCTATTGATCTGTTTGTGGCATAAGGAGAGTCAGCTATATCACAAGATATTTTTCGTAGTGTGCTTGTCCCCTGAATGACTAGATCGTTGAAAGGAACAAATTAGGCGAAACACTTCCTTCTTCGGCGTCATATTGCCGACTGTCCGCACGTCCATGGCATTAAGAGAAAAAGAAAAACACTCTTTTTTCCCTTTTCAAAGCAGGCCCAATGAATTTCCGATGACTCCTCGTTGGCCAAGATCAGATTTCTTACCAAGGAGCATTCAAGTTGCTTTGTCAGATAGTGCTAGACCTGATCATGCGCAATATTCCAGCATATCCGACCAAGCAGATGTGGAGCAAACAGCTGGGTGCGGATTTGCCAGTTCTTATTTAGAAAGAAGTGTCCAGAAAAGTGCCACTCGAATGCGGGAAGCAGAGCAAAGAAAAGAAAAGAAAGCAAAAGCCCTCCAGACATGCATCTGTTGCTGGGGTAATTACCCCGCCACAGAGACACTTGTGACAGAACCAACGGCCAAGGCCAGAATATATTGCGTCAGTCGACAGTGAAAGAGAAACAATGTATATAAGAATGATTCCGAGGTCGAAAATCTCACGATTTATACAGAGGCTTTGGATGTCGAGGCTCCCCAGTTATCACTGTACCGAAGCCCTCGCTTAATCCGAATTTCCTGTGTGTCGCAGGCCACACATCTCATAGTCTATTGTAACGACTCATTGGCATGAGAAGCATCTCCTGATTTGGCGAAAACTCCTTGCCACCAAAAAGATAGGCCCAGAGCCGACATAATTTTTAAATTTTATGCCGGAAAAGCTCGGTTTCATGCCCGATGACCCGTACGCAATCCTCGTGCCCCCGAGAGGCCGACTACAATCAGTAAGCGAGTGACCAAAAGTTATTTAACTTCCATCAAATGGGGCGTCGATCCTATTCGACTGATGAAGACAACTTCCCAATGGAGTTGAAAGAGGAGAATACTCTAACATGGAACTGACTATTCAGCCATTAGGCTACCTTTCTGGGGACTCACCCATCCATTCACTAACAGTTCCCTGTCAAAAAGCAATGAAGACACATTACTAAAGCGATTTCAATTCAATTACGGAGTACTCCGTACGCAGTTGAAGATAGGGTAGTACAAGATTTGCATGAGTATGCAACAGAAATACGATATTGCAGCAAATAGACGTGGTGATTAATGATTCGCCTGGACCTAGCATGCAAGATCTGGCTAGTGAAAGATCCACCAGATCGGCCATTCCCCGAGGTCCAAATCTTATAATATCGGAGAGATCTTAGACTCCGCCTATGCACGCCCCTCATTTACATGCATGTATGATGCAGAATCCATCGCGATCCGCACCTCGTACGACGTAAATTCCTCTTCTGAAATTGTGATAGATAATAATTGGAAAGGAGCGGTGTGGCTTAGAAAGGCAAGATGTGACTCTATCGTGCACCGAGAGAGGATACTTAATGCCCGCGTTTCTCTACTATCTTGAAATCTAGACAACCATTTTGATCCTCAGAAACTACACCAAGCTTCTTGTGGAAAAGCTTTCAAAATGCCCGAATCGGTCAGCCACCTACGAGGCGGCCAAAAACGCCTCGAGGCAGCGTGGGACAGATTCAACGCGGCACAGGCAGAGCGTGAAGAGGAGATTCGTCGACCAGCCAAGAAAATCGACGTCATGTCAGAAGATGAGTATCAGCGAATCCAAACTGCCCGTGGACAACTGGTCAGCTTTTACAATAGTCTACGTGATCACTGGGATGAACAGTATAACCGCATCAGTAAAAGGTATATCAGGGCCTTTTTCAACAAATACCACCCAGATATTACCTCACTTGGCGAGGAATCATTATCTAGAATTGTGAATTGGGTATCGGTCATGATAGTTGAATGTTCCATTGTCCTCTCTGACCCATATTTCCCAAGTCATGATTCTCGGCCACCAAGCACCGATCCTTTGAAAGACATCCCTGGATACCGCAGCGTTGAGGGCTCCAGAGAAGAACTTTTGAAGGGCATTTTGATGGAGCGATTACATTTCTCTGACGGTCCAGACGAGAGAAATAGAAAGATTGAAATGCTTACGAAGAAATTCGGAGGTTATCCAGGCTTTTATGATTGGAACATCCAGTCCGCTTATGGGATGGGATTATCGCATGACTTCAAGGTACGAATTTTCTTATATCTCACCTGGGCATGCGTTCTACTCGGAGTCTAATTCTACCTGAGTGAATACTCTTGCTGACTATATAGAAATTCGATACTCCATACCTCGTGAGAAATCTCAAGAGCGAGACTCAAAGCGATGATATATGGAAACCCAAGGATCAAGAATTGGCCAAATGGATTTTCGAAGACGAGGAAAGAGAGGTGGATTTTGGAATGGTCATTAACATGATTGTGATGGCGAGTCTCCTGAAGCTAAAAGCCATAGGGGCAGGCGCGTCAAGAATGTGCTGGTCTATACCCGAGGGCACTGGCAATGGTCCAATCCAAGATGAACTTGATAAAATCAAGAAATTGATTGAAAAAGACGCAAAGAGCCAAAAGATTTGGCAGAACATTCTGGAGATGTGGGAGGATGGGAAAGTGGAAGATAACTTGCAGCTTCTCATTGATGACGGCCTGAAGAAGGCCGTCGAGGATGGACTAATTCATTAAGTCTTGTTCTACTCAGCTCTCTTCTAAATTATGTAATCACTATCATTCCAAAATCTATACCAGCTATCACTTTCCTCGATTTAATTCGGTTTGAAGTGAAATTCTTTCAACCACTTGCCAGTGGTTAAGATTTATGTCTATCTAGGTATCAACAAGATAACATTTCTGAGAAGACAGTATTTTCTACAATACAATCAGCTCAACTACCAATATAATTTTGAGAATTCAATATTCTTGACAAAGTCATCGATTGACTGTATCTTTTGTTAGTAATGTTATACATTTAGTGATGTTATTAGCACGACTATTGTTTTGCTGTATTCTAGAAAACTTGCCAGGCGGGATCATGATGGCATATATACCACTAGTAGTAACTACTAGTAGTCCCTTCTGGGTCTGAATGCTGGATATGACCAAGTCAGATGACTAGTGCACCTCAACCGCTGCTAGTATTCCTCCCAGGCTTTATTGACTCGGGCCAATGAAAGAGCCCTGGAGGACAATAGCTCAATACTACCACGGCCATTTGGAACTTGAATGTTTCCTGCCAGTAAATTCAAGACACGATGACTTCCTCAAGTCTTTTTATCTTACGGATGTGCATATTGTACATTTCCAAAACACTCGAAGGTACGCCACGGGCACTACTGAGCCCCCAAAATCCTCCCTCCCTGCCAAACACTTGCGGTCACTGTATCCTAGTAAATTGAAAAAGGCAAGAAGATGTCAAATCCATAGAGAGAAATAAGAAGGAATGGAAGGTAAGCCAGTGGGATGGGTTAAGTTACATAATCCTCGCTGTAAACCGTAGCGACTAAGACAGACACATAACCCCTGGTAGCTAGGTAGGTCTATGTATTCCAAGGTTCTTTCATGGTCTGTAGGTACAAATATCCCTGAATTATGTTATTGAAGAGAAAAAGGGGTATATGGTATATGGCAGACAAAATGTGCAACATCAAGAGACATGCAAGACAACAAACAGTCGAAAGTAAAACAGTGGCATTCGGCCTTGCAGGAGACTTCGTCCGTTAAGCAACTCTATCATTCTGTTCCAGCTTTCCAACTAGTCGTTTCATGCCTGTCCACTCATCAGCAGGTACCTCCTCAGAAGGACCACCCAGGCCCTTGCCAACTTCAAAAACCGTAACCACGCCATTGAGCCCACCGGTAGCGATGCGTCTGCCCTCACGCTCTTCCCAGGCAACCTTGTTCAGACTACGGGAGATGCCGCCATTGGAGCCACGGGATGGACTAGTGCGTACAACTGGGACTTCAGTGTCTGTGTAGAGATCCCACACTTCCAAGTTTCCGGCGCCGTCGACTAGAGAGAACACGCCGGGTCGGTGTGGAGACCAACGTGCGTCGTATACAACATCCTCCCGAGTGATATCCAGAATGGGCGAAACGACCTGCGCGGCGGCCGTGCCAGAAGTGACAGAAGCTGTTGTGGCCGGTGCCCGCACACGCCAAAGTTTCACACTCCAGTCAAGACTGGAGCTTAGCATCAAATCACCCAGATCGACAGGGCCGCGAGCAGGGTGGAACGCGGTCGACATGATTGGGGCGGCGTGGCCGCGGTAGGCGAGGCGGTGATCTGTGCCAGCCTTGGCCCCGGCGCGATCATATCGATGGCAAGGGTAGATACCTCCCTCTTCGGTACCGACAATGAAGAATGTTGGGTCGGACTGTGGGAATGACATGGTTGTTGGTGCAAGGTCCTCCGTCTTGGATGGAGGGGGAGTAGTCAACTCGAGATACTCCTGGGGCTGGGAGAGCATATCGACTGTCCAGCCACAGACCACTCCATCCGTTGAAGAGGTCAGAATGTTGTGCGCATTCTGGGTGCCAATGATAGAGATACTATACACAGGGTGAGTGTGTCCAGATCCGGTGAGTGGCGTCTTTTGAACGGGAGCACCCCCGCCAGCACGAGAGGAACGAGTATCCCACAGGAGTACTTGTCCCGAATATGAGCCTCCGACGATGAGATTAGGGTGGAAAGGAGAGAATTTGGCGGTAAGAATGTCAGAAGTAGAGTGGAAAACATATTCAGGACGTGACTGTAGATGTTGATTCCAAACCTGCACCAAGCCGTCTGGCTCATGGGGGGCAGATGGGTTCTTGGTGTAAGATGCCAGCACGAGTTCAGGAAACTAAAGACCGGATTAGTTGAGATTGAGTCTGTGACCCGAAATCAAACAAGACGCACCTTGGGAGAGAAACTTATGTCACTGATCATGCGCTTCTTACTCCATCGCTCGTCCCAAAACTGGCAAATCTCTCGGATACCCCTCCTCTTCTTGCCAGTTTCTTCGTCTTCTTCCAGGTCTCCATCCACACCACCTAGTTCATAGTCTGCAAGAACATCGTATTCCTCATCGAGAGCCCGCTCAATGACCTTTGCGGAACGCTCCACAAAGTCCAGGAAATCATCCGATGAGGTCACAGCTTTCAGCTCATCATCCTCAAGTGTACGCATAGGATATCTTAGGTCTGATGACTGTGCGGCAGTTGCATCTTGCCCGGTTTGTTTGGTAGCTTGCAATTCCTCTTCAATCTCGGCGCGAATCTTTTGACGGATCTCCTCGTCGCGCTCACGACCCCGCCGACTAAGACGTTTGTTTGATCGTGAAGTCCCGGTGAGGTCATCATCATCTGAGCCAATGGACTCATCTGGATCTTCTGGGAAGTCTAAGCCATCTGTCTGCACACCCTTGCTGTACGTGACGACTTCCGGTTTGGGTTCAGGGGGCGGCGGGGCATGGGTTTGGGGTTGAGCTTCGGGCGTAGAGGCAGTGTAGGGTTCATCTCCGACAGTTTGAACGGCGATAGACTGGGACTGAGGTCTGGATGAAGGGGTATAGGTTTCGGCGTTCTCTCCACTCAACTGGCTGGCGCTGAGTACTGAAGTTGGCCGACTTCCTCGGCGCGACTGGTCCTCAGCGCCATGGCTAAGGGAAGCTGACCCAGGACGGTCCACCAGCCGAGAAATCAAATCATCAAGTTCAGCTCTACTGCCAGAATGACTTGGAACCGGCGAAGCGATCTAATATAATCCAGTTAGTTTCCCTATGTGAGCTCCCCCCGGTCGTATCTCCATACCTCTGAAGCATCTCCGACACTGTTCCGGTTGTTGGTGAATTCCTTTTGGCGGAGCTCACGCTGTTTTTTCAACTCAGCAAGCTTAGCCCGCTTGGCCAGGATCTCATTCTTGCGCTGCTGCATGGACGACATCCTGAAATCATACGACCCGGTCGAAGCATTGTAGCTGTAGTAGCGTGTTGCTCTTTATTTACGGGATGACATAAGCGGACAGGCCCGAACGGCGCCGGAAAAACTCGCGCAGACCAGGGACGACCAAACCTCGCCTTGCCCAACCCGAGGATTCACTGCCATTGACGGTCGACTCTTGTTGAACGGTTTTCCGATTTCCCACTCCTTCATTTAACGTCGCATTCCCGTCCTCCGGATACTCACAGAAATGGCTAGCCAAGGTGTCAACGTGAGTATCATCCGTATCCTTCCCCGGCAGGGACCGACACGCCCCCCCTCTCAATGCGAAATCGGATGTTGACCATCTACCGCCATTCTAGGTCCTCCGTTACTCGGCTCTCGTTGCCGGTCTCGTCTATGGTGTCTACCACCAGTCCTCCCTCACCTCCCAGACCAAGCGCGCCGAGATCGAGCACGAGTACACCCGCAAGGAGCGTCTGATTGAACAGGCCAAGGCCGAGTGGAGGAAGAAGACCCAGCCCCAGGAGACCAAGACGCAATCCTCCGGCCGTACGTGACCCTTTAAGACTCTCCATCTGTTCTCGTACAATGATAGCATTCGACGAGACCGAAGAGGCCGAAAGAGCCCCAATTCCAGAGACACCGCGCTAACCGATGGTTGCTATGTTACAGTCATTACCGATTTCTCCGACCCCAAGTTCGACCTCGAGGCCTTCCTGCAGGCCAAGTTTGCCGAGAACCCTTAAATGCGATGAATTAACTAGAGTGGAGGAATGAAAACGCATCTCTTTGCGAAACTCGCACCTCCCTCCCAGGGTATTTGAGCATTTGCTCGGCTCCATTTACTGTACGATTGATCGGGTCTGATTTCCCCCCGAGTTGCGACATTGCGAGCGAAAGACGGAATGGTTTCTTTTGGTTTCGTTTTCTTTACTTTATCGTTTTAGACGTTATCATTTTGGTCCTGTACATACCCTGGGCTGTGTCGTGCGCCTGTACAATACAGTTGGACCTCAAGAGCAAAAGATTGTGTTATGCATTCCGGCGTTATAATACTGGCTTCCGTGTTCGACTAGCCGGTCCGTAATCAAGTGCTTTGCATTCCTGTCCTGAACTCCAACAATAGATTGTAAATGTGCCATTCCATGAGATCGCCTTCTCGCCCGTCTTGCAGCCATTTATTGCTCCATGTCTTGTCATAATATGCTTCAAAACATACTCTAGCGATTCCCTAGCATTGCCATTGTCTCACGAATACCACTGGGAGGTTGGCTGTTTGTGGGCGGTACAGTGATCGGAGATGGGTACAGCAATCGGGTCTCCGGGTTCCAGGTCCAACCGCAATCGGTAAACTTTTGAATGATTGTCTGATTGTCTTTCTCCGCAGCCTGGGTATCTAGCCCCAGGTATCCTGCCGCTACGGCGGGTCGAATCGCTTCGTATGAGGTGCTAACCGCGATCAAGGTCTGGTCTTGAAAGAAACCTATAGCACGAAAATCAGTAAGCAATTACCAACAAGCCATTCTTGAAGCTAAGCACATACTCTCATATCTTTTTACCAAATGTTTCAGGGTGTCTGGCCACGGCAAGCCACGGAGAATCCGATAGACCTGACCATGCTCATTCTGCCAGATTGCTCGCAGCAAATTCAAGCAATTTTGTAAGGAAGGATCGTGATGCTTTAATGTTACTGGAATTCGCTGGGTAAGTGCGCGCGCTTCTGGTCTGTTGTATGTCAAATTATTAGCGACTACATCACTTGAAGTATGATGGGGAGCTTTGACATTTGTTTGGTAAGAAGATGAGCGAAGAAGAAGCCCGAGTAGTACAGGCACAGCATTTCGGGATCACCTGCACCTGTTTCAGGGCTGCCACTACCAGCAGACATGAGGCAGGCATCTGATTCGTATTGCGACAGAATCTCGAAGAGCTGTGAGGGAGGAGCATTTGAGACGATCACCTTGGTGATCTGCTCCTTGGTGAAGGAAGGAAGCTCCATCATATGGCAGTAGCTATGAGATTAATATTTTATGCTCTTGAATTCAGGAGTATCTTGAGGTTGACAAGGCTTCGACGTGGGTGTAGCTGGTGCTTGATTGTTGAATGGATGATGCGGGGAGCAGTCGGAGGTGGCGTCGGGGAAAGACGCCAAGACCTTCAGAAGTGACCACCTTGCGTAGCTCTCCCTCTTGCAACCTTTCCACCAGGCAACCCATTGGCAGCTCGGCCCCATTCCTTTCTAGTTTTCATGATTCATCTTTGTTAATTTGGACTTTACTCCTTCTTCCAGGCCATTATGGCCCATTCTTCCCTTGATGTCTTGCTGAAAGGCAGCTCCGGCCGGAGCACGCGCGGTCTATTACGGATCATCATCCTTCTCACGATCGCTGCGGCCGCCGTCGCCAGTCGCCTTTTCAGTGTTATCCGTATGTCAATGACCATAATCTGACTGCTCGCATATTTTATCTAATCTCAATTACAGGATTTGAAAGTATTATTCACGAATGTACGATCCCCCCGTTCCAGTTCTCTCAGCCCACGACATCGCAACGGCCAGATATACAAAGATGACATATTGACCTACTTTCAATTGCAGTCGATCCGTGGTTCAACTTCCGAGCAACAAAATACCTTGTTCAAAATGGCTTTTACAGTTTCTGGGATTGGTTTGATGACCGTATGCTTTCCCCTTCCCAATGCTTGCGTGTCGTTCAAATCCCCTCCGTGCCGCAGAGTAGCGCTGATACAATTCCTTCCCCGTTCAGGAACATGGCATCCTCTGGGTCGTGTCACTGGTGGCACTTTGTACCCAGGTCTGATGGTGACCAGTGGTGTCATCTACCACATCCTCCGCCTCCTCACAATCCCTGTCGATATCCGCAACGTCTGTGTTCTTCTTGCCCCCGGATTTTCGGGTCTGACTGCCCTGGCAATGTACCTCTTGACCCGTGAGATGTCTCATTCTCCATCCGCTGGTCTTCTTGCGGCTGCATTTATGGGTATTACTCCCGGTTATATCTCTCGTTCCGTGGCCGGTAGCTACGACAATGAAGCCATTGCCATTTTCCTGCTTGTCTTCACCTTCTTCCTGTGGATCAAGGCTGTCAAGAATGGCTCAATCATGTGGGGTGCATTGACTGCTCTGTTCTACGGATACATGGTCTCCGCTTGGGGTGGATATGTCTTTATCACTAACCTAATCCCTCTCCATGTGTTCGTTCTGCTTTGCATGGGTCGTTATAGCTCCCGCCTTTACATTAGCTATACCACCTGGTATGCATTGGGAACGTTGGGCAGCATGCAGATTCCCTTCGTGGGTTTCCTGCCTATCCGCAACAGTGATCATATGTCGGCCCTGGGTGTCTTCGGTCTCATTCAGCTCGTCGCATTCGCTGAATTTGTTCGCGCATACTTGCCCGGCAAGCAGTTCCAGAAACTCCTCACTTCTATGGTCCTGCTTACCTTCGGTCTTGGATTCACTGGTCTCATCCTTCTCTCCGTTTCTGGCGTCATTGCTCCCTGGAGTGGACGTTTCTACTCGCTGTGGGATACCGGCTATGCTAAGATTCACATTCCTATCATCGCCTCCGTCTCCGAGCACCAGCCTACCGCTTGGCCTGCCTTCTTCTTTGACCTGAACTTCTTGATCTGGCTTTTCCCCGCCGGTGTGTTCATGTGTTTCCAGAACCTGAAGGATGAGCATGTCTTTGTCATTATCTATGCTGTTCTCTCCAGCTACTTCGCCGGTGTCATGGTTCGTCTGATGCTGACTCTCACCCCGATTGTCTGTGTCGCCGCCGCTCTGGCTCTCTCGACCATCTTTGATAGCTTCCTAGTCATGACCAAGCCTACTCCCGAGAGCAAGGACAAAGTGAACACAGAGAAGGCTAAAGCGTTCTCGTCGACCAAGAAGCCCGTTGTGGGAATCTACTCCTACTTCTCGAAGGCTATTGTGACAGGTTCCCTGACCATCTACCTTCTGATGTTTGTTGCTCACTGTACTTGGGTTACCTCGAACGCGTACTCGTCCCCTTCGGTCGTGCTCGCTAGCCGCCTGCCCGATGGAAGCCAGCACATCATCGATGACTATCGCGAGGCCTACTACTGGCTCCGTCAAAACACCGAGGACAATGCCAAGATCATGTCCTGGTGGGATTACGGTTACCAGATCGGTGGTATGGCCGACCGTCCCACTCTTGTCGACAACAACACCTGGAACAACACTCACATTGCCACCGTCGGCAAGGCCATGAGCTCTCGCGAAGAAGTCAGCTACCCCATTCTGCGTCAACACGACGTCGACTACGTTCTGGTAGTGTTCGGCGGTCTCCTTGGCTACTCGGGTGATGATCTGAACAAGTTCTTGTGGATGGTCCGCATCGCGGAGGGTATTTGGCCCGACGAGATCAAGGAGCGTGACTTCTTCACTGCTCGCGGCGAGTATCGCGTCGACGAAGAGGCCACTCCCACCATGAAGAACAGCCTGATGTACGTGATTTTAACCAGTTTGATACATACAGAGCCATCATTTACTAACTCTTTATCACCAGGTACAAAATGTCTTACTACAACTACAACTCTCTCTTCCCCGCCGGCCAAGCCGTCGACCGAGTTCGTGGCGTTAAATTGCCTGCGGAGAGCCCGACGCTTAACACCCTCGAGGAAGCTTTCACCAGTGAGAACTGGATCATCCGTATCTTCAAGGTCAAGGATCTGGACAACTTCGGCCGTGATCACAGCAACGCTGTTTCTTTTGACAAGGGTCTGAAGCGCAAGCGCGCGACTAAGAAGAAGGGACCTCGCGTTCTGCGAACCGAGTAAACCCTTTCGACTAGTAAACGTTCCCTGTATCTTCTGAATTACTTTTGTTATTGCACTTCTTTTCTATGACAGCAAGGCTTTGACCTTTGTTTCTTTGCGGGTGATATGAATATACTGAGTACCATAGCTTTGACATCCATGGATAGTATACAATGAGACCGCTTGGAGAAATTATTGCACCTTGTATTATACAGTAGACTAGTTGTTCAGTTAACTACTGGTACTACACCAGGTAAACCTTGAAAGAGAAGAGAAATGTGGATTTCAGGTGAGGTCTATGTAATGGTATACATGCTATCCCCAGCAAATCCACCCTGTACAAGATATCATAGATGCAATGAATCAAAGCCGCTGAGCTCACAGGTCAAGAATCATGACCTGTTCGATGAAAGACTCCATAACCCCGAAGTGCTCCGTTGCTGTTTTCCGCCGCAGGAAGACCATATTGGCGGGCCTAATTCCTGCTCCCACCCCTCCCATTGATGCGGTTATATGGTACACGCAGAAATCGCAATTCAATGACGCCCCCTAGAGTGGTGGCCTGGTGGCCCAATTCCTCATAGGGCCTCGATATTGCGCTTATTTTTTCTCGGATGAGACGGGGGTCTCGGGGACCTTCACGTCGGAGAACTCTTCTTGGCCGACAGCGCGGATAGTGTAGGCATCTGGTAAAATCCGGACTGTTAGTCCCACAGTCTAATGATATGCCTTATCTGGCTCTGATATGTATGCGTGAAGGGGGAGGTGGTGGTCGTTCGCAGAGTGGCATGACCCTCTCTCTGCGCCACGATGGACTGGGTTGCAGGAGGGGGCAGAGAACTGTATATAGGGGAATATCGTATATCGAGGGATACGTACAGACACCAATTGTAAAGGCAAAGAGTCCGAACCCAGTCAGGGCGTTCTTGACAAGGAATGGTCGGCGGGCACGCAGGAGGGCGGCACCGGCGCGGTAATCCTTGCCGTAGTATGTAGAGTTGAAGCTGTATATGAAAAGTCAGTTAAGGGTAAAGATATAGGTCGGATTGATATCTGAAGGTAATGACTGACATTCCAGCGGCCATGGTGAAAGTGTTGGTAGGCTTAAAAGGCAAGAATTGTAACATTGAAGTCGATTTGGTCCGCACGGGAGATGGAGTCTTGGCAATATGTCAGACCATCGCATGTACTCATTCATGCAGATTGCTATTCTGGAGTGATGTTGTTAGTGATTTGGGTGATTCAAAGTAGTGGAATACCCCTTGGAAGCTCACAAATATTAATTCGTCCTGATTAGGGTCACGCTTAGTCGCCATTCCCACTAAATTTGCCCGTGGTAACCCCGACCCTGCATGTTCAGGTTAGACCGTCGCGCCCGATATCGATTAATTACTTCCCCATCTTTTCTCGGCCCCTGCGGACCTTTGCTTCTTGCGTATCCATCCTTTGTTTCTGAACAACCCACGTCCATACCCCCCTCCTTCATTCATCTTCTCCTCGCAGATCATACATCGCCATCCGTTGCAGCATCACCAATCACTAGCGCGTGGCTGTCCTCTAACAGCGCGCTGCTTTAATCGTGCTTCGATCCGAGAAGCAAGCAAACACGCCCTGATCGCCTATTGCGCCGACCTTACTCCCTTGCCTTTCGACGAACCGCGTATCCTCATCAAAATCCTACCGTTTTCGCCATGGCTCAAACTGCCGTACAACTCAATCAGTTGAATGCAGCTCGCAACCTCGTCCTCGGTGACGCTGCTCTCTACCCGCAGATCGTCAATGGAATTCTGCCTATCGTCGGAGCTAATTCGAGGGTCGAACTGCGAAGATGGGGGGCGGAATTTATGGCTGAGACCTTCTCTAGTCCGGTTCTGTCCGTATCTTTGAAGGAACAACTTGCGCCAAATGTGCTCCAGACCATTCAAGACACTCTTGCTCTTCCTGAGACAGATATTGCCGTACTACAAGCCTTAGTTCAAACCGCGGCCAGCTTGTACCCCTTGGTGTTTCGACATATGTATGTTTTGGAGAATGGTTGAATTGGTTTTCAGTACTAACGATTGGCAGCGTGAACCACCCCGGCGATAATAAATCATGGGAGACAATGACAATGATCAAAGAAGACATCTTGCGAAAGATGGACTCTTTCCTTGTCCAGTCAAGATCTGCTGCGTCAAGTTCCTGCAGCGCGTGGTTCAAGTTCAGACGCCCGGGCTGATATCAGACCCACGAGTATGTTCTATATAAGTCTACCTTGCGCGGCCTCCTCCATACTGATCTTTCTTACAGCGACCTGAGCAAAATGAGACATCACTCGCCATTGTTCCTCGAACTCATCCCGTTCTCAAAATCTCCTATCTCGAGGCTGAGGCATCGGGCTTGCTTGATCGACTCCTCGGCGTGTTCCAAGAAGAGTTATGGTATGACCTGACACCCACCTGGGCATTACATTCGATATAAAATTTTATACTCACCCTTTCCTAGTGATGTGCTAATCGTCAATGCAACACTGAATTGTCTCTCGCCACTCATCCGTACTCGCCAGTCTATCGCCAACAAGATCATCAACACTGTGCTAGAGTTCTTCCCAACTAGACATGTCCGACCCCCATTCACGCCAACCGTCCGAGTCAATGTCAAATCTATGGAGCGAACCGCTAGAGCCCTACTCGTCAACATCATCAAGAAGAACCAGAACCACCCTTACGTGGGTAAGATGCAAATTTACATTGAGCGTCTCATGCAAGCTAGGCTAGAGGAAGTAGAAGACGCCTCTCGGAAACGTGCATTTCCCATTGAACCAACAGATGGTTTGGATACCGCAAAGCGGGCTCGTTTAGATGCACTTGCCCCTCCACTGATGAAGATTCCCCCAATGGCCCCGGGGCCTCCGAGCTACGAGAAGCTATTTACATTGACTGAAGACGCCGCACTGTCCTCATTTGATGTTACGCAGCTTCCCATCGACCTCGTCGTGAAGATTACTCTACCCCTACTTCAACGCGTTAACCCATCCATGCTTACACAGGCTATTGATGTAAGCATATACATGGAAACATCTTCTATAAGAGACTATAGCTAAATGCGCTTTCAGGCTGTCCGGAATCGATACGAGTCCATAACAAAAGAACAGAATTTGCAGCGTCAACAACAGCAGATTGCGACCTCACCTGACGACGACGAAGACGACGATTATGAGCCAGATTATGAGCCCATGGATGTAGCCGAAGGCGCCGTGGATGAGAGAACTCCTGCAGCCCATGAAGTAGCAGATCTACAGCCGGACTTGGTATCACTGGGCCCATTCGTTCTGCCTCAGCCACCCCCTCTCAGCGAGGAAGAAGCCGCCGATGTGGGCCGCAGCGCCGTTGCGCGCGTTTTCAGCATGATCACCTTGAACGAGACCGCTCCCGCGACAAACAAAGGAAAAACCCAACAGCTCGGTTTCTCCCGGCTGGCTGGAAGCACTTTTGATCGGGATGCTTGGGCCGTGCTCCTCACGCGCCTTGCCACTCGCGCCCCAGCTGGCCTGGAACCAAGTGGCAAGGGAGAGTCCGCAGTTGCCTCTCGCAGACAAACGACGATTTCGGATTCTATTCGCGAGACGTTGTATCGGCACGTTCTGGAGGACTTCCGTGGCCGACTTAATATCGGTATTGGATGGCTCAACGAGGAATGGTACAATGATAGAGTACAGATGAAGGCTGCAGCCGCTCGACGTGATGAAAGCGGCGAAGAGGAAGAGCCTGTCGTCCCGCTTCACTATGATCGCTGGGCGACACGACTCTTAGATGGAATTTTGCCATACTTGGACTCGCGCGATATCAAGGTCACGGTGCGCTTCCTCAGCGAGGTTCCTGAGATCACAATTCCTATCACCCAGCGCATTGCCAGTCTCGCAAAGGACCCTGAACGTGTGAATCTTTGCGTCCAAGCCCTTATGTAAGATTTCACTTATCGTCCCCTAACCCCCAAACCACTTTTTTCTGCGGTACTGACGTGTGGTTTTCTACTCTCCAGGTACTTGATCATGTTCCGACCTCCGGCTCGTGAGCTGTGTCTCGACACACTCGAGCATGTCTATCACACTTGTATGTTTCTCTGGTTTCACCTGATACCTCACTTTGAAGCTTTTGTCCTAACTCATCACTCCACAGACGAGGAATCTCGGCCCGCAGCTGGGAAAGTTCTGGCAAAGTGGCGACCACAGGCTATTCAAGCTACTGATGAACCTTCCAATGGTTCATCGGCACAGCCAGCGGACACACAGACCGCTGTCAGCCAGGAGCCATCGACATAAGCAACTTACGACCTCCATCATCCATTCAGGACAGTGGTCGATTTTGATGTCAAAGTGTGAAAAGAAGCAGTTTTCAATATTTCGGAAATGAGACTGAGGATGAGTATGTGGTTTATGAAAGGACGGAGCGTTCGCTGCGGAGTGCCCAACTGAGTCGGGTATTTCGAATGAACGCTGTGGTGTTGACCAACAAGTTCACCAACCGTGAATATGTCTATTTTGGCTGCTACGGCTGCGGGTCCAACCTCCAGCCGGTGGCTTTCATCGAGATCTGGCAAAAGCAAAGAATTATGTCGTCGGCGACGGATGTTTTGACCACGGTGAGATTTACGGGATTATCATCCCGGATATCTTCCCGGCGTGATGATGATGATGATAATGCTAGCGCCTGGAGAAGGGCTATGAAGATGCACAGGTTTTTGAGAATGAGGATCGGTGTTCAATTGTCCCGTCCAGCGATGGCGTGGACGGAGCTGACCTTGCCCTTATCAGTTGTGGAAATTTCAAAGAGCATATCTGTGCTACTTACAACTTGAAGCGGAAACCTGTTGATGTTTATTAGACATATCCCCTCTCTGTTCAAAAGCGTTTGTGTTCGTGTCTTTTCTAGTTCTTATTCTTCATATCATATTCTTAACCAGCTAGGTCCATTTATGTGTTTCTAGTCAGCGTATTGGGGTTGCGAATCTGGTGGAGTAACAGGCGATGATTTTCTAAATTATTATATAGACCTCTAGAGTTCCATCACTTAGATGGATATTTTGATGCAAATAGAGGTTCGAGTAGATTCGGTCTAGGAGAACCATCGTACGAATTACGTTCTTACTTTCAGAAATACTTTGATAAAGACACAGCCGACCTCGGGACTGCCTATTAAATGGGTTCAGAGAGATATCATGCATTTTATACCTGGTATTTGCAACAATTCCAATGCCCAGCTCAACGCCCGTGAAAGATACAAAATATTGTTTTTTTGAGACAAAGACTTTAACAAAAGCTCGTCACGTTCATGGCTTCTGACCACCGGCAGCACGGTAGGCCGCAGCACGCTTGCTGCCCCGACCCTTGGGCTTACCCTTCGATCCACGGCTCTTAACCTTGACCTTCATGCTATTTCCAGCCTCGGTAGCACGGTGACCCTCGAAAACCATCGAGTTACCAGCAATACCCCCTTTGCCAGCCTCCTTGATCTTAGCTGCACCAGCGCGACCAAGTAGCTTGTTAGCACGACCCTGAAGCGTCTTCTGAGCAAGATCACCGCGACGACCATTCTTGCCGCCATCATCATCCTGCTTCTTGGCCATCTTGCGCGCACGAGTGACGCGCAGTTTGCGCGGCAGCATCGGCGGGTAGTTCTTCTCGTTCAGGAGGAGAGCGGCCTCGACGTTGTTCGCGTCGAAGAATTGGACGTAGGCGAAGCCCTTGCCGACGCGAGTGGCGCGGTCACGAATCACGCGGACGAATTCAACGTTCTTCTTCACTGTCTTCTTGTCCTTGGTGTCGCCTGTGTGCTGGTTGAAGATCCGCCAGAGACCCTCCTCGATATCGGCGGATGCGCGCGCCTTCTTCTTCTTGCCATTGTGGTCCTCGGTGATACCCTCCTGGTCGACGAAGTCGAGGTTACCCACGAAGACGCAGCGCTTGTTGTCGATCTCAGCCGGGTGGGCGATGCTGTCGACGCGGATGTGGCGGTCCAGGACGACGGTTCCGTTTAGGGCGGCGGGGGCCTTGCGCGCGCCTTGGATGGTGGTGTAGACGGCGTAGGCGTTAGTGCTGGGCGTGGTCTCGTCGAGGATCTCCCGTCTGGCGAAAGATGCGCGCTTGGGGAGACCACCACCGCTGGCGAATGGGACGGAGCGGAATCGGATCGACTCGACCTTGTGTGGGCCGCTGGACTCGGGCAGGCTGGATAAGTGGGAGGCCAGATGGCGGAGGAGAGTCTTCTTGGCTGTTTTGGATTTGATAGCTTCGGTGGAAACGTTGCCCAGGAAGACAGTTCGGCTGGACTTTTCAACTTCGCTGGCCTTAGCGTTGCCAGATACGCTCTCGTGAACTGGAGGCGGAGCACTCTTCTCCTCGTCGTCACTGTCCTTTTCCTTGCTCTCTTCCTCCTCGTCGTCGGATTTTTCGCTGTTGTCGGAGTCCTCATCGGGCTTCTGACGCTTGGCATACTCGGCTTTGCGCTTTTCCTCGTCTTTTTCCTCCTCTTTGGCGAGGCGGCGCATGTAGGTTTCTTCGACTTCCTCCGCGGGACCACGCTTTCGCTTGCGGCCTTGTGTTTCCTCTGCCTTCTCCTCTGCGGAATCAGATTCGCTCTCCTCGGAAGCATCTTCCATCACTTCATCATCCTCCTCGGCGGCCTCGACCTTGTCGGCCTTTTTGGTCTTTTTGGAGGGCTTGCCTGCAGCAGCATTGCTGTACTTCACCGCCGGTGCTTGGACAGGTCCAGACTAAAGCAGAAAATGTCAGCTCCATTATTTTCGCTTCACTGGTATAATTGCAACGTACGCTTGCCGCGAAGAGCGAGGACAATGTTGGGTCCAAAGATGCGCTACCGCTGATGAATGGGAGGCCACCGGTGGCCGGCTGGCTCTCCTCCTTGGATTGCGTCTTGGATGATTTCTTGCCCATCTTGTAATGTGTGTATGGTGATTCCCGAGAAGAAACAAATATCTTCAAATGGGAACTTAATGGGTAGAGGTTGATTTATATGGGGGGGGTTCAACGCATACCAATCTAGCCCCGAACTTTTTTTTTCGTTGCGCTTATCGGTCCGGGCGGAGCTGGGCTGCGCATCACATGATTGGAGGGCGCTCTGGGGCAAAGTCAACTCACTTACATGCTTGTGTGTTGGAAGCTATTAGGTATTTACTTGCCTAGGATTTTTCGGGATGCAAAAGTATTAGCAGACTTTGTTTTCCCTTCACTTCTGTCAACTTAAAAAGCCCGATACAGATGGACGTGTCGTCATCTCCAGTGCATTAATCCAAATCTGTCCGTATTCTTGCCTGATATAGCTCTGAGAAGTCCTTCAGACTATCATACGATCGCATGGGCCCTTCAGTTGTCACAGACCACCTTAAACCATGTGATATAGCCATAGGCCAACTGCCATGTCTAATACCTAGGGTATGTGGTATGTTATGCTTACCTATGCACGCCGTCTCCGGACGATGTCATCGTCCACGTGACTGGAGGTTTTGCGGCGGTGAGCCTCGGGGCCTGGCAGAACGGACTGCTATGATGGGGGCGCCCAGGAATCATCCTGTCGTTCGGCTCTCTCCCCACCCCTGTTACGATTTTACTGCTCGATTTGCTTCCCCCATCGCCCTCGCTAGCATTGCGAACGATCCTTGTTATCCTCCTATTCTTCATGCCGACCGCCCCCCCCCGCGACCCTCCACTGTGGTCCTGCCCGCTTCCTAGCCGACCTCCCCTCGCTCCTAAGCACCGGCGCATCGGTGATCCGACAGCTTCTACTGGCATTCTATACCTGTGAGACGCGTGGACGTGGTCCTAGTTGCTCACCTGTGTCTCTGAAACACACTGGTGGTGATAATCGTGCTTGGTCGCGAGCAGCTTTGCTCGTTCCCAGCGGCGCTCCCGGCGCATTGTTGAGACGGTACGTCGCTTGCACCTCTTCGTCCCATTTAGGATCCCTCTAGCTCGTGGCTATGGTGAAAAGAAGCATCTTGTTTTTAAGGAGCTTTTTTGTCACGATGATTTGAACGCGCGCAGTTGCCGGCCCTCCAGGAAGCGTCGCTTGCCGGCTTTGGGGGGTGGAGGCGTTGCCGCGATGATCAATCTCCGCACCGCCTTCTCTGGAGGCGCTGACCTACCATTCCCTCCCACCCTACCACTTCCCCTCCACCACCTTGACCCGGGCCTTTTTGACCCAGCTAGCATGGCAATTGAACTAATCAATTATATGGTTGTTCCAGACTCCCCACGAAACCCTTCCCTGGTGGATCGGTGACCTTGACGTCCTTCCTCTCCCACCACCATCCCAAACGCCGCCAAGCAAGCCCTTTGGCACCATACCCCCCAACCATACCCTTCTCCTCCTACATACCGCCACTCACTGCCTTAGTGCCTCGAACAACTGCAGATGGAGGTAGCCGAAAGCAGAGAACAAGCCTCCGTCGGCCCAACGACGGGGGCAGAATCTACCATGACCAATGGCGAACGAAATCCCTTCTTGGATGACCCCCTCATGGACGATGGACGCTCTAGCAGCTTGAGTGAAATTGACGATGTTTCTGACGACGAGCCATCCGACTTTGAAGAGTCACCTAAACCCGAGAGGCAGCTTGAAAACGACTCGGAAGCGGAAACCGAGCGCCTCGAAGATTCCCCTCACAACATTCGAAAGCGAGACATCGTGCTTAGTGTTGGCAGCGCTGGTCCCAGTCCGAGCAAACTCCACCAGTCCACCACCCTGGAGGACGTGGACGAGGCAGAGGAGCATGCGCTGGATGACTCGCCTAGCAAGAGGCGACCCTCTCAAAATAATGGGATTATCGAGGAAGGTATGGAGTTGCTCGATGACGTTGAGCTTCCAGATAGCATTGGGAAGAAACGCAAACGCGTTGAGCTGGGTGACGACACTGGTACAGAAATCGGCGACGATGAGCCACTTAAGAAACGCCGGAGCTCCCTCAAAAGCGATTTAAGCGACCCAATCGACGACGATACCCCCCTCTCCCCGGAGCCAATGATGGATGACCCTACAGCGACCATGGACGACGAACTTCCGCTTGACGACCTTCCCGAATCAGACCTACCCGCTGTCACAATCAAAGGAAAGAAAAGCAAGAAGGGTAAGCGGAAAGGAAAACGGAATACAGATGTGGACGGGGACACGGAAGGCGGCGAGCTCATCGGAGAAGATGCCGTGGATGACAACCTCGTCGAAGATGAAGAGCCTGTGGAACGTGTCGAGGGACCCCACAATGCAGAGGTCGCCGCCAGAGTCGAAGAAGAATGTAAGTCGCAGGACACTGGAGCCTACCTGGGATCAGATTTGCTTACATACTGTTCAGCTGCGAAAAAGATGTCTGCCATGGAGTCATTAGCAACGCTAGAAAAAGAATTTGCTGCGTTGCGTGATAAGTAAGGACTTCTTCCTGTCGCGGGACCCCTTCCATCTGCTAACCTCTTCTCAGGATCTATGATGAGCGGATCTCGAAACTTAATCGTGAGCTAGAAATGCTGAACGGACCAAACCCCACTCATCCCGAATATCTGCGCCAAATCGAGTGTGTGCAACATTACCGGGATGCCAAGCTCCAATACGAACGGACCTTGTACTACTACCGCATGAAGTCGCTCGTTACCAAGAGCATGGCCGAACGTGCGCAGGCTATGAGCACTTTCTTCCAGAAAGTTCGGGATGTGCGTGAAGTCCACTCAAGCGCCATCAGCCAGCAGTTCTATGCCATCCAGCATGATCGCTTCAAGACGGACGAACTGAGCCCTCACCATGTAATCCCATTCCCTACCCGCCGATCTCAACAAATCGCGCACCAAGCTGCGTACAATCAAGAAGTTTCAGTTATGGCAGGTGTTGCAAAATATGTTGGTTTCCCAGCCGCACCAACCTTGCTTGGAGCTCGTCCATCAGAACTGGACGACGATTTGGAGAAGATGGGAATTACAGTCGAGCCTCGTGTTGTGGCCCCAAGACAATCACAATCATCCTCTACGTTACAACATCGTGGTGCCATGTCAGCCATGTCATCCAACATGTTCCGCACCGCAGCTGAAGCCGAAGAAGCCTTTTTGGAGCAAACACCGTGGGCCAACCCACAACATCCAATTCATCAGCAACAAGCCCAACACCAATATCCTCAGCCTCATCGACCTCAAGGGCGGGCCTTTGAGGCCCCTAATGCATCATCATTCGCGACACCCGCAGCTCAGAAGCGGATGGTAGATGTCCATGCTCCGAATGGATCAGCATCTACTATTCCCGAGAATGCTTCGGCTGCGAATTCATCGGCCAATAACACCCCTTACGGCATTGAGCAAGACCCACGACACCCACATCAAGGGTCGTGGCGACATCCGGACTATGACACAGAGCGTAAATCCGGCTTCCGTTCCCAAAGTTCCTCCCCTCTCGATGTTCGAAAATCCCAACCACACCCAAGTCACGGCCTCGAGCACCGTTCGCCAGTCGCGGACGTCTCTTCCACCCGCAATCCTCTCTTCTCCCCTCCTCCCGCTCGATCAAATCTGTTCCAACACTCTGTCGGTCCAAAACCAGATGCTTCTCCCCTGACCTCGAAACCCGTTGATGCTGTTCATTACCGTCCCCAACAGACCGAGGTATTAACGGGATCTGGATCAAGTCATATGCCAGCGCGATAAGCATTGGGGATGACCCTAGCCCAACGCTGATAATTCCTTTACGCACTCTCATGACTGAACAAATTTCTCGACAGAAACGTCCTCACTCGATCTGTATCGACACTCCACATCATCCCATCTCCTCAATCTCTCCTATCCCTAATGAAGATTCCCCACTGTTTTACTTCTGCTATTGCTCTCTGCCGGCAAATGTATTTCTGATCAGCGTTCCAACCTAGAAAGAGAGAAGGGTGGCATTGTTTGTGTATGAACCGCCGGGTAGGTCAGGTCAGACCAGGTTTTCCTGAGTTCATCTTCAATATGACATGTGAGCTCACTCACTGCTAGCTTGGCCTAGCCGAGTTCGATTTGGATGGAAAGAACATTCCCAATGTCATATACAACTTTGTTCGCCCTATCTCTTATCCATACGGAGGTGTTTGTTATGCGGGGGTATGTGACTTGTGCCTTTTTCTTCCCTTTTATTTGTGGATCTTTCCCCTCTCTATATCGATAGGAGTAACCATATCCTCTCTTGCATTGGTTGTTTCCTCAGGGAGAAGTGGATCTTCTCTTATCTGTTTTTTTTTTCCCTTTCTTTTTGGTTCTATGTTGGCGTCTGTAGGTGTACATACCACGCATATATGTCGGCCTGTTTATGGTGTTTGGTCGAGATGCCCGCCGTCCGAGTCTGGCGTGACATTAAACGGATGACTTCAAGTTCTTTGAATGACTTGTATAGTATTTATGTTCCTTTTCTAGTACTATGAGTAGTTTACCTAGGCAGTTTCAGCGTAGCCTTCTCCACCGGGCACGAAGTTAACGAATTTAAACCCTGGAGGGCTTGGAGCGCAACTAGTCTGTTGGTTTCACGGCAACCACCTCCGAGTCATACTACTAGTAGTACTAGTGCTAGTAGGTAACTACGTACCTAGGTGCTAGGTAATTATACCCTGCATTGGCTACCTAGGTACTTCTATAAGGTAACCAGCTCTGACGTTATTTGATATAAATCTTCCAACGTTGAGATAGATAGATACCTAGGTAATGAGTTCTATCATATTTTTCTGCAACGAGTGGTCGAGTAATCTTCAAGTTCTCCAGGGCTTTTTGGTTCAAAACCATCTGGGCAATGAAACTTGAAAGAAGTATACTACTACTACTACTACTACTACTACTACTACTACTACTACTACTACTACTACTACTACTACTACTACCTAGATACTCTCAATAGAATTGATAAGCCGCCCCATGGTTAATTGAAACGATTCTAATCCAGATCCAGGAACCTTTTCTTCTTACAAAAATCAGATCATAACCCTGCCGGGAAGCTGTCAACTAAAGCTCTCGATGATATGTCCAGGTGATCATATCAAGTTCGAACTTAAAGTCAGGGATTCCGAGCCCGCAATGATACTGTATCTAGGTACGGAGTAGATAGCTTCGAATTCAGCATACTAGATTCGCCCTGCACCGGCAGTTTTGACTGCCCTTGTATCTTCCCCCAAACATGATAGCTTATGGCACCTGTAGACTTGTATGAAGAAAGATTTCAAGTTTCGTTGCATAGTACCTCTGTAGTAGTACCTAATTATCTAGACTTTTGCCAAATATTGCCCCGGCCGGTGGAAGTTGAATACCTAGCTTATAACTCTTTCTCTGCCATTTCTTTTATATCGTGAGTACGGTGCAGCCGGTATATAAAGCCTCCCTGGCAAACAACTGCTCGGGTACATGATTTTTTCCAGCGAGAACGTTTAATCTCGGCTTAATATTTTTGGATCTGTTGAATGCGCGCATGGTTTCAATGGAAATGCCAAGTGCTAGCATGCTGACGTCATGTAAACAAGTTAGATTGACGATGGTCGTTTCAGCGAACCTTTCCTAGAAATACCAATCTCTTCCCCTTAAATCAAATATGGTGCATTGCCACAAAGTAATTTCGATTTGTCACATTCTAGATGAATATCTGGCAAGCTCATTGTAACCCTAGGGATGTATAGCATCATATGTAGTTTACACCTGGGGGATCCTAGGATGACGTGCGGGGTGACTACGATAAGATAGAGCTTGTAGACACCCAATTAACCTGGGGAACTTAGCATTTGAACTACTAGCATTTCCAAGACTTAAATTGCCACCAGGCGCATATCAAAGAACTATTATGGAGATTACATAGGAATGTGGGTTTCCTTGACATAATCCTTGAAAAGCTCGAAAAGGAGGTTTCCATTGAACTTAAAGGGCGGGTGAGCTCTGGTGGGGTTACAGCCTGATCTTCAATCCATCCATCCTTCCGGCTCTTTTCTTCTCCTCTCTTTTCAATGCTACTTGTTCTACAAATACCCCTGGTCTGACACTCTGACTTAACTCTCTTCACACACACATACCCGGGAACCACACCTACAGTGACAGCCATCGTCACCTCACAATGCTTCCCCTCCGATTACGCCGGGACGTTGAGAGACTCTTCGGACTCCCAGATCGCAACACCGACAAAAACCAGGACAATGATGACAACAACGAATCTTCCGACCCACAGCCTGCGTCAAGCTCACTCTCAAAACCGAATCGAGATACAGAGAACTTCTTTCCCACGCTGTGGGATGTGCTCAAAGCTCGATACATACTCCAATGGAAGCTTAAGAAGCTAGTACCCCCCCGAGCTGGTGGACGCCATTATCGACGAGGCTGAATACTGGCCCTCGACAGAACATGTGATGGAAGGGGAAAGGAGAATTGCATGGGATCGGGATCAAGTCTTGTTTAAGACTGTGCCACTCTGCTTTGATAGGAAGGTTTGTCAAGCCCAGCAAGACCATGGCCCTCAAGACGTGGCATCTGCTTACCACCCTTTATATCTCTAGGCTCTTGAAGAAGAGGAATCTCCTAAACCCCTACCGCACCGCACCGCCCACCCTTGCCGCAAAATCATCTTCCACATCTCGTCTCACGACCAGGGTGGCTCTCGGATCCACGATGACATGTATGGAGGGTCATTCACCTGGTTCGACGTGGAGGTGATTCACGAAGCGCATAAGAAAAGGATGTACGTGGACGGTTCCGAGCAGGAGATTCTAGAAGACGAGACGGGCAAAGTGAAGAGACACTTTGAACCAAACGATGAGCTTCTCCTTCCGCGAAGTAAGCAATTGCAGATGAATGGCGCGAGGGTTTCGGAGATGCAGAACCGCGTCATTACCTGGCATCACCTCGATAATGTGTCGTCTGAGTCGACGGAGGCGCATGATATCGAACGCACGGAGGGCCGTGGTCGGTATACCCTTGACGGACGGGTGGTGCGTGAGCTGGAGGTTGGGGATTCTATTGCGCTTTGGGGACGAGCGAGGTTTGGACAATGGACGAACCATGTTTCTTCGGCGAGTGCTAGGGTGTTCTGGGCTGTTTGAGGCGTGTCATTGTTGTTACTAGCAGAGTAGTTTGTACGTAGCTTATGACATGCCGGCTGAACTGGACTTGACTGGACTGGGTCTCTGCTACTATTACGAGAGACTAGTCATATGTAGATTACTACTTTCTTTCCATTTCCCTAAATTAGAATAGATCTCAGGGTTTAGTCTATCTATCTTACCCCGTACTCCGTAAGTCCTAAGCGTACTAGTCCCACTGGATGCCTCATTTCTGAGGTGTCGAGAATTGCGTGCTCGCCAAGATCGACAGCCCGTTGATGTATAAGACTACCAGCACGCCCACCACCACCTTTCTTTCTTTCTTTCCCCGGAATTGGCCTAAAGATGCCTGGAAAATGATGCTGGTTGATCTAATGACTCGAAAAACACCCCGACAACCCCCCCTGAGGGCAGCCTCCCTTCGACCATGAGGCCATCCCCAGCATGTCCATTATTTCCCCCTCTCTCGCCGCTCACACGCACGCACGCCCCGACACAGCCGACAGGCCGACAGGCCGACGACAACCGTCCGCGACAGTGGGGCCCGCTGCGTCAGTCTTCACTCTCTCGGCCGGTATTAGCCAATTCGAGGACCACGATAATCAGCTGAGTTCTGTCTGTCTGGTCTAAGAGCGGAATGTGCATTTCGACCGAGAGATGGGAAAGACGATGACGATACCCACTTCCTGGCCGCGCGATGTGTCACTGAGTTGAGGTTCCCGTTCCTTTAGCGAGGGTCCGACTGGTTGTTGGTTGCGTTATCTGCGCTACTAATGATGATCGGGAGGGGCGAGGGCGACTCTTCCCAGGGGATTCAAAGGTTGACGCATTCCTGTCGGGGTCTTGGCTGAAATACGGATACTATGAACCAAAACCCCCTCCTTTCTTGCGGTGTGCGCCGTGTGACTTTTGCTTTATTTAGATACCCCAATCAATCCCGTTTTTGGTCTACATCTGCATTTCCTCCCTCCTACCGTTTCTTCCTAAAATCTGTCCCTTCTCTACTTCCCAGTTTCCCCTCCCATTTCTTGACTCCAGATATCTCAAATCCCACCCAAAATGACAACCACACGCAAATGCGCCGCCGTGGTCGTGGGTGCCGGCCCAGCCGGCGTCGCAGTCGTGGGCAACCTCCTCGAGCGACAACTGGGCTCAATAGCCTGGATCGACCCCAGTTTCGAGTCAGGCCGAGTAAACCGCAAATATCGCGAGGTCCCCAGCAACACCAAAGTCTCCTTTTTCCAGTCCTACGCCACCTCCCTCCAACCCTTCCGAACCATCATCGAAAACACCCCGCGCCCAAATGCCTTCACCACCATGGCTAAACTGGACCAGGAGAAGACCTGCCACCTGCACTACGCCGCCGACATGATCCGCGGTCTGACAAACGGTCTCGTCAAAATGGAGCAGGTCTACGCTTATCAGGGCTTTGTTACAGCTGCTACTTTGTCCTCAAGGGTAAGCCGAGAACCAACCCCAACCCCCTGCGGACGACAACAGTACCGCTAACAATGACATCACAGCCCGACCAAGCAAAATGGACCGTCAGAATCAAGTCTGCCAACGAGGCCGACGAGCTTGAAATCGAAACATCCCGCCTAATCCTCTGCACAGGCTCGCACCCAACAAACCTGCCCGTGCCAATCCCAGGCCTGGAAATCCACTCCTTGGACCTCGACACCGTTCTCAAACCCTCATTGCTCGCCGAGACTCTCCCAACAACAAAGCCCACCACCGTTGCTGTTGTCGGCGCCTCTCATAGCGCTATCCTGGCCCTCCTTAACCTCGTCACTCTAGCTCAATCTTCCCACCCGCGCCTCCGTGTCAAATGGTTCACCCGCCATCCGCTTCGGTATGCGGAGTTCATGGATGGGTGGATTCTGCGCGATAACACGGGGTTGAAGGGGTTGGCGGCGGACTTTGCGCGCAGCCAGTTGGAAGAGAACGTGCTTGCTACTTCTGCTGCGGGCAAGATCGTGACCAAGGTCGATTGTGCCGGTGGTGAGGCGAAAGAGAAGGAGATGTATCGTGCCAACCTGCCGGGTTGTGATTATATCACGCAGGCCGTGGGATTCACGAGAGATCCATTGCCCCAGCTGGTTAAGGATGTGGGGGATGAGGCGAAGCCGTTGAGTATGGAGTTCGATCATGAGACGGGTGCTTTTCACGAGACTGCTGCCGTTGGTGATGGGGAGAAGATTCCGGGGCTTTTTGGCGCTGGTATTGCGTTTCCTCAGCGGGTTGTTGATCCGTATGGGAATGTCGAGTATGCGGTGGGGTTCTTTAAGTTTATGAAGTTCTTGAAGAAGGTTGTTCCTTCTTGGTAGGGGTCGTGATACTTGCTTCTTTCTGCCCTGTTCCCAACACACTGCTTTTGTTTGGGTTCATATCGGCTGGGGTTCTTTCTTGTGCTTTCTTCGACATGGAGCGATACCTGGTGCCAAGGAGTTTTGTTACTTTTACTCTAAGAGAATCTAGGACCTACTTTAGTCTAATTCTATTCCAAGTTCTCAAATATCTCCTGTGCATCTCCATCCATTTCTAATAGATGAATATCTCCCTCTACCATTTCATAGCTAGTCCCAAGGCTCGTCACCCATCACTCATCGTGTCTATGAGAACATACGACCCCGCATATCTTATGGTGGTCATCAATAGATCATCTTCCCCTGCCTCTGTTTCAATCAAGTAGATTCAAGTAGATCCCACCCGAATAATCACTCCAACTGCAAAGAGTTTCGAGACTTCGAGAATCTATCCATCCGATCTTGCAATGAGACCTCAACGCACCATTCCGCAGTGGGTATACGCCAAAGTCACTGACCCCGTATCACCGAAGATGAGACCTTTGTTCGATGGAGCGACTCCTCCGCATACTACTTCATCATAGTCAGACGCAGACTTCACTTCTCCACGAAAGACAGGTCCTTCTGAAGGTCCTTCTGAAGATGGAGCGACCTTCATCATCCGTGATCGCCAAAGGGGTCTCATCATCACACTTGTGGATGGGAAACTAACCTTGCTATCCGGAAACAATGACCTATTTGTTACTTGTCGATCTGGCCGTGGCAGCCATTGGCGCTGTGTAGAAAGCCAGGACCGCTGGCTAGGCTTCAAGAATTTGGTTTCGGGGGGGCTTCATCGGGCACAATAATGCAAACTATGGATACTGGAATGACAAAAGTTGCTCAGACAGGCGTTTCATAGCAAAGGCAGAGGTCCACAAGCAAAATGAATACTTCTGCCTCAGACATGATGGGAATGATGGATATGAGATACTTGTAAATTATCCGGATGACTTCCGTGCGATGGAAATAGGTGCTGCCGATGACAAGGAGCTTGTTTTGGCTAAGAGGGGACGAAGTGGTACGATATGGGAGTTTTTGGAACTTGAGATGAAGGGTCTTGGCTGATGGGCGGAGAAGTCTAGGAAATTGTCTTTTCATGTTTGCTGCTATAGTTAACCACCATCTACTATTGCTAAAATCAAGATTAGTTTAATACTGTCCATCTTCTGAGGGAGTTTATTTCTTTAACTAGGCCAGGCATATGGTTAAACCAATCTTCGAGTGGTATTGACACCAGAATAATATTAACAGGAGAAGGGCTATGGGTTTCAATGTGCACGTTCACTTTGGATAGAACATGAGACGTATATTAGTCTAATAAGGTTCTGGTCAAACATTCCTTGAGCCATGATTTGGATCTTCAAGTTGCTAGTGAACTAGTAAATGTAGATAACCTTCTCAGTTTTAACCACACTATCAGTTTTTATAGGACCCACCCAGTCTCGCGTAAATGCTGTACATCTCCATCCACTTCTAATAAATTGAAGGCCTCTATCTCAATATCTCTCCTCTTTTTTCACATATTAAGTAACGATATTGGCGGACACATGACTCAATATACCTAATCTGTCGGCGGCTGATGATCAGATGGTCATGAATAGATCATCATAATCTCTAATTTCTATCTTTCGGATCAGCAGATCCCTTACCTTTTCGAAATTCACGATCACACTCACTAAAATTTATCATGGAGAATATCGAAACTTCATTGGGTTATTCATCAGATTCTGTACTGACGCCTATTAATACGCATACAAGTATACCCGAGTTTCAAACTGACGTCGCTCCACCCCCGTACCATGCACCGTATCGTGCACCGAAAATAGGACCTCCATATAATGGGGGGGACTTTCATTATTCGTGATATCGAGAGGGGTCTCGTTATCACATCGGTGGATGGGCAGCTAGAATTACTCGAATACGGTCGTGACTTCTTAGTCCCTCGTATTGATGGACGTGGTAGTCACTGGCGCTGTGTGGAAGGCAAGAACCGTTGGATACGCTTCAAGAATATGGTTTCGGGGGCTTGCATGATAGAAAGTACTACCAAACGACCAGAATTATGCGTTCGGCACTATGTGAGCGGTGGATATGAAATCCTTTCGAAGATGGGGGATGGCTTGTGTGCACTTCAAATAAGCGGGAATGATGATGTGAAGCTAAAACTTGTTGCGGAGGGGGAAAGAGGAACAATATGGGAGTTTTTGGAAATTGAAGGAAGTTGAAACATGGTGTTGATCATGATGCTGTCTTGTGAATTAAAAAAAAGTAGGAAATTATTCGAGGCTTATTGTAGATTGCTCTGCTCAAATTTAGCTGTACGAAAATCTTTTGCTTGACTATTTTGAATCTTTTTTTTCTTCAAAAAAAAAAGAATTTTTTTTTGCACGTCCACGAAACCTCGCTCACGCATGATGAAGAAAGATGTATTGTATACTAGATAACATATGCAAGTGCCAGGGTTAAAGCCTCGGGAGTTTGACTTTGTATGCTACCTAAACCTATAGTTATCCCGAGAAGTGCTAGTCGGTCAATCATTTTTGCTACATGAGCCAAGGCACTTTCCAATCATAGATTAGTATGTAATAGTCATATGGATTTTGGATACACTGCTGTCAAATCTAATGTAAATTTAATGCACCAGTCATATCATCTGATCTTATGTGTTGGCTACAGAATCCCTCTTCTGCCACCTTCTCTTGAATAATATTTTCTCTCATTACACAACTGCTATGTGCCACTAGAAAACTTAATCTCTTGCTTTTAGTAAGGATATCACAATATGTCTAGTTTAGGCGCTGCGACTAGAAATGGTTTCTCACCTAGGAAGATCGAGTACTATTTGGAAGCATCAGTGTTCAAGTTGAACTTTAGGGGTCGCAAATAGGACTAGTATATAGCTGAATTGGGAGAAATTATTACTGATACCTACTAGTAGTATTATGAGTAATTATTAGTAACACATATCAAGTTGTTCAAGTTATTTTCAGCTGGCTTCCTTTTGTAAAAAATACTACGTTGCCAGTAGAAGAATCTGTAGAAGATGCCCAGGTGGCAAAAGCAGATGGTGCTTGGTTAACGCCGGCTTTGACTTAAGGATTCGTAGGCCAAATATGCAAAGGTGCTTTGCGTGTGAGAATCATTGATAGGCCGGCTAGAGCGCCCTCCCAGCAAGCTAATGCAGTGAGTGAGAGTATGAATCATTTACCGTAGCACCTTGCATGTGATTGATTGATTATACGAACATGGCTTCAGCCCCAGGTTTCGTTTGTTCTTTTGCATCTCGATTATTGTAAATAATACATGATACGTGTGCTGGCGTTTAGAGACCGGCTTCGATTGGCCCCAAACTTTACATTGCCAAGTGTTTGACTCGCTTCTTATGCATGTCAGATTAGGGAGATCATCCACACGTGATAACTTGCAGGTCTATGGTCAACCCGCTTGAGTTCGGTCTACTTTAAGTTCGTTCCTGACACTAGTTTTTAATTTATCATACTTTATCTACCATGGCACTAGCTGGAAAAGCGCACCCACCGTTCTGGATCCCAGTCTGGCTCCGGAGACCGTATGTCATCTTCAAGTCTCTGGGGCATCTTAGCACCACCATATTCTAAATCGAGAACAGGTTTTTCTGCGATGTGGATGGGCAGCCAAAACGCTCATTGTGGATTCCATTTCGAATCCAACTTTGGTCCTTACTTCTCCTTCCCATAATGCTGATTATATGCCTTAGTCTTTCCAGTGAATGGCCCGGCGTTGACAGCATATACTGCCCCAACATCATACAATGCGAGGATCCTTGTGTAATTCAAGCCGATCCAGACATAGCAGGCATTGGTGTGAGTAATATTTACTCTTCTGATATTGAAATCGCCTTTTCAGCGAGTCCCTTGAGTTTCTGAATATACTATAGATGCGCGTTTCCACATATACCCAGACAATATGCAACCTCTTAATTTTCGGCTTCGCGTCGAGCGAGAGGAAACGAAGCGCCACATACGGTACACTTATTATGACAAGCTTGGCAATGGTTATCACGATGGCTATTTTCATATGGCAAGGCGCGTTGAGCCTTCATCATGCTACTATTGCTTCAGAGTTGCTCAGTATCATGATCCTGCCAATGCACTTGCTAGAATCGTGGAGAGTAAACTCCCCGGGTTTATTTATGGCGCAACAAGTGCGAATAATTATCTTTTTCGTCGTGGTGATATATCTGATAACCCACATGCCGTGCCTTGGGAACGAGCCGCAGTGTAACCTTTGTTCTCGAAGTAGCACACTCGGCACCGTTTCCCACATCACCAGACCTCTCAGCCGGTCGTTTAAATTGTTTGCATCATTACTCACTGCATTTCTCTGGCTCCGGGGGCATGTGTGGGTATATGGACCCTTTCACTTTTTTGGTTCACTGAAAACTCCATTCTCTCAGGCATCATACAAGGCTTGGACGTCGTGCGCCTATCAAACTAAGCAAACACTTTTGGAATGGCGGGTGGCTGATTTGTGGATCGTACGACGCAAGAATCCAAATGTGTGGTCTCTTACCTCTTTCTGGCTGTGGTACGACGACGAGAAGACAGCGAGAAGCGGAATCAGAGAAGAAAAATTGAAGACATCTTCACCAATCAAAAGACAGGCTACGTGGCTCGGTAGAGTTTATAGGGATGCCGGATTCGCATTGAAAGTTCCAAGATGTCAAAGAATGGCATTGTCGCTTGCTGTGACCGTGATATTGACCGTTGATTGTGAAAGAACGGTTCACTTGAACCTCACAAATTCTGCCAACGAATGGGGCTATGGCCAAATTTTCGCTCTCGTGGCAACACTGCCGGCTATCAGTGAAGTAACTCGGCTTGTATTGCGACTAGGGAGTGAGCATAAGTGAGTCCAACAAGCTTTTTGCAATAGGATTATGACACCAACTAGTAACAGTGAGCCTCCGAACCGTGCGTACACTTTTTGATGATGTTGTCTGTCATTAAAAGTAGACCATCCACTCCCTCTATCTTGGCCCAGCATATTTAATGCATCCTACCGCTTAACCCTTCTATCCGAGTCTTGCGGCCATTCAGAGCGAGGGGCGACGTTTACCACATGACCCAGAGGCTTATTGCTGGAATTTCGATCATTCGGAGAGGGCTTTGTTTTGTTTTGTTTAGGGCATATTTGCGAAAGGGGATAGCGAGTCCTGCCCTGGGGGCGAGAGAAACGATTGGAGGTTTACAAGCGGGGATTGACCATGGTGGGCCCCGTCCTTTGTCATTTAAGCTCATGCTTCGGGGAATGAGGAGTTGAGAAGTAATCGCTGAGTCGCCAGATGATATAGCGTGTCCACCTATTATTACTTCGATGTTTTTCTTCAGGAACTTGACCTGCATCCGGAATTTTTGCTGCCTAAGATCTCAAGGTTTCATAAAGGATTGAGAGTTATTTGCAGCTATCCATGGCCCACCGTATCTCTTGAACTATGCTCTGCGGCTGTACTAATTGAACGTTGTGACTGCAGCATAGACGAACTGATCTGTTGAGACAAGAAAGTTTCAAAAGTTCTCTTTGCCAGTCCTCATTCATCTCGCGCCATCTATCGAGATATTTTCGAAATAAGGCCCTTTCTTCTTCTGTGCCGTTGCCTGCGGCCACTCCAAAGTCGTACATTTTCTGGAAATCTCCGGGTGTATTTGCAATGATTACACTGACCGGATAATTCCTTAGAGGTAGTCTTTCGAGTTGCTTCTTCGAAACCAATGCCAGTCTATCGTTCGGCATCTCTTGCATCTCAGCGGCCTCGGTGGCTTTATGTCTGGGATTAGCCTGCTCTTCTTTGACGGCCTTCCATTCCACCTCGGACAGAACATGAGATGTCACAAGACCGGTAGTTTCAACAAAATCCTGTTCCCCGAGGACTGGATTGAAAACGTCCCAACCCCACGCACCATTATCAAAAAGAGATTCCGTATTGCAATCCACGAAAACCATGCCAACGATATCGCTCGGCCTCAGTTCTAGGAACTCACGAGAAGTGTAGCCTCCCCATGAGTGAGCGACAATGATGAATGGAGGTTCGATGCCGGCGTTCTTCAAGAGAACATCGAGCTCTGCTGCAACTGATGCTGCTGATATGCTTGGTGGTGTCTGGCCCGGGCCTTCACTTTTACCCATCCCTGAACGATCGTAGTTCAGCCATCGAGCAAATGGAAGCACGAGCTCTCGCACTGCAACCCACTCATCGATCGTGCTGCCGAGGCCCTGCATGAGAATGGCGATAGGCTGCCCAGGCTTGCGATCGGGCCCCGAGACGGACAGATAAAGCTTGTGGGAGCCAATGGAGACAAGCCCGCTCTTATCACCTTTGTCCCAGTCGATTTGAGAAAATCGTTGCATTATAGACAGGTGTATATTCGAATTCAGTAGCAATTAATTGAGGTCAAGTTGATTGGGAGCGGGGAAGTGAAAGATGCCCGAGCAACTGCTTTTTAGTCATGCGGCTCGCTTATTGAAGGAGCCTTATCTGGCTGACTTGCTCATCAGGTTCGGGAATTTTGCAACAGAGGCGATAAATGTTGTTTTCGGCCTTACCTTGAGCGCACTGGATCTATTGCTAATTGAGGATTGTAATTTTGGGTGGTTATAACTTGCATTTTGTGATACATACGAGCCATTTGCACGTGTAAGTTTGAACTTAGTATTATATGTTCAAAATTTGTTTAAACTCCAAAATTACTTTCCGGACTAAACGGGGGTGGGTTATCTGCGAAATAACAGGAAAGAGGGGTAGGTCGCTAGTGTATATGAGTTACGAGCCAAATACAAGTTTCTTGACTATGACTCGGAGTCTGTAATGTAACCATGGAAACAACCTTGGAAGTATATTCATATAGAACTTCACAAGTTGAAGGCGCTCTACGCAAACCCTGGAGGTAATCTTTAATAAATGCCCAGGTGTCTCCTCAGTGACTTTCATGCCCTGGAGGCTCGTGAGGTTTTGGAAACGGGAGGGAAGGATGCCCACTTAGGCAGAAGCTTGAAAATTCTCAGGTTGTTTGCCTACTGAACGTTGCTGGAGTACCGAATGTTTTTTGAGACAATTATTTGTTGACATCTATGGGGTACCAATCATCACCGAAGTTTGTACCTTCAAGTTCTTTTCTTCCAATCCATGCCCATGGACGTACAATCGCTGAAGATATATTAAGATATGGCTTTTGTCGTTCTCGATGATAAAATAAGTACAGCCTCGTGCGCCCTCGAGCAATCCGAATTTCCTCCTTGCACGCAGCGCCTGAATTGCCCTCATTTGCATGGGTTCCAGCCTCGACGTCCTTCGGAGCATTTGCCCATTAGCGATGAGTTTGCGCTCTCTTTGTACCGAAAGACTGTCACTCTCTGGGAACTCGAAGACCACCCGACTTGTCGTTTCGAGAAATCCCCAGATATCTTGAGTTCAACAGACTTTAGACTCCCCCCCAGCAGCCCCTGGCCGTGGTTAGGGACAATTATCATCGGAATATTCACCGTGCGAATACCAAGTGCGGCAAGATTCTGCGAAGCTTTGATCCTCCTCCTCTGCCGAGATTACAATACTCGTTACGAAACTTACTGGATGGCGCTCATGACATATGTTCTGGAATACATGGACGAAACGGATATATTTGATGAGAAAGATCTGAGAGATGAGTACAGGCCATTTTACTGTGCTCTTAAAAAGGGAGAACCCACGGTGTTCGAGCTCCTGGACGAGCTTCGCAATAACTTGTCTTCGAGCGGTCACCTGCCACAAGAGCACACTTAAAATATGCAAAGACTAATTCGATTGCAAACTCTTGAATTCACCGTTTAGCGCCTTGACGACTTTAGCCCTTCGAAATCATTCTTAGCAGAGATGACCATTGATGCCCATCTCATAAAAAGATGACCGGTCCCAGAGTTGTCGAAATATCGAACTTTTTTGTCGCATGAAAGATTTCCGCTTGGAAAAAGTAGTATTAAGTCTGGGTTGAAACCACTTTTCCCCATGGCGGGAGTCTATAAAGTCACAGTTGGATTGTGTATAAGCCCGAAGTTTCACAACGTCACTCTTCCAGTAACATTCACGAAACAGATCAATCAGAAAACTGGAGGAAATCTTGCTGTCTACTTGTAGAGGATCGATGACATCTTCATTGGTTGGTTAGTGGGCAGTAATGAGTCAACACCACAACCTTGCGATCAGGCTCCAAGCGCGAGATTGTATCAATTTCATGGTCGAGCCAGTCGAGGTTAGCGCGATTCGCTACTTGATGTGCATCAACGGACCTGTCGTCGAAATGATAAAGATCATCTAAGCTCAAACCGACATTCGCTTTTTGCTCATGTACAGCTCGTGAGGTCAGAGTACATTCGAGAACTCTAAGTGCCAATGAAGACTTGTAGCAGGTTTTATCAGTGAAAACAAGTGAATTGAGTGCTTCTGACTTGGCCGGCTCCATGCATACTAAGCTAACCTAGGAGCTTGGTTATGGCGAACATGACGTTAGGAAAGTCGTAAGGGAGGGGGTCCTTCCCGATTAGGAAGGTTTCACAGGTTTGTGATAACTTTGTCCAACAAAATTTTCAACTCTTCTCATTGAAGCAGTTTTTGAGTGAGTAGCATGATTTTCCAACTGGAAAAGAAAGCCCATAGACATCCAATACACCGTTTGAAGGTCTCAATTCCATGTGATTCTTCACTGCCCGCTGTGTGGTGTCCGAAGCGTTCCGAACTTGAACGGCCCATAATCCCCAGCTAACTTATTTTTGGCTCGCTGCTCATCTAGACACATTTCGAGGTACCACCGCTGTAGCACTTGAATAGAATACTGCTGATAACAATCTGTGGACTACTTTTTCGAGGTTGGTCGCGTAGGGATGGGAAGCACTGCAACCTCGGCTCGCTGAGCTATCCCTGCCATGCTTTTGTATTGTTCCAGATTATCTCGCTCATGTCGTGTAAGTCCGAACCTCACTTACTTTGGAGAGAGCGGTTAATCACATCGGTGATCTCGTGTTCCTCAATTTACACTGCAATGTTGATGGCTCGAAAATACTGAAATAGAGAGGCTGGCGGACAAAGTGCTCTTGGCGGTTCACCCCGGACATACATTTGCAGGTTTTTTTTAGCTTCATAAAGTAATTGTTATCTTCAAACTAGAACCTAAAGTCGGGCATAATGAACAAGCACGTGTCAAAAAGTCAACCACGAAACCCGATGCCGATGCCGAGTTTCACGAAAAGCTTAAATTGGGGGCGGGGTTTCAGAAACCTTGGAAGTACTTCCAGAAGCTGCATCCTGAATCAACAACTGGCTTTTTTACTGATAGTAAATGCTCTCAGACACAAAAAAAAGCAGCAATTCTATTCATCCTATAGTTAGCTCATCGGTGCAAATATAAATTTTTTGGCGAATTCAAGTTGCTCGTGGTTTGATTTCCGGTCTACTAATATTGAATGTGCAGACGCCTATGCAAGATCTCCACGAGCTCATAACTCTCGCACTTCTATCTATGAATCCTTAAGGTTCAAACCACACAATCAAGATCATGAGTTAGTATTGTGTTCGTATACATATGGAGTCTATGGGGAAAGAATCCAATAGTGAAGGTTCGTGGTGGTGGGCCTAGCCCCTTAGCGCACGTTTCCCATGACACTCGATACTACCCTACTGCCGTAGCTCATCCAAATAGTCCAACCTTCCCCCTATGCAGTGGAAAGTCGTTACGGCAATGATCATAGTAGTGCGGCGGCTCTCGGGGCATCCATTGGGCGATGCACCATAAGCGCGATGGAGTCCGGCAGGAGATCTAACGGGATTGTTTCCCTTTCCGGTAACCTAGGTGCGTGATCTCGCCTGTCGTTGCTCGTATTAGATTCCTTAGCTAAATTGAGGAGATAACGAATCAATTTGATGGAAAAATCCCCACTTGGAAAGGGTTCGTGTGTAGACCGTCGCTTCGAGAATCCCTAGTTTCATGGCCATATCGCGGATTCTGAAACTTTCCCCTCCCGCTCGCTCTCTCTCTCTCTCTCTTGAACTTTCTCCTCTTCGAGAGTTTCTTTTATAGAGAGTATTCAACTCCTCGTTCATGTTTGTGGCTGGACTTTTGGGTCGTCGGTGTTGAAAATGCGACCTTGACAACAAAATATTGGTGACTATCTAATCAGAGAGCTGGTTATAGCCATTTTAACAGCAAGTGAGACATGAGAAGAGGAGAAGTAATTGAGATAAGTGATACCCTCAAAATGAGTTCGAAAATGCCCTTGGCGGGTCCAAGTCTGGCCATATTTATCATCTCCATGGTCATGATGATTCTTTCTATTGTGGCCGTGTCGATGAGAACCTTCGTGCGTCTATACGTTGTCCGGGCTTTCGGTTGGGATGATATTCTCATGCTTTCAGCACTGGTAGGTTCGCAGTTGAAGACTCGGACAGGAAAAGACATGAGCGGACTTGTATTTTGCTGACTATCTTGCAGGCACTATTTCTGGTATTGAATGTGTGCTCAATTATAGGCGCAAAGAACGGGGCTGGTCATGACAAAACCGATTTCACAGATCACGATGTTTATAGATTAGCGCTACTAGTGAGTACTAACTAATCAGGGATAGATGATGCTCATCCTCGACTGTTTCTCCGAGTCCATGAATCAAGCTAACCACGACTGCTACTTCTAGTATTGGTGGCTTAGTCAAATATTCTACATCTGGGCATCGGTATTTGCCAAGATATCGATCGCCGTCGCCCTCCTTCGATTAACGATCGAAAAGATCCATCGGATAATTCTCCTATGCAACATTGCACTCACAATAGCTGTCGGCTTTATGTTCTGGATGGTCCTGCTACTTGATTGTCGCCCGATTTCATACTTTTGGGATTACGCGGATCCTTCGAAGACAGGAACGTGCATGTCTAACAATGATCTGGTCAAAGTCGCATACGTTTACAGCTGTGTGACAATAGTATGCGACCTGACACTTGCGATATTGCCAATATTCCTCATTTGGAAGTTGCAGATGAGCTATTGGACGAAGATTGCAGTTGGGGGAGTTCTCAGCATGGGCGCAATGTAGGATCTTCAACACGTGTGGTTCTCGATGTCGTATGTCGCGGTTGCTAATATGCTTGAAATAGTGCGAGTGTCGCAGTCATTGTTCGGATACCTTTTCTCCACTTCTATGCCGATACAAATTTCCTACGTGGGTCTCCGCCGAGCAGGTGGCAGGATATCATCGTTCCTGGCATGATGGAAGCATTCAAGGCAGACACTAATATTTCTCAAGATTCTACCTACCAAATAGCAATATGGTCCGTCATCGAAACCGGCCTTGGAATCACCGCCAGCAGTCTTTTCACCCTCCGTCCCCTCTTCCGATGGCTTCGGCACGAAAATCTGTCATCCGGTCGACACACCCGCGGTCCTAGCAGAGGCTATCCTAGAAGAGGCTATAACGAATGTCAACTCTCCAGTCTCAACAGAGATGGCTTGAAGGAGTCAAATCCAAGGGCCATGGATTCTGCGAATGTACATGGAAAAAGAGGAAGCGTGATAAATACCGTGACGCTTCCACCATTGCGGGATTTCATCTCCTCCAACCGGGACAGCAGGGAGGAAGATTTGTATCCAGAGATGAGCCCTTTTGCTTCGACGAACCGTGTCACTGTTCAAACGACATTTACACAGGTCGTTTCGGAGCGAAGTAGATAAGTTCTGCTTGTATGCAGAATTGTTTCACTTGGCTTTCGTGTATTTTAGCCCGTTTTCTTTGATTTCATGAGTGCATGCCCAGGTGTGTTCCCCAAGGTTCCAAAATATTTGATTGCTTGTAAGGTTTCAAAGTTCAAGGTTCCTTCAAGATTTAAGATTAGGTTTATTATACCTGGGTGCTAGAATAAGAAACGGGAATTGAAGGGACTGCCGAATACGGCCCCCCCAAGCCGGAGGAAGAAGAGGAGGAGCCAAGTCAGAGAGCATTGTGTTGATGGATACTCAGGTGCAACGCTTGGCGAGGTTCTCCCCGGCAATCCGGCAGGATTTCAAAAAGGCATTCACCAAGGAGGGGAAGCTGAAGGTGCAATACTGGGCCTTGATGAATCAGTTGATAGCAAAGAAAACTTGGAATGGCCGAAGGAGTTGGGTTTGGACGGAAAGAGTCCTGGTCTTGATGCTGGTCTTGATGTTCCTTCTGAATGGGAAAATTCAGATGCGAGAATGTCCAATTCTGGCCCAATTAAGGTAAGAGCGAGTGTGCAGATCATCAACGAACCACCTGAAGCCTCATAGCAGGATCCCCCCCCCCCCCCCAGGATGGCACTTTGATTATTGGGGTTGATTTTCTCGATGAGGAAGCCCTGGAGATGAAGTCTTCTCAATGCCCATCATGGTTGCGAACGGATCTCAACCCCTGTGAGATATCCTCCAGAATCCTTCGAATCGAGACAGGATCATGATACTGCCCAGGTGCCCAGGTGGTGAACCTAGTCCGACAGAGCAGCAGCCCCGTAACTTGCTGCGAGTGGACAACTTGAACACAGATCCAGCAATGATCGTATTGGCGCAAGTCAAGTTCAATGAGTTTCACACTGTCCCGATCTCCTCCAAGACCCAGGAGCAGGAGTGTGGCCCTGCCGTGGTACTGCCCCCCGTAGCCCTTTTGAGGAAGAATGCGCAGCCGCAGAGGAATTGGAAGAGTTGAGATGAGATGTATAGCCCATGCCAGAGGCTCTTCGGGTTCCAGCCTAGGTTCTTCGGCCCACAGCAGTTGAGTGAGGAGATGGCGTTATCAGAAGTTATCAAGCAGTTCCCTACCCACCCAAGTCTCAATGAGGGCTCAAGGGAAGCACCAGCATTCCTTACGGACCACCTTCAGCACTTTGACGATACTGTGCAAAAGGTGATAAAGGACCAAGCCCGTGAGTGGTCCTCTTGGGAGGCTGGCAATGCGTTCGGCGAGCTCTGTCGGACTGGGCTCACCAGTATTCTGTCTCGATTCGATAGATTCTGGAGGATATATCACCGGGGTTGGGAACTCCCAAGTCGAGCAGACGGCGAGCCCACCCAACCTAAGAGGAACATAACTGGCCCCAGCGGAAGTCGATTGAACCTCAAGAACTTGAATATCTGAATGATACGCGTGTTGAAATGCCCCTCGCTCAACTGCTTTATATCTCGCCTTCAGGAAATCAACTCCTTGCGGGCCAAGTCTGTGACAAGTGGAGGAAAAGGTTTTAAAATCGGAAAGCCGAGCTCCAAAAGTGCTTACAGTTCCATGTTTCATTTCGCTGTATGAATATCACGACGGTATGATTGGGGCACAGTCCTCTAGTTTCGGTCTATATGCGTGGGGAGTGCGGGATTAGGCCTAGCGGCACCTGGGCAGTAGTCGAGAGCGCTGAGATAGTGCCGGGAGGTTTATCGCGAAGTTGAAACAAGACACCTCCTAACCCACGGTTAGAGGCATCGGTGGCGAGGTGAAGGCTAAGCAGCGGCCACCTGGGCAACAACTTGAAACAACCTTGGAATTTGAAGTCTACTGGTAGCAGAGTTATAAACATCATCGTCAAATTCAAGAAATCTGTCCACAGCATTATATGTTCACAAGCCCATTCATAAATAAGCTCTTTGACCTAACCCACCAGGGCAATTTACCAAATCATCAATGCATCATAGAATCCATATCCCATAGATCAATCGTCCTCATCGCATACCCCTCGCCAAGTCCATCTCAATGGCCAACTTGAAATCATAATAGCAGCGTAAAGCATCCCGAACAAGGAGACAACCACCTCCCACCCCCCATTCTAGCACAATCTACCTAAATAACATCAAAATATCCCACAACAAAAGAAACCCATAAGATATCACGATAAAAAGGACCCCCTCCTCCAAAGTTCAAAAGTCAAACAATAACTCAAACCTCTCACATCATCAAAGCCCCAACAACACCCACACCAGCAAACATCGCCGCAACAGGCGTCGCAGCATATCCATTCGCAACATTCGTACCAGTCTGCGTCTCAAACACATCCGTCCCCGTAGCCGTAGCCCGATACTCACTCTGACTAGAAACCGCCTTGCGATCATACCCAGTCGCCGTAACAGTCCACGAAGTCGAAGACTGCGACCAAGTAAGGACCGTCCCGCTCGGCGGCGCGGTCACCGTGCCGCCAACATTGCGCAGCGTCGACGTCCCGTTTGACGGCAAGTCGCCTGGTCGGTAGAACTTGTCTGATGAGTCTGTGAAGCCGATTTTCTTGCAGTCTGTGTCCTTGAGGGTTGAGTCACAGCTTGACCAGGCCCAGTTTGGAACTGAGGTGTACAGGTTTGGTAGGTCGGAGGGGAAGAATAGGGGCCAGAGGTCGGCGCCTGCGAGGGTTGGTTCCGTGTTTGGGCATACCTCCCAGGAGCTGCAGTGGGAGAATTAGTTTTGGATCTTTGATTTTGTGGGCAGGGGAGATAACGCACGCGGAGATACTGGCGCTGGCGCCGCAGCAGGCGCAGTCGGAAGCTTGCTTGCCGATGTCTGAGACCATTGGGCAGGTTTGAGAGATCGCCCAGATCGCTGGGGATTTTGTCTAGGGTTTGACTGGTGACGTTCTTGATGCAGGAGATTTGTTCATTGCGGGCTGTGAGGGTGGACTGGATGACTTTGCCTAGATCGCAGGAGCAGCGGTTTGGGGCGTTGTCGGGGGCTGGCCAGAAGGGGATCGGTTCGGAGGCGCTGGGGCAGATGGCGAAGTATTGTTGGACGAAGAGTTGGTATTCGCATGAGTAGACCTAGGCGCCGGGTTAGTGATTGTTTTCTGGCATTGGCATTGGCCATGGCTGTGGGGTGGGTGAATGGACGTACCTGGTTCCAGCATGTCTGCGCCATACAGTTGATATAGGCCTGGTGAGAAATACATCCGCAATCGACGATACAGTTCCCATTACCGTTGCAGTTGCGGATGCAGGAGCTCCAGTCATCTGCTACCTTGCGGTTGCAGGAGGTGTATTCCGAGCCGGAGGCACAGGCGTGAGAGGTGATGTTCGTCTGCGCCTGGGAGATCTGCGCGAAGCCCAGTAGGGCTGCGGCTGAGGCAGCGAGGTAGATGCTAGATGGCATGGTGATGTGATGTGATGTGACCGAGCTAGGCAGAAGTAAGATCTGATTGGGCAAATGGACTAGCTAGAAAGATTCCAGACTAGAACTGCTTCACTTCTTTCTTGCCAGGAGAAGAGTTTTCTGTTCAAAGAAGCGCTCACTGATCCATATCGCAATGTCAATTGGGACGCAGGGCTCATTTATAGCCCCCCACAAAGACAAACACCACACCACACCGCGCCCATCGGATCACCAGCTTATGCACAGAAGGAGGGCCGGCGGGTCGATCATTGCAAACCGAACTGTCATCGTTGGCACTGCTGTCGCATGGTTGTACAGGGATGGAATGGAAGGGCAACAGCCGGCCCATTCAAGTTTTTTTTGGCTGGGCTGGGCTGCAAGGTAAATGCAGCTATGGATACAGAACTGTAGTGAGCCATGCCCTAAGCCCATGCAATGGTGCCCATTGACCAATCACAATTCAATCTGGGATCTAGGGTCCGGATCTGCGGCATATCTCACATGTAGGCAGTCACTTTTCCTTCCTGTCACTTCGACTGATCAGAGTCGGTAGGTGAATAAAGCATGCCCTTCATCCACTACTCCGTACAGATGGATACGCCGTATCCCTTCACTCCGGCTCTTGGTACGTAAATAGCCGCGGGCAGCATCATATGTTCGTCCGCCCTTGCGGCGTCAACACGAGGTGGTTGTTCCAAGCCCATTTATCGATGATCCTTGCTTCCAGGGGGAAGGTGTTGCCAGTGGATGACGGTGTGCTGTGATGACGGGGAATCCCTTGATGTGGATGCGAGATGGAGATGGGGTGAGGATTGAATCGAGACCGACCCATCTTTATGCGGTGAGAATTGCATGAACGAAAACAGTCTATGCATTCTAATGCTCGCTGTCCTGAAATCTATACGATCTTCAGAAAACCTATTTCTCATTTTCTGCGCAAAGAGACACTGGCAGGCAGCAGACCACGGGCATATTTGATAGGAATTACAATGCGTAGACACAGATCCTAGGTACATATGTAAAGGATGATGGAAGTGCGAGGCTGAGCTAGTCGAGATGCCAATAACGTGTAACCAAGATCCGACGATTGAAATTTTGTCGTGGCGGAGGCAGCAGAGTCAGAGACCCAGAGTCAGGTCAGGCACAGCTAGCTCTCCGGTGTGTGTGTGTGTGTGCCTGGACGCCTGAAGGGAGACGTCAGATCGGCTAACTGGGTTCATGCAGTATTGACTCGGATCCTTCGTACATCGCAGCTGCACAAACGTGACTAAGTAACGTAACTTGTACACATCGTCTTGAGGCGAGCATCGATCCAACAGTCTGATTACATACTCAAATATTAAAGGTAAGACAAGATTTGCATCCCGACGTCATCTACCGATATCAGATACGATTCCGACATCGCATCCAATCAGCCGAGTGGAGCGCACTAACTCTAGCCTGGAGCAACGGGAACAAAAACATCAAAGCGAGTGCGATTCCGCGACTATCGCCCGCTAAGCCGTTGAGTCTCCACTTCTGTTGATCCTCATTACCCATATTTCCCCGCCCTTGCTCTAGTCCGACTATTGGTTGGAAGGGAAGGAAAAGCAGGGTGGGAACACCGACGGAGTACATGCATGCAGTTGCTCGCAGGCTAGTTGGCTCGACTGCTCTGTCTAGTGCCTGGTTTTATGACAGTCGCGATCATTGAGGGATTTTGCAGTTTTCCCCCTCTTTGTGTGGTAGGTAGGCCCGAATACAAAGGCGATATTTGACTGCGCCCCGGAACAACCGTGCAATTTCTTCCGATTCAATTAAAGTGCCGCGAGGGTCGTAAATTCAAGCTCATTTGCGAGACCCACGTTGATCGGAGGAACACTACGGAGTAATTAGAAAAAAAAAAAAGAATTGATCCAGACCGCCGTTTGGGGCGGAATTGGAAGTCGGGGAAATTAATGGTTATCACGCGTGAGTTCAATTTTGGCTTGAGTTTGAGTTGGCCCCCAACTCAAAATACGGGTATCACCACATCACTGGGACCCACGACAGGAATTAATATTATGATGTTGTAAGATTGATTTTATTCCAAGATTCCCCCGTGGAACAGGTATCGAAGTTCCACTGCCACATATAGAAACACATATACATTAAACCGGCCCGGCGTAATTCTGTGCAAAGCTAGGCCGGCATTAAAAAGAGAAGAAGGTAAGATATCAAGACATGGGCTGTACAAGACGTGACGAAAAAAAAAACAGAGACAATTAACAATGACAATGACCGATAAATCCTAACAAATCCGTTTCCGTAACCCGTAAACAATGACCTTACATCATCGCGATCGCACCGGCAACCAGAGCCAACATGGCGCTAGAAACGCGGTTGACACCGGCGCCGTTACCGGGCACAGCGGTGGCGGAGGCGGAGGCGGAAGACGAGCTGGCGCTGCTGGTGGATGCGGTGGTGGTGGACTCGGAGGAAGTGGTGGTAGTAGCAGCCGAGCTGGAAGCCTTGGTCAAGGTGGTGGCAGTGGTCTTGGCAGCTGTGGAGGTGGTAGTAGTGCTGGCCTCGGTGGTACTAGCCTCGGTGGTGGTGGTGGTGGTGGCTTCGGTGCTAGTGCTGGTGCTGGTAGTGGATGCCTCAGTAGTGCTGGTGGTCGAGGCCTCAGTGGTGGTCGAGGCAGCGGTGGAAGTAGATGCCGCGCCGGTGGCACCAGCGACGGTGAAGTATGGGAGGAAGTTGTATTCGCTGGTATCGTCGTCGTTGATGATCTCAATGGTGTACTCCTTGCCCTTGACCAGGTTCTTGGGCACAGTCCAGGTAAAGGAACCGGTGTTGTCAATGTTGGCTGTGAGTCGCGTGTTAGTTCCGACGGGTCACTTTCCCGCAAGGGTTCTCGGCGCGTTGTGATATGATATATCCTTCACGGGGTACATCACTCGCATATACACCTCGGAGATTCGGGGACTTACAGGCAATGACAGTTCCCGAGGTAGCGGTGGTGATAGAACCGGACTGCAGACGCAGGGTGACGGTGCTGCCAACCTTGTGGTCCCAAGTCAGGGTGGTAGAAGATCCAGCAGTGAAGGAGTAACCACCAGCGGGGTTGCTGAAGTCATTGTCGGTACTGGTGGCAGCAGCCAGAGCAGCCAGGAGCGAAGTCACGATGAAGAAACGCATGATGATAGTAGTAGTACTGGATATGGGGGTTGAGTACAAGGGATTGACGGATATCTCTGAAAGAGCGAAAGAGTGGAAGTTAAGAGTTAAGGAGAGGCAGGGACTTTCAGTCCAAGATGGATCTAAAAAAAGGAGTGTAGGAAGCGAAGCGAAAGGCAAAAAGGGCAAAAAGGGCAAAAAGAGGCGTAGCTTCGCCCCCTCCCGGAAGGGCAGGGAAATCGAACATTATAACAGACAGCCGAGTGACCTCCTCCTCTACCCACCTAGGAAGGCGCCGGCACTAGCAGATTGGCAATCACCTTGGAAGTTACTTGGGTTCACCTGGTCTAGTCTAAGCTTGGCTAGTTTAAGCCATGCTAATCCCTTTGTGGGTGTACGCTAGGAGATATCAGGAAGAGGCTGGCCAGTGTTCACCCATGGAATGCGGATTTTGCTCGTGGATCGCCGCCACGAGCATCCACGAGCATCCACCAGCAGCCACGAGCCTCGCATTGGTCCGAAATCGAGTGTTGGGGGGGTGCTTGGCAGTATTGCTAGCCACTCATATCCCTCGCTTGCAAAGTACCTTAATGAAGTGGGGGGAAAGAGGAGATTGCACTTCGAGTGCCCTGGCAGCCTGGTAGGATCTAGCCTAGGCAGACATTTCGGGCACAAAATCCTGTGGGGGAACACTCGGTGGGACTCTGTTGGTGACTCGGAAAAAATGGGAAAAAAAGATGGCCTATTTTTATGAACGAACGACGTAGGGGACTAAGGGTCGGATTTTGCCCTTTTTCGCTGCTCCGTTCTTCGTTTATGGGGCACCCTATTCTTAGCGCTTTTCTTAGCCTCATTCTAGCTGGTGTTGGTGTTTATCCCCGAGTCTACTCTGTACTCGTACAGTAGTAGTTACTGCCACTCTGCGTCGAAATGAAGATGCGCAATTGAATGTTTATCATTTTGGGGCTCACCCGCCACGCGGGACGGGGACGACAGTTGGAATTTGGGCTGCTTCCCTTTCCCCCTTCCCCCTTTCTGTTCCCTTTTGGTTTTCAACAGGGGATCCATGTCGTACAGATGGGGGATGCACAAAAGAAAGAAAAAAAAAAACAAAAAGACAAAAAGAAAACGTGGAATCGTCCTCATCAATTGATATGCACATATTTTGGTATATTATCTCCCTTCCCTTCGCTTGGTGGACCACTAAATAGGGATATCCGATTGCGGGGCGTCTGTCCCGATGGTCCCAGTTCCAGTTCCACAGGTTGAACCTTTCGGCTCTTCCAAAAGACCATTTTCTCCCAGCCAGGCAATGACTTCCATTGCCCGCCGATCCTCGTCTTCCTTTTGCCGGTCCAGTAGCTGTAGAAAGTACTTGTTAGTATATCGTTTGTAGTGTAGGGGGGGGTTCCCGGCGGGGTCTGGGGTACCTGGTGCAGATGCAGGTGGAGGTACAGGTGCTCATGCAGCCCGAATTACTATTACTCACAGCAGAGAGAAGTCCCTTGCGCCCCTTCTCCTTCTTTTCCGGCTTCGCTTTTCGTCGTTCGCCCACGTCATGTGAGAAACTGCATTGATCTCCGCGATTACACTTCCCGCTGCGAGCAAAGTGCCGGCACAATTGCTTCTTGCCTTCGCGAGGTGGCGGAAGAACCTTCTCGGGTCCCTGTCGTCGGCTGCTCGCCTGCTCGGGAGCGGAGTCGCCGTCACTGTCGCTATCGCTGTCACTTTCACTTTCACTCCCGCTATCACGATCCGAGTCTAAGCTCGACTCGGAGCCACTAGATGAGGTCCAGTCGCTCCCATGTCTCGAAGCTTCAGCCTCGGACACGAGATCCATGGGTCCATCCACCTGATCAGCCACGTCAATAGTTCCCAAGCCCACCCCCGTAGGAACAGGTTTAGCGGCGGCGGTCAAAGCACCCGGCTCCAAAGGCTTGTCCGTCAGATCGATGGTCATGGGATCCGAGGCTTCAGCTATCTCTAGCTCGGGTAGCATGTCGACATTCGGTCCGGCAACAACGTGGCCATCAGTACCAGTCCCATTCTCGTCGCCACCGACGTCCTTCTGCATGGGATTTTGATCCGATCCCAGTTGTTTCTGTAGAGCGGCGACCTTGAGACGAGCAGCTTCGGCTTCAGCTTCCGCTTTAGCAAAGCGCTTCTGCTCGCGGTCCAGATTACGCCGAATCTTATCGGCCTTGCGCTGCGCTTTCATCGCGGCATCCAATGCCGGGTCTGCATTAAGGTTATCCGCGGCAGGCTTTTGAATTCCCTTTGACTTCTCTTTGTTGTCTTTGTTATTATCGCCCGCCCCCGCCGCGGCAGCCTTCCCATTCATTTTCGCCCGTTCGTTCATTTTCTCGCGCCGGACTGCGTCACGCGCATCCTTGGCTTCCTGTGCAACCTTCTTCTTCTCCTCGACACGTTCCGCGGTGGGGAATTTCTTCCGCCGCTCTGCGATCCACGCTGCGATATCTGCGGATGATTGCAAGGTAGCTGTTCGTCCTTTGTAGGAGAATTGGAGCGGGGCGGATTCGGAGCCGCCGGCACCACCTTGCGCTAACTTTGATTCTTCATCCGCGTCTTCTTCGTCCTCGCTGGACTCGTGGTCCTCCGTCTTGGGGGTTAGGCCGAGTTGATTGTGTTTTCGCTTGCGCTTCTTCGGTTTCCGAGTCGCGTTCGCATTCACATCTGCTGCGGGGGGGCGGTTTGCATGGTAATGGGTTGCCGAAACTTGGGACTGCGGGTGCTGCTGGAGTTCGCGGCGCGGTGGACTGGGGTTTATTAAATGCAGCGGAGTGGTCGCGCTTGTGGGGAGGTCTTGATTTGGGACCGTGATTATTATGATTGCTCGGCGGGTGGGAAGGCCATGGCCCTCGTCCGTGTCCTCCATGTCCATGTCCATGCCCGTGGTTGGGTGTTGCTCCCCCGTATGGTGCCGGGGCAGCAGGCGGTACATCAGAGCCCCAAGGCACCGAGCCCATTACTATGGGGTTGTTCGGCGGCGACCCATGTTGATGCGGGACATTTGACGGGTAGGGCTGTGTAGATTGCGGAGGGTAGGATGCGGAAGGCGTAAGGTTGGGAGTTGTAGGGTAGTGGGGGAGAGGTTGATAGGGAGCCGATCCAGCGGGTTGGTGAAAGGGTTGCGGAGATTGGTAGGAGGGCGTATTTTGAGGATGTTGAAAATTTGATTGCGTGTGAGGGAAGGGCGGGGCCATGTACGACGTCGCCGACACTGGTTGAGATGGATAGCCGTAGTTCGCAGCCGCGTAGTTGTAGCTCGGGGTGTTGTTGCTGTGGTTGTTGTTCTGATTTTGGTATTGCTGGCGATTCCCATTTGAAGCGTGATTTCCACCTCGGCCTCGATTTCCCTGGCCTCGCCCACGTCCTCGTCCGGCGCCGCGGGCATTCCAGTGTTGACCATGCGGCGCTGGAGGATGGGCGGAGGCAGAAGCCTGGGGAACTGGCGGAGGAGGTGGTGGCGGAGGGAACGAAAATCCCTGGGAACTCATGATCCCTCGGATAGTCCCACCGTGTGATCGGTCTACACCATCACGCGCAGAAAAAAAATGTAGCTAGAAAAAACTAGAATCGAAGTTGCGCTTGGAGTTTTCTTAGCTTTCGCTCAGTTCTGACAGTTTGTGGTCACGTGACAGTATCCACCGGGCCGCTTGATTGGCGACAGGCTTTTTGGTTCCTCTTCTGTGCAGGGCATCGCAGCACGGGCCTGGAATGATATTGGAACTCTGCGAGTCTCGCAGACCTCTGGTTATCTCTTAAAGGTCTTTTTCGTCCCACTGGATCGCTGCCACCATGTTTATCCTTGTAAGTTGAAGCCGCGGCCTGAAACGGGATATCTTTTCACTGACTGCACTAGACCACGATCTCCGATCTCATCCAGATCTCGCCTGAGGATTTTTCGAAGCTCAGCGCTGTGGCGATCGAGGACAACATTAATGAGAAATATGCGAACAAAGTACGTGCCCAATCCGGGCCAGCTCGGTCCATTTCCGCTTTTCCGGTTGGTATCTGATCCGTTCCTTCTAGGTAATTCAAAAAGTCGGTCTATGCGTCAGCTTTTATGATCTTTTGGAGTCTTCCGATGGCTTGATTGGCCATGGAACTGGTTTGGTGAATGTAAATGGTACGTTGAAACCTCTCCAGACTTGTACTGGTGACATTGCCAATGCTAACTTCTTGATAGTTAAATTCCGCGTGATTGTGTTCCGACCTTTCAAGGGCGAAATCGTGATGGGCAAGATTTCCAGTGGAACTGAACACGGTATTAAGAGTATGTCATCGCTATGGAGTCATTTTCGAAGCCTAGACTGACCTGGTTCCTTGCAGTTGCTGTCGAGTTCTTTAACGATATCTTGATTCCCCCGGAGCTTCTTATGCCGGGTGCTAGATTGTGAGTGATTTCCCAATTCTTAATTCAAGCAAATTCTGCCTTGACACATTACTAATTCAAGATAGTGATTATGCCGATCAAGTATGGATTTGGGAGAACGAAGAAGGCTCAAGCTTCTACTTCGATGTGGGCGAAGTCGTCCGATTCCGCGTCGAAGCGGAAGAATGGCACGATCAGATCCCCAACGCCCCCGAGCTCGTGGACGGACCCACCTCAGATCGCAAGTCACCATATGCGATTATTGTATGTCTCTCCCAGGCGGGAATTGAAACCAGTATCTCCACCATCTGCCTTCACATACTAATTTAATCTATAGGGCTCAATGCAAATGGCTGGTTTAGGTCCCATCACCTGGTGGTGAGGAAGCTTCTATATGTTTACTCCTATCGAAACCTGGGTCTATCACCTTTCACATCTCTGTCTTGCTAGTAGTGGGATACGGGCTTTTTACATTTATTTCATCAAAAATTAGATACCCATGTCGGCGGTCGAGCGGAGACCAACGGCGCAAAATCGATTCAAAATATCACAGCATCTAATGTGTAGATACCATATTCTACGTACAAATGTTGCAGATTATGACTATTGCAGATTATGACTACCATACTTTAGGATCAAGTACTAGTAGATTAGGTAGCAATACTAGTAGTCATTTGACAACAACGAGCCACCGAACTTAACAGCGTCTGCCCCGATTCATCTTCCACGTTGATATCCACGCCTCTCTCAACAAGCAGATTGATGGTATGATTATGGCCATACTCAGCAGCCAGAAAAACTGGTGTTTTGTCTTCTGAATTCGTGGCTTAAATATTCGCTCCTCTGTTAAGGAGGAGCCCGACTGCCTGTCCATGGCTAGGATCGGAGGATGCAGTGTTGCCATCACATGCATCGGTAGGATTCTTGTAGCAGCTACACCTGGTGACGAACATGGGACTGAAGATGGTTCATTTTTGCTAGTAAATGCAGTTGCATCTGCGTCGCCACTTTGAATGGGCCTAAAGTGAATGACGGGAGTAAAGCATACAGGGGACTGAGAAAATAGTCTCCATATGCTGGATCCCTGTGAAAATACGCGCAGCGAAGCTTTGCGAAATCAGAGTCACTGGGCAGGGGCTTGTAGGGAAATCTGCCAGACTTGTCGAGACCCTTGTCGAATGCTTGGGAGTTCGCAGGCGTTGACAAGGCAACTTAAAAATCAATAACCGCACTCGAACTGCTTGGCGCAACGACATCAGCATGAACGACTGTTAAGTTTGGGTTTCCCGGAACGGTAGTGTCACACCTAGGTACTATAAGGTTGGTAGCATCTTCCGATGGGATTGGCCGCAGAGGTTCTCTGTAGGAGAGAAATCAGCATGAACACGCTGCTCTTTTGAATGGATATCGTGATAACTGCCGGTCATAATGAATCCGAAGAATATCTATACCTAGGTAGAATTGAAACCTTAAAAGATTCAGTCCATTAGTGTGAATCTATACTATGCTCTGCTGAGTACGGAGCGCACCTAGGTCTTCTTGTCTCTACTGTTGCCTCAGATCGACTCACTAGATTGCGCTTCTTAGGCGCTAGATGTTACAGCTCCCAGCGCTAGTGTCGCCTCAAAACAGTGGGTCTACTATCTGAGTCCCCTGCTGGGAGCCTCGGGCGGGATATCTGGCCCCCACGCGGGATATCAGGTAATGTAGGACTCTGGGGTATTTGAAGTATCCGGTCGCCACCTTCTAAGTTACATTCTTTTGTTTTCACCTCACTCCAGGACTCTCACTAGAATGTGTCAGCGTCAACTTGACATTTTGCTACACAGAACCTCTGGTTTTATATCTACTCTCTTACATCATGGCAGCTTCCGATGAACAGAGGCCCCTCAAGAACGAAATCAAACTAGCACTTGTTGGTGATGCAGGTGTTGGAAAGGTACTAAGAAATATTTCCCTGGTCACAACAAGATGGCTGACCATATCTTAAAGACCAACTGGGTATCTCGACTTATTGGCCCGGAAGACCATGTTCAAGTTTCTGACCCCTCACTTGGGTATGACTGTCGCACATGTGGCTTTTCAACTGTATGTTCCATTTGGTTAATTTCAAGTACCGTTCTGCAATCAGTCCGTTCTGAGATATATCATCCATGAGTCATAGAATATTGGTCTTTTTTGGTTCAAAATATGGGATATCCCTGGATCTCATATTACTACTCCTCAAGAGAGGGCTGAATGGATCCATGATAGTGATGCCGCTGTTATTATGATTGATCTCGCCGACCAGGCAAGTATCGAAAATGCAGTCTATTGGCATAGTAATTTCTCCCAGTTTCATTTGCACCATATTTAAATTGGCTTTGAGCTCATGGTTTACCAATTGCTAACCTTATAGGAGAGATTTTATCGTCTCAGAAAAACTCCGATGAATCGACCTCACTACCAGTCCTAATCTATTCCTGCAAGGTCTACGAAAAGAATGATAAACGAGCAATAGATCCTACAGAAATCTCTTGGCCCGATGAGATAGGCGAGACCCCGTTTTTTTACAATCCATATGAATATTTCGCTGGGCCACAGCCACAGGCGATCGTAATGGAGGCAGATCGCTGTGAGGCAAGACCTATTGGATGGATCTTGGAGCAGCTTAGCGGTCAGCCTAATGTGGTATGTGGTTTGAACTTTTTCTATTACTATATTGTCGCAACATACATTTACCCCCATCTTAGGAAATTATCTACTTTTACCCCCCGGATCCCCCGCATTCACCCTTGGACCCTGAATACAAAAGAATGAAGGCCGAGTTCAAGGAACAAGGGAATTTTTTGTTGCCCGACGAAGATGACGCAGACCTATGATTAATAAAACCCACAATCACACCTTGGCCATTTACTAGTAATCGGGGTTGTCAACTTCACAAAGTGTTCGCGTAATAGTATGTTGCCAAATCTGAACCTGCGCTATTAACAATTAAACTTCAACAAAACCAAGACCAAAATCTTCACATAAACCTGATTTTGGCGTGTCTCAACTAGCTCACTAACAATTATCGGCATTTGTGATATAGAGAAGGGGTATCATTAAAAGCGGAAAATCCCCTGAACAACCTTGGAATATAACCAGCATTTTCCCACTCCCAAATATTTCTGTGCTGAATATTTCTGTACACAGAATCTTCAATTGTCTTTCTTGGTCAGATTCACTAGCTTGCTGGCTACTGCTTCCATTCCATTTAGATTTGGATGGAATATCGGACCACGTTGGAACAAGAGCCGCATACTAAGCCCTTCTACCCAAGGCTCCTGACTGCCAAGTGCATGACTTTGACTGATAGTATGTATTGGCACCCTTGTACACCACGCAGATCGACTGGAAGCCACTTTCTCGTAGGCGGATTGCAGCCCAGAAGCAATATTGCGATGATGATCAATTATTTTGCTACTTTTTGAAATGCACTTAGGGGTTAGAACTTTAATGATCGTCGCTATTAAAAAAAAATAACTTTGCTAAGCAAATAGCCCATACGATGAAGGACAACTTCTTTGCGAAGTCCCCCTTTCTGGGGGTAGTAAGCATGTCGGGGGCGTCACAGCTCAATTTCCACTTGGTTCCGGAGCGCCCAAGCCAGCCTCTTCAAGGCCCTTTCGATAGCTTCGAATGTAAACTACCGCGTTCGAGTCTCTGACCTCAAACCTCCATTTCTAGTCCTTCTCTCAGCCATCGCTGGTCTGGCATAACTTTCTGAATATACCAGTAATCAGATGAAACATTTATTTAGACTAATCTGTTATAACATCTCAGTACCGATAGAATTTTTGGATGCGAACAATGATTTCCAGCCAGTATTGATAGCTAGGTTTGCTAATAGCAATGTCTTGATTTGGCCTTTGTGGGTGGTCGTTACTTGTCCACTGGCTGGTTGTCTACAGAGTAAGCATTGTCGCCGTTATTTGCATTATATTGGACAAGTTATGGGTCACGAATTGGCCTTCTCGTTGTCGCATCAAGATCCTGGTACTTGGCAGACGATTTGGCCTGCCACATTACTAGCAAGATGAGGAATGAAGTAGGAGGAAGCCGGGATGGAAAGAACTGGAAGGAGGCTATTTCGTAATTTTATTATTTCATAACAAAAGAAAACTGAGCTGAACATTTGTACATGTATAGAATACTAGTATTAGATAGTGAACCTTGGGAAGCCCAATTTTGCCTCGGCTCCGGTGGCAAATTCCGGATCGGGCCCAGAGCGCATTCCAGTCAAGATCGAAATTTTTAAAAATAGTGTTTGGCCAATGAGGTTGAAAGGAAAGATTCGCATTGATGTGACTCAAGCTACATCCCTGGAGATATATGTTTATTGTTAACGTTATGATTGTTAATCCGTGCTTACTCCGTACTTACTCCGTACTAGTATTGAATATGACCAATTACCCCGAAGGCGCCGAGTGATCGGACAAAGCAGACTTTTCGCCGACAAGGCGGTCGCGGCTCCATCCGGGAAAAGACCCAATTGTGGAGTGATTTGCCTTCTCAGAGCCACTCACAATGTAGCGATCGATCATAGCCCCGTGAAAGCTGCAGGCGACGTAAGAAAAATTAATGACAGTCCACTGAACTGAATTCAGTTCCATAGTTGGAATCCTCAAACTTTTTTGTGACCTTCCCAAACAAGGACAACAAAGCATTGTTTCTGTTCCAATCCGGCCTCTCCGATCCCCGTGCTTGCTAATCAAACTCTTTCAGTTACCAAAGGCGGTACATCTCATCTTATCCTACATCAATCACGACATACAGCTCGCGAAGCAAGCCTTTCTTTTAAATTCGCCTCTTTGCTTTTTTTTCTTCAACTTGCTGCATCAATCTAATCGCACTTCACAATGGGATCTACCGAGAACACTCACACCACCGAGCGCCGCTTTGGCACTCTGGCTGTCCACGCCGGCGCCCCTCACGACCCTGTCACTGGTGCTGTCATCGCTCCGGTATGTTATGCGCTCTCCCTTGATTTGACAACTTTCATTGACAATTATCACAGATCTCCCTCTCCACTACCTTCGCTCAGACCAGCGTTGGCAGCCCTGTTGGTCTCTACGAGTACACTCGTAGCTCCAACCCCAACCGGTCAGTCATTTCATGTAAACCCCACCGTCTAGCGGTACTTAATGACTAACTTGTTCGCAGTGACAACTTTGAGCAATCGATTGCCGCTCTCGAGAACGCCAAGTATGCCCTTGCTTTCTCTTCTGGCTCTGCCACCACTGCCGTTGTCCTGCAGTCCCTGGCCGCGGGATCCCACGTTGTCTCGGTCTCCGATGTCTACGGTGGTACCCACCGCTACTTCACCAAGGTCGCCTCCGCCCACGGCGTTCAGGTGACCTTCTCTCCTTCCATTGAGCTTCACGTCGAGGACCTCATCCGTCCTGAGACCAAGCTCATCTGGATCGAGACCCCCTCCAACCCCACCCTCGGCCTGGTCGATATCCAGGCCGTTGCCGAGATCGCCCACCGCCATGGCATTCTCGTTGTCGTCGACAACACCTTCATGAGCCCCTACGTCCAGAACCCTCTCAACCACGGCGCCGATATCGTCGTCCACTCCGTGACCAAGTACATCAACGGCCACTCTGTACGTTTCCTCTCAAATCCACCCAATTCAAAGTCCAAATAACTAATATCTTCCCAGGATGTCCTCATGGGTGTCGCCGCCTTCAACTCCGAGGCTCTCAACGAGCGCCTTACTTTCTTGCAGAACGCCATCGGCGCCGTCCCCTCGCCATTCGACTGCTGGCTCGCCCACCGCGGTCTGAAGACCCTGCACCTTCGCGCCCGCGAAGCCACCAAGAACGCCACCACCGTCGCCGAGGCCCTCGAAGCCTCCGAGCATGTCATTTCCGTTAACTACCCCGGCATCGACTCTCACCCCCACCGCGCCATTGCTATCAAGCAGCACCGCGACGGTATGGGCGGCGGCATGCTCAGCTTCCGTATCAAGGGTGGCCAGGCCGCCGCGCACAACTTCTGCAAGTACACCAAGATCTTCACTCTGGCCGAGAGTCTCGGTGGTGTGGAGTCTCTGTGCGAGGTTCCCTCCAGCATGACTCACGCCGGTATCCCCAAGGACCAGCGCGAGGCTGCGGGTGTTTACGACGACCTTGTCCGCATGAGCTGCGGTATCGAAGATTCCGAGGATCTCAAGGCCGATGTGCTCAAGGCTTTGGAGCTTGCTGCTTCCGGTAAGAACGGTAGCGCTTAAGCTGAAAATATGCGTTGTTTTATGGCTGGTTATGTTTGCTAGCTTGTTGCATTTACGTGCATTGTAACGAAATTAGATAATAGACGATTTTCCTTGAGGGGTGCTACTATTATGACACCCCGTATCTACTCTTCAATTACTACTTTCCTCCCGTAGAATATTCTAGTATCATGTTGTTGTTTTCTGCTTGGAACTCGGTTATGTGCCCACAAGTAGCGTGAGTTTCATGCATATCTTAGTAGCATCGTATGTCGGCACTACAAAGTGGAAACTGATCCAGTGGAAATCCGGGAAATCCCATCCAGCCTCGGAGCTCAATGGGGGCCAAAATTGATACATTTGCAACACAACACCATGAACGAGTTTGGCGAGTCAGAGGCCCAAGCTAGTGAATCGAGCTTTCTAGGCCATACCACCCAAGACACGCCAAGAAACACCAAGGCTAGCCAAAACCTGCGCTGGTGTCATTTTTCGATTCTCTGGTTTGTAGATTCGACCCTGCCAAGCCGGAGTTGGCGGCAATCCACCGTCTAGCGAAAAGCAGTGGAGATTGCGCGTTAGCCTCATCCGAATAGCCCCAAATCTTAGGCTGCCCCAGCACGCGGTGGAAGCGAAGGTACCTAAGCGACGAATGGTGAATGTCGTATATAATGGAAATCTTTGGACTCCATAATTTAGCGATTTCTTTTTTGTTCTTTTTATCCTCATTTCAGCCGCAACCATGACCGGGCTGAACGCCTCCGTTTCTGCGGGTTGGTATACCTACACCAACCTAGGTCCTATCACAACCACCTTCACTCCAGCTCCCAGCTGCACTGCGTCTGGCCGTGTCGCAGTGGGCTATATGAACACAGATAGTGGTAATCTGTACCTCGAGTATTACACGGAGCCCATTCGAGGGCTCAGCTTCAGCGGATGTACGCCAACCTCGACACCAAGCATCACCGCTACACCAAGCTCGACTGGGTATTTGACCTCCGAAGAGCAAATTTCTTCCTTCTTGGCCGAACAGGTAAGCTGGAGGGCTTGGGGTCAATACTACTCTCCTGCCATGTACTGTCCCTCCGGCTGGGAGACAATTGGTATGGTCGGGCGCGATGGCAGCAGCTCGCTCACTTCGTCGGGCATTTATGTCCATACTACGGCTACTACAACTACTCAATCATATAGTACAGACGACGTGTACTACTATATGTTCAACTATGAGGATAAGGCTTCCGTTTTGAAGGATATTCTCCAGCCAAAGGAAACGATGGCTGCGTGTTGTCCCAGGTAAGTTCAAAAATCCAACAAAGCTCAGATGGATAATATCCCATTAGAGGAATAATGCTAAGAATCGATGCAGTGGTATGATAGCAGACTCGACCGGTCTTTGCTACTCTCTCGTCAAGGACTATAAGCCATCCCTCGGCTACCAGGTTGACGTAGGATACAACTACGAATATGGCACGAGCACGAGAACATTGACCGAGACAAGCGGCACCGATACAATCACCAAGACTCGATACCGCGTATATGAAACGGAAACTACATATCAGACAGACACCTACACCGCAACTTTAGACCAGGCAGAGCAGTCTCCCCGCTACAGCGCATTCTCTTACGCACCTGTCATCACAATGCTGTACCATGAGTCTGATTTGCACTCTGGGTCTGCAACATCATCGGCTACCGCTGATTCTACAAGTGCTTCCAATGCGGCGGGCAGAATCTCTGCTACCGCGTCAATTTGGAATGGACTTGGCTCCATCGTGGGAATTTGGGTTGCTGCGTTTGCCTTGGGGGCTGCTATGATACTTCCATGGTAGGGATGCGTGGATTATTAAATACGACTTCAGCGCAAGGAAAAGGCGTATAGTACAGGGCTGCCGCCAATAATATCCGTTGTTAAATCTAAAGATATCTCTAGCTCATCCAAGTTTTGTATCATACTAGTATTCATGAATCGTTAACTTACAAGAGTAACTCACGCTCGTTAGCTCGATAACATGTCGTCCTCGAAGGCCCGAGATCTGTACCGCGGAGAATAGATGTGGATACTGTCGTCCAGCCTAACTGTTTCGTCCGTGCTGTTTGCGCCAGGAAAATCCGAAATGGTTAAGGTGTCAGGGAAAGTGCCCCTGGAGTGGAGATTCCTTATACTCGGTCACGAGTGAACGAGGAACTGTCCTGAAACGACTGCTCTCGTGGCGAGAGACCTGGGGTAAACTCAGTGCTGCGGCCTGGCTTGTTGCTTGCTCGGTTACAATCAGGACTTAACAGAACTAGCCCCCTTATTATGATCGGTAATTTGATGCACTGCGGGCCGATTCCAATTCTATAAAAACCCTTGTCTTTTTAAGTGGTGATCAATGCTCGGCTTATCTTCGTTGTCGTGGATGCTGCGATGGCTCACTCGATCTGGCGTGGAGTTGGCTCATGGCTATCGACGAAGCTTCAGATCGAACGTCGGACAAGAGATTCCTATGGGAGTGTGATACTGAGGAGGAAGCTGAGGCATAAAACTGGTGATCAGATGAAGAGGGCGAGAGAAGAGAGAACTTGAAGCTACTATCTAGCCATGGAAGGGGCAGCCTGGGATGTCTGAAGCACCAGCCCTCAACAGTTCCATAGCCGTCGGAATATGTAGGTATCAGAGCCAGATGAAGTGCGGTATAGTCTCGGTCATCTTGAATAGCAATATCGAGCCCTGGATCCTCAAGATCCCGTATTGTTGATATTGGAAGGCTACTGTATCGGGATTGGTGGCCGTCCCGCAGATTGACGACTTCACATTTCCCAAAAAGGACTAGTTCAATCCATCAATCATAACGATCTCAAAGACTCACGATTTAGTCCTAACTTCCACCCTTCTACCAATTCACACCCTTCCATCCATCTTCCATAAACCATCGCCATGCACCCCCAACCAACAATAATGAACAACCTCCGAGAACTAAGCCAAGACATCCTCACAGGAATGAGCACCGAACGCGCCATGAAAGCCTACTTCCGCTCCAGACCCTTACTACTACTAGACTCCGAGTCCACATACGAATCGAAAGAACTAACGAGACTAGTAACCAATTTCCACGCGGGAAATCTTTCCTCGCAGGAGAGGAGGTATCTTCGACATATCCTCCGCGCCCGCCTAGATCTACACAGACGAGTGAATAGATACCCCAAGATATTGGATATGAACTATCTACCTCCCATCGAAGAATGGCGGGAAGAGTCACTTGCACTTATGGGGCTGCTTTTCACTCGGGAGGAGTTTCAGAACGTTTATTTTCTTGTTATTGAGTCCGGTTTGTTGAATATCCCTCCTGATGAGGCCGGGCAGAACACTCTTTATTATTTGAAACCGGCGCAGTATATTGCGGCTGCGTTTTGCGTGGCTGGGTATGAGTTGAGCGATGTTGAGTTTGCTATTGAGAAAATGTGGGGGTTGTATAATCCGCGGGCAGTCTATGTGCGCTCTCATAAGTGCCGGTTTGGGGAGAGATTGGGGTGGAAGAGCGTTGTTTCAAAGGAATTAGACCACGACGAGTTTCAAGATGTGAAAAGTAATAAGAATTCTTTGAAAAAGTGGTTGAGGGGACTGAAACGTTTTGGAGACTTGGTGCCTAAGGGCTTGGGTAGCGCTGTTGTGGTCTAGATTTTTAATGGAGATTCTGATGCAATGGGTATTTACCAGCTAAACAGGTAGCATTGAAAGTTGATATGTATGAATGAGAACCCTTGGGGCTAGCTCTTTGCAATCTCTAGTATTTAATTCGTCTTCTCCTACCATTTCTCAGAAAGTATCTGCATTAAGCCCGGAAGAAAGATCCAAGGCAAAACACCCCTCTTTCTATACATATCAAATCAGCCATATAGCAATGACATTACAACCCCAAGCATTCACAAAGCTACTCATTGACATCAGAGAATTCAGCTGTCAGTGTCCATTTCTACCTTCCAATTAGCAGCAAGTTCTTGAACTGCCTGCTTCATAGCCTCCACTGCTGTGAAAAGATGATCCACTTTCTCATTCAGAGAACGATAATCCTCCTCTTCCGCGGTTCTGATATCGAGTCTCTCTTGCTCCTTCATCACACTGTTTATATGTCCATCTATCACTTTGCCGAAAGCGATCAGGTGCCCGAGGATATGCTTCTCAAAAGCTCTCGATCTTTCTTTTATCTCATTTTTGAACTTGATAAATTCCTCCTTGTTCACTTCAGAGGGTATCTGCCCGATGGCTGCGACCTTTTCTTTCAGAGCCCTGATTTCGCGGGGTGATGTATGGCAGTGTTGGCACGAACTCGGAGGAAAGTTGTAGTTTATGCTCACAGGCCCTCCAGCTGGGTATGGGGTTGTAAATTGGCGAATGTTGTCCATTTTCTTCTTCACTCTCTTATGGTTGCGGGTTTTATCTTTCAGGGCCATGTAGTATGTATGGTATCGAGGATAATAATGGTAAGATCTAAGGGAAAGTGAGTAATTTCGAGGCTGCTACTCCTTTTATTTTCAGGAGTCGTATTTCCTTTTTTTTTTTCAAAGCCGTACTAGATTGGTATCTCCGACTCCCGACTCGTATGGGGTTGTAGCGTGTAAGATATTTCCATGGAACAGCCCTGGAGTATCAAAGCTACTAAACCGAAGCGAGACGAGATGAGGCGCTTCGGTTAAGCAATCAATCTCCCCATGTGCCGATACTCCGAATCGTCTCGGACTAGCTGATATATCCCAAATCCTAAATGGACTTGAATACTATTCGAAAGCACAAGGTCCCCAAATATCCCCAGCTGTAGATGGTTTTCCGAATCGCCCAATCGGGCAGGTGGGTGAATATTAGTCATCATTTCTGCCCGCCGCAATTTTTGGTATGCGGCAGCGAGAATCTCAGAGTAGATAGACTAACGACTTTTTTGACATCGGAACGTCTCAAAAAGGTACTCAACTAGACTCCTAGTGTTGGTCAATGTACCGGTCTTCCGAGAAAGCCCTTTTTCGCCATCAGTCCGCTTCAATTCTTAGCATTCGGGAACAGCGCTCATTATCAGCCAGCTTTGACAATGGCGTTTAGCTTCGGGTTTGCTGGAGATGATATCGACATCGACGATGCTGAAGTTAATAATGAGTCTCCTTTTGTTCCCGCTGTCGCTGGACAGGAGGCAAGCAATTCGCTCCCGGAGTTGGTGAAGGCCAACAAGCATGACATGAATGAATGGGTAAGATTTCAAGTTTTTTGAAACATTTGATATTTGTATTACTTCGCATTTTCTCTGCTGTGGAATCTGAAAGAGCCTCTGAGCCATATTGTGATCTTGAGTTTCCTTTTTTTTTCGATTTTTGCAGATTTGCTATGTTACGTGCCCAGGTGTTCTTGTCTTCGAAAGTTCTACATATCACTTCTGGATCAAGTCTAACTGTCGAATAGCTCTCCATTCTGCCATCACAAATATATTACAACCGACTCGAAATTAGCGGCACACCGATGGTCATCGCTCGTCGAGAAATATTCGACATCCGCACTCAATTGATGGCGGAAGATAACCAAGGACACGACAACGAGGAACTCATCTCCGGCTTGGAAAAAGGCGACCTCAAGCCCAATTTCTACGAAGGCGGTTTCAAGACGTGGGAATGTGCTCTGGACCTAGCCAAACTGGTCACAAGTGAGAACCCGACCAGCCAGTCCCCAGAACCACAAACTACTACTCATACCATCGAGGTTCGTACATTGGCATCTTACTTCTGACTGCGGGCCGCATCGCTGACAACAATATCCTTGCACAGCTTGGTGCAGGAACTGCAGTACCATCACTGGCATTATTCGCCCGTGCATTGAGCCAGACAGAGGCAGTGGAAAGCGGGGCTACGATCCAGAAAACCCATTTCACATTCGCGGACTACAATGATTCCGTCCTGCGTCTTGTCACACTCCCTAATCTCATTTTGACCTGGCATATTACCCAGTCCCGGGATACTACAGCGGTAGTCGAAAGCCAGGGTGCTTCAGCGGCTCATACTCAGGATGAAGAACTAGATATCACGCCCGAACTACTCGATGCCTTCAAGGCCGACCTCGAGAGGCGGGGTATTTCCTTGAGCTTCATTTCCGGTGCCTGGTCCCCTGAATTCGTGGAGCTTGTCTTTTCTTCCCGCAGTGAGGGTGACTGTCAGACCTTGGTACTTGCCAGCGAGACGATCTACTCCCCGCTATCACTGGTTGCATTCTCCGAAACTCTTCTGGCGCTACTGCGCCGCTCTAGCTCTGCATCTAGCAAGACTCGGGGTTTAGTGGCTGCTAAGAAGGTCTACTTCGGAGTGGGAGGAGGTGTCGATGAGTTCCTCGCGACTCTGAAAAACGTTTGTGTTGATGAATTGGACGTTCAACAGAAGGTGGATATCCAGTCGGAAGGTGTCGGCCGAGTTGTGTTGGAAATTACGCCTGTTGGAAACGGTGTGCAGTAGATTATTAGATTCAAATTAGATTGAGCCTTTGAATACAGTAACCAGTGGTACAGGGAAAACTAGAGTGGTGAATTCAAACAAATGAAATTCAAGGAATCAGGTGCTGGATTGAACTTTCAAATCCTAACGTATATGTACATGTTTTACCTCATTGCGCATGTCTAGTGCAAGACAGCCAACCCAAACAGAGAGAAAAAAAAATAAGACTCGACTCCATCCTCTTCGTCACAGAGACCTTAGACCTGTGTCCGGGCAACGCGGGCCTTCTCGGTCTCCTGGTTCTCGCGCTCGTAGTGGGCAATGACCTTGCTCAGGTCGGACTGGGAGCCGGGGGCAAGGTTGATGATGGGAGCAACGTTGAACAGACTAAAAAACAGAGGAAAAGAAGATTCAGTTAGTCATTTTAGTCACACCAAGGTAGACCCGGAGCGGTATCACATACTCGTTCTGTCTCAAGGGAACGAATTCGCGGGGTCCTTCACTCTGGAGCAAGTGGCGGTCCTCGGCGGCCTTCTCCATAATTGCGGTGTGAATGGCGTTACGCTGTTCAAAGGCCTCTTGCGAAGGGGTCCACTTGGCGATGAGGTCGGAGATGAACGACTCGGAGCCGGATTCCTGTTGCGCCTTGGTGAAGCGGTAGAGGAGGTATGCGGAGACGAAGCTACCGGCGGTGACGTAGAAGCTGCGCTGTACAGTGGGAACCACAAGTTAGCAATCCGAATTCGTGGCATTGGCGGTCTGTTGGGACTAGGATTCTGGAGTCTTCAGGTTCGGGTTGGCGGGGAGCTTACACCGAAGCCTTCGTTCACGGGCTCAGCGTGGGCGTGGGATGAGCCGAAACGGCGAGGAGCCTGGGTGCGCAGCACCTGCCGCGTCGAGGCAGCACAGCTTCTGGCGACGAACATGGCTGTTGGGGATAATTGAGGAAAGTCGGGTTGGTGATGACCCTTTCCGCCGCGATGATAGGATGAGGTTGCGTGCCGATGAGATCACGTGTCTACAGATCACGTGCGATCGTTGTATCGGGACTATTACATAATATAGTATATCTGCCGACCCATACCGCCTTGCTACTACTATGAGGCGGTGTAGGTAGATCTCGCTAGCACTGCTAGCGTAGCGGTCGGAGTGGAGTGGACTCCGTAGAGCAGCCATGATGGGATGTCTAGAATCCCAGGACCCATTCCGATTCTTTACATCTCCCCTCCCCTCTGCCAATGTATCATTATCTAGATCAATGCAATGCAATGTGAACCCCGCGGCGAGCGAAGTCATCCTGCATATGCAAGCCCATCGAGAATCAAAGCGCCGGGTCCCTGGGGGTGGATGTGATGGGCTCAGATGAGCATTGCCTCATCTCTTCCTCTCCCTCTTCCCTAACTGAACTAAGAGCACTATTTTCGAGCAGGGGCCCATTGGACCCATCGTTTCTTGTCCATAATTGCGGGTTTTACAGGTCGTGTCGGGCTCTCGATTGAACATGTCAGCTTTGAGAGGGTACCCACTATGGCCCTACTGTCTACTTGTTCGTCCTCGCCTGATTTTGTTGGTGCCCAATGCCCCATGGCGCACAACAATTGGTCTCTCTTCGGTCCGAAGTTGAATCTGTTCGCTTCACATTCCGAATACTGGGTCTGCGGATCAGCGTTACGCTACAATCCCCATCTATTCAGCGGCCTAAAGATGGGTACTAACGTCCACTAAGGTTCGGTCCGCTGCGGTATTCCCAATAGGGTCGCACATTTCAAGTCTTCCATAGTCGCTTGCAATTGAATTATTCTTGTCGCCCTTTGCGCCCTTCTGACTTCTTCCTCTCTTACTGGAGATTGAAATTTGGACTTGCCCGAATTGTCTGCGTGCTCGAACGGGCAGCCTTGCCTTCGTGTATCGCGCCGATTTGTGCCCACTCATCTGACTGGATAGCCCAGTCATTGACTCTCTGCCCGACTGTTGCGTATTCGACGCGGCCTTGACTCAATACTCTTAGCAAATTGAGCCCTAGTACCCCTTAGTCTGGCTAGCGTTTGGGCTATATCTTGAACTTGAAGCACCGCCTGGCAACTTGCAAATGTACAGTGCAGACTGAAGACCCATGGAATCACCAGACCCGGAATATTCACTCATCAAGTTTTTATATTTATTGTCACAGTGATCTTATTGGAAACACGTCTGTCCATCATCTACCCATCAACCCATAGGCTTGGGCACGCATCCCTCAGTCATCATGGGAGCCGGTGGCAAGAAGGCGAAAGCCAAAGATAAGAATGGGAAGGCTGGAGCAAAGCAGAAAAATAAAAACAGCAAGACTCCTGAAGCGAAAGAAGAAGACCAGACGACAATTCAATCCTCGACTCCTAACAGCCCAGTCCCTGTGGTACAAGAACCCGAACTCGGCCAACCGGAACCACTGGCAGTACTTGAGCAAATCCCAGAAGTCATCGAACCACTTGAACTTGAATCTTCTCCAACTCCAGTCGACCATGAGGAACTTGAACCAGAGAAAGTCTCATCTGAACCTGAAGAACCCTCAGATCAACCACCATCTCTGAAGGAACCTCAAGCCGACACCGAGGCTCTCGTGTCAACCGACCAAGACACGACGACCCAAGCTCCTCCTATTGAGCCCGAGGAGAGTCAACCATCAAACGAAGACAGTCACCAGCCTGTTGAAGAACCTACCAAGCCGGAATCACGGGAGCAAACTCCCATCGCGTCTCCAGCTGTCCCATATTCGCCGGTGCCATCGCAAGTACCACTACCATCGCCTTCTCTGACGGAGGTCCGGTTTGTGTCCAGCGCTTCACCAGAGGCCCAATTCTACCCTGCATCTCCGGCACTTGCACGCTACGCATCACCTGTACGCTACGCTTCACCTGTACCGTACGCATCACCGGTGCCATACGCTTCACCATTGCCGTACGCTTCGCCAGTGCCCTACGCTGCGCCTGTACCGTCCGTTTCACCTGCGCCATACGCCTCGCCTGGATCGTACGCTTCACCAGTGCCATATACGCCGCCCCATCCTTACACATCACCTTTTGCATCGCCCTTTGCATCGCCCTTTGCATCACCTTTTGTCTCACCCGTGCCCAAGGTCAGCAGTCCGCTGGCTCAGTCTCATTATCCATATATGCCTCCCGCCATGCCTCCAACAATGTCTCCCACCGCAACACCCCCACCTCCTCAAGCACCACCACCACCTCCTATGATGGCTCCTCCACCCCCTCCATCTAATCAGAGCTATAATAGCGCTGTTCACTCACCTGTCATGAGCTCTGCTGGGGTCGTTCCACCTTATGGCCATTATCCTCCCCCTCAAAGCCCTCATTACATGCACCGGAGCTACAGTGTGTCTGACCAGCCATATGCATCTTCATTCCAAGCCCTCCGCGACCTACCCCTACCAGGCAATGGCACAACACACGAGAACGGCACTATATCGCCACCCGACAACCATGACGCCGAGCATATCGAGCTACTGCAGCGCATCCAATCTGCAATTCCAGATATCAACCGTCTCCTGCACGGCTTCCAACACACCCACACGCGCCTCAGCAGCCGCGAAGCAGAAATGAAGCAAATTGGCAACCAGCACGAGCAAGCATTAATGCACAAGGAGTTCTACATTGAGGCACTCCAATCCCAAATGAAGAAGACCGCCAACGAAAGTGCTGAAGAATGCGCTAAGCTGAAGAACACTATCAACGAACTGCGCCTCGAGCTTGGAAACCTTCAAGAGAAGCAACGAGATCTTGAAGATGGACTGGCCACGCACCAAAAGTCTAACGAAGAGCTCTCGCAGGGCAAGAGTGATCTCGAGGCGGAGCTTGCCACGCTGAACACCAGTCTCGAGGAGTCCAAGGTCGCGCACGAGAAGGAGCGCGAGGAGCAGAAGGAAGAGCATACCAAGGCTCTTGCGACGCAGAAGCAGGAACTGACGGAACTCTTCGAGGAGATTAAGAACGAAGACGAGAAGGCCGCTGCCGACACTCTCGAAGCACGCGAGAAGGACCTCCGTGAGCAGCATGAGGCTGAGAAGGGTGAATGGGAGAAGGAGAAGATGCTGATGCAGGAGACACTCGAGACTCAGCGCAATGAGCTCGAAGCAACCAAGACAGAACTGGCTTCTAAGATCGCCGTTCTTGAATCCAAGGAGGCTGAATTGGAGTCTCGCCTTGCTGAGCTCACTTCGATCCGTGAAGAAGTTGCTGGTAAAGTGGCGGAGCTTGAGGCTAAGGAGAAGGAGCTCCAGGATACTCGCGATAAGAACGCGAAACAGATTGCAACGATCCAAAACACCCATGCGGGCGAATTGGACTATATGCGCGAGGGCCATGCGAAGGAACTGGCTACTGCTGCGCAAGAGCTGAACGACAAGATTGCCGCTATTGAGGCCCAGCTCGCGGAGAAGGAGAAGAGCTGGGAAGCTGAGAAGGCGGGCTTGGTCCAGCAGATCTCTGAGAAGGACGGAGAGCTGTCCAGCTCTGAGCGGGAGAGAGAGAGACTAGAGGGAGATGGCATCGTCAAGGAACAGCAACTTCAGCGTGCAGTGGATCAGATGAAAACGACTATCGATCATCTGGATGGCGATTGCGACCGACTGAGGAAGACACTTCACAGTCTCGGGGAGGCCACCGATCTCAAGACTAAGGGCGACCGATTCTTGTAAGTGAGCCAGCAGTCAGAGTTTGATTCTTCTTTCCCCTCTTTTTTCTTCCATCTTTGTTTTTTTCTTTATGATTTATGATCACGATCACGATCATGTCCATGTCTACGTCCGACCATGTCATTCATTTATCACATCTCTTTTGTCTATACACAGACCGATCTATTTCCTTTCACTCTATAGAATGTCGATATCGCCATAAAACCTGAATGTATATGAATGATTCTAATAAACCTCTTTCTCCTCTAGTACCGACTGTTTCACGCAACTCTCGCAAATGATCCACGATCTCTCACAAGACCACTTCGCCTACCTCCCCATCGATCCACCAAAGGACATCCTCTCCAAAATCCCCTCTGAACTGCCTTCCTTCCTCGACAACAGCCCCGCCTCCCGCGACCTCCGCTGCGCCTACATCCGCCACGTCGTTTCCAAAACCCTAACCTACCGAGTCTTTCAACCCTTCCTCTTCACCCTCGGCCGCCGCTACGACAAAGCAGACACATTCTTCCAAATGCTCTCAATGGACATCCGCCGCAAATCCGTCCGCCGCGAAGCATTCTGGCGCCAGCAGACCCTCAAAGCAGCCTACACGACCTCCGACGCAAAGCAATCCATCAACGTCGCCGCAGCGGTCATCGTAGACGAAATCATCGATCACATCCGCCACTTCGCTGATCCCAAACACCTCGACTCCCTCCTCATAACGGTGCGCAAGATCGTCAAGCTCGCGGCCGAAACGTGGCGCCACGCTCGCGTCGAGCGCGAACTCGTCTTGGCTCTGCTGCCGGCGCCGGACGCGGAGGACGTCTCGAATGAGGGGTGGCTGGAGTACGGGGTTGCGAAGGAAGTGAGTCCGATTCAGAAGACTGATCCGACGCGCCATGTTGTGCTGCGCACTTTCCCGTGTGTTGTGCGCGAGGCGGCGCATGAGGACTTTGCCTTTGCGTCCGGGGAGAGGGCGAATCCGTGCGTTTACTCGGTTGGTGAGGTTCTCTTCTCCGATTCGCCTGTCATTATGGCGCGGCTGCAGGAGCTGGCGAAGAAATCTACGGATACGCTGGTTAATGAGGGGGGCCAGTTGAGTTTGAATTTGTCCCCGGCTAAGACGATTGGTGAGCAGGAGTTGGTGCCGCTACGGGGGATTGAGAAGTTGGTTGCTATTCATAATCCGCCGGCGAAATTGACGGTGCAGTCTGCGCCGAATAGTCCCAAGGGGCAGTTTATGAAGACTTGAGAGGAGATGGGATGAGAGGGGGGTGGATAGTGGGGGTTTGCGGGGAAGGTGTTCCTTTTCTGGAACAGGACTATTGTTTCTTTTTTTTTGTTTTTGTTTTCTTCTTTTGATCGCTTGTATTTTCCTTTGGAACTGTCGGGTATAGGGAAATGGGGTGTTTCTGTGTGCTTTGCAGCGATTGAGCGATTGAGCGATTCAGTGACTTTGACTTCAGTGACTTTATGTGTGTATGTGTGTATAGGAATGGATCAGCATTGAGATCAATCTGTACTAGTATTAGTAGTATAGCACAGCCATAACAATGTGGAATGTACTATCTTCCGAGGTTGTCTCAGACCCTGGAGTACTACTTTTATACCCCGCGGGACCCGCCGTGAACCATGGAGCACCTGGGCATGCCACCAATCTTAAAATATCAGGAACGCAAACCTTGGAACATACTGGGTTTGGTTTCATCTTCAGCCCTATGTGCAGGTGGCTTTGGAAATGGACCCCACGGAGATAATAATAGAACATTTCAGCCCCCATAACATTAGGTACCTAGCCAAATATCTCAGGGTCGTGTGGCTCATTGCAAACACTGCAAAGCCCGCACAGCCTTGCTTTGCCGTTCCACAGTCTGCCTCGCATAAGATGAACTTGAACTCCAGGGCTTGGATTGGTACTAGGTATATACCTAGGTATTTAATTAAGTAAGTGTTGAGAGAGAAAATTGAAAAAATATTTCAAATTTATTTCCATCACCTGCTTCCAAGGTTCACGTTGTGGCGAGAGTTCATGTTCGGGCGCAAAGACAGCGCGTAAAGCAGCCGAGCGCAACGCGGGGCCATCAGGGCGCTAAATGAGGCTCATTTTAATTCCACTTCAATTCCACTTCCACCCATTACACCTGTTTCATTTCCCACAAGGCTGACATCGTCTTCTGTTGCATGACGCGACCCTTGATAGGTAAGTAAAAAAAGAAGACTATGCATTCATGCGACCCCCAATCCTTTTTAGTACCCCTCCACTCCCGTCTTTCCTCCGGCCCCCATTGCTGACACTCCGCAAGCTGACCAACCTCAACTCCCCTCAACTTAACTCTCCTCTTCAGCTGGGTCGCGCACTTCTTTTCTCTGCCTCTATTCACTCCTGCTAGGGGTCCCGGTGTCCGATGACCGGGTATTTGGATCTATATAACCCCCCCTAAGCGACGGAGTGGTTTGTACCCCAATGATTTCGGTTTCCCGCTTCCTGGCCCTCTCTCGCCCCCTTCTGACGCCGGCTCGCCCCAACTACCTGTCGCATCAGCATCCGCATGGGCGAAACTAACTCGCGATCATCTCAAAATGTCGAGTCCCCACACTCTTCACTCGTCGGCGGGGCACGCGCATCCGTTGGAGCTAAACACCTCGGACCCTTATCTCTCGGCGCCTTCCGATCCTGAAGAGTCCGAATTTCAGGCCTGCGCAATCCGTCTGACTCCAGTCGGTGGCAGTCCAGGCCACAGTGTCTCGTCTCCACATGATGGCGCTGCCTCGGTCTCGGGTCATTCTGCCCAGACCCAGGGCCAAGATTATCTGTCCCCACAGAATAACCACTATATCGATCCCAGCGCCTCTCTCTCTCCCAACAATGGCGGGTTTCTCGCTCCGTCGGATATTGATCTTGCCAGTGGCATTGGGACATGGTCGAATGGAGCTCCCGCTTCCTTTGGTGCGGATGTATCACCAACATCGACTCAGCAACATCAGCCTTGGGCTCCGATCATGGGCATTGACACCTCCTCACAGTATCTCAATCCAGGAATTACCATTCCGAGTCCAGCTTCTGCGACAAAATACTCCTCAGCCCAGAACAACGACTTGAATTTGACGTCTGGGTCTTTTGTGAGCCCAACACAACCAGGCCTCGGCATCTCGAACCAACACTACACACAGCCACAACTCTCCGTTTCCTCCGAGCAGGCTCCAAGGCAAAATAGCGCAGCACCCGCCGTCGGCAGAGGTCGGAGTCCAACTGTCACCGTGGAATATATTCCGCGTGGTGATTCGCCAACTCAAGAACCTAGTAGACACGAGCGACGTGCGAGCCGGTCGTCTGCTCACCTCTCCGTGAATGGACTTGGAGACCAGTCGAGTGAAGAGGGATACGAGGATGATCAACAGTCCATCTCACACACTCCTATTGAGCGAACAAACGGTGGCCATTGGCACGGTCTTGATCCCTCGTCGCGCGGAAATGACTTTGTTCTAAGCCCGAATGATCTCAAAGGCGAACGAGAACGCGAGCAGAAGATCGAAGACATCAGCCGCTGGTCAGAGCGTGTGGGCAGTGAAGCTGGCGATGACCCTACTCTCCCTTCATCTCGAAAGATGGTACCGAATAACCGACTTCGCGCAAGGAGCACGGGAGACCGCCCTCTTCAACAAGAAGACTATTTCAACCTGAAGTTCGGCCCCACTGGTCAGGCTATCCCTCCGCCTCGTCTCATGCTACGTGAGAGTAGCGAGGATGAATATAGCGAGACGTCTGAAAGCACAGCCGATGCAGAAGAACCGGGTCGATATGACCGATCAACACCGGAGGTTTACTCCTCGCTGGAGCAGAAATCGCCGGTGGAAGGCGAATCCCGTCTTTATCCCTGGAATGACTATCCGCAAGGCCCAATTCGAACAGAAGTCATGCAGCCCTACAGTTCCACAGCAGCCATGGTCGCTTTTGAAAAACGCGCGAGAGATGTGGAAACGGCCTCTCTCACTGCGACGATCGATAATAACAGCATCATTAACTTTGGTGCGAATTTTGAACGAATGAGTATTTATGATAATGCAGCACCGAAGAAGACAGAGAAGCGCGGCAATACATTCTTCAAGCGCTCTTACCAACAGGCATCCAATATGCTGAAGCGTCAGGCTTCGGATCTTTCACTGGCCACGGTCAACTCTCACTCTCACCATCCAAGCCCGGAGCCAACGCAGCGCAAGGACAGTGGCTCTCATAGACACCGATTGAGTCTGTCCACAAAACACTCACGGTCTCCAAGTTTGAGTAACGCTCTCTTGTCCATGTCAGGCCAGCTGGCTGCGGTCGGCGGCAGTCACTCTGTTCAGGCCGTATCTCCCAATGCTGAGCCAAGTGCTGGTAGAAACAGTCTCCAGGGTCGCAATAGTCTCCAAGGCCGGAGCAGTCTCCAGATAAAAGCTCGCGGACGAAGTAGGAGCGAAGTTCCCAGAGCCCCGACACCGGGACTCATTGACTTGATGACCAGTCATGGTGGGCCGCCCGTTGCTAGTATTACCCGATACCAACAGCAAGAACCCAGCGCAGTGCCAACACCAAGAAGTGCAGCAGCACTGGAGCGCGAAATGGCTGGTGGCGACGATGAAGACGACAATGATTTGGCCGAAGATAAGGGCTTGGTGATGCATTTCCCGCCCATAACGCGTCTGCCGGTGCCAACGTTCGAAGGGTTCAAGGCGCAGATCATGCAATTAAGCCCTGGCTTAGCACCTGCTCTGATCCATCGATTCGCACATGCACAGGTTCAGCGGTACAAAACCCTTGTCGAGCTTCAGCAGAAACATTCCGCAGCTGTCGCCAATCGAAACTGCAAATCTGGCAAATTCTGCAGCGCACTTGGGGGTCAGCCGGTGCTGTTGCAGCAGAAATCGCTTGCCGACGCCGAAGCTGGACAGACTCAATTCCGCATCACGGATTATAGTCAGGGTGGCGATCAGCAACACGCAGCAGGTGAAGGAGCTATCGCCGCAGCGCAATTTCCCCCAGGTGTTCCTCTACCGCCTGTTGCTAGACTGCCAGCTCAGTTTGAGTGCCCGATTTGCTTCCAAGTAAAAAAGTTCCAGAAACCCTCTGATTGGACGAAGCATGTCCACGAGGATGTGCAACCCTTCACGTGCAGCTTTCCTGAATGCGCGGAGCCCAAGTCTTTCAAGCGGAAAGCAGATTGGGTTCGACATGAGAGTGAGCGACACCGGCAGCTTGAGTGGTGGACTTGTTCGCACCACGACTGCACTCACATCTGCTACCGCAAAAACAACTTTGTCCAGCACTTGGTTCGCGAGCACAAGATGCCCGAACCTCGGGCGAAGAAGACAAAGGGATCGACGACGGCGGAAGGATCTGCATCTACGCAGCGGGAACAAGAGTTCTGGCAGATAGTCGCTGATTGCAGGAATGAGCTCGAGCAGACTCCAAGCAAGGAGCCCTGTCGCTTCTGTGGGAACGTTTGTAGCTCCTGGAAGAAGCTAACGGTCCACCTGGGGAAGCACATGGAACAGTTAGCCATGCCGGTTCTGGAACTAGCAAAACAAAGCTCTTCCACCCCTAGCCAAAGCCAAGTCTCGATGGTGGGCGGGTCCGCCGAGTCTCACCACGCCTCTTCTGCCCTCGCTGCACCTGCACCTGCACCGTTCCAGAACCATGAACACCCAGCAGAAGACCCTAGTGCATCGGTACAGCTAGCTCGGCAACAATATCCCACTAACGATGTCGGCGGCCCAGCCAGCCACGCCTTCTTCAACTACTCCGACATGCCCATGGCCAATTATCCGTCCATCTCGGGCACCCAGCTATCGATGGAACCGGAATCGATCGACCTACCCGGCGATCAGTTCCCCAGCTACGGCATGGGGCAATACCATGACCAAGCCACGCTCCACCCACCAGCCCAGACCCACCCCCTGCATCAACAATCGTCTTCCTCGTCAACGTATCCACCGCCCTTCAACGCGGTTCCACGCGCCCGAACACCCGAGACGAACCCTTCCCTGCTCCAGGGCTCCTATTCGCTGAGCTCGCAGCTCCCGCCTCAACCTCAACCGCCAGCCTCGTTGTACTCCGCTCCGAGCCAAGCTGGGCCAGGGTATCCGGCATACCAACCTGTGGCGCCGAATGCTAACGGCTCGTATACATCCGCGTATACGACGAGTTATTCGTCTCAGATGTGATGAAATGATCTACGACTTTTTCCGATCTGCCATTATTTATGCCCTTTTTTTTCTTTCTTGTCGCGTGCAATTGCATTTTCTGGGCGTGTGTCTACGTGTCTACTCTACATATACCCTCCCCCTTCGTTTCGTTTTGTGGGAATCGTTGATCTTCATTTACCCGTTTCCCGTTTCTGTGTCGGCTGATTGCTGCAAAGTTGTACGTCACGTTTTATTAGTCGTGCATGAGGGAAGGGTGAGGATTTACTACTTTCTTTTCTTTTTGCAATTTCTTTGTTGCAGATTTTTTTCTGGACTATATGTTCTTTCTTCTTTGGCATTCAATTTATCGGCAATGAATCTTTCTTTTTCTAATCTACATACATGCATATCTATACAGTAGCTTTATCTTCATCGAATTTTTGTCCAGAGTATTGGCTACCATTTTCCTAGTACGGGATAATCTACAGATAGACTCGGACCCAGTACTAGGTAGAGCCAATCTTTGTTTATCCCTCATGGTATGTTTTCTTTTTCCTATTTCATTTCTGCATGTTTACTTTTTCCACTCGATAATCTTTTCCTTGCCTTTCTTTCCCTTCCATTTCTCTTCCCCCCACCCCCCTTCACGTAATCGGAGTTAAAACATTTCCTGCATGCGCGGAATGGCGATAGTCCAGACTGAGCGGCAGGATCGTGTACATATTTTAGGGGGCACTGGGGAATTTTGTCTCAGGGCAGTGGCGTATCGTACCAGACAGGACAGGGCAGGACTCCTGGGGCAGTTCCCGTATGCATGGCATATGAGCCATCATATTTTCTTTTCAGAGTTTGATCGGAAGTTAGCCGTCGCGTGTTTCAAAAAAGGGGAGGGGGGGAGCTCCAAGATCAGGCCCTGGGGGGGTTTTCGAAGGGGTTCAACGTGAAGTTTGCCCTTCCCCGGCAACGTAGGACGCGTGGTTGTCAAGTGTCAGGATGTTTCACGTCTATCCCTTGCTAGACGGCATGGCATCGGGGAACGAGGGCGCCGATCGACCCTGTCACAGCTGGATCTGGTCCTTGCGTCTACGGGTTCGGTTCGAGTTTACCACGCTTTTCTAGTTTAGGTGCAGTTTAGTTCTACCGTATGTACTGTTAGTGGTGAGGTTGTAGTTCCAGCCTCAGCTCTAGAAACGCTGGGATCTATACTCCGTACGCATGAAGCAGCTCAATTTCAGCTTCAGGTCTAGCCTGGAGTAGGTCACGGAGCTGCCGTCGATCCTCTGGTCTGGATAGGTTCATGCTCATGTTCACTGGCATCAGCCGTCCCGGAGTTTATATCCCGCACCATACCCATCGAATCCAGATACCAGCTGTACGACCCTAACATGAACTATGACTCCGAGAGAGTGGGAGCGTTGGAGCGCCAGAATTTTAGCGCCAAAACTCAAGCGCACAGAGGCGATCTGACTAGGCTGAAGGGAGGAGGGGGCGATCGCTCTCCCAACCCGGGTGAATCGTCGCAAGATGCAGCGGGGCTGTGCAATCAAGGGATGAATGACATGCACATTCCACACGGTTAGCTCGAGGAGAATCTGAGGACGAAGTTTACGAAGTGTACTCCGTACTCCGTAGGAAGACTCGCTCTCGGTCTTTCTTCTTTGGTCCCTCCTTTTGACACACATTCCGCCCTTGATTGTCCGCGTGGTTGAATCCGGCTCGGGGCGAAAAGTGGAGTTCCTTACTACCTAGGTAGGTATGTCTCTGAGGTTTTTGTTTAATTTTGATTTTTTAAATTTGATTTCATTTTTCATTTGATTTTCGCGTGCGCTGGGCTTGCATGTACCTCGTTTTTTATTTCTTTTTCATTTGGCAACGAGGGACCTGCTGCATATAACCTTGTCATCCCCGATTCGATCAGTCGCTTTTTCTTCTCTCTTTCTGCCAGATGCTTTCCCATGTCACACACTCGTTCTTTATGATCCTAATCCTGATAGTTCTGATCCTCCTGTTTCAGTGTGATCTTCCCGATCTATAGACTCCCCCATATATCCACCTCCACCTCCACATCCGAACCAACGATCCACTTCTCTATACTTCGATCTACTAGTATTAGTACCTACTGCTAGGTACCTAGTGGTCTCTACTAAACCGGCGGTGGGATCTCGACCCAATCACATCATCTACATGGAGGTTCGTGTTAACCTGAAGATCCTCCTCTCACCCCCACCTTTTCTTCTCCATCTTACCCATCTTACCCATCTTACATTGGAAAAGGTTCACGCTATTAACACCGCTCCCTTCAGGACTCTCAAATGACCTGGCAGGACTCAGGCGATGTCCTTCAGGGCATCATGGTCGGCTCAGACACTCACCCACCAACCCTAACCATGGGCGATTCAGCCTCAAACCCACTACTCGACCTCCACCTAAACACAGACCTCTCTTCTCTTGAGGCTCACCCTCAAACTCACCACTTCCTGGGCCAGTGGTCCTCCTCATCCACAGAACAAAACTTCTACTACCCCCATCACTACCCCTCCCGACTCAACGGCGCCCAAGATGCCTGGAATCCACTCCAAGTCACCGGCGTTCCAGCGTCCGGGATGTCTCATCTCAACGTCTCACCGGGGGGCGATGACTATGCCTTCCACAAACCCCACTACCGCACCCCGTCCGACAGCGGGAGTCAGTATATGGGCAGTTTGATCTCGGGGGACTCTGGGTATGCTAGTAACAATGTCGCTTCTTCTTATGGCATGGACTCGAGTCCACATATGAGTGCGAAGGAACATGGGTTTAAGTTTGGTGAGGCTCTTGCCATGTATGATCAGCAACAGCCTGGGATGGGAGTCGGAAATATGTTTATGAAGGATGATCTTTCTTCGCTATCGCTTGAATCGGTTAAGTGTGACCATCCTGCTTGCGAGTGGATTGGAAAATGTCCTTCTGATAAGAGGTGAGTCTTTGAAAGCCTTCCTCAGGGTCGGAAAAGTGCCAGTGCTAACACCTGAGCAGGAAACACGAAGCACGCCACCGGAAGTCCTTCAAATGCGACGAGCCTAACTGTCCCCGGAAAGAGGGCTTCGGCACCATCAACGACCTCGCCCGCCACAAGAAATGCGTTCATAATAAAGAACCCGAGCGAGGTCCCAAGATGATGTATCTCTGCTTCGGAAAGAACTGCCCCCGCCCCAACAAGCGCTGGCCTCGTCTGGATAACTTCAAGCAACATCTGAGCCGCATGCACCACGAAGAAGACGCCGATGCACTACTCAAGCAGTCTATGGATTGGTACGAGAGTGTGACAGGTCATCGCGGACAGAAGATCGAAGACACCACACAGGATGATTCCTTGCTGAGACATCCCGCAAGATATGATGTCCACGCATTCCGGTGATCTGGATGCCGATGGGGATATGGGCGAGTCGTATTGCAGTTATGAAGCCGTAGATTTCTCATCTCGAGATCCGACGCCGAAACCGATCCCGTTCCAGACCTCCCACGAAGTCTCTCCCCAACAACAGTTCTTGTCCCCGCCACACATCGACAACCGCATCGAGCGCACCGCCAACCCAGAAACATTCGTCTCCGACGCCGCAGAAAACCTAATCACCGCCATGACCAAGAAAATCAACAATCGCCGCCAACAAAGCACCAGCGACGAAGGCATCGATCTCTCTGACAACCCCAACCTCTCCCCACCCCAACGCCAAATGCTCCAGAAAGTCCTCCTCGCAGCCCTCGACCGATTATCAGACGACTCAGTCCCACCCACCCAAATCCCCACCCCCGCCCCAGCCCCAGTCCCCTCCGAACTAAAACAAGACGGCTTCCAATGCGATATCTGCCCAAAACGAACCCGCCTCCGCTGCGAAATGAAGTAAGTACCCTAACCCCGACACCAACCCATTTTCCACGCCCCATCTGACATCAAACCAGAAAGCACCAAAAACGCCACGAAAGACCCTACGGTTGCACATTCCCCCACTGCGCAAAGTCCTTCGGCAGCAAAGCAGACTGGAAACGCCACGAGAGTTCCCAACACCTACACATCGCCAGCTGGCTATGTTCACACGAAGACGACGAAAGCTGCGGCCGGATCTTCTACCGCGAGGAAACTTACATCCAACACCTGACCCAGACGCACCGCACGCCTAAGACGAGGTTAAAGCCCGTCTTGCAGTCCACTCGGCTTGATTTGGCGGATCGGTCGCGGTTCTGGTGTGGGCTTTGCGTGAAGGAGGTACCGTTGATGGGTGGGGTTGTGGGGGCTGCGGCGTTGGATGAGAGGTTTAATCATATTGATGTTGAGCATTTTAAGAAGGGGGAGCGAGGGGGGGGATTGGCGGTTTCCGACTCTAGGTTTGACGGCCTGTGGGCGGGGTGATGATGAGGATGATGATGGGGAGGGGAGGAGGAAGAGGAGGTGTCTATAATGATAAGTTTGGGGTAGATTGCGGATGGCACTTATGAATATTCTGTATAATGTTATACCATTTTTTGACGATCGACATGTTCCATGGAGAGGAGTTAGAGATATTGTTCTCAAGGGACGAAAAGTGAGGCAATAGACTGTGTAATTCCTAGACCTATGAATTACTCTATCTGGTTGGCTCATCATTACCCTGTCTTGACACCTCCACCTTTAAACTTAATGCTGCCTGTGATATTTCACCGATCGTGATTGCCTATTTTACCTGCCTACCTTGGATATTTCTTTCTCACTTCTCACCCTACCATCTCATCTCATCCACTACATCTCATCTCATCCACTATGGACTTCCTTCATTCCATCTCGAATGTCCCTCCTTCATCATCTTCTGAGCTCTCGTCCGTTGAATCCGAATCTACGGATACTCTTGTGCAACTGACGAAAGAAACAAAGCAACAGCCGTTCACCACCAATAGGAGCTTACAAAAGTCTTTGGAACACCTTCAACAAGCGCTTCAGCAAGACCAAACTTCGGATCAGTACCTCGTTTTCACATCTGTCCCCCTCAAGCAACATTCTAAACTGAGTGATGATCGGTCGCAAACAAGCAAATACAGTCGATTATCGTACAATGTAGAAACACAAATCTTGATTGCCAAAGTCATGGCTAATCCCACACACGAACTTGCAATAAGATCATTTGATTTACTGATCTCTCTCGAACTACGTGCAATGAACGTCCATCGTGAAGTAAAGCCTTTCGGGTCGACTACAGTTGAGATTGGAAATTGGAAAAAGGAGGCTGATTGCTGCTGGGCTCCAGCTTTGACAAATACAAGATTAAGTCTTGTGGTGGAAGTCGGACTGTCGGAGTCTGCGCGACGACTTGCTCTTAATGCGCGAGGCTGGCTTGAGACCTATTCCTCATCTGTGAAACTTGTGATTACGATCGGTATCAAACGCGAAACCCCTGAGATCATCTTTCACCGATGGGAACTTGTTTCCCGAGGATATGGCGTCCAAACAAGATCATCCCCTCTTCCAGCATATCGCACTGCATTCCTTAAATTATCTCGAACGAACAATACAACGATTGTTACCGGAGAGTCCTACCTGAATGGCACAATTACGGCGACTACACAGCTGGATCTATCCTTCAACAAGGTTGTTGGCCGTCCTCCTCATCAGCCCTTGGAGAGAGACTTGGTGATATCCGAGCAAGAGCTGAGAATTTTTGCCGAGGATATCTGGGGTGAGCAGAATTTCCTATAAGTCGTCTCTCACCGTCCGAAGTCACGGGTGGAAAGGGAGCCGTTTGTTTCTGGCGCCAGGGGCTGTCATTTTCGGCGTCTATTTCACAGGTCCTCATATTCTATGTGTAAACAAAAGACACACGCCAGCTCGTTGCACTTCGGGTTCAGCTCGACCGAGCTGATTCACAATGGTCGGCACTTTGCGGCTGGCAATGATCCATTTCACAGAAGGCGAGGCTGATACATTTTGCGTGATAAATGATAACAGCTAATTTTGATTCTTTTCGAGTTAATCGAGTGCATCAATAACTATATATGCCCTTCCGATATCGGGATCGCGCAGCATGCGAGCAGCCGCTTCTGACATTGCATAAAAGGAGCTCCCATCTTCAAACATACTCTTGTGACGATCATATATCTCACGAAGGTGGGCTATCAAGGGAGGCCTTTTCCGAATGAGTCGGTAGATAAGACCTCGTAGGATAGCTGTGGAGATATTAATGAGGGCGTTCGTACCCTAACAAAAGAAATAGGCAAGCTTAGCCTCCGGGGCTGAATGCTCTAGCTCTCCAATGATGCCTATCAATAGCATCGTTTTGCCGTGGCCAGGACAACCTTTTATCCAAAGGAGTTGTTTTCCGGTATCATTTTGCAATTGAACAAAGCTTGGGTGACGCAGTATCCATTCGTATGAGCCTTTCAAAAGCCCACCTTTCACATGTTCGATATTCTTCATGTGGTCGTGGGTGTCGGAAACCACGGGGTGCGAAGATAAAAGTACCGAGAGGCATTCATTGTCACCGGCATCTAAAAATCGATTTGCTTGTTGTCAGTTTCCACAGCTATTTATAGTTCTCTTTTGGTGGGTTTAGAAATTTAGAGTACCTGGAGAAAGACCGGTCGATGAATTGTTGATAGTGCCATTATTAGTCACGACTTGGTACCCGGAGTTTGTCACCGGATGATACACCGGCAGACATTATGGCACATCAAATACCTCAAATCAACATTTTCTATCTCCTGAAGGGTATAACGCAAAAGATGAAGCCACCTGGGCAGGCGCTTCAGTGGGTGAGGGGCAACCATCAGCCTCACTAACACATGACTTGACGGCGCTATGAACTGCAGTATGATTTGCTGTCTGTTACCTTCCAAGGTTCCTGCTCGAGTGCTTTCAAGCATGATGGAGAGCCTAGGTATTTTATATCCCATCATACTGTCGGACCTCACTATGATAATGTGAATGCTGATTGGGAGAGTCGGGTTCCGACAACTTTGACAGTCATCATTACGAAAAATGAGCTTTTGTTTGGAGCCTTTGGTACATTATGACGAGGAAATGGAAAATCAAGATCCGGATGTAAATAAAATAATATACAGTTGATATATCAGGCTGTCGCTGACTTTTATTTCTGTGCGGCCGCCAGCTCGCGAGCCTTCTTCTCCAGCCCAGCCATTTCTTCTAGGAAGCATTAGCATCGAATCTCGGGCATACTGGGCTCAGATACTGTAGCTACCGTTCTTTTCCAGCTTCGACTCATCCATCTCCAGCTTCAGCCAGCTCCAGTAGATAATCTGGTATGTGAGCACTGCCCCAAGGAAGACCTTGCCGAAGGGGCCCATGAAGGTCTTATATTTTGACATCTGGCCACTTGTCAGTCCATCGCTATACTAAAATTATGTCTCCGTATATTGCGATAGACATTCGAAGAAGCTTGGAAGGTCCGTCTGAAGACAGATACTTACCGATTCCCGATAGGCACTAGGCTTTTCGGCGTTGCGCAGAAACGGCGTTGAAGAGAGGAAGCGCTTGGTTGGCACACGGGTGGCTAGCCCGAGCCCGAGGCGGGAGGTGGGAGCCAATCTTTGGGCTGATTGTCGGACAAGCATCTTCTGACGTATGATGTATTATGGATTGTCTAGAACTTGAAGTGTTGCGTTGCCGGCCGGGGGGTTGAGGAGCGCGGATGTGACGAATGGGGTTTAGCGTGGATTCCTGTGTCGGACACGCGTGGTCTTGGCACCGAGTTGACAGTGAAGTAATGGAATTGTATTTTGAATAAATCAGGACTGGAATTGTTCCGACGAGAAGACTCGGATAGTATGCTATATATAGGCACTCATGTTACTAGCATCCGATGCCCGGGCATTTATGGCGAAGTGGTGCGAGCCGTGTTTTCGTTTGCTGGTAGTGTAGGTCACATGACCCCGTTCTCTGGCGATCTCAGTACTGCTGTGTGTGGGCGGAGGCCCCAGGGGAGAACGGGGCCTGCGTGCAGCATGTGACCGCTACCTACCAATGATGGAGCCTTAAATCATATCCACTTGTCACGCGCCAATCAAATTATCCAGCTGCCCTGAGGTATAATCTAACCTTTCAAGATTCAAGATCTTATTCCAAGGTTATTAACGCGTGCTAATCTTCGAGTTCTTATTATTGACGTGTCTTTATTAACGCGTCTTTATTCATACGTCTTTATTGACGTGCTTTACTGATAGGTTAAATACCTAGATAATATAGTGATTAGGGTGTATTTTTATGTAGATCCTCTATTCTTTAAGATATAGTGAAGATAGTACAGTATTTATACTAAGATACTGTCTACGTTTAGAAATTGGTTTAGTATACTCTATTAATATAAATCCTGTATTTAGACTATATTCTAGAACTAGTGGTTCCTGGGAAGGTACGACCCTCACTGCCGACAATCAATATCTCGTTCTAGCATCTTTGTTCTGAGTCGCCTCCTATCTCCCAACCATTGGTAAGTTGCCTGGCGGAGCCTACTACGGCCGTTCAAGTGATGTATCGTGCACGTCTGTTGACTCCTTTTGCAGCTAACTCTAACGATCCATCAACCAAGCGCAGTCGTTCCGAGGAATATCGGAAGGTCATCATCCCCGGCCATCGTGTTGCGAAGCATCACGCCCGTACGGAGAATCCTCCCCTCGAGCCATCATTCAAACACGATCCACCAAATGATGTTGCGCCCATTTTCAACCAATGATCCCGCGTTCCCACATAATTGAACATACCTCCAATGGCGAAGCAGCGTCCTCAGGGTACTTCTAGCGGGTTACTTATCATCAACCCGTTTGAACGTTCACCGACATGTCTCCTAGAGTTTAAAGGACTTGATGGCGACAATAATTCTGACCTAAGCCTCTTTCGAACCGATCTTGAGCGTGCTCTGGCTAGGATAGATCCTATTCGTGGCGTGAACTGGCGACGCAGTCCCAAGAATTGCATTTCGTCTACGCAGCTTCGTGCTACACATGTTCAGCGCTTTGGACATGAGCTTTCTCTCCGTGGTTTTACTGTAAGAGGTGTGCAAACAATGACGGACCCGTTGCATCCTGCCCCGTCACGGTCATGGACATGAAACCGGTGTTCGGTGGTGCTTGTGCAGACTGCGCGTTCGGTGGCGGGCAGTCTCGATGCTCCTTTCGCCTCGATAAGGATGGGCTTCCGCAGTATCTGTTCTATATACTCCGGACAGATAATGCTGAATATGGCGATACGAAAGAGTCCAAGAAAGAGAGAACCGCTCCGCCTTCTGTTCAAGTCCATGCCGCTCCAGTCCGTAATGCTCGAGTCCATACTGCTCGGGTTCCTACGGATCAATCCATATCGCTTCGACCATGTCCACTAGCCCAATTGTCTTCTCTTTGCCTGCCCGTGCTATCTCGGCTGCGCCTGTCTCTTCACGTTTGTCCAGTATGAGAAGCTCCGCTTCAGTTGCAAGCTACTCCACCTCCGCAATGGACGACCCTTGCTGCAAAGTTACTGGGCTTGGGCACGCCAACTGGAACTGCATCCGTGCGGTACATAATCGTCTTAGTGATGATATCGAAACATTGCCTGTGACCGTGATCGCATTGGTGATCTCCTAGAGAGACATGATCAGCTAAGCCTTTTCGACTAGTGAGTGCTTTCGGTTTTTTCCATCAGATTGAAGGAGTTTGGCGTTTGTCTTTTGATCCTGTGGGATCTTAACAATGTGTAACGTGATCGGTATGGATGGTAAGCAGCTTAGAAGAAAGTCATACCGTGACTGTACCTAGGTAATAATAGCCAGTGGCTACCAGCTTCAAGTTGACAGTGGTGAACTATCCTTGTTGGAGCATATGCAGCCTCAGGCATCTCAAGATCGACCTATGTATACTTCAGCCTCCATCCACCGTAGCAGTCCTTGTCATGATCAATACTCCAAGGCTAGTATTAGACTATTGTTAGTAGGTAGTATTGCCCAGGTGGAGGATTGTTCACAACCACGAACTTCTTGAAGTTTCAACTCAGGCTTCAACTTCCAACCTTGGAAGGTTCCAAGGTTCCAAAGTTGGAACCCCGGGGCCGTGGATGCCCATTATTACCCGTCTAGTACTAATTACTATATATCTGCAATGGGTAGGCACCTAGGTATTAGTTCCAAGATTTTACTACAAGGGCTGGCAAGAATTCGAAGATATTTCAATCAATTAATGTCACAAAGCATTTAAACATCACCAGGGGATTTTAAAGCTCAAATACTTCCAAGGTTCATTATCCATGGATTGAGTATAGTACTATCCACAGGCCCTGGCCTCCTATCCGCTTCCTTTTGCGCACCAGCCACTCGATCTATAGATGAGTCAGCAGTCACATGATATCAGGTCCGGTTGAATTCTGGCGGGCAGGCATAGGAAGGAGCCACAACCCAAATGTTAGAAAGCGCCCAGCAGTGCTTCTTCCAAGTCCCTAACTGTCCTCTGACACCTCCTTTCACCGTCATGATCCCCCGACCTCCCCATCACGCCTGGAGTCCGAAACACCGCAATCGGGGCTCTGTTACATTGGATATGATTATTTTAGGTGAATGAAGAGCTTAGATAAGCTCGCCATCCATCATTTATGGGGGTCGAACTTGGACGTGGGCCAACAGGGTGAAGCCAAACGTATTCGACTGAGGATGGCCGAATGGTCCGTGCAGGATGACTAACCCACTAGCCACAGGGTGTTGTGTGGCTGGTGGTCCACTCAGCCCGAGCGCGAGTCCTTTCCGCCCTGGGTCATTCACTGCTCGTGTTGATCGAGACAGATGGGCTGTATTTCTAACTACTCTGCAATCCGTCACATCTTACATTGCGTTGCTGTTCCAGAGGGCTCTGTTTGTCTAGATCCCTCTACTCTGGACGCGTCAAATCCGAGTCCGTGAGACCTCCACCGATTGTTACCGGTTGCGCCTCAACCCATCCCTCCTGTTGCCAACTTCAACCCGTCGATCAACAATTGTCCTGTGGGTCATCGATTGCGACCGAGAGAAACATTCTCTGTGGGCTGCGCGCCTCCTACCCCAGTCTTTCTTTCATTGCCGCACCCGATCTGTCTTATCATTTGTAAGCTTCCCCATCGTGTCCTCGCTATCGCGATGCACCCAACTATCGAGGTGATCATCGAATCTCAGTCCATTTCAACCGATTTATCGCCTACTTAGTCTCGTTTCGCGATTCTTTTGAGCCCTGGCTGACTTAAGAGCTCCACTAGTGAATCTCTCCCCCCTCTGTCTCGCTCGCCCACCATGCGCGGCGGCAAGCGCACCCTCGAGGAGCTCGCCAACAAATCCGATTCGAACGACGAAGACTACAGCGATTCTCCCGCCCCACGAAGATCGAAGTCAAGCCCCCGAAAGAAACCCGGACACGGACACGCCAAGAAGAGGCGACGTCGTGATTCGAACAATGACATTGTATCTGATGGCCTCGATCTGAGCGATGAGGATTTATCCTTCGATGAATCAGAACCGGAATCAGACGACCCAAATGTCCCACGCAATGCACGTGGCACTGCGCGTCGAAGAACAACTCAATCTCGACCGATGTATGAAGAACCTTCCGACGAGGAGTCATCAGTACGAGACGAGGATCCCGACGCAGATGCCGACGGAGAAGCTGAAGACGATATCGTTGGTTCTTTGCCCAAGAAAAGTACTATCCTGAAGCTCAAGGTACCACCTGAAGCCCTGCAACCAACTCGCAGAACCACTCGCCGCACCCGCGGCGCCTCAGAGGACATTTACGCACTGACAAATTCTGGACGCCATATGGAGACCGTTGAACGTGGCACTATCAGCCCAGAAGCTGAAGGTTTACGCCGAAACTCACGGGGCCGCCGATCATCAAAGCAACCTGTCATGAGTGAAGTTATGGAGACAACCCTGGAAGTCATGGAAAGTGCGCCTCAGAGCTTTGCCGAAGGAGATACGCCAGCTATCCCCGACGCTGAGGATAATAATGGTGATGTTGACATGGCCAATGATGATGGGATTGTCCCAGAGTCCGAAAATGGCGACGCGAAGGTCGAAAATGGTGACGACGACGACGACGAAGATGATGAAGGACCTATTACTCGGCGACGAAGCCGGCCGAATCGGGACCAAGTAGATGATGAAGAGGAGCATGAGCCTGAAACTGAAGAACCTGAACGCCGTCGATCTGGCCGCAAGAAGCCATCCTCACAAAGGAAGAACGACGAGAGCGACTTTGAACCAGAGGAAGAAGCTTCCAACGACGAGTCTATAGATTCACATTCTGCCAAATCCTCGCCTCGAAAACAAAGCCAGGCTCGCGATGAAGAAGAAGACAGCGCCACTGGTCGGCGTGCCGGTTTGCGCAAACGACCTTCACGCGCCCAGTCCGAAGTCGCAGAGGAACTTGCCGAAGAACTGCAAGACCTGCGAGGCGGTCGCCCTCGGCGTCGTATGGCGCAAGAGATAGTTTATGAGAAGCCTCGTCGGAGCCGCAAGGATGTTGATTATCGCATCATTCGTCCTGATTTGGTCTTGGCAGCTGATGATGCCGATAACGATTTAGTAACCGAGTCTCCATCTCGCCGTGGGCGTGGTGGCGGCGGTGGAGGTTGGCAACGAAGTTTGTTTCCAACATATGGTCCTTTTGGTGGAGGTGGTCCCGCAGCTATTCTTGGCCCTCCTGGCGCCCCTGCTGCGACTGGAGGCGTGGAAACCGACAGTAGTGATGACGAAGTTCCTCAGCCTCAACATCCTAAGGGTCATGGCCTTGCTACCGGTGGCCTTGTACCCCAAGCTCATTCAGGCGACCCGGCCCAGAATACCTCTGGCACGCCAGCCAACTTCGGCAAGGTCAAGGACAAGCAAGCATTGGCTGATGCTGATCCGCTTGGTGTGGATATGAACGTCAACTTCGACAGCGTGGGTGGCCTTCAGGGACACATTGATCAACTCAAGGAGATGGTCTCGCTTCCGTTGCTATACCCGGAAATCTTCCAAAGGTTCCATATCACACCCCCACGTGGTGTGTTATTCCATGGTCCTCCTGGTACCGGTAAGACGCTTTTGGCTCGGGCATTGGCAAATAGTGTCAGTTCTGAAGGCCGTAAGGTCACCTTCTATATGAGGAAGGGCGCGGATGCTTTGAGCAAATGGGTCGGTGAAGCTGAGCGTCAGCTCCGACTACTTTTCGAAGAAGCCCGCAAAACGCAGCCCAGTATTATCTTTTTTGATGAAATTGATGGTAAGAAGTTCGCCCCATCGTTGAAAGCTTTGTTGCTAATTCTTTCCCCTTAGGTCTGGCGCCCGTTCGTTCCAGTAAACAGGAACAAATTCATGCATCGATTGTTTCCACTCTCCTGGCATTGATGGATGGTATGGATGGACGTGGTCAAGTCATAGTGATTGGCGCAACCAACCGACCTGACTCCGTTGACCCTGCCCTTCGTCGCCCTGGTCGCTTCGACCGCGAGTTTTATTTCCCGCTCCCCAATATTGAAGGTCGACGTGCAATCTTGGATATCCACACCAAGGGTTGGGACCCCGCCCTCCCTATCCATATCAAAGACGAGCTAGCCAAAATCACCAAGGGCTACGGTGGTGCCGACTTGCGAGCTCTCTGTACCGAAGCCGCCCTCAATGCTGTTCAACGACAGTATCCCCAGATTTATAAGTCAGACAAAAAGCTTATCATTGATCCTAAAAAAATCGATGTTATCCCCAAGGATTTCATGCTGGCAGTCAAGAAGATGGTCCCGTCCTCTGAAAGAACAACTTCCTCTGGCGCAACCGCATTGCCTCAGAAGGTCGAGCCCCTACTGCGCCAGGCGCTAGCTGATATCGAGGCTTCTCTCGCTGAGATTTTACCCCAGCGAAAGAGACTCACTGCCCTGCAGGAAGCTCAGTATGAGGAACCCGCAGATGGAAATGGATTCCGACGAGAACAAATCATGCAGGACTTCGATCGTTCGCGAATCTTCAAGCCGCGCTTGCTTCTTCGTGGCTCTCGGGGAATGGGGCAGAAATATCTCGCAGCGGCCCTCTTGCATCATTTTGAAGGTCTCCACGTTCAAGCATTCGATCTTCAAACACTTCTCAGTGACTCTACAAGGTCGCCAGAGGCGACTGTAATCCAACTGTTTTCCGAAGTGAAAAGAAACAAGCCGAGTGTAATTTACATCCCGAACCTTCACTCTTGGTCAGAAACGGTTGGCCATACTGTAATATCGACGTTCTTGGACTCGCTTGACTCAATACCGCCCACTGATCAAGTTCTACTGCTTGCTGTTCTTGAATCAGGCGAAAGGGAAACAGATCCCGCTTTACTCAAGGAACTGTTCGGTCTCTCTAAGATGAACACGTTCGACATTGAAGCCCCTGGCAACAAAGCACGACACGAATTCTTTGATAAATTGATCGAATACGTTCAAACGGCTCCAGCCGATTTCCCCGACCCCGAAAAGCGCAAAATGCGGCAACTCGAGGAGCTCGAAGTTGCACCTCCGCCACCTCCCACACCTGAATCGCAAATGACAAAGGAGCAGGTTAAGGCCCAGAAAAAGAAGGATCGACAGACCCTCAATCTCTTAAAGATCCGGATTCAGCCTATCATGGATCAGATTAAGAAATATAAGCGTTTCCGGGCCGGGGTGATCGATGAAGCACAAATCCGATACCTGTGGGAAGAGGCCGATCCGAACATTGTCACCAGCGATGTTCCTGTCGAAGATCCGTATACATACAGACCTTTCGAGAAGGATTACGATAAACACGGCGTCCCTGGTCTTCGCGAGACTGTGTCAGGGAAATTTTTCTACAACATGGAGATCGTAACAATTGAGAAGCGCTTGTCCAATGGTTACTATAAACGCCCATCTGACTTTTTGGCGGACATCAAGCGAATTGCTAAGGATGCACGCCAATTGGGCGACCAAGAACGGCTGTTGCGTGCGACTGAACTTTTGTCTAACGTCGAAGTTGACATTTCCACTATCGAGTCAGCCGAGCCGGCGCTTCTTGCAGAATGCGAGAATGTCTATCTACGCGAAACGGCTCGTGAAAAGGAGGCAATCGAGCGTGCAAAACTCGCTGCTGAAGAAGCGGAGAAGACAGCTTCACGACCTGTCACTGCCAATGGCCTCCTTGGCAATGTTGAATCAAGGGCTTTCTCTGCTCATGATTCACGCCCAGTGACACCCACCAAGCTGTCAAATGTGAGCTTTGTCAACGGAGACCACAATGGCGGTGGCTCGGATTTGAACGACTCTGGCTCTCATGTTCAGAGCAATGGCTCCCATGGCGATGGCGACGGTGATGTTTTCATGACCAACTCTGAGGATCACTCTGGCGATCACTCTGGCAGCAAGGATACCCAACACAGCTCATTCGGACCCTCTGCACAGCCGAAGCCAGCATACTCGCACACTGCGCCTTCTCAGCAGCTTCGGCGAGAGTCTGGTCTCTCCAGCTTCTCACAAAAGGGACCCATGACTCCCATGGCCCCTGGGTCTCAACCAGCTGACTACACAAACGAAGCGTCTACTACCCAGACAACCTCTGACAAGAAGTCTTCCGAGCAATTGTCCAACCAACAAAACCAAACAGAGAGCCCCCAGGTCTCACGGCATGAATACCCCGACCTGACGCCCTATCCCGATCGCGTCTCACAGGAGGAACATCTGCCTGATACTCAGCAAGGAGGTAGTAGCCAGCCTTCGCCGCTACCACGGGACTCGCAAGCTTTGACCCAGCCAGACGAGCACAGCGGCTTGAATGGCAGCCATTCGCAGTCGCAGCCGAAGCCACAGCCTCCTCTTTTCGACTCCTCCAAGCCCACAGCGAATGCGTCCGCCAATCTGCAATTGTTGCTGAATAGTGAACCGACACCCGAGCTTGTTATTGACCACGAGTATGTTATGCATCTGCACACCGAGTTAACTCAGCAAACAAGCGGCTGCTCTGTGGCACAGCTCGAGCAGGTTAATGCTCGCTTGATGGACTACATCTGGCGCATGCGTGGCGAGTGGAACCGGACAAATGTGGCCAAGGGTATCACTGAAACGTTCAATGCGACCTTGGAGGATATGCAGTCCATGCAGGAGGTCGGGCCGATCAGCCATAATACCAAGCAGCAGATGGCCAACCAGAATTACTAAGTGTTGCTGTCATGGATATTAAGGCTGTTTTACAACCATCTTCGCTTTCTTTTCCCCTTGTTAATACATTTGTTCTTTCCAACCCTACTGTTATGTCTAGGCCCGGCGTTTCATTCTGTCATGAATAATTGTTTACCATTATACCGAATATTTCGTCTCTCTTTCCTTCATTTTCTTTACTTTTTTTCGAGGCGAGTGTGAGTGTGAGAGTGGGCATAAGCGAAACGGGACAGTTATGGATTGTCCCAAATACCTACATCTAGAGAGGAATCGAAACACAATCTGAATATTATTAAGCTACAGTAAATTAGACTCCATAAATTCAAAGAAAGGTTCAAAGTGTTTCCATAATCCGCTTGTTGAGAGGTCTTTGTGCTGACCTCGAATCTTATACTTCGTGGACATGTGACGTTCGACCCACTAAACACCTGGCCTTTGCGGTCCTGCACCTTGTTTCCGAGACCCTTCTTTCAACAATTCCACCACCAACCTCGAGTTCCCTCCGAAATTCTCTCCTGAGATCATGACCGGAGCTTAAGTCATTGGAACCATTCTTTCGATCCCCGGCGCCCCCTCTACCATAAGATACACACTCTCTTCCGCACATCCACCACGCCCGCACCGCAAACATGGTGAACTGGCTCAGTCTCGCCGTGCCGTTGGCCTACTTGGGTGTACTCATTGGCTCTCTCGCAACATTCTCGTCTCTATATCGAAAGCGCAAGGCCCGTACGTCTCTCTCGTTCGGTGGATTGACCACCTCTGCCCCAATTCCCCGAGGGCTTCTTTACCCTTTGCCCCTCGCACTATGTGGGAATCAAACCAAGCGCCGAGCTAACAACACCATTTCCCTGCTTTAGAAAAAGCTATGTCCCTGGAACCATGGTTCCCAGCACACCTTCAACGTGATATTTACTTCTCACTCCTCCACCTCGACCCGTCTTCCCAATCCGAGAAAAAGACTCCCAATGTCCCTGAGTCTGTTCAGAAGGCTGCGCTCCTGCGCCGCGCGACAGAGGATATCCGCCGCGTCATGACTCTGCGTAACCAGAAGCAGGCTCTCTCTACGCTTCTCCAGCGCGGTAGTGTCGGCGATGACCTGTGGCAGCGATTTATGCGGGCCGAGAAGGAGATGGAGGAGGAGGTGCGCGATGTTGTCTCTGAGGTATGTCTCAACCCGCCATGAGTCTTGGTTTGGAAATTGCTCTGCAGAGCTAGCTCTTTACCTTGCGCTCTTCTACGAAGTATGTTCATGTCTAACTTTTTTTTCTTTCCCAGGCAAATGCCTACACTCCCAACTGGGGCCAGACAATCTTCCAATCCGCCAACGAAATGATGAACAACGAAATCTACCGCCAAAGAATCAAGGAGCACGAGGAAAAGCTCGAGGAGGAGCGCGTGTGGTGGGAGAACAAGCGCACCAGCGTGAAGGAGAGCTTCATGAAGGAGCTGAACGAGGATGAGACTCCGTCGCCACAGGCCCAGACCCCCGCCGCTAAGACTTCTGAGACCGCGACGCCCGTAAAAGCGGCTCCAACTTCGGTACAGGGTAGTGATGATGATGCGGTGTTGGTTGAGGCGGATCAATCGAGTAACCAGGCTTCGCCGAGTGGAAAGAAGAAGAAGGGCAAGGGCAAGAAATAATGGCGCACGAGCTTGTACTATATTTCTTTCTCTCGTCTTTAATCCAATCGTCATTTCATATAGAATTACCACCTGGGGATTGTTTGGGATTCCAATATCTTCTTAGACTGGGGTTGTATCCTCTGGCTTTTAGTAGGATGTGATTGTCAATCAGTAGTAGGAGTTATGTTAACAGATTTCAGGAAACAGGGGTTTATGTGTTGATTCAAAATATCGTGATTGAGCGTAAGTGTAGAGAGGGAAGTGTACATTCCGATTCAAAATCTAACAAGAAGTAATATACAGGCCAATTTCTATACAAGGCTTTAGAAAAAAAATAAGAAACGCCAGCCCATGCAGTGAGTAAACTTCCAGATAAAAAAACAAGCCAACCCTCAGCAATTTTAAAGCAGTTTGCTGTCATTCACCCCTAGAGGTGGACCGAGGTCGATTTTTCCAACTTGCATCTCAGCTGCAGCAGCATCCAGCTTTTCTTCCACTCGAGCGGGATCAAGACTCTCTGCGCGACTCAGGACAATGCGCAGCAGGTTGGCCATGATCTCAAGCTGATACTGTTGCTTTTCGTGGGGATCAAGCTGATCAACGCTTAATCCTTGTGTACGCAAAGCCATGGATTTGCGCTCGCCAAGCATCTCGAGTAGGCGGGTGACTTGTGTGATGTTCTCTTTGCTTCGGGGCGTCGAGGACAACCGGCGAAGGCGACGTTTCGGAGTGTCAGTTGGAACGCTTGCTAAGCGGGCCACCTGCAATACTATCATGCGGGCAGTGGCATCATCTGGTGTATAGCCGAACATTGTCCGCATAGAATGCAGGGCAACGAGTGTACCGGGAACATCCTTTGACAGACAGAAGCAACGCACGATCTGGTCATACAGCTCCTTCGAGAATTGCGACTGTGTCTCTTGTCGGGCACGCGAAGGAAGCTTTGAATACCACGTGATCATGCTGGCATATAGCTCACGAGCAGATGGGAAGCCGGCATCAAACGCAGTGCGCCCGCGATCGTATTGAATCTTCGCGCAATCCCATAGACAAGCGTATGTCTCGAGATCGGGCCGGACGCTGACAGACATCCTTTGAAACTTTGACCACAGAGATCTGATGTCTTGTTTCCGGAGATCCGCATAGAGAAGATGGTTCATGAAGTAGGCATTTGGTTGAATTTGTGCATCTCCAAGGCATTTGACCAGATATTTCACCATATCGTCATCGCCGCGACGAGTATAGTGAAGAAGCAGAATGGAAAAGGTCTCGATACCGGCAGAGGGTACTTCACGCATCAGGAATTTGGGTATCCGGCTGGGATCGGTCATCGTTTGGTTCATTTCAAGCTGAGGGGCTGGTTTAGCTGGCTGGAATCGCTCCCAAACGCCATCGATTCGGTGTTGAATCATGGCCCATCCGAGTCGCTCAGCTTTGTCTCGTGAGGCAGCGTTGCCCTCGCGGAGCCAACCGGCCATTATTCCATTTAGGTGCTTGTTATCCGGCCTGATTCCACGCTCGTACATGAGCTCGATTACCAGGGCAGCAGAGTCAACTTGGCCCATTCCAATGAGCTTTTTCATCCAGCTTGCGTAAAAGAATCGATTTTGGAATCGACGGGGTAAAAGTGTGAGTGCCGAAAGAGAGACCTTGTTGACTGCTTTCTCGTCGATGCTTGAAGCATGGAGATTTCCAGCCAGGCCGAGAGCTGCTTTGTAAAGAGCCGTGGAATCGTTGGCTGGATCTTGTCCAGTCACCATCATGTCCTTGAAAATTGCGACTGCAGTGTCCAATCGGCCGGCTGTAAGAAGACTGATACTGACTCTATCGTAGTCTTCCATGGTCATGTCTGGGCCCAAGAACGTTTTCAGCTGTAGATACAAAGCCCATGCTTTGACTTCGGCTTCTGCCCCTGGGAACCTTCCCCAGGCAGTAATGACTGGTATCAATACTCGTGGTTGGCGGGTGTTGTCATTCGAAAGAAAAGCCAATGCGATATCCTGGGCTCGTTGAGGGTTATTTTCAGCCGCGAATAACCGTACGCCAAGCATCCAGTATTCTTCTAGGTCTTCCTTTGTTTGAGAAAGCTTGGTTTGATACGCCTCCCATTTTTCCAGTGCTTTCCCAGGATCGCCACTTTCATTAAGAACCTTGATATAAGAGAGGATTTGGGGCGTGGAGAGGGGTTTGTCGATAGCGGTTCTGTCTTGAAGGAGGGTTTGCAGGTGTGTTGATCGCGCGGAATTGGCTGAATCATCTGTAGCTTGGGATTCCCATACGATATCCATAGCTTCTCCTGGAAGTGCATCGAGGAAGCCTGGAATGGCCTGTTTGCATCGGCGATAACACTTCCATACTTCCTGCCTGGCGCGGTCGTCCGATCGATTTGCGGTATATCGTTGTATGGAATTCTTCAATCGAATAGCGTAGGGATGAGAATGGGGGCCCTCGAGCTTTGCTTCGGCGAACTTTTTAGTAGCCAGCCTCCGACGCGCTCTGGCGCTATCTTGCCAATTCTCTTCCTCCATCGCCATTCCATTGAATTCTTCCTTGAGCATATCATCTAATTCCCCATCAAATACGTCGCTTAGCGATGGTTGCGGTTCTGTAGGGTTCTCTTCGTCGTATTTCCGTAGGGCCTCCAGGGCAATCTTCCGGTCATTCTCTGGCAAACTTTGGATAAAAGGACTGTCGGGGTCGAATGGTCCTTTCTCTAGTTCTTTGAGCTCTTCCTCAAGCTTCGCCAGCTCCTTCTCAACCTCCTCCCGTTCCTCATTATCCTCAGCTTCGGGGTCAACCTTGCGTCGCTTCTGGCCGTCTTGTTCGTAGAAGTTGACTTTGTCGTTTGGCCCGCCAAAGTCGAGATGGCGCGCGAGGACAACGGAAAAGGAACGTCGGGGAATCGACGGGCTGCGAGCCGCATAATACCACCGAGCTCCTCGAACAACCTGGCGGAGCATATGGAAGTAATTAATCGATCATGGGGGGGGAGGGGAAGATGATAAAGTTGATAAGAGTCGCAGAAGTTCGCCGCACGACTTCCGTCGAATTTCCCCTTTTCGGGTTTAGCGTCTTCCGCCCTCCGCGAAGTTGCGCCGGCATCAACTCATCCCTCGACGCGCTTCAACAGGATTGAGCCCAGCAATGGATCCAGATGGTCTTGAAGAAGCACTGGACCTGTCTCGAGATAGGTCTCAGTACCAAGTGAGTCTTGGCTTCCTGTGCTCTTGCAATACAAGGCTAACCTGCTACCAAACAAGGGCGTTTATATCTACCAACCCGCAAAACCTGGGAAATCCGCCAATGAACCCCCAAAGAAGCGTCGCAAAGTTTCATCCACCGGAGCCCAAGACCGAAAACCCGATTCACAGCGCTTCGTACCTCTACTGAACGGAGAGGAGAGCGCCGAGGGTGTACAACAACGACTGAACACCTACAAGCAGCTGTGGTCCGAACAAGAACAGAAGATCCAGGTGGGAATTCAACAACAAGGGTGCATGGAATATACCTGCTCACAATTTTTGCTTAGGGAATCTTGGAAGATGAAGATGCAGGAGTTCTGACAGACGTGTTGTCTTTCGTGAGGGAGACATCACCGCAAACGTACGGCCCCTAGCCACTCGAAGTAATGGTCTCGGACTCACTTTATATCTCTCTAGGTGCAACGGATGTATACCGACAGCTCTTGTGACAGTAGGATCCAATGTCTCGTCCCTTAGCAGATTGCTATCCCGCCTTAACGATCACTTAACCTCAAGCGGCGAGGGCGGCGTTGTGGTATTGGAGTCCGGGGACGCAACCAATTTGAAGAATTCATTGAAGAACGTCATTCGAGCGGCAGTCACAAACACTGAGGGCAACGATGGATATCAAAAGTTTCTCACGGATCGAACAGTAGGTTCTTGAAGCCACAATATCCACGCATGCCATACTGATAAATAAAAAAGGGGCCTCGACTACTCGCATATGACTTGGACTTGCTCAACGACTACGTTCAACGAAAAGGGACAAAGAAGTTGGTTATTGCGTTGCGAGATAGTGAGGCATTCGACCCAGCTCTCCTGACAGACCTGCTGTCTCTATTCCAGTGAGAATGATGCCAAGGCCGCTTTGAGCCCACCGCTAATACATTCCTAGATCTTGGCTTGATCGTATTCCGTTTACTATACTACTTGGTATCTCAACCTCTGTTGAACTTTTCGAAGCCCGGCTTCCTCGATCTTGCGTCTCTTTACTCCAGGGAAAGCATTTTGAGCTTCAGGATGCAGGTAACTGCGTTGACCGAATCTACGAGGCCCTTCAAACCAATCCGAATGGAAAGTTGTGGATCGGGCGTAACATAACGAGCACCCTGTTTGAAAGAGCAAGCGACTACTTTCAAACTCCAGAAGCGTTCAGTCGTATGGTCAAGGTAAGATATGCCATATCCTTCCATTGCATCGAGCTTCTAGTTTCTGATATTTGACAGTATGCGTGCATGTCACATTTCTTCGCCAACCCTATTTCTGCACTACTTGGCGACTCTCAACGACCCGAATTATTCCAGGGTCGATTTATTGAGGCTATTAGGAATCTGCCCTCTTTCCGAATGTAAGCATGATCCTTATGGTGGCACGAAAACTTCTTATTAATCGACATGCAGGTACTGTGAAGACCTGGTGGAAGCTGGCTCGTCCATGGAAGTCCGGACTCTACTTGAAAATGATCGGCATTTGCTCGGAGAGGCTTTCAATCATATTGAAGTTGGCCAGCAAAGAATGCGTGATATATTTCAGGCAGTGACTCTCATTCATACTTGCCTCCAGCATACCCAGGGCACGAAAAAGACAACCGTATCAGATCTATCAGTCCGTGCTCTAGCTGGAGAGCTCGGCGAATCTCAGGTCGTCGATGATATGCTAGCCACCGTTAGGGCTATGGATTCCGAGAAATTCGAGGCTGTTATTTCAACCCTACCAGCCGCTCTATCCAACGATTCAACTCTTTCGGAGCTCAAAACGGACTTCGTCACATTGCTGGAGACCCACCCAGACCAAGAACCTCTACGCAGCGAATACAACATCAATAGCTCCGTGACCAAGACAACTGTCGTCCAGCAGCGTATTCAGCTCAGCAAAGGCAAAGCCAACCTCTCTGGGCAGGATGTCGAGTATACCAAGATCATCGATCGACTAGTGGCTGCCTTGCAAGAATACTTCACGGAAATTTTGATTCGACCACAAGAATTGTTCATGCATGAAGCATTCTTGTTTGATCTACGCAACCCACTCAAGGACAGCTTTGCACCTCGTCCACGTTTTGCGATCGAGCGTGCTATGGGTAGCCCTTTCGACTATTTGATTTCATCGTCAGACGCTGATCAAGATCAAGCCAAGATATCTGCAAAGCAGCCTGCTGCTGCTATCTTATACCGGCTTTATCTGGAATCCGGTGCGTTGGTCAATGTCCACGACCTCTGGCAGGCATTTCTCACGGTTTACGAAAGTGAGGAAGGCGAGAAATGCGACGAGCGTATTGTCATGGCTTTGTTCTATGGCGCCTTGTCTGATCTGAAGATGTTCGGCATGGTCAAGAATGCTAGCCGCAAGAAGACCGACCACTTGGCGAAGTCGGCATGGCTAGGATTATAGTCTAGATTTTTTCTTAAATATTTTTTTTCTAGAGATGTCAGATACCACAACGAGTTTCAAACATCAATCAATCATATTTCCTAATCTGGGATGGGGTATCATAGACATGTAGTCGAGTTTCAAAAGTAAAAAGCCATGGCCTGTCTACTTGCAGGCTTCCATTGGCTGAAAAATGTAGCAAAATTTGCGGTATCAATCTTGGACTGGTCTCTGAATGATATCATCTCTGCCGAGTGGGTGTCCTCCTTCACTCAATACCATCGCTTCCCTCCGCCGTCGACGAAGTGCTTGTTCTGCAGCGTTGCTTTCTCGATGCCTTCTCGGCGAGGATTCTGGGTATGCTCCAGCTGTGTCGTCTCCATCTACCATCCATACATCGCTGTCTGCATCGTCATCGTCGCCATCCTCATTATCCTCATCATCATCCTGGTCATTCTCCTCAATCATGCTGCCCATAAGACCATGTTTGCGGAGCTGCTTGATACCATCTGGATGTGAAGTCAATGTTCCAAATATGGAACTCATGACTGCGTCATCTGACCACCATGCTTTCATGAGGATAGCGACGTCCTGTCGACGTGAAGGTTCGCGCAGCGCACAGGGAAATGGGTATTTGCAAAGCCAGCGACTGACAATGCCAGCCTCGATCGCAGCATGGAGATTTTCAGGCAGTAGAATGTTCAAGATAGCAAGTGCTTTCTTCTCACCCACGGGCCTTGTCTTAGGGAGGATGGGCGAGCTTGTGGTAGACGTTTGCTCGGTATGCTCGTCCAGAAAATTGCAAAGACAATTGACCAGGGCTGTGTATGTCTGGATATCTCGGAGTCGGGTGCAAACAGAAGTTCGAGATACTATCGACAGTAGGTAAGCAGCCGATCCAGAAATTTTATAGTTATGCCGGACATACACGCTCTGTTCGAGACCAGAAAGTGGAGTGCAGTTAATGATCTGCCTTGTCGGAGCTTGTCCTTGGATGCCAGATCCTCTAATAACAAGTCACGCGTTCCCCCTTTAGTGGATCGCTCTGAAATAATACGCAACGCTCTGTCGAATGTTAGTCCGTGATTTGTCGAATTGGCTTGATGGGGTTGTCTGTCATACGCGGCTCGGAGGTCATGGCTCGTGCTTTCGGAAAGCTTCAAGAGGGTATCTAGCTTAAGGACTTGACAGTTTGTTAATAAATGTAGTTAGGGGTTTGATTTGAGTATATATAGCACTCACCTTCCTCTGTACCCTCACTGATGATCTTGTCTTCTCGTTCAATATGCTTGATCTCGGTGAGATCAACGACTTGGCGCAAGTCCGTGGCGATCCCACGTACGGCGAAGAAAAGCGATATGCCTAGTAAATTTAGCTTCAGCTTTCAAAGAAAGACCCAGTATTTCTCACCTAGGCATAGCCACAGCACGCCATCCCCTGAGAAAGGAGCCATGATGTGTAGTGTAAGTGGGTTGATAATTGGAGATTGCGGAGATGCACTCGATATCCGGCAGAATCATCACCGCCTCAGTGGAGCCATTTTTTTTCTTAATCGTGAAGCAACGAAAAAAAAAGAACCCACTCCGCAAAGTCCAGCCAGACAACAATGCCGCCTTCGCAATTGAAGCAGCTGAAGGCTTCGCTTCGGGATAGCGGGGTCATCCGCCCCCAGCAGTCTAAGAAGCAAAAGCGCGAGAACGCGAAGACCGGTGCCTCAGCGCAAAATCGGAACCAGCGCAATGCCGCTCTGCAAGCAATTCGAGACCGATTCAACCCTTTCGAGATCAAGGCTCCTAGCAACAGAAGCAAATTCGAAGCGACGACTCGCGATGGCCCCTCAACAACCGCGAAGGGGTATCGTCCAGGTGTTACCAAATCTCTGGGCGAGGAAAGGGTGGGTTGCATATCAAGAGACTTTCCGCGCTGGTCTTGTTCTTAGCTAACCGTCAAAAACAGCGCCGTGCCACACTACTGAAGGAGATGCATGATCGCCACAAGACCGGCGGATTAGTCGATCGCCGTTTCGGTGAAAATGATCCCACCATGACCCCCGAAGAACGAGCCGCCGAACGATTCGCCAGAGAAAGTCAGAAAAAGATGCGCAAGGAATCGATGTTCAACCTTGAAGATGAGGAGGAAGATTTCAAACTCACTCACATGGGTCAATCATTGACCCTTGACGGGAAGACTCTCGACGATTTCGATGCCGAAGGCCTGGGCGGTGGAGAATCCGACGACGAAGGATCGCGGAAACGGAAACGAGCCCTCCCTGAAGATGGAGAGGAAGAGGAAGAGGAAGATGAGGACTTTATTGATTTTGGAGCTGAGGGCGAGGGTAACCCCGAACGCAAGAAGTCCAAGGCCGAGGTTATGAAGGAGGTTATTGCCAAATCTAAATTCCACAAGCACGAGCGTCAACAAGCCAAGGAAGATGACGATGATCTACGAGATGAACTGGACAAGGAACTTCCTGACCTATTCGAGGCCCTACGCGGTATGAAGGCTCCGCCCAAGCAAGATGAACCTGCCCAGCAGGACCTGGCAGCTATGAACCCAGAGCGCGCGGCTATGATGCAAGCACCGGAGCAGCAGGACACAGAAAAGCAATACGACCAACGACTCAAGCAATTGACCTTTGACAAGCGGTCCGCACCTACGGATCGTACGAAGACCGTTGAAGAAAAAGCCGAGGAGGAAGCCGAACGACTGAAGAAATTGGAGGATGATCGACTCAAGCGAATGCGTGGAGAGAACGTCAGTGATGATGAAGATATGGCAGACGACGATAAGGATTCTTTCTTCGCAGGAGATGAGTCGGAGGAGGAAGAGGATGATGCGATGGCTTTTGGTCTTCCAACCTCTTCGACTGTGCCACGTCCCGCCGATATGGGCGTCGAAGATGAGGATGACTTTGTCATCGACGACGACCTTGTTGAGACAAGGTCAAATGTCAGTCTATCTTTGGATGGCAGCGATGTGGAGGAAGAGGAGCTTTCAGAAGATGACGAGCCCGATGTGGCCGAGCAGGAGGACGAGCTCATCAATGGAATGACCCTCCCAACATCAACAACTGAGACAGCTGTGGGGATCACTCAATCCGCCACTGGTAAATTGGCTTTCACATACCCTTGCCCGGCCGATCACGATAGTTTCCTTGAAATTATCCAAAATGTGCCAGCTCAGGATGTCCCGACAGTTGTTCAGCGTATTCGTGCTCTGCACCACCCGCGTCTCAAGCCCGGCAATAAGGATAAACTCGGCAGATTCGCTGAGATCCTCGTGGAGCATATCGCTTATATGGCCGACGAGACAGAGGAGCCCTCCTTCGCTGTCATCGAGAATATTTTGCGTCACATCCATTCCTTAGCCAAGACCCACGCCATTAATGTGGCAACGGCGTTCCGTGCGCGCCTTCGTGAGATATCGAAGGTTCGTCCCCTCAATCTCATCCCCGGTGACCTCGTCGTTCTGTCCGGCATCTCGACAATCTTCCCTACCTCGGATCACTTCCACGCTGTTTCCACCCCTGCTCATCTGTGCATTGCACGATACTTGGGTCAATGCAACGTCGAGGACTTGACTGATCTGGCAAGCGGTGCCTTCGCTGCAAGCTTGATTGTTCAGTACCAGGCTATCTCAAAGAGATACATGCCGGAATTCATCAACTACGTGTTGAATGCCCTCTGCAATCTGGCTCCTACAGAAATGGCCGCCGAGCTTAGAGCTTTTCCCCCTCGAAAGATCGCAGAGCACCTCCGCCTGGAATCCTCCAAGAGGAACTCCTCGCGAAAGCTGCAATTTGACGATGTCATCAAGTCGCCTGTCGATTCCAAGACCGAGGAAGAACTTAAGATGTCTCTTATCACCACATTCGCCTCTCTTCTTGGTTCCTCTTCGGACATCTGGTCCGAGAAGTCTGCCTTCACCGAAATTTTCACCCCGGCGCAGGTTGTACTCCAGCATATCTCCAAATCTTTCAAGAACAAGGTCTTGCCCGTCAAATCGGCTCTGGATAAGATCAACGCGCACCTGAGCCAAGCCCATCTCACCCGCCGCCCACTCTTCCTCCACGACCACAAGCCGCTAGCTATCAAATCCGCCATCCCCAAGTTCGAGGAGAACTTCAACCCAGACAAGCACTACGACCCGGACCGCGAGCGTGCCGAGACCAACCGCCTCAAGAAGGAGTACAAGCGCGAGAAGAAGGGTGCCATGCGCGAGCTGCGCAAGGATGCCAGCTTCGTTGCACGCGAGAAGCTGCGCGAGAAGAAGGAGCGCGATTCCGAGTACGAGAAGAAGTACAGGAAGCTCATTGCCGAGATCCAGAGCGAGGAGGGTCGCGCGGCGAACAATTACGAGAAGGAGAAGAGGCTTCGCCAGGGCAAGCGCTAATCTTTTCTTTAGCCCGGAGTCTATTTTTATCTCACTCTTTCTGCCAGGCTACCTCGGTGGATGCTTATGCATATGTCTTGTTTTCTTTGCACATGTTCTGGATAGGTATATACTCTCTTTGTTTTGCCCTTGGGCTGGTGCATGGTTGGGAATTAAAAGTCGAAATCTATCGCACATCATCTGTATCAATTCTTTCCATTGGACGTTGTGCATTTCTTACCATGCATTCGTAGTCTACGGGTTCCAAGGTTGCCAATCCTCTTCATTACCCCGTTGTCGCCATTTGCACACCTAGGCACCTGGCAAGTGATAGCCTCTTGCTCAAACTTGAAGGATCCATGGATACCAAGGTATCTTTGCGAAAGCCCTTGAGCATTTCGCGAATGATATGAGTACAGGACTCGGAGTACCTAGTATCTGCCCAGGTGGGAGTACCTAGGTAGTACAAAATCGACAACATCATGCAAACTTGAAGCAACGCGACTCGGACATGCCCGACCACGGGTATGTAACATGATGGGCAGTCTTTCAACCAAAGCAGCTACTATCGAGTGACCAAGCTTTCGCAACAATTTCAAGTTTGACTATACTATAGAGTGCTCGCCGAATACTTGAGTCATGGTTTTGATTTGAACAACCTGGCTGTTGATCACACAATGGCATTGAAATTCGCCCTCGTTTGTTCTACTAGGTGATTGAAGAATCTTTTTCGCATCCCAGTTTCGATACATGAGGGCTAGTTGATGGGCCATGGGCCCTTCGTTGCATTTCAAGCTTCCGATATAGGGCTGTGTTCGTCGCTTATGAATCAAATCAAAAGTCTTGAGTGTTTTCCTGCATCCTGATCTTTTAGCTGAGTCCGGCGACTGTTAAGCTGCTATTGCTGCTTACCATATCCTGAGTTTATTCGCCCTAGGAGTGCATCGTCCTTAAATGGTCGAGCAGTTTGTCCTTACGACCAAAAGCTCTGCCGCAGGTTCTGCACTTGTGCTCGGACGGCGAAACATGCTTTGTTTGGATATGTCGCCATAAGGTAGATTTCGAAGCGAAACTCCCCGTGTATGCACAGCCCGCCCACCCACATGTGATACTCTGGCTTTCGGTGGATTGAATACTTGGATCTACACTGGATGGTGGGGTCTTCAGATTCTGAAAGCCCGAATTCAGACTGGGAAATGATCCAATTTCATGTTGCGAGTACCCATGTTGGAATGTTGGGCTCGATGAGACCTTCGGGTCGGTAAGAGGAGGAATATAGGTTGCAATGCTCGGATCACTGTCAATAGCCATCGATTCAGGACCAAAACTTCGATTTTCTTTCGGAATAAAGGATGATGAGCGCAATATCGAGAACTCTGATACGTCATATGATTCCGGCAGCGGTGAAATGAGACCCTGCTTGGACTTTTCCACCATGTCGCCGAAAACATCGAAAGCTGGAATGATAATTGCAGTTTGGGATTCTGTGTCCCCTGCAGCGATGTGACCATATATCATTCCTGTTGTTGCGTCTTGAACCAGCGAGCCCGAGTCGCTTTGCTGAAGGGAGCCTTTAAATTGAACCTGAAGAGCATCGCTGTACTTTTTAGCGCTCGGAAGTCGAATAAAAGAGCGCCGATTGGACAAAACACCAGTAAGAATATTCCCTGAGCCCGTTGCTGAGACGACATCGACTGAGTTAGAATTCAGACGAGCGATGTTTTGAAGAGAGAAAACAGGGAGTTTTAACAAAGACTCGTCGATATTTTCAATCTCTATCAATGAGTAATCCAATGTTTCTGATTTAAGATAGGACATTCCCACCCGCAATCGAAAAGAATGAACCAGTGAAGGTGACTCGCGAGTACCGAGGGTGGAGACGTTCTGAATTGGCTGGCGATGGCTAACATCCATTTCTCTATTGTCTTTTGACCGGGGTGTGAGACGATCAGATTGGGATTCTGATGCTGCGTCGGCTTGACTCATACCCCACTCTGCCTCTTGGCTGCTTGTGCCAGGAGTCAAGCTGTACCGGCTCATAAAATCTGCCTCATGAGTATCTGGTGGGCCTTCGTTCGCCCCATCAAAACCTTCAAAAAAGTATTCGTCATCATCAGACTGCGAATCAGTCGCTGAATTGGATGCGGTTCGAATGTATTCTTCTGGATAGGTTATATGTGCTGGCACAAAGTAGAAGCTTTTGCCAGATATCATGACCCTGGCCCCAATGGTTGCCATACGAGGATGCTCAGGGGTCGTATAGGTCTTTCGCAGCACCAGCTGCAACGCCTGGGCAGAGTTCACCGTTTGTTGCCCATGGTCTACCTTGCTTAAACTCCTGGGTCGTAGATTCATTGGAATCGGGGATTTAGAGTCGCGACCAGGGAGTGAGTTGGTGTTGAGCATTGGAAAGGGAGTTCTGCCACTCGAGGAGGAAGTAGGCCCAGTTTCGATGTTGATCTGGTAGCCCAAGGATCGCGAGGAGGTGAGCATCAGAAGTTCCACGTTCTTGAGGTGGGGAGGATATTTCCAATGACCGAGGAGTATTCCGTTCGGGCAATGAGTGAGAATATTGGACTGTTTGATTGCTTCAAAAGCTGCTTTTCGAGGCTCTTCGTAGATGCATGAGAACATTATGTGAGGAAGTGCGGTGTCGGGCGCTCTCCCGATCATGAACATATCGAACAGAACAGGACTTGGGACTGGGCCCACAACAGAGTTATCGAGTACTTCCAGAATTTGTTTATTGATTCCCTCGAGACATTGTTTAGCAGGCCCCTCGGCCTCCCAACAATGATAGTCGCCTTTCATGCCGCAGTGTTTTCCAATGGAATTTTGTGGATCAGGCCAATTGGGCTTCGATCTACTGAAAAACGGAAACGAAGGACGGCGCCCCGAAAATACCATGATGGCTTTGTAAAAGGCTCGGATGAAAATTGAGCCCACCAGATATATAATCGTATTCAGATAGCACCGATCCAGGGAAAATCAACGTTCATTCGGTGTTCTGCAATCGACCTAGCAAGAATACCCATGAAGGAAGAAGCATGTCGTGAAAGGTCAGGGAAACTTTCTGCGAAGAGGGAACCGCAAATACGAAGCCCCGATTTCAATCTCAACCACATAGCCACAATAGCAAGTCCAGTAAGACTCGAGAATACGTGGCGTTAGAGGCTGTGCTGCCAACGCATGCAACGTCGCTCTCGTCACACCGCCTGATGAATAGTGTAGTTATAAGAGTGTCGACAGGTCAGCTCACTAGGGCAGGGAACTTTCGATACAACGAAAGCCCCTAAAAATGCCTCACTTACAAAACCTACCTCCGCCCGCAAATCCAGTCTCGCTAGATGTTTCATTTGTTGAATCGCCAATGTCCTCGCTCCTTCAAGAGAAAATAGTTTCCCATCTATGGGGCATCGTTGACAGATACCCGAAGCGATCTTTTCGTCCATATTTGCAATATTACAGCGAACAGTGCAGAAGAGCAGTGGAGTCCCGTGAAAGCAGTATTGAAATGAGGACACATGAGCATCTCGTGGAAGTGGCTGCTTGTATACAAAAGGGAGACTCATGGTCCGAGGTGAGGAATTTCATACAGCAATGTGAATGGACCAGCGACCCACTTTCAGATAAGGCTATCAATGCATCTATAGACCTGACAGTCCGTGTTCTCTATATGATTGATGTTGGAAGACTTGCGAATGCCTATTATGGAAGAGAACGGTTAATCTGGAATGATGGTTTGTTGCAGGACTTCATGCGGGCAAATTTCCCCGAGGCTTGTTATATCGAGGACGATGGAATCAAACTGGGTGTGGAGTTTAAGATCTGCAATATTGATCAGATTGCAGGATTCCAGGTAGTACCTACCTCGAACCTTTACGACCATCTTCGAATTATTGACAGGAGGGTCGAGATTTTCCACCACGCATCCTTTTTGGAATCCCATAGAGAGTGAGTATAACAGCTACTTTGGTACAGCAACACCTCTAATTTATGTGGTGATTTTTTACAGAGATCAAATGTTTCCAACTAACCTTGTTGACGAGACCTTGGGAACCCTGGCTCTTTTATTTCCACAAGGCGATAAAAGGACAAAAAAGTGGTTCAAAAGGCTTAAAAGGCTGCACGGACCGGAGGAGCTAGACGGGAAGTTACTGCGCTGCGGAAAAGCGGAAAGGCAGATCAAACACTACAAATATTGGCACGACAGGCTCATTGAACTCAAAATTGAATTCGATGAATCTCGGCCCTCCACCTTTGCACAATGGTGGAAAGATAGGCGTGATGTTAGCCAGTGGTATCCACTCTGGGTCGCCATTGCTTTAACAGTTTTGTTTGGTTTGATACAAAGTATTGAGGGAGCGTTGCAAGTTTATAAGGCTTATAATCCTTAATGATGGAGAGGAGCCCAAATCTGAATCTATGTTGTGTGCGGAGATGTAAGTATCTACCAATTATTCGAGACCTCGGCTCACCAGTCTTTCGGTACTAGTAAATCATCGAGCCATCCATTTAATGGGACTTTTGTATTGCAATTTCACGTACGGATGGGGGACAACTACGGTGGATGAATATCTGATAGCAAGCGTACTTTCCGACTTCGGTCAATACTGAAGCGCGGGAAGAGCCTAGCGTAGAGAGCATGTCTAGGTAGGATCAGAAAAAGGGTCAATCGCCATGTGGAAAATCGAAGCGGGGCAGAAGCACAGAATTCCGAAAAGCACGATCATTGGTAACAACATACTCAAGTTCGACCAGGGCCAAAGCCACTACAAGTCTGGACATTGAAGCAATGAGAGAAAAAAGCCTTGCATATGCCCTTCAGGTATAACCCCACAGCCCTAAGCCAAGACAGGTCAGTCCGAGGAAGAAAATAAGGTTCAGGATGTATTCGCGGGGGTGCGGTGGAGCAGTCAGGAACAAATGATAAATCAAACAAGTGGGTGGCGGGACGCTCTAATTAACTTCCTTGCCAGGCCTCGCACTTGGTCAGCAATCCTTTCTCTCGTTTCCTTTGTTTCGGGCCACCGTTCAGTTGGTCTCTTTCAGCTTTCGGGGTCTGCTTTCCACCATAACCTTGCTGTTCTGCCGGGTTCATGCTCTGCCTCGGCAACCAATACGCAACCCTTGCAAATACGACTCATAGACAGCGATTTCGCTTTAGCTTCTGATGCTCCGAGAATACTGCTACATCTTTTGAAATGTGTATCGGCAAGATTCCCAGAAAAGCGGCCAGCCCGTCGCCTGAGCCCACTCGGCCCGGCTCAACATGCTTCAGCGCCAGCAGGCTCAATGGCACCACATTCCAGATCGTCGAGGACGACAAGTTCCTCGAAATTCCTATAATATACGCGAAGGTGTACCCCTCTGTCTTTGTGCTCATTGATACTGGGTGTGGTGGTGCGGCGCGCGATTCCAGCGTTGAGCTCAGGTCGCTGCGTCGTTTCCTCGAGACGTTTCCCGTGAAAGACAATGGCGAAGCTCCTCTCAACCCTGGTGGGGAAAGAGAGTATCTTGTTATTTGCACACATTGCCACTATGATCATATAAGTGAGTGTCATACTTAGCGTTTGGACCTTTTGAACATATTCAAGTTGTACTCTTGTTAACAGTGCCAGGTGGTATCGAGCAATTTGTCGAGACGGAGGGCAGTACCGTCTGGGCCAGCGACTATGACAAAGACTATCTCAGTCCAACCCGATTACCAAGCACGTCTCTCTGTGACAAACTCAATATCAAAACGCCAGATTACACAATCACCAATTGGTGCAGGGATGGCCATCAGGTTGCTGACAATGCTGGGCATGGTCTTGGCCTCACGGTGTACCACACGCCCGGCCACACGCCCGACGAAGTTGCCATATGGGACTCATGCGAGAGAGTACTTTTTGTCGGCGACTCTATGTACCAGTACGCTCCCATCTTTTTCTTTGAGACACAAAGCGTCATCAGGTACGGCGAGTCGGTCGGCAAAATGAGGCAGCTCGTCAGACGATTCAATGCGGAGACTGGTAAGATTGAACATCCACACACACGCCGTAATCCAAGAGGCTGACAAGAACAGAACAATGCGCAAAAATCTCATGCAGTCACATCACCCCAAGTATAGACGCCGCCGACTTCCTGGCCGAGGTAGACACATTCCTCTATCAAGTCGTGACCGGCCAGGTCAAGCGCAAGGCTTTGTCGGACATGTCCGGGCATCCACGGGACAGCTACACGAGGAAGGACGGAGGTCTTGAGTTTCAGGGCAATGGAGAGTATTTTGAAGAATTTAAGGCGAGCAAGGAGGCTATGGATTCTATCCGGAAGCGCCAAATCGTGGGACAGACCACACTTGGCGCCACGGATTTCTCGGTGGTATTGCCTCGGTAGGTATGATGAGGTGTCTTCCGCCGCATCAAGATTGACCCCTAACCGCTGAGCTTGCGTGTGCCGATTCTGAGCCTATGCGTACATGTCTTTCAATACCCTTACCTCTAGAGGCCATCATCGTTCGCCATACGGAGATAGCCACCTCGCCGGGAACAGCGAGCAGACCGCTACCTTTTTCCTGCCAGTTAGCAATTTTTGTGTCTGGAGCTCTTGATTCCCTGTTGATGTCGATCCATGAAGCTTTGCGCAACGAGAAGCGGGTCATTTGTGAAGACTGTTTCGATGGCTCGTCGGTCTGACCCATCCTGAAAGGTGTGGATCCGATGGGCATATCGCGATGCTATTTGATATTATCATACAACTGCTGCATAAACAAAGTGAATATTTTATCCATTTGTATAACCGTGGACCTAACTCATTGCGCCGTGGTAGATCTACTGCTTATTATACAGCCATGAGTAGATCCATAGTGCTCTTTGGTTAGCCCGTTAGGAGCTGGGAGTCTCCAGGAGCTACTAGCACCATACGCTGAGGGTTTGAACCAATAAAGACAACAAAGCTCATGATACCGAGCAGCAAAGTCGAACCCTGAAAGCGCAATATACTGGAAAAACTCTGACGCCCAAAGAAATCGTTCCCAATCTCTAGTTTGACTGAACACCCGTGTTGCCTGAATTGCTGGGAAGATGCAACAGTAGAGAGCCCACAGGTTGAGGCCCTCTTGCGTACAGTAAGGAAGACATCTGATTGCTCTGCTAACGTTGATAGCGGAAAGTTGATGTGCCGCATGCCGGGGGGATTGACCGTTAAAACGAAAACATTTTGGCATATCAGCAGTCTCTATTAGAGTATAAGCTTGATAGATGATTGGGTATAGAAGAGAGAGGGAAGTCCACAGGAAAATGTGTAAGTTTGCTTCGCCAACTGAAAGGAACCTGTAAGCAGGACCAAATAGGTCATCTGTAGCACGAAGGCCTGTTTTAAGTTCTCCGCGGCTATATGTAGGAGGCTCTCCGTAAGTGTGACCATCTCCACTCATCTCAGTATAGAATTTCAGAAGACGTCTTTCCAATACCAGGCAATCATCTAGCAGCGATTGACGGGCTTGGGGGTCAAGAGATTTATCCACATTATCGATAGCAGCAACAAGACATGACATGTCTGTAAGGAGCTGGATCAGTTCATATAGCAACCCTTCACCGGGCTCTTTGAGCCACTGAATTGTTGGCTCGGAGAGATGCATAAGTCTTGAGAGAAGCTAGATGCACATATAGTTAATTAGACTATCTGTACATCCGAGTCATAGACATGCTGATTTGCCAGAGGGGTTCACTTACCACTCTGAACTTTTGATGTTGACCATAGATCAAAGCTATGAGAGGAGCGTCATTCTTTTTAGGTTTGTATAGTCTCATAATTGCGCTCAGTCCATCTATATGTGCGTGCAATTTATCAAGCGAGTCTGGGCAGTAATGAGACTGTATCTTCATAAGTGAACGTTACATAATTAAACAGCAAGCATGTATTTCTCACCTCGATTTGTTCGAAGATTATGCATGTATAAACTAGGTCAGTACTATAATGCCTGCGACTGATCGTCTTTGACATCTCATGGATTGCCTCATTATAAAGCGAAACCCCATATTGTAGAACAGGCTTATCTCCATGAAGCTTGCCAAGGAATACGCATGAAAGTGCAGAAATGGCTTTTTGAAGCATCATGCTCTTTTGAGGCAGCAAATAGATGGTCGATATAATAGGATATGACAAATTGATCACGCAATTTGGTTTAACATTGCGGGGGAAATAATCACCAAGATAGGAAGAGAAGACTTGGCTGCTGACCATTGTCCCAGAGGGAACAGCCTGCGATAGGGCTGTCCGTTGTATTTTATCTTGAGATTGCGAGGTCATAGGGGGGGCTGTGACCAGGCTGGTTTGTATGCATCATGTTGACCTGCTTGGTACGTTGTATAGTGTGCTTGGTCTGATCGCGAAAGATGAGTTCCCAGTTATCTCTGTATCCAGGACATTCCTGGCACAAGCGGACACACTGTCCACAATGAGGACGCTTCTTATCGCACTATTCTGAGTCAGAAATAATTTGGATTATTCCGATGATGCGACGCTGATGATGCGACGCCAGTGAGAGATCCTGTCATAATTCACACATACCCGTCGCTTCACGGCTCGGCAATTCCCGCAGCTTGTGGAAGGCTTTCTAGAAGTAGTGGTAGTCATATTTCGAGGAAGTTCTGTTCCGAACTTTTTGTGCGTGCGCGTAGGTAGTTCTAGGACATGGGTGCAGAAGATTGTGTGGAAGGTAGTATAATCGGAGAGACAGGGGAGGGAGTGACGACGCGGAACGGGCCTTGTTGAGCCTCAAACCTGAATGGAAGCCCAGGGTGTGAGATACGCTTTTCACTCAAATTTGAGAAGAGGAGCTGGTCCCGCTGTTTGTATTTTTTGTTTGCCTCCAGAAGGTTCCAGCAATGCGTAAATTCCATACCCTGATCAGCATGTGGTGTGTAATGTACTCAGTAGCGGGGAGGAGTTCGTGGTAATAGGCCTGGGGGGGCCTGAGCGTGGTGATGACTAAAGTTATCATGGAAGACCAGCTTCATACAATTTACTATGGAATTGCTTTGTTCGAGAATCTAAATCTTTGAAAAATACCTCGGGCTCCATGGGCTTCCAAGGTTTTTTCGAATTGCTTCCTCAGATAAATCGACCTTTGCGTCGAAGAGCGCGATGCCAACCTTGGAACAAGTAGCCCCCACTTCACTACTAGTAGGTAACTGGATTACTACTAGTTAACTAACTGGTATGTAAGAGCCTGTTTGAAACTCGAACCAACTTGGACTTTTTTTTTGCAACCAGTATCACAATTGTGCCGCCTCCACGCCGTAAAATTCTATTTTGTTGAAGCTTTCGCTATAGTCAGCGCAGCGGCTGAAGGTGTGTTGTCAACAAGGTCCTCATAAACAATTGGCTCCTTGACTAGGCGCGCATCGCGCAGTCCTAATTGCCAGCGATCGTAACCGTCGCGAGGCACAGAAGTGGTCACCCACATGCCATTGTGGCGGAAGTCGTTGGTAACAGAGACAACGACATCAATTGGAACACTGGGGAAAAGTTCGGAGAGCTCATCTTGGAATGATTCTGCGTCGTGCAGAAGGACCCAGTCTATGCCCTTCTGAAGAGCAATGCAAAACCGCTTCTGAGCATTTAATATCTCTGGTGTGATTGTGGCAGTTTCCCGATAATACACGCTCCATGGGACGTCGCCTTGAGTGACCATCTGCATGGCAATACTCAAATCAGGGTTGCGGGTGACCATGGCCAGGGCAGAGAGGTTATCAGTGACAAAATAGTCGCCCATGCCGCCTTGGAATAGATTGCCCAGCATTTCACCATTCAAATCCTGGATGTAGTCGACTGATTTCGCATCAATTCCGTTCTCACGGAGCAACATCTTGAAGAAAAGGCCAAAACTGCCCCCACCACCCGAATTTATCAGGACAGTACGCCCAGTCACTTCGGATAGGTTGAAGCTTTTATCACTGGCACGTCGAATCAAGGCGAGAGGTGCCCGACTCGCAATCTGCGTAAAGACAGTGTAATTCTGTACCCTTTCGCGGTACATGGACGGCACCCAGATTCCTCCAAGGCACATTGTAGCGGAACCATCGGCGAGCGCGTCAAGTACGCCGTCCCAAGGTGTTGGGATGTGAACCGTTACATCGAGTCCCTGTTCTCGGAAGAAGCCATGTCGAAGGGCAATGTACTCTGGGAGATAATTGAGACTATAGCCAGTAGCGGTAATGTGGAAGGGTTGCATGCTTAGCCTCTTCCAGCATTCTATCTTGTGATGTATCGGATCAGAGTGCGTAAATGAAAAGTGGTATATAAGGAGCTTTGGCGCTGTAAATAAAATAAAATAAGGATATGCGGAATGAACTCTTTAAATTGCTGGCATGAGTGTTGGAAAAGGATTTGAGATCATCGAACCCTGCGAGGCCGATTTTCAACGATTTTCGGAGAACCCCGATGGGTCCCGATGGCTCTCTTGCGGGGCAAAATTCCCCTTCCTGTGACTCAAATGATCCAGATATCTTCGCAAAGGGGGAAACACTTGGACTGGTTAGTAGTTGGCCTTTCGCTTCACGGAAGGTCGGAACCAAGAATGTGGTAAATGTTTACGAACGACAAAGCAAGGGATTCTTACATGCCTGAGGCATCAAGGCATCAACATAGTCCAACGTCTTAGTTCTGTCTGATTAAAACTTGAAGGCATTGCTCGGTCGTAACTCTGATGTAAGCTACTAATATATGATAAATTTGTCTCATTTTTAGCTCAACTTAAAGGCTACTGATACACCAAAGTAACAAATACCATACTAGTAAGCACTACTAGTAACTTCTACAAACCTTGGAAGACCGTGACAAATAAAGGTCCAATACGCACAACCTAAGGCTTACTAGTACATGCTAGGTACCGGTAGCACTTGATATCCATGGATGTTCAAATTACAATAAAAACTTGAATACCTAGGTACTACTAGTACCTGTATAGTGCTCAATTGCCATTCATCCAAAGCTGAGTATATACAGTAATGCTGGTATGACTACCTGGGCAGGTAGTACCTATCTAACAAAGAGAACTCAAACATTTGACATGTTTAACAATAGTCTCCTCCGAACCTTGGAACTCATTGGCTCATGAGATTAACCGGAAGTGACGTGAAGAGGGCCGTTGCCATCGTCCTTGGGGCAAGCGGTATCGGTATCGTCGGACTCGAACTCAACAACGCAGCTGGCGTCTTGTGCAATGGCAATGCCAATGAATGTGGTGTCTGACTTTCCTTCTCCAGAGCCAAGCTCATTGCCATCGCCATCTTGAACGGCACAGCTGTCAGGATGACCAGCAAAGTCAGCCTTGCAGTGGAACTTGCGAGGAGAGGCCCAACAGTCGCCCTCGATAGTGAAAGTGCGGCCATCACCGGTATTGTAGCAGGGCGAGTGGTCGTCAGGGAAGCCCTGGTCGTAAATTGCATCACCAGCGTCGTTGATGATTGCGAACCCGGAGTGGTGGCCGCTCTGGCTGCCACCGGACGGGCCGGAAATGGTAGAGAAATCACCAGCCGACCAGACGACCCTGAGGTGCTCGGCGTAGATGGGTGCGGCGGCTGCCAGCATATAGAGGAAAGTGCGGAGAGGAGCCATGATTTTGATTGTGGAGTTGAGGATTTCAAGTTGTTGATGGAATGGGATTGAGGACTTGTGTTGTCCTTGAGGCAGCTCCTCGAGTGCCTTTTATATCTCGTCAAGATAAATTGTGCCCCCAAATTCTGACGCCAAGAAACTTGCGCCTTTTTACTTGAGCGAGGCCCTCCGTACTTTCTTGGAGTGTAGTAGGAGTAGTGGAGATATGAAACCCTTAGAACAAGATACAGAGTTCGAAGGAATGGATCATTGAGGAAGGATCCACATCTTAGTACCTTCCAAATTCGCTTTCTCATCGTGACACTGACTCGAATCAAAATGGACAAAGACTTCAATAATTCTGTAGCTTTTCAATATATGGTCAATGATTTCCCATACTTATATTCAAAAATAATTCGCAGTAATAGAGGGCATTTCCATTCACCAGAATGGATTTTCGAATGCCAGCCAAAGCTAGGAGAGGATACGCATACGACCTGTCAGGGACTTCTGATAGCTCCACCAAAAAAAGGGCAAGATTACTCCGAATGGGGTCGAGTATTGCAAATTAATCCCAATGACTCGGAGTCTGACTGTGACGAAACTGATATGGATAAAAAGTCGCAGATCCAAGGCGGGATTCAAGGATGCCAAGAGTTTAGATACGACTTGGTCAGTGACATCCAGGAAATGGAGATGTAGATCACTGACCCATCTTGGGGCTGTAAACTGTTTGCCCCGGTCCCGTGCTGAATAAAGTGGGATAATATTCTAGGAGGGTTTCTTCGTAGACTTATCCCGTGATGTCCTCTCCTGAGCTGCAATCCCCTCATGGCTCAATTCAATAGTTCTTGACAGTTTTAATCACCAAATTTGCAAAACGATATCCATCAATGACTACCACTAGTATACGGATGGTGATGACGTAGGATCTGCACAATCGATTGACATAACCGACTTAGCGCCCGTAAGACTCCAAATGGGGCGCTGAAGAATAAGCACTAGTAGCACACATGCCATGGATAATTTGGGGCAACACAAGCTCAAAAATGACATCAAAAGTCGGCAAGCGGATGTCTGCTTGGTTTGATTTCAAATTATCAATTCCCATAGATCTGGGCAGTAGTGAATTTGAAAAAGTTCCGTTCGTCACAATTTCGACTTGACATATGTAGATCGAACAAATTGCTACTCGTAGGGACCTGGATTTCTTTATAGCTCTACTGCCCTTGTACTAATAGTAGTACTATTACCACTGCGGCATCTCCGCGTTTTTCTAGTAGTGGTGAGGCTAATAGATACAATGCATAGGCCAATTCTTCTGATTATAGCCAAAGATTTGCGATCTTGGCACGGTAATCTGCCACGATGCCCCTTTTTAGGGCAATGGGGGCCGAAACTATCATCCTTCGGACGGTCATCAGTCTTCCTACTCCCGGCTAAGACTGAGCCATGACTAGGTCTGCTGGACATAGCGATCCACTTTTATTCAGAAAATTACTCTGTAGACCAACTCTATTGCTGAGGTGGCTTTTTTCACTTTGATCTATCGTCCTTTATCCTTTTATAGAAAGGATAGTCCATCCTTGAATTTCACTCCATATCAGACGCTTTCTAGGTTTCATGCATCTACTACATAAATGCCTCAATTGTATAGTCTGGTGTGTCATGGAGACTCCGAGTACATCAGCAGATCGATGTGTATCCCACCCCAACGATCGATCCTCCCATTCAAACTCCAGTGTCCTTCTCGACTCAACGAATATCATCAAACAAAAGTGCCCCCGATTCCACCAGCTGCTATCGCTCAAACCAAGAAATACTCCAGATCTAGCCATTTTTCACCTAGATGACGTTTTATTCACTGGCCACTCTTCCCACAATGTTAAGCTGTTGCTTTATCAGGCTACTGGGATAGAGGTAGCGGCGGTTTTTTTTTTTCAACAAGCGTAAGGCTAAAGCAAAGCAAGCCAGTATTATCGAGAATCCCTTCACTTTCTCAAGACATCATAAGAATTGAGGAGCGATAAGAGTACCCATGATGTCTCGCTCAGCGCGCAAATTGCTGTTCACCCCCGGTGATATAGCAGTTGATCAGATGTTCGGAAATCCGCGACCCCGAAACTCCCATTGCATTTGTCGCCATGATTATTAACCTATAATTCGCGTGAGGCCAGATGCTTTCGAAAAGAAAAAGGTGGTTCTTACTGTTAGACGCTGGGTGATTTTGGCTGCATATCTGGAACGCGATGATCTGTAGACCTCGGGATGAGGCTACTTCGGTGTTCGTATACCAGTAGCTCTAATGATACCCAGCTTGAAAAAGACCTCACAATAAAAGGGAAAAACCGAAGTGGGATAGAGAGGATTGTTCATCCCTGGCAGGTACTAGTAGTATATAATACCTAGTAGTGGGCAGACCGCACGCATCTGAGGTTACTTCAAATTTCTACCTAGGTACATTTCTAAGCTCCCAAGTCTTCAACCTTGGAAGTTGCTTCAAGTTCCAAGGTTGCGCAGATGTGCATAATCACGTCATTACCTACCTAGGTACTCCTAGTAGTAGGTAATAGACTAAATTGCCAGCTTATCTATATTCTCTTATACCACTCGCTTCTCGCCATTTTAAATCACTGCATAGGCCCGGCTTACACGATAGTCAAACATCCATGATTTCTTTTCTAATCAGCTTGGGGATTTTTTTTTATTTTTTTTTGAAATATGCCAGATTAAACTTATTTTTGTTTCAGAAAAACTCTTAAGGTCAACAATTCCACGTCTAGTATTGGGCTTCGAATCTTGTATTGTTTCGAATACACTCATCAACTTGAACCAATCCGTTGCTCCTCCAGGTAATCAGAATCCCATCTAAAGCTCCAATGGAAATTGTGACCTAAAAATTCTATCAATGATGCCTCAGTTCCAACAAACCTGTCTCTAAAATTCGACGTCTCGCCTGTAGTTATTAACTATAAGTTCAAGCAATTACCTGTCACCTATGTGCCATCATTCGGATGGTCCTCCTGTTACCAGTAGTACAGGATCAAATGGGTCAGCTATAGGCATTTCGAAGACGGAAGCTGATGATAACCTTACTATGAAGATCCCCTACGCAAGTTTTTCACCTGGAGCCCTTTGAGCTAGATGGCTTCCAACTTGAATGAGATCTGGAATATAAAGGTTTGAATCACCAATAAAAATTAAGAGGAGAGCTGAGGGGGTAGGCGGTTGGAGAAAAAATTCGTTTACGCCCACTTCATCAGGAACTGGCAGCTCCAAGGTTAGTCCTCATTGAATATGATGGATGACTGTCTTAGTAACCTTGACAACCGTGTCAGTCCCCGGCCTAAACTTGACTTGTCGCTATTATTTGAGATACCGATATCTACCAATCAAGTGTAGTAACAGACCTTATATACTCAATAAAGGTCACGGTGCCCGCGTGCATTGAACAATCCGTGCTGAATAACGGTGCCAACTGGGTTTTATGGCAGGTTGAACCAGATGCGACATGAGGGCAATATGGATGCCAGTGCAAGAGGATGGATGAAACTCGCGACGATACCTACTAGTAGTACCTGGGTATAAGAAATTATTTTAAGACTAACTTGAAATTGAATCCTTGGTAGTAGTAGG